CAGAAATAAGTGAGGCTCAACAGAATACTGCTTCTACAGAATTTCCAAGGTCGCCTGCCTTGAAAGGGTTGACCTTTGTGAAAGCTTTAGGGTTCGTGCAGCACTTGCGCATTAGAAAGGTTGGTCACTTATGTACCCCTCTGGCCATGTACAACCGATAATGCTGACATTTATCCTTCGCTGTGTTCTGACTTTGACACTTGCAGGCGTACCTACTTTAGACCACGCTCGCCATTTTCCAATCATGCTGGCACGAAATACTAATGTCTATGTGAAAACTTGGCTGTGGCATGCCGACAAGTGTTTCTAATTCACCGTACTAAATGGCTAAGTCGTCGGTTTCCATTGGTTTTTTGGCTCAATACTTTTGTATGCTTTTACTTCCCGCAATAACTGCGCAGAAGACAGACTGACAGAAATGACATGTTGAGCATTACGGATGACCGTTAGAGGAATAAAAAGGAATATTATAATAGATCATTCGAAAGAATGATGTCCAAATTATCCAATGTGTACCAAAACATATGACGAGAAACTTTATTTGCTCAAAGGAAGTGAAAGCGGGAATGACGTCTAATACAAGAGCAGCCTGAATATCTTTGATAGTGGAAGATCTTGATGGAACAGCTAAGATTTCTTGCCGTACCTCCCATCTGTAGGAACAGCCGGTTACGAAATGCTCAAAGATATCGGATTCATTATGACATAGTCGACATGTAGTTGAAGAGATGGCACTTGTAAAACCATCATACATGGAAGTCTTTTCATAATGGTTCGGTATCCTAGATCTCGGGCGGGAAGAAACAAACGTAATGATCAAGGCAAGTTAAATAACCATTTAGACATTAGGCGTAGAGCTTGAACTTGGTGGCGCTTCTGGGTATGGTGTAAGCTAAAGGTTGGCGCAGAATAATCACGCCAAAGTGAGCTTTTGGTTCAATTGATTGTGAAGGGCAACTTCCAAAACTGTAACTAGAGTATTCTTGGGGACAGATGATCCGTTGAGGTATCTTTGAAGAAAAGGGTGAAGCTTAACAGTTCCTTCGACTAACAATTGTCCATAAAGGTTGACAAGCGTAAAGGGCAGTGATCTATTAGTTGACAGAAGAATCACTCAAGATAAACGCGATGGGAGGTTGGTGCTACTTCTAGCTCTGAACAAAAGTTCCATCAAGATAATAAAGACTAAGATATTATGATTGAAAGGGTGACCGTGTTTATATGTTTACCAAGTGAAGCCTCTCTAATAAAGAAGCAATCGACTCATTACATTACCTCTCTCTCAAAGGGCAAACAGGGCGAGGAGAAGTTTTATCTGAATAACGTTGATGAAAAGCTTTGACGAGGTCTGGAGCATTCTTGAGCTACCCGGCATCTTCGTAGTATTTTCAGCCGGATTACGGTAGTTTTTCCATTTGACTAGGTACTGGAATCTCTTTCGAATATTTTTGTTGCCTAAGATTTCTTTTACTTCGTATTCTCTTCGTTAGCTACTATTACAGGTGGATTGCCGATGATTAGACATCCTGTAATGTCCTTGCAGCGGGCTGGTGTGAGCAAGGAACATGAAAGGCTGGGTGAAATTTTATTGCTGTAGGCAATGCCAGTCTAAAGGCTCGACTACCGATCTTTTCTAAGACGAGGACGGGGCGCAGACGTTTACAATTTAGTTTGTCAGAAGGAATTCCGCGCGTGGCAAAAGGTCAGCTCAATTTTGAGATATAGTAGTAGCAGGCGGTGGTTATACTTGTAAATTTTCAAAAGCGTGATAATAGTAGATTAATTGCCAGTAGAACAGTAGATGGCTTAGTGGTTATGAAGCTTGTGGGAGGTTATTAAGAATGAGTGCCACCTTCCACCTAATATAAAGTGTTAAGATTCTATTACTTGAATAAAAGTGTGTGCCTTTTCCCACAAAGTTTTACATACTAGTAGTTATCCGGTAGAGTTTAGGATTTTTTATGACTATAATCAAGATAGAAGGAAGTTTTATAGATCACTATAAAAACATTCAGATCCCGATAGAACCAGTTTGAATGTGCAGAGGTTATAATAAAATAGATAAATAAGTGTCGAAGACACTTTTTTGTAAATACTCTTTCTTTCATATAACAATCTTATATTTAATTCAAGATAAATTGACAGCAAAATCAATATGAATATTCAACCATCAGTTATTCCACGGACTACTACTTCTAACGTGTTAAGGGAACGGGAGTGTCACATTTACGTCCAAGGAATACGTTTGGTGGGCATGAATGGTTCAACTCCACGCCAAAACGCAAAACTTCCTATTTTTTTCCATCAACGGCAACATGGAAGATATTTGTAGTTCTTGTTGGAAACGGGAATGCCACGTCTTCATCCAAGGAGAAGATTTGTTGAACTTAAGTCGAACAGATGTAAAGGATAGAATCAACCAATGTTCGACAGTTAAAGTTCTCCACGTTTTCAAAGATCAAGAAAGGGGGTGCGTAAAAAAAAAGCGAAAAAGGCTGTGTAAAAACTTGGAATTAACTTTCAACTAGATTACAGGTATACCCATCTTCATTTCGAGGACAGTACCCAGGCTGGCAAATTTTACAATACGTATGAAGTAAACAAGAATATCTTTTGCCCTTTTTTCTCGTTTGAGATAAAGCCGGCTTTGTCCTTTGGACAAGTTGTGTCTTACGTAAGTTATGCTACTCAAACACGTGAATAAGCTGTATTACATTATACTAAAAACATTTTTAGCCTCCGGCTGATGACGATGTCCCAAGAAGGAAAAAATTATGCACATGTCTTGCTGCTGCCACTGCTGATGAAAAAGCTGCTTAGAAAATAAACCTCAAGAGGTCCATTGAAGCATTGAAGACAGAGATCCTGGAGAAGGAACTTGAAAGCCGTATTCTAATAAAAGAAAATCAAAGTATTTAACCATCTGTCTCGTTGGCTGCGTTTCAGACGTAGCACGTATGAATCTTAGTCACTAATCCATAGTCGTGCTGTTCAGTAGTTTTTTGATTCTGTTCTTCTGATAACAATATCTTGTATTCTTACGTCTAATAAATCTCATTATTCAAGCGTTAATCCAGTTACTTGTTCACAGAGTATTTAACACCGCATCTAGCCTTGTTCTGAGCAAGGATCTTTTAGCCGACAACTCAATAGATCACTGCCATATACCAAGATGTAGAAGGGAACTCTGCCAATCACATACACTCGAAAATTTATAATCTACAAAAAAAAAAAAAAAAAAAAAAAATAAAAAAAATACATTTGTAGATTATCTTATTTAAAGTTAATAAATTAGTCAAACATCGCTGAGGGGTGGGACATAGAGAGGAAAAGACAATTTCTATGATGGATAATTAATGTAAGGCAGCCGCTTCCCGCAAGAGCTGCGAGGAAAACAGGCTCAAGGAAATAATATTGTGTGCTTTACTAAAGACGGATGGGGGATGAAAAGGAATGTCATGGAATATCATTCGGAAGAATGACGTTCAGATAATCCAATGGAAACTAAAGCAGACGGTGAAAAATTGAGCTTGTTCAGACGATGGTAGTGATGGTGGCGGGTGTAATCGTAGAGAGGCAGAGATGCTTTGAGGATTAAAGCAGAAGGACGGGAAATATGCCGCGAGGCCTTCTTGCCATATCAGCCAGCGTGGAGGGCAACTAGTTGTGGAATGGTCAAACGTGTCGGTATCATGATTGCGATAGCTTAGTTCACGAGCCTGAAGAAACAAAGGAAGGGACCAAAACAGATTGAACATTCGTTTGGGAGCTACCCCTATATCTGCTACTTGTTGTATTTGCGTGTTAGGATAAAGCCTAAACGTTGAAGCAGAATAATAACGCCAAAGGGTATTGTTGATCAATCGTCGTAGTAGTGATGTTTCTAATGCTTATCTGGGTCGTTGGTAGCTATAGAAGAGCCTGCCCGCAATCTATTGATGTAAAATGAAGTTACACTGTAGAATCTATGAGTACTTGGCCCAAGAGATGTGAGAGCAACGGCGGTTTCACATTATATTCTCGTAGTCGCTTCATTATGAGGCGGTTGGTGGACCGGTTATGGCAAAAAAAAAGGTGCTTGCGAGCATCTTGGGGTGGCGTTCAAGCCAGCCTATACATTTCAATCTAATTTAAGAAAATATATTTATATATGTTATAAAACTGTAGAAGCTCTTAAACTGGAGGAAAAGTACCATTTTTATGCATTTTTATGGAGGCCCAAACCGAGGCCTAAACGCAATCAAAAATGCAAGGACCAGGCAATCAAATTTATAAGTAGTTGATTAAGCGAGGGTCAGTTTTTCACTATGCTTCTAAATGATTAACAAAATACTGTATTCCTGATGCAAATGACTAACAGGAGCGAAGGTAAGAGAATACTTCTTTATTGATTATGGAATCTTTTGGATGCCCTTTCAATATTTGCTTTTCGTCTGACTGTGGAGTGCTGCTTTACGGATAGGATTTACGCTTTACCCTTAAATATTGTTGACAAAGAAAGACAAAGACTGGAGTTAAATACTGATGCTAGTATTAGCTAGAAGATATCACATAGTGGACAAGATGAAGTAGTTAAAAGAATGTTTGGATTGATCGGTTGAGCAACAATGATATGGGTAGTATACATTTTTTTACTTCAGATTGCTTCTAGTAATAAGCTCATACAACAATGGCATACCAAAACTATTATATTATAGCAATTCGTATTTTGCCCTACAAAAAAAAAAAAAAAAAAAAAAAAAAAGTCTATACAATAAACAGAGATAGTATAACGGTGGATCTGACCTAATAAAGGAGGATGTTCCTGAACGGTATGGTTTATAAAGAACTATTTCAGAGCTACTCCTTATATAACTTTTGTTGTTAAAGTTGAACAGGTCTTTGTGAGGTCACCTTCAAGGTTTGTGGTCTGTAAGAAAAAATTATTGCGGTTCAAATTCGTAGCACGAAATACGGTTTCTCAACAGCAGTAATGAAAAAGAAAAACTTTATGGTTTAATCGGTATATCTCGATCAAATGTTTATTGATTGCTTAATTAAAAAAAAAAGAAAAGAAAAAGAACCGAATATTATCAGAAATTATCAAAATTGCCGTAGGTAGATTTTGCTGACGCAGTTTTCGGTTTCTTGATTACTAAATCTTCTTTAACCGGTGAAGAAGAAGAAGAAGAGTCGGTTTTTCTTTTCTTTTGCTGCTCAGAGGCTGAAGCTTTCAAATACTTGCCGATTGAAGGTCCTGTTGGGCTTCCTTCAGTCGTACTGCTCTTTGGCACACTAGGACCAAACCAGCCCATCTTTTCCTCTTTTTCTCGTTTCCTCCTCTCTTCCTCATCTTCTCTGTCTTTATTTGCTTCATGCTCTAACTTCCTCTTCAATCTTGCTTGATATTCTGCGAATGGATCGACAAATACTTCAACTTGCTTCATCACTATTTCCCTCTCAGGCCTGTCATTTTTATCAACAGGAACAGCTTCAAGTTTCCTCAAGACGTCCATACCACCAACCACCTTACCAAAAACAGTATGCTTTCCATCTAATTCTGGAGTAGGGCAATAGGTAATAAAGCTAATCAAGAAAGAAAAAAAAATGAATAAGCTGATGTTCAAGAATAGTTCATTGACCTCAATGCTGCTTTCCACGTACAATTGTGAGCTGTTGGTATCCTTTCCTTTATTAGCCATGCTCAGTACACCTCTTGCATCATGTTTTAATGTACTCTTGATCTCATCAGGAAAATCACGTTTCCAAATGGATTCGCCTCCTCTCCCAGTGCCAGTTGGATCGCCTCCTTGAATCTAAAGGCGTGAAGCGTCAACGACTTTGCATAATTATGATTTTTTCGTTCAGTAAAGAGTGGACTCACCATAAAATTTTTTATATTTCTATGAAAGATGACACCATTGTAATAACCACTCTTTGCGAGTTGAACAAAATTATGACATGTTCGTGGTACCTATATCGAAAAGTTAGCAAGTTAGCAATTAAAGGCTTATTAAACATAAATATTCAAGAGGTCCACCATCACACTTTACTTTGTCGCTAAATAGCTCAATGTTGATATTGCCATAATTTGTGTTAATTCTAGCGTATGATTTCGACTTGATCTTTTTATACATGAATTCATCCTCATCAATTAATGCTCTTGTAGCCTGCGTATAAGCTCCCATTGCTGTTGATGTAAATGACTCTGCCGCTTCGCCGGTTGTATAATGTGCTGCATTGTAAGGCAAAGCTTTTTTCTTCTGATGAAAGGATACAGGTATGACTGGTTTATTATTGTTACTGTCGCCTTCTTCTGCTGTCGTTGGTTCTTCTTGTTGCTTATTCTTTGCCTCTAACGCTTCAAATACCTTTTTTGCATTTCCCATGCCTTCCACATTGATATGATAACTTGTCTTTTGCTTCTCCAATTCTTCCTTTTTATTGATGACTTTTTTGTTCATTTTCAGATAATCAAAATTGGACATGTCTCGCTTTTCTAAATTATGAGGATCCTGCAGCATGATGATATCCTTTCTCGTAAAACTTTCGTCTGTCAGTAAATCTTTCCAATGTTTCGCTTTGATATTCAACTTTTCAATGGTATCGTAGGCGTAGACGTTGCCGGTGGTTTTAATTGCAGCGATCGTGGTGTGATCGGTAAACACTTTGTAAGTAACCGGACAGTAGTACTCGTCTTTATCATTTTTAAAAAATTTCAGTTTTATCAGCTGTTTCGTTTCTAGTTTCTCGCCTGTGACAGGATTCGTTCCGTACTGCTTAATATAAGGAATAATATTGACAAGGTCAAATATAATGCCGTCAGGTGTACAAACGGGATGTTCAAACGGTTGTAGAGACAGTGAGCAGCAGTAGAATGGTAACTTTTTGAAACCTGAAGAAGTACGTTTCCCTGTGATACCTCCTGCAGCGGAATGCTGACCCACTTCACCGCTCCATTCCGAATGTGTAATGTACAACTTGTCAGTCCATTTACCCATCTTTTACAAAAAGAAAAGTAGATAAGAAAGAGTTTGGGTTAGATTTCTTTTTTTATTAATTCACAACTGTGACGGTAACATTTTCATGCTGTGTGTCGCTCTCTGTCGCTGCTTTTTTTTTTTGCATTTCATTTGTCTTGGTTGTGTATAAATTTTCTGGAAAATGAATTCTTCCCTTTCCTCTTTTACTTTTTTCTCAGTTCTTCTTTAATTATCCTCTATTACAAGCCGTAGTCCCATTTATACACTACGCCTCGTTCATTTGAAATACTCCATGTTAGAGCCAGACTCGAAACAGAGGGATATAGCAGCTAAAGGAAGACGTAATCCTCGACCTATTAATTTGATACCCGATCTTGACGTGCCTCCTTTGATACCACGCTGGTAAAGCGATAAGGAAACAAATGCCACTATAAAACTGTTTGTTAATAACTCTTCATCTATTCTTGATTAACATTATCTTTAGGTTTCATGCCATTGACAATCCAATCATTGATCCAGTCTCTATAAGGCGAGCAAAGAGTAATCCATCATTACGCAAAAGCTCCTCGTCACCTAAACTACACAACAAAACAACATCTTCAACGGCTTCAAAATGGGTAGCTTTTTCCAAACGAGATTCAATAGCACTTGAAAAAGCTTATCAAGTGAGTAATATTAACTTCATCAATGGAGGAGCGTGAATTGTCTGTTTCCTCCTGTTTGCCAGTATGTTTATTTTATACTCGACCTGACTTTGTCACTTTGACATTGGATGTAACAACGACAATGACATAATAGGACCATGACGTAAGAGCCAAAGTTCCCGTCAATGAAGACCACTTATTTGAGGTAGATGTTACTGAACGTACCATCAGCCCAGTTTATTGGGAAGGACCGACATACGAAGTGAGAAGAGCGACTTGGTTTATGCAGTCAGATGGCTGGATACCCTGTGAGGAAAGCCTTGCTGAGCAACTTGAATTGGGCTACTAGTAAAGTATACACTTGAAATTGCTACTGCGCCTCTCGTGTTGACCTGGGCTTACTGAATCTGTAAATATAGCAAGCATAAGCCTTATCTGAGTAACAACGTTACAGCATCAGGCACAAGTAACGTTGCTTCATCAGATGATACACCAACTGCGAATACCACAGAGTCAGAAGGGAAATTAGAAGAAATAACAAAGCAACCATTAGACAAGCATTGGAATTTATTGGGGCCTTACTTGGGTCAATATGTTGTATACACTAGCAAAGACGCAGCCCATTTATTATCGTAAGTATTTTAAACGATAAAAAGGTAATACTTTAGACAGCTTAAAAACCTTTATTTTTTTTTTCATATAGTAACAGTACAAGCAGTAAGTTTGCACAGAGCATTATCACCCGCTTTACAAGCAAACAAAATGTGAGAGGAACGAAATTGGTTAGAGGATACCCGGCTGTGGAAGAATATATCTCCAAAAAGTCCATTACAAAGCTATCAAAGAAAAAGAGTCATCACCAGCGTTCATCGTCAGGATCATCTTCGTCTTTACCAAATACACCCTCTGGGGAGGAACCTACTCATGTTCAATCTTCTACTGGACTAAACACGCAGACTCAAGTGTCGTCCTCAGCATCCTCTGATGATGATGATGGAGAAGCAGCGACCGCTCACCTTAAAGAAAACGAAAAACATCAGTTAGAAGAGAATGAAGTTAACGATTATGAGAATGAGTATAGTGAGGAAGAAGTCAGAAAGATCGATCATCTTATGTTTGTTATCCATGGGTAACTATCTGACATATATGTTTAAATGTGTTTCCGTTGTATTGAATATCTGTTGAAACTACTTTCAACTCATTAGCATTGGTCAAAAAATGACAGAAAGAACAGGACAAACATTTGTCCACGGTAAGAAAGACAGGATTCAAATAGAATGTACAAAAATCTTAATTTATTTATTGTCACAGATGTAAATGTAATGAGGAAAACGATTAAAACAGTTTATAATGCAGCGATATCTACAACATCCACACCGAATAAACCCAACGGTATCCAAGTATTACCCATCATGTGGAGACAGGACATCAAATTCGGTATGGCAGCAGATGATGAAGAAGAAGGGACAGAAGCTGATCTAGGTACGGTCGGAACAGAAGATGGTCGTCCTACATTGGATGAACTGACATTGGATGGTGTTCCTAATTTAAGGACAGTGGTCTCTGACGTCCTAATGGATAGTAAGGAGCGAACGTTACAAATTCAGTGTAAAACTCTTTGCGAAAATTAATGTATACATTGGTTCATATGAATAGTCCCTTTGTATATGACGCCACGATATCGTGAAATGATGACCCAGATCATCTCGACCGAAATCAACCGAGTCTTTAAACTCTTCATCGATCGGAATCCTGAGTTCCTGGAACAGGGCAAGGTATCTATATTTGGCCATTCACTAGGGGTAAGATTGAACAAAGTTAAAGTCGGATAATGCGGGGGAAGCGGATCACTTACATGAATCCAAAATGATAGTCGTTACTTGCATTTGATATGCTTTCTTTACAGCCGTTCAATCCAGCCTCTCTATCCGGCATGAATGAAAGCAGTCGAATCAACAGTGAACAACCAAAAAGAACTTCTCGTAAAGCCTCACTACCACCACTGCAATTCAAAGTTGAAAACTTCTTTGCTGCAGGTTCACCATTAGGCGTCATATTACTCTTGAGAGGTTTCAAGATAGCGTCTCGTAAAACGCTCGATTCCTCCAATATAACAAACGATGACTTTCTTGCAGACGTGAAGTCACCGTCACCGACATCGATTAATTATTGCTATCCAGCTGTAGAGAACCTGTATAATATTTTTCATAAGGTAAACAGAAAAAAAGAAAGCCAAAAAAGTTTGACAATTACAAAAGATTGTTCTTTGAAGATAATTCGTACAGTAAAAATTAAGCTCAACGTTCTACTAGTCTGATCCCGTTGCTTACCGTTTAGAACCTTTGATCGCACGTCATTACACAGCCAAATTGAAACCTGAGCCTATACCCTACATGAAGGGCGGACTGAAGGGCGTCCTTGATGCCAGTTTTAATGTGGGCACTGGTATTGCCACAAGAGCGGGTGCCATGTACGAATCACTGAAGATGGGCTTAACAACTAATCTGTTCATGCGTGGTTTGGGTTTATCAAGGCAACAGATTTATGAAGATATGCATCCAGAAAAAGCTACTACGAGTCATCAGAATACAATGGCAGATAAACTACAAGAGTTTGAAGAGACTGAGGATGGAATAGTTACGACATCAACGGCCACTACTACTCATGCTGCTGTCGATGTTACTGAGGGTATCATTTTTACGAACGGAATTAGTACTGATGACAATCATCATCGCTTACATAAATTGACGAGGGTGAGATCCAACAGCGATCCTTTCAGCAATATCAGTGCTAGTAACAGTAGCAGTAACAGCAGCATTGGTAAAGAAAGTTTGCAAAAGAAAAAGTCGACAGGCAATGTACTACGAAGTAGTTCACCTGCTGCTACACCGACAGTTGCATCGCTAAAAGTAGCTTCCCCAGCAGCAACAGCAGCAAATACACAGTCTGTTGTGGCTCTAAAAGGAGCAGAGAGATTAAAAATGCTGAATGCCACTGGACGAGTGGATTATTGTCTGCAAGAAGGTTTCTTGGAAAATCCGTATTTAAGTGCATTCAGTGCGCACATGCAGTACTGGCAGGTAAATCAAATGTCAATTCTATCTTTCGGTATCGCGGATATATTTGTAACTAAGTGATCTATCTATGTAGGATTTGGACGTTGCAGCATTTTTGGTTAAACAGATTTATTTGCATGACTGATGGAAAGCTAAAATGGGCAAAAAAAAATATAAAAAATTAAATTGTCTAGAAAGTACAAAAAACAAAGATAATATAGTGTAAACTGATAATGTATATATGTAATAAAGATAGATGCAGAAATTATTGTTTAAAACATTATATAGGAATGTAATAAGAGAAAATGATGTAGAGGTAAAAGGGAAAGGGAGATTAAATCGGATTGTTATGCAGGTGTGATGAGTAAAACTTGACATTGAGCAGGACGTAAAACAATGCTGTATTTCTGGTCATAAACGCCAAGTTCTTCGCCTGTCCAAACGTCCTTCAAATTGGCTTTCTGCAAGCCAATGTCAGCAAAATTAAGAGTGATTTCATGACTTAAACCAAGCATGAAGAAATAAGTATGAGCGTTTATCAAACAAGCATAGATTCGACCATCCTTCAGCTTTTTCCACCAGATTTGCTTTCTATTTTGCCAGACATTGCCGGAACCGATGGGACGTGCCATGACACCACTTTGATGAATCTCCAGGATTTCCTTATGGTTGTACATGGCCAGATATTTGTCAGGTATCTTACGAGGATCTGCACCAGTACAGAAAACGGAAGAGACCATAGCCCAAAAACTGATGTAGGTTTGACGAACATCATCGTTATCCAAACCATCCACACATTTATCATTGACAGTCATACCGACCAAGACAACATCCAAATCAACATAAAAGCCATAATCACTACCGACGACACAGGTATTGACCCACTTCTCGCACGGTGTGATACGTTGCATGACACGGTGGGTCGATGTCATTGTCTTTGTGGAATAGGATTCAATGTCGGTGTAGATACGTGCACCATTCGAGATATGTGCCCATTCATCAGCGTAAGAGGAATCGATCTGCCATGAAATCTCCAGCCAAATATCGTATTTCTTCAAAGCATTGTACAGCATTTGAGTACAAGCACGGTTATCGGGACCAGTATAAGGATAATATTCGCTACCGCCACCAGGGCCCACAGCATCCAATTTAACAAAACCGATACCCCATTCGTGGAATAATTCAGCAATGGAATCGTAGTATTTTTGTACTAAATCGTTATGCTCGTCTGGCATATAGGTGGTGCCCTTAAAACCACAACCTTCTTTACGAGAAGGAACGAGTTCGTCTACGGTGCGGTTGGTGCCTTTGATGAGGCATTTCTTTTCCACACTGTCCCTACGAATACCAGGCAAAATGTAGATACCGAGACGATGGCCGTTCTTCTTCAGGTGGTCTGAGATAGGCTTGAGACCGTTAGGGAAGACATCTTTACGAATTGTCCAACGACCAAATTCGTCACATTCGTTACACCTGAGAAAAAAATTGCATAAACATCCGAACGAAGCGTTAGATCAGGAATACAAGCTATCTTTTTGCCCCTTCCCTAATGTCCGTATTGTTTTCTCTAGTTTTATAAATATCCTTATCTCGCCTCAATCATATGAACTTTACCATCCTGAGTCAATGTTGATGTACTTGTACTCTGGCATCTTTTCCTTCATGACGTCCGAGATCTCCTTAATCTGCTGTTCGTCGAACCTGTCGCCGAAGTTGTAACACAACAAGAAGAAAAAGAATTAAGTATGATTGCATCATGAATCATCAGCTATCTATTGTTCATTTACCATGGAGTAATATGTTTGCCACCATAACCAGGAACACTGTCTAATAATTGAGAGGACCAGGTAGAGAAACCTAAGACTGGCTTTTTGGCGAATTCGGGTACTCTAATATTGAAACAATGAATCAATTAGTTTACAGCGTACTATTAATAAAAGAGGCGAATCAAGGGGATGGGATGAGTTATTTTACGCTTCAAGACTTGCTGGCTTATTTTCGACAATGATTTGTTTGGTTGGATCGTTGTTCATAATTCAGAAAGGGAAACAATAAAGAAAAAAAATAAAATAAAATATGTAAAATATATAATAATTAAAGAAAGTAAAGTCAAAAGATCTTCACACTTTTTTCAGTTTCTAAAATTAAATAAAAAAAATAAAAAAAATCTGGAACCAAATGAAAGAAAACCACACACATGAAGCCCAAAAAAAGATCAATAGAACTTTGTTGGGTTCGTTCAGCAGGACATCATGACAGTTTTTTTCTTTTTTATTTCGTTAAAGATACAGAGACATAAGAAGCAAGATCTTTTTCAAAGGCAGCCAAACGTTGCTTAGAATAAGCATAATAATCGAACTCTATCTCGCTTTGACTTGCTTGAACAAAACCCCACAAACTCCAGAACAGATGACTTGTCATTCTCCATTGGTTCACTTCTTCATACGCAGCTTCAATCTCTTCTTGATTTTGGGTATGGTTTAAATAAGAGGATAAGAAGTTCAACTGCTCTTCTTTGGTAGGGTATCTCTCTTCGATCATTTGGCAGGTGGGATGTGTTGTGCTATGGTAATCATACATCCATTCACAAAAATGATTCACAATATCATAGGCTCTTGGATTGTAGCCGGCATATTCAAAGTCAATCACGACAAGTTCGTTACTACCCTCGATCTTTAATATGTTACCATATTGTGCCTGAATATAATAAATATCATCTGAGTCAGTTTCCGTTCTATTCGTGTGTCTCAATTTGTCTACTTACGTCATTATGGGCAAATACAATAGGACTGTCTGATTTACTCAAGAAGGTTTTACAAGCATCGATCTTTTCACGTAACTCGATTAAATCCAAGTTTAATTCTGGATAGATTGAATTCAGCTGAGGCAAAATATCCACTAACGTTGTGTACCATTTTTCAATCATTGTCCATACATTTAAAGGCTCGTCGAATGCTTCATCAGGCGGGAATATCTGGACAATGGAATGTAACTGATGAAGACGTGAGGCGATCTGAGCAGAAATCCTTGTATTACGAATATCCTGACTTGTTAATGTAGTAGAAGGTAGATACTCTTCCAAACGACCGTTCCCAAATGTGGCTAGCATCTTTGGCCCAATATTCAATTGTGATAAATGACTCAACCAGTTGAGTTCTTTGTTTCGATCCAAGAGCTGATCGCATCCTACACCGTAGACACGAAGTAACATTTTTTGAGTGTGATTGATGGTGACGAAAAATACAGCGTTGGTGAGTGCTCCACTCACTCTGTCCAGGTGAATATGTCTCACATGAAGTTGAAAAAGATTGCTGATGAGTGTTTGAACAGCTTTGATGAGTGTATTTCCTTTAAGGACCCTAATAATAAGAGATGCTGTCAAAAATATACCTCATCTCTCAACATACATTTGGAAAAAAATGAAGCTAAATACCGCTATTCTATATAGCTTACGTCAAATCAATAACTGTGTGACAATGTGGGAGTTGATTAAGCTTTCTTTTGCCGCTGGGATGATTGATGTTGCTATTCTGTACCATCAAAGCGGGACTACTTTTACTTCGTGAGGATGCAGACAATTTCTTGCGGGCATTGTTGTTTACTTTACCAACTTTGAAAGACGATTTCATTGTTGCTGTTGAATCTGTTGTAGTAGTTAACATAAAATACAAAAGTGGTTCGGGAATGAAAGATGGTGATAAAAACAGGCTAACCAAGGAAGAAAGAAGAAAAGATGAGGAAACCCGTGGAAATTGCAAAATTATAGCTTGGCAGTTTTTTTATATCGAACACCTCTCTTTTGTCGCACTTGAACGACCTGTTTGATTTTTTAAAGTGCGAAAACAATAAAAAAAAAAAAAAAAAAAAAAAAAGAGCCCAACAATCTTAAAAAACTCATATGAATTGATAATTACCATTTTTGTCCAGATCAAAAAAAGAAAAAAAGAAAAAAAGTTGAATGTGGATGCTGTGAATGGTAAAACGCTTATTGCGAACCAACATAAATTGCACAAGACAATGTAATGTTACCCATGGATGACTTAATAATACTACACCATCATGATCAGTTAAATAAATACAAAGCCTCTAATGGCTTTATTCATAATAAGGTTCTTATGCAATTTTATGACGTGCATACGCTCAAAAAAGTTGGCGTGTTCCATAGTCAGTAGACTGAATAGCAAAGAATAGATGGGGCAAAAAGGACATAAAGGTGTATTTTTTTTTGTTCTAGATTACATAAACTGTGAACAGTCTTTGAATGCTTTTCGTTCATTACTCCTCATCTTCGATACTGGTGCTACCAAAAGGAAATGGCTCGTCTTCAGACTCTGACTTCGCAGTATCTGCAGCAGTAGAGTCCTCAAACCACAAATGGTTGCCATAGGATATACATAACTCTTCATCCCTTTCAATACGGCGTAACGTCACGTATCTAATTAGCTGATTGGGTACATCTCTAATAAAACCCATGTTAGGGTTACTATGATGGTTGAACATCGAACCCAATCCGAGCGCCAGCGCGTATCCACCTTCTTTCCAGCAGTAAGTGTAATGATCAAGTATGGTATATTGGCCATGCTGTTTGTATTCATCGCTTTTGAAAAAAAGAATGGGTGAGATCTCGACCAAAGTATTCTTTTCGATCGGCTCAGTTGCAAAGACACCACGACCTTTGATGGGATCTGTTCGTAGTTCTAGTGGTATTTTATGTTGCTTTAAAGGAATCACTTCGGATCTTGAGTTTGTGTCATCATCGCTGCTCATTCTATTCTCCTCCTGTGTGTTGAATCCACACCGATCAGAGAAGAAATGACTGAATTGTTTTAAAATAAATTATCAAAAAGTGCCTTCTGAATTTAAACTGCCACTGCATGCTTGCCACTTTCTGAAGTGATTAATTACAGTTGCAGATTGGTTGATTATTTGAAAGAGACATTGAATCATCATAATTCCAAGAGAAATCAATCAGATATAAGTACAAGGGAACAAGTACATTTTGCTTTGGTAAAAATAGGGAAAACGATAAATTTAATGATATATAACAGAAAAAATGCATAGACTGAATATTTGTCATTCTACAAAATTTAAATATAATTATACAATGTACGGAAAAGAAAGAGGCATTTAAGCAGCACCCAAAAGCTTGAGTGCAAGAGCTTCTTGATCTTCCAATGTTTGAGGTTCGGCAACATCGATAACTTTTTGTTTCTTGGTATCTTCTGCTTCAGATTCGCTTTCTTGCTCTTCGTACCATTTTCTCTTTCTGTCAGCCTTTTCTTCTTCTTCTTCTTCTTCTTCACTCTCGGATTCGTCTTCTGACATAGCTGACACATTATCCTCATCAGAGGCAACATCAGATTCTTCACCCGAGTAACCTTCTGCTTCCTGTAATGCCTAATGAGTGAAAGATGAAGTTCAATAAGAGACCAACAAATCGATAGAGTACGGATATTGCTATAATACTTACAGCTCTCTCTCTTTCCTTTCTTTTAATTTTCTTTTCTAATCTCTTTTGTCTAACAATTTCTTTATCTTCTTTATCTGCGGTTTCCATTGCAGTACTCTTTTCGTCAATAAAGGCCTTGATCTGTGTCTTGGCATCACCGGCCTTTAAGAAGTCTTCTTCATTTATAAACTCGTATTCGGCATGAGCATTACCCTCTTCATCGAAAATAACCTTCTCACCCTTTGGCATATTCTTGATTTTGTGTTTCTTTGTCATCTTTAATTTACGCTTGGATATATTTTCATCATCCAAGTCTTTAATATCTCCTTCGTCTTTATCCTCCTCTCCTTCTTCATCGTCTTCATCACTTTCAATTTCATGATTGACTCTTTGGAGAGTTAAGAAATCTTCATCATCGTCCTCATCCATACCACCGCCTAATGTCACCTTATCACCCTCAAAATCGACCAGTTTGTTATAATGTTCTGAAAGAATATCCTGATTCTTTCTCTGGAACATACGATCATATTTGGTTTTTTGTCCTTTCGCTTGTTCCTCTTTCTCATCTTTAGACTCCTCCTCTGCTGCTGCTGCTGCTGTCTCATTCTCTGATTCATCTTCTGTGTCGGCCTTCTTCGCGGGTTGAGCGCCCATTAACTTCTTCTCTGCCTTCTTCACAAACTTGATCTTGGGTGCACCTGCCAAACCAAGAGCATGCGCGAATTCCTCTGCTGGTAAAGCTGTGACATTAAAAATCTGCTTATTCTTCTGCAGATAGATAGATCGCATGTACGCCACAAAAGCACGTTGCGCCAAGTACTTGATCTCGGGATTTTGGAAACAAAAGCTTTGTAACTGCTTTTGGATACTTTGCTGCTTACTACTCTTGATTTTGATTTCTTCAATTGGCACGCGTTTCTTTTTTAGTTCTTCAATCATACCCTCCACTTCAGAAGGCACTAAAATGAGCAAAGCATGACCGTCCGCATCGAAACGAGCAGTACGACCGACACGATGGATATAAGTTTCAGCATCTTCAGGGCAATCCAGTTGAAGCACCCAATCCACAGCAGGGAAATCTAAACCACGAGCTGCAATATCCGTACATAATAGAACAGCATGCTGAGTGGAAGTGAACTTTCTGAAAATATCCACTCGTTTTGTTTGCTTTTGCTTGCCGTGTAAATGCATGATGGGAACACCAGGTTGCAATTTACAGAATGATTCGTACACAAATCGAGTTTGCTTACAACTGCTCAAGAATACGATGGTTTTGCATTTCAAGTGAGATTTAATGAAGGAATAGAGAATATCCAATTTGTTGGGAAGCTCAGTGACAACATAGTGTTGAGAGAGAGTTTTAGGAGTACTGTGTTCGGCCTTTTCGTGAACAGCCACATATTCAGGGTCTTTCAAAGACAATCGAGCAAGGTCTTTTACTGAACGAGTTTGAGTAGCTGAAAACATGAGCGTTTGACGTTGAGGAGGTAAATTTTCGATAATGGCGTTCATGGTATTTTGGAAACCCATATCCATAATGCGATCAGCTTCATCTAAAATAAGCATCTGTAAATTGTCGCAGGTGAATCCAGCTGATTGATCCATGTGTTGTAAAAGACGACCCGGTGTGCACACTAAAATGTTCATTCGAGAAATACGCTCCTGTTCAACTTTGAATTCCTTGCCACCAATAATCAAACCAGCTGAGAAGGTGTGGAATCTACCAATTTTTTTAAGCACTTCAAAGATCTGGACAGCGAGTTCACGGGTAGGAGAGATGATGACGGCACCCAATCCATCAGCTGCATTCCATTGCTGTCTGAACAATAATTCGAGAACCTGTAAAAGTCATTCGTGAAATAAACATTAGCCTATTGTTAACTTTCACAGTTGTTTGCTTCTTTTTTTTTTTCAATCATCAGATAATGAAATTTACTGGTATCAAGAAACTGAGAGTTTTACCACTACCGGTCTTTGCAGCACCAAGGACATCTCGCTTGGCCAAAGCAAGTGGAATACCTTTCTTTTGAATTTCTGTCATTTGCTTAAAGTTGGCTTGAGCCAAACCCTTTTGCGTCTTTTCAGAAAGGGGTAATTCGCTAAAGAGCTGTGCATCTTCATAATTTTCCTACAGAAAGAAATCGGAATGGATCAATAGCTGGATCGATCAAAAAAAAAAAGTAAACAGATCTACCGATGAGGTAATCAGTCCATTATACTTACGGGATGGCTAGCCTTTTCTTCCAGTTGTGCTAAGGTATCCTTCTCTTTTTGTCGCCTAATTAACTTTTGATTGACCCTTTTAGTCTCTTCTTGTTTGTTTTTCTTATTCTGCTGTGCCATTCTAAATAATGTGGTATGAATAAATCAAAGAGAAAATGTTGGAAATTCACACTCAAGTTTGTCCATCCTTAGTAGTAGGCACAAAATCGTCACAGGCAAGTCACAAGAGGGGGGGGCATTTGGGGAATTTCGACGAGATTTATTTTACAAAATGGAAAACAGGAAATACAATAATTATAGATTAAAATAAAAGAAAAAGGTTTGTATGCGCAGTTTTGGAATATTGAAGTTTCTCTATTTCTTATGCTTGTGAGTAGGAGGAGTAGGTTTTGTCACTTTACCACCTTTACCGCGTTTGATTCCTTCAAAACCTGGACGAGCTTTAGGCTTTTTAATACCACGTTTTCTATTCTTTTTCTCCTCAATTTTAGCTTTAATATTCTCTTCTCTCTTTTGGATCTTCTTCTTTTCTTCCATCTTGACCTTATCCAAACGCTTATTCCATTCTTGAGCACTCTTGCCCTTTTGCTTCTCCTGTCGTTTGATCGTCTTTTTCAGTAATTTGACATTGTCTTTAGGCTTTTCACCAGTCGCTAAAGATAAGACCTTATTCCATTCTTCCTTTTCTAATAACTGATCAGCTTTAGATTTATCTTCATCCTTCAACTTTTCAATCTTTTCCTTCTTTTGCTCCAGCATCTTGAGTTGTGTCTTTGCATCAGAGGGTCCCTTCTTTTTAGGCTGTTCTTTGCCTACAGCAAGTTTACCAAAGTATACAGCACCATCCATCTTGATGGAATCAGCTGAAGGTTTAGATTTGTCAACAGCGGGCTAAGGAAGATAAAGAGATGAGTGAGCCATCTACCTACTGTATTATTGCATGCTTTCATCTCAAGTGTTGTTGTTACCTTCTGGTGATCAGGCACAACAAGTTCTTCTGAAGCGGCTTTGTTACCCTTCTCTTTTTGTGCTTTTATCGCTTTCTTTCTATCTTCCTTCTTTTTATTTCTAGCAGCTAAGATTTCAGCGCGACTTCTAGCTTTCTTCTCGGTATCATTGGCAGCATTACGCTTTTTACGTAATTCATTGATTCTTTCTTGAAGACGTACACGAAGTTCTGAAATATCACTCCTTTCCATAGGTTGAACATCAACTGTTAGGTACAAAATGCGTGACATGTAAAAGAGAGCAAAAACATATTAACACTTGCTGCGAATGGCTGCCATTAGAAAAAACGGGTGACTAAACATTTACCTGAATCAGCGCCATTTCCGTTTGTATCTGTTGTTGTTGCTGTATTGATAGATGTAGTTGTTGTGACAGAGTCTTTATCACTCATTCCACTAAACGCACCCGAATCAACATCCATTTCTTGATCGTCATCGTCATTGTTTCTCATAGCTCCACTGTCATCGTCGGATGCATCGCTACTGTCTTCTTCTTTTTCTTGCTGTTGCTGTAACTGCTGTGCCTTTTCAGTTTGAATATCTGTTATTGTCTTGGCGTTTTCGGGATCCAGTTTCAGCTTTTTCGCCTTTTTTGTTGCTTCTTTGATGGCTTGCTTAGGTGTCTTTTTACGTTTATTATGTTGAAACTTGCTATGCATATTTTCGTCATCATTTTTCTCAGAAACATAAAACTTGGCGGGTATAAGTCTCAATAAATCATCAAAAATCTGAGCATCATGGGCAATACGATCAGACAAGTCGTTTAATCTGTCAAGCTGAACCATAATGTTATTGTACGATGAGGTTTAAGAGGGAGAAAAAAAGCCAAAATTTAAATGTGAAATTTACTTTTACCACACAATTGAGGAGCAGAAAAAAAAAATGAAAATAAAAAAAATTGTGGCTGGGCGTTTTACAGGCCGTGACTTGGAAAGCTTTTATTTGGCACGGATGCACATACATATTTTACTTACAGTGGCATACAAGGAAGAAGCTGTCTTATACACCTCCTTTCCATATCTTTCAATGTATTTGAGCTCTAATTAAAGACAGATTATGAGCAAGATATCCTATCATTGCTGCAAATAATGGCTAATTCTATTCTTCTTCGCTTTAGGCATATATTGATCCTTTTACTATTGCTGGTCAATTTCTTACTTATACTTTCTGTTTTACTAGAGTTATATTCATGCTTTAGGAACTGATTGTTAAACTCTCCCGTTGAAAGCACAAGATAAGTTGACAAATCATTTAAAAATTACATGGCATGAAGCCAGTTGACCAGTCAATGTTGTTTTAGTAAGTCATAATATTGTCATTCTTAAATGCCCTTTTTTTCGGAAGGATACCTTTAAAAAAAAGAATGACTATAGCAATAAACTGTTACGAAAATAAAGGCAAAAAACGAACGGCGATAGTAACAAGCTGGCGTAACAGCCGTGGCCATTTCATCATAGAAACTGATCTTTTTTTAATGCAAGCTACAGACTCAGACCTGATGTGGTCTACCCCAGATTTTTCCTAAAATGTAGTTCGACAGCAAATTGAGAGCAACCATGTCCGTCTATACTGGAAATCAAGATAGTGCGGTTGAGTCGTGATTTTACATTGCATGTTCATGACTTTGAAAGTCGTGCAAAAAGTTCGCTTTCTGGTTTAAAGTTACACTGAATGCATCCTATCTCTGGAAAAGTATTAGACGGATAAATAGATCGGCCATCAGTGGCCTAGCTTTTTCTTTTTTTTCCCCTTGGAGAATAAAAGTGGTAAAGGCCACTAAAACAAATATTTACATATGTCACAAACCTTCTTCTCTACTTTTTGTTCCGTATTTCGAATTTTTTGTATTGTTGATTAGGGCATGAACAAGTCCGAAGATGAACACTCATCGGGAATGGGTCATAGCCATAATTTGGACCCTTCTCTATTTAACAGCTATGCCGCTACAGACGAGCCTATAGGGCTTATTATGGCACTTCATATTACCTTTATGGTGACAGGTATGACCATTGTATTCAGATAGTCTCTATTGTTGGAGCGAGCCCTTACTGAACAAATGATTGATTATCAAACCTGCCTTTCTACCCTTTTTTTTTTTTCCTTTGGAGAAACAGCATTTGGAATTTTATATCCACTGGGTATGGTACTTGGTTTAGCCAAGAATCGATGGCATGTACCCGTTCAAGTATTAGGAACCGCTTTATTTGTCATTGGACTATTTCTAGCGCACGCACATAATGGTCGCAATTATGTACAGTAAACGCTTTGACCTTACAACTCGGGTGATTTCTTTTTCAACCCATAAATAACTAACTCTTCTCCATGTATATTATAGGAACCGCATATTGCTCATCGTTGGTTTGCCAATATTGTCATTTGGACAGTCATCCTGCAAGTTGTAATAGGCGCATTTTTGAAACTGCACCTTGAACGAGGCATTTACGGAAAAATACGGCCAGTGATAAGTAAAATTCATAAAGTAATGGGGGCATCAATACCTGTTATAGGCTACGTACAGATTGTATTAGGAGTTATTGCTTCCGTTGGATTTTGTTATGGGGGTAAAGATTCTAATATCAACAGGACGTCGTTTGTGGATCATTACTGATTCTTTATTCACTGTAACCACAGATCATACTGGGCAATGTTTAGCACACTTTATAATGGGTTCTTCGTTTGTGGCTTATGGAATTTTATTATTAATGATGTTGCGCGTAGGTGGACCATGGCTCTTGAGGAATGGCAAAAGTCAAGAATGGTATGACAGCTGGGTTATTATGCTATGGGGTATTGTGAATACATTCACCGAGCACAGGTAATTAGAGAAGTTTGGACTAATGCAAGAAAAGATGGATGTATTTTTGGGAAATTAATACGGTTATACAGATGGGGACAGCCATGGAATCATGGGGATTATCAACACACATCTATGGGTATTATATGGTGGGCAGCAGGATTATTGGGCATTGTTCTTAGTCGCAATGGTAAACGAAGTGTGATACCCTCTGTATTAATCATCTTGACCGCGGTTTCATTCCAAGGGCATGCTCAACATGTACCCAACAGTGGCATTATTCATTCATACTTTGGATATATGCTGGCCGCAGGTGGATTGAGTAGGATTATTGAAATTTGTTTTGTTTGGAAGGAAAATAATGTTCGGGACATAGCACCCTTCCAATACCTACCACCACTAGTAAATATTGACATGACCTTGCTGATGTATATACATATTTTGAAATGTTTACCGAACTTTTTTTTCCTTTTTACAATAGACGTTAATGTTATCAGGACTGTTATTCATGGGCTCTACAGAAGAACAGCTCAATTTACTGAATGTTATCGGTGTAGACGTGATGTCTTATAGTAACGTCCTCTTAACTTTTGGATTTGTTGTATTTACTGCTGCATTCTCTTTGATCTATCTTTGGGAATATTTAACGGACTATGGTGATTCAGCTAAACAAAATAGAGGGTATGCCGAAGTGTATAATGGCGATGCTATCCTCAGCGCTTCTTCAGCTTTCTTGGACGACGACGATGAGGTATACAACAATAGCAGCGAACATGATGTTGTAGAAATGAAAACTACAACTACAAGAAACAATGAACCTCATCATACCGCAGTGGTATCCGCCAATGTAGCTTAGCATCACTTCTATTCGTACTTTTTTTTTTATTATTCATTTGCCCATGAGTTAGTTACTTTATAAATCTTTGTAAATATGTTTCTTTTGTTAAAGAGTTTTGATTCCGTATGATGGGAGAAGTGTACATGAATATCAAATGTTTGAGATATACAAGAGAATGTAATTGCTATAGTGTTTATTCGAGCAATATTGCAATGGAATGTAGGAGAAGGAGAAATGAAAAAAAGAATAAGCGCACCTATCGATTTGGATGATCTGGAAGAACTGTAGGTGCTTGAGCGGAGACAGTTTATAACTTTTTTAACATTTGTTTATGTATATTTGTAGATCGCAAGAAAGATGACATGCTTTAACAGTACTAACAAAAAAAAAAGATGCTCTCATAACCTAAGTAGCAAGAGTTGTAAAAAGTATCTTCTGTCATGGTCGAGCGTGATGGCTGTTATTTACACCATTTCTATATCTGTAACCACTACCATTGCCGTTATTTCTTGTAGTCCAGTCGTAAACCAAATCAAGCTTGATGCCTTCTCTCAATGATATTGTTCTGAATAAGTCGCGCAAAAAATTGTAGTTTGGTTGTCCTTCGAAGGTAAGTTTTCGCGTGTAATCAATATAAATGACAAATTCGCGAGGCATATTTTTGCATAGTTCTTCTAAAGGTATAGATCGCTTTAGTTCACTGATCATTTCGTATTTCTGCTTTTTCGTTTTCGCTTTAAGGCCTTGCCAGGGTAGTTGTCCTTGGTAGAAGTAAATAAGCACGTAACCAAGAGACTCCAAATCGTCCCTTCGCGACTGTTCTGTCAGAGGAATGAATCAAAGCACAACAATGATGAGCGCCACAACAAAAGGATGAAAGCCGTTTGTTGCAATGGTGACAGCGGTACTTACCTTTTCCCAAGTGCGTATGAACACTAGCATACCTTGCTGTCCCTGTCAGGCTTTTACCTTCTTTGGGTGGAATATGTGCGTTCTTATTGTCTCTATATCTTTTTGCTAGTCCAAAATCAATTAAATTAACCAAATAATTGGATGAATTCAAGCCCATCAGAAAGTTGTCTGGCTTGATATCTCGATGGATATATCTTTTTGTATGCAAATATTCAATTCTTGCAAGCTAAAATTCATCACCATTGTTAATAACAACTGTACATTGTCCTTATGAGTTATTCCCACTAACCATTTGTTCAGCAAGCATTAAAACTGTCTTCATTGAAAATTTTCTTTTGCAATGATTGAAAAGCTCCTCCAAAGAGGCTATGAGTAACCATATTAGGGGATCTCCTCTGGTATTTTGCTCACTTGGCACGTTTTTTCAACTTACGCCCTAGTTTCTCCATAACAAGACCATGATAGCTTGCTTCTTTTGAAAACAGTCGCACCCTTGGAATGCCGATTCCGCCTGCAATAGCTCTGTAAACATTGTATTCATATTCAAGTTGAGGATGCTTTGCTGTTGTTTTCTCGAGCTTTATTGCAACCTCTTCTCCAGATGCCTCTTCTATACCTAAGTAACAATAAGAAGAGTAATGCGCGTTTTGTTTATTTTTCTATCTCTTGTTCAATTTAGTTTATAGTTTTTAATATATGAAAAGCTAGTGGGAAGCTTTTTGTGGCAAGCTACTGTGATTCTTATCTCATACCCAAATGTATCTCCCCGAAAGAACCTGATCCTATTTTTGCACCTAATCTGTAGGAACTACCAAATTTATTTCCCACCACGGATGCCACTGTCGTTACTGTTGTAGTAGTCATGGTAAGTATGTAAGGCACAACTATTTGCTGTCGCTGTGAACAAAGTATATTATGGAAAACGGATGTGGAAAAAAAGAAGTTTTTTACTGCAATAAATCGATTAATGAAAAAAAAAAAAAAGGAGAAAGGGGGAAGAAAAAGGGTAAAGATAATGATAACAAAGGATTATTATTGAAATGTGTAGACAGAACAGCAAAGCATGAAGGGATCACATGATGAATGCAGTTCTTTTATCTCTACTTGCTACGTATGTCCTACCATGCGGCTTTGTTGTTCTTTCCATAATGGCAAATCTGGGCGATCAGGAACATATTTCTTTAATCATCTCACCACCTAGCAAAATTGTTAGGAGCTTTGTCTAACCAACTACTTTGCTCTCTTCCAATGGATCTTCAATAATAGAGGCACACCTATGACCGTCGTTAAAGTGTAGATAACCATGTTCTAACCTTGTTTGCAGTAACTACCCTATGCACAGCAAAGAATTGCCTTTGTCGGGTTGGAAGCTTTCAGACGAGAAGCAGCCTTAGGTACTATTGTATCATCCCTGTAGCCAGCTCTTTCACTTCAAATTTTAGCTCTGGAGTGTGAGGAGTTTCCATTGAGACTATACTTAAGTGGCTCAGTTCCGGTTACTATGAATCTTCATACGTGTTTATATATCCCCATTGCCAAGTAGTGCTTTCAGATGGTACTATAAAGTAATGGGTCAGAAGTTGGCGCATTTCCTTTTTTCTTGATGTCGGCCTGTAAATGTTAGTGAGCCCCTCACATACATTTTAATGCCTGCAGACGGCGTGCATGATAACATTAAAATGGTAGCATCGAATTTTCAATCTCCTTGCACCTTCCTTCTTTTCCCAGAGAAGCCGCTTCTACTTTTCAACCTTTTTAAGTTGATTTCACAGAAAGTACATGACAGACCAAGGTCATTAATAAAATGCACAAGAAAGTCTAGAGGCTGAAAGCTAAACCAATATACTCATTGGTAGGTTCAATGTATACGATACTTCAAGGTGTGCCAGTGATGGTTTCGCCCTTGTACACATTACCGAAGAAGGTATGGATAAACAATAGCATCTTTCATATATGTCTGAACCTAAACACACACTAATGGCATATTGTAACTTGTCAGGTTTTTGTGGCCTCTGAGCTCAAGATGGTCATTGACGATGTCGCAAAGTTAGTAAGTAGTTCTTTTGCTCGTATATTTGAAATGGTTTACTGAGAAATATTCCTGGGACCTTTCTAGCCAGTGTATCCTTTCTCAATCGAGCGAGAGACGATTGCTCACGTGGAAGCGTCTAGAAAACAAACAACAGAGGCTGAAGAAGCATTTGCGCAAAAACGAAAGCAGTATGAGGAAGAAAAGATTAAGAAACAAAAGCAGGCAGCAAGGAAAATTGCTCCTGGATTTCTAGATACAGATACACGAATTTTACAACCGCAACAAACATATTCGGCACCCAATAGTGATAACGATAACAGTTCAAAGGAGAATAAGAAGGATGAAGGTAATTACAGTCTGACGACTTCACCGAAAATGTTGCAGCCAAAGACAACGTCAGCGCCAAATAATAATAGTGGTGCAGAAGCAGATACAGTACCACTTGAGATCAGCCATGAAAAGGTATAGCAGCTATGCGGAAAATATTACATATTTTGTCTGATTTTGATGCTGAATCTTCATATCACTAGCATTTTGATTACCATAGATTTGAGCAAGGGTTAGCACCGGCAGATCCTTGGGACACACCGGAAAATGATTTAGTAGCATTGCGATCGATTTTGGGTTGCAGTCCAAGCATAGATCAAGATAATAATATCAAGCGTACATCCACTAGTCCATCATCATACCCTCCGCCTCAATATTCTCCAAGTAACCCACCACATAGACAGCAACCACAAATGCCACTACCAAGGCATTATCAACAAAAGAACGAAGGAGGTAACTCTTTTTTCTCAACTGCCTAATGCATGAATGGCCCTATCTGAAGTTTTTTTATGAGTTTAGTATACTGGAATATTCCTCAGAATACGATCATGAATATTGGTAAGAGCAGTGACAGCAGCAACAACAATAAAGTTGCTAGTCCATACCCACCACAGCTTACTCCTTCTCCACACCACATACAACAACCGCCGAAACACACTCAACAACTACACGCTAACTCAGTACCCGCTCTGCCACCAAAATTATTCAGCAGTGGATCACCTACTCCTAGCTCTTCTACTTCTTCACCAATCGTCTCCCCTCCTGCGCCTCCTCCTGCTGCACTGATTAATGAATTCAAATCAGCTGTTAGCAGTGGTAATGCATCACCTATACCGCCGCCATTGCCTCCTCTACCACCGGCTCAACCAGCTTTACCAAATGAGCATTTGATCAATGAATTGATCCACATGGGTTTCACGCGTATCCAAGCTGTAGATGCTTTAGAAAAGAATGATCACGATCTCATAAGAGCAACAAATTTCTTATTGGATGAAGCGTAGAAATAGTATAGAAGCAATAATAAAATGTTTATTGATTATGACTTTTAAGCTTAAAATTGTTTTTTCAATGTTTTAACCTTTTTTTTTAAAATAAGAATTTCTTTTTCTTTTTTCTTTATATCGTGGCTAAGGGCTTCAAGCGTCCTTTTTAAATTTACCTGCCACCGACACTCCGTGGCAGTGCAGTATCAGTGTCAGTGGCAGTGTCAGTGGCAGTATCAGTGTCAGTGGCAGTGTCAGTGGCAGTATCAGTGGCAGTATCAGCAGCGGCAGTGGCAGCATCAGCGGCAGTATCAGTGGCTACTCCTGCCCCTACTGATACTGCCACTGCCGCAGAAGTAGTAGTAGCAGCAGTGGTAGCAGTGGCAGCAGTAGTGGCAGCAGCAGGACAGTCGCATAACTTTTTGTTTTTTGGCATGTCCTCAGCGCTTGGAGACTAAAAAGTGTTATTAGTACAATGTATTACAGCTTTTTACGTGTTTGAGCAAAAGCATAACTTACGTAGCGTACAAATTCACCTTGTATGTATACATGGTTTTCGCGTTTCCAACAAGAGCTGCAGATATTTTCCATATTGCCGTTCATGGGAAGAAATAGGAAGTCGTTGATGGAAAGAAATAGGAAGTTTTGCGTTTTGAAGAAATACTTGTATAAATAAACGTAGGTTTTCTCACAGGTCACAGATAAGAATTTCAAGTTTTCAAATACGATTAAACTTGATTTATTAGAAAGACTACTACATACTGTATCAGAAATTGCCTAGAACAGGTCAAAATACGGAAATTGCCTAGAACAGGTTAAAATACGTGATGGAATTAAAAACCCCAAAAAGGGAATTAGTAAAAAGAAAAAAGATAAAACATGGAATAATTTTTTAACCCAATGGGGAAGTCTCCTCTACTCTGTACAGATTTATAGAAGATGAAAAAAAAGGAGAAATTTATAATACTAATATGGTAGGAAAGAAGAGCAAAGAAAAAGTGCATAATGATCATCTTCTATAAAATTATACCAAAGACACTATTGACAAAGACGAGTTAATGGAAAAGATTGGCAGTGGCAACGAAAGAATAGACGATGAGTTTTTAGCTATCCTGGACGATTACAAATATTGCTTTGTAGAGTTCAATGGACTTGGAAGAGTTAAAGACAACCCGGCAGACCCGTTGTCTAGACTGATCGGTCACTAACTAACGATATCAACGGCGGTAACCACAAAAAAAAAAACCAAAAAAAAAAAAATGGAAGACACAGAGCAGAGTAAAATAAACCCTTCTCATTACACTTTTAACTATATTTTCTGTCATCTCTCCTTCCATATTATATAGTAGTTCATATTTGTTTATATATATACATCATCGTTTACCCCTTCTTTATAACAATCATGGATATCCAACTTACATGTATTCAGGTTTAAAGCATGGATTGATAGAAGACAACAGTAGTGTCATCAAACAGTCGAATTCTGTGGTGGGAGCATGATACATAGGAAGGATGGATTATAATTCGATTTGACAGGGATAATGTATTATCCGAAGTGGAGTTCTCGTATGATACCATAAATGGTAAATAGGTGTGTGTCGGACTGGTCGCTCAGGAACGGTACACACTTTAACTCTTTGTTTATACTATTAAATTAAACTTTTCAACAAAAAGGATAACAATTTTTTATACATATATTTTTACTTTCAGAGTCTTTTAGCTATTTTTATTTTTAATTAAAGATGTATACATTTGGTTACCGTGGATACTTAGGAATAATTTTTAGTTAGAGTATAAGGAAAGGACATACCACTGAACACACGGACCATTGGGGATAATATTTGTTAGAAATATTCATAGATCAAAAACAAGTAAAGAAGAATAATCATAGTAAAGCTATTCACAGCTACACACCGCCAGACTCCTTGAAAAAAATATTCGAACTTCATCATTCAACAAATTCGGACTTTGGAAAACTTGTCTTTTTTATTGAATAAAATTTGATGACCTGTGAGCACGTAATGTCTTTAACTCAATGGGTCTGCTCTGGCCAGTTTCAGTTGCTGTTATGGAACTAACACTCTTTTAATGGACAAAAGGTAAAATGGTAAGGAGAAGAGGAAGTCTGAGACCTTGTAAATAAATATGGGCAGATAAGAAAATACATGTAGTGTTGTTTAGGTGAATAATTACATATATTTGGCCTAGGTAATTATAGAGGACATCACACTATTCCTCAAATAATTGTTGATACTAGCAATTAAGATGCCCAGCTATCTTTTAACGATTTGCACGCTATGTTAACCATTTCGCTGACTGTCTTGCAGGCTATCTTATCTAATAAATAGTTACATATGCAACATCTTTTTTCTTTCTTTGAAAGGCACGACACTATTTTTCCTTATACATCCTTTTGTCCTAATTGTACGACACTCTTCTCTGAAAATATATGACACTTTTAGTTTATTCATTATTTGCGACAGCATTTTGGCAAAAGGTGCATGTGCGGGTACGTGTTTGTGATAATGCGCTTTGTGATATATACAAGTGGAGTTTCGATAATAGATAGTTGTTCTTGGGCTTATTGCAGGCTTGACAACTTTTAGCCCAGCCTCCTTCTCTAAAATATTTGCATTGCTGATACATTTTAAAAACGAGCTGTTTAAAAAGAGATGATGCTTGAAATTGTGAATTGCTGTTTAATTAATAGCAGTTTGGGACATTGACTTCTTCTCCTCTGCTTTAATAGATAAATCGGATTAACTTCCCCACCACGACAAGAGACCTAAACCATCTTCATTGATAGTACACTGTCGATGGAGACAAAAACCTTAAATGATTGCTCTTCACGTTCAAATTGCACTCAATTATCATAACAATAGACACTTACGGTTAGAGAATATGGTGGTACTTTCGTAGAGTTTGCAGCAAGTTCATTGTTTGCTGTGGCATCGGCAATGGATTGTCTTCTTCGTGGTGTACTGGATGTCGGATGATTTGTAGGAGTAGTGTCTGTGAATGATTCTCGGTATACTTTAAATCGTATAGGTTCTTCGATATCCATGAACAACTTTTCACCTTCATAATTCCAAACCCAAACTTGCTCTGCTGGATCACTAAATGTAGAAGAGGGGAGAGATGAATCAAGTGCATACGCAGCCATTGTGATTAGTTAAAAGTTCGACAATAATCACGTCTTTAATTTGCACTATAATTACAATTTTGATCCGGGTTGTAATGCTACTGCTGGAATAAGAATATCGTCGAAAAAGCCCATCGTTACTATCAAATTGACGCAACAAGATCAGTACGCTTATCCGACAAGCCTTTACTAGAATAATATCCTATATAAATTACCTACTACTCCGACTGGTGAACAACTTTTCACTCTGCCTGTCAAAATTTCGCCTACGAAAGGCCTAAAGACAACAAGGCGAAATGTCACTGAATAGCAGCATATAAGTACAATCGTCAAGAATCAAGAAATAGTAGCTATCAAATTTATTTTTGTTACCCTTCTTATAACTGCATCCGTCACCATAAAGGATAAGACCCTCCGAAGCGTGCAAGATGTCATGAACGCAGATGCAAAGACCTACTTCTTGCACCACTTTATTTGCATATTTCTCATTTAGTACATCGGTAATTGCTGTATTGTCGTCTTTTCTAAAATCATTTGGCAGTATTTTAACTGTGTCTTCTAATTCGGAGAGTATGAACATTAACTAGATTAGAGTCGTTTGTAAACGCCAAAAAATTCACCCATCTATCTCTTTTTCTTCTGATTTTTCTTTTTTTTGAAAAAAAAAGGTCACAGAGTTTTCATTTTCGTTCTGGTTTCCCCTGAAAGATCAATTAATGCTCGATTTCCTTTTATCGCCCAATGTGCATTCCCCTCGCACAAATTGTTATGTCAATAGTCATACTTCACGTAACAGCTGACAGATTCACAAATTTGCTTTTTTTTTATGTATGTGAATTCTACAAAAATGCTATTACATTAACTGATTATTGAGGCGACTGTCGTACATCAACGAAGAAATTCAGTGTATCAATGATTAGTCTTTGTTAGGGTGTAAAAGGCAGTTATTTTGCAGAAGAGGTACTTTTAACGGCGTAACTTTAAAGTCAACCATGATGAGGATAGTGATACAATCCTTGTATGTCCTTTATAGGTGTTGCTACTCTCGTATTTGAGGGTAGATGATATACATATATATAACTCATTTTATGAAGGATAAAGATGAATTATACAATATTGCAAACCAGAAATAATTAGAAACTACATAAACTCTAATATATGAGTACCGTGAATTAAGTGTTGTGTTTAGTTGACAGCATCATATGAGATGTGGAGAACTCGTATGTAAATTATACAAGATCCTCACACCTCATTATTGCTGAAATAATATAAAGTAGAATAAGAAACGAATATAGAATAAGTGAAGATTCTTATACGAGATTAGCTACTTCGTATAAGGCTGAACAGGTTGTCATTTAGGATATATAGTTTACTTATTTTACTGTAAGACGCTTCTATATGACATAGGATATATAGTAGAATTAATATATGGACATGCAGGATATATTGATTCAACACCAAGGTATAATAGGTTATAAGTACTATTCTCTGCCTTCAGCATAAAGAATGATTGCAAGATAATAGGCTGTGATCATCATTTATAATAACTGTTCACTCAACTCAAACACTTTTTTTTTTATTTTTGTTTTGTTGTCAATACAAACATTCAATTTGCCGTGAACGCTCTCCTCTCTGATTTTCAGTGTACAATAAAAGGACCAAGGAGACTCATTTCACTTTAAGCCGCGTTCACTAAATTATAAAACAACCAGAAATGTCACCTGTGGTTGTGGTAACTGGGGTTGTGGGTGGGTCTGTAGTGGCAGCAGGACAGTCGCATAACTTTTTGTTTTTTGGCATGTCCTCAGCGCCTGGAGACTAAAAAGCGTTATTAGTACAATGTATTACAGCTTTTCACGTGTTTGAGCAAAAGCATAACTTACGTAGCGTACAAATTCACCTTTCGTTAAAGCAGGTTTAACATCAATGGTGAAGAACGGACAAAGGATATTCAAATTCACAGCATATGTGAAATAGAACTTACTAGCGTCGTTCTGATTCTCGAAATGAAGATGTGCGTATCTGTAATCAAGTAGGAAGTTAATTCTAGGTTTTTACGCAGCTTTTTTTGCTTTTTTACGTACCCATTTTGTTCCAATTTAAAAATATGTATGGCTTTGACGATAGAGCAATTGTTTATCCTTCGCAAAGCGTCAGACCCACTTAAAAACGCCAAAAGTCCTCAGAACATGAAGACTTGGCACTCTCTTCTGAAATAACTGTTGCAATTATCATTCAATGTTGCCAACGAAAAGTGATGGAAAGAAATGGTTCCATTTCGGCGTTGGTTCCATATCGGCGTGGGGTGAACCATTCATGTCCACAAGACTTTGTCCTTGGATATAGACCCGACGGTCCCTTTTCCAACAACTGTTAACAAGTTAGAAGAAGTAGTCCATGGAATAACTATGGTTATTTTTCCAATATAAATTTTGTTGTCAATCTGTCTCATGATAAAAATATAAGATTGTTATACGAAAAAAAAAGATCATTTACAAAAAAGCGTACTCGTCATCTATTTATTTATTCTATTCTAATCTCCGCACAAACAAGCCATTGTCAAGCACCGAGCCCGAATATCACTTGTTCTAGTTCTATTGGTTGGGCTGACGATCTTTTTACGCAGCGTATCATGTTGCCAAAACGCAACGTTTTAAATAAATTAGAATATCTATAAAGAAAAGGAAAAGATCTGTAGTTACAACTAAGGAGCATATGTTTTGACGAGGTCTCACCCAAGGATTATTTAAAACTTCTCAATAATTGTACGAGTCAAGATGAACAAAAAAAAAAAAAAAAAAATACATGCACATACTCATGGTACGGCTATAAATTGGAATTGGAGCCTGACAAAGATTTGATTTCCAAATTCTCACTTTTGCTTTTTTTCATGTATTCGAATTCTACAAAAATAATATTACATAAACTGATAATGACTGTCGTACATCAACGAAGAAATTCAGTGCATTAATGGTTAGCCTCTATTACGATGCAAACGCAGTTTTTTTTTTTTTTGCAGGAGAGGTACTTTTAACGAGGGGATACCCTTAACTTGGAGTCAACCATGAGGAGGATAGTGCTACAATTTTTGCATGTCCTTTTCAGTATGTTACTGCTCTTGTTTTCGTATTACCTCTTGGACGATATATCTCCCGAGAGCTGTGTCCAACACTGATGTTAGTATGTTACAGCATAAGCAAGCAAGTGTAGTACAATGAGTTCTATTTCAATACTTTGTATGCTCGTCCACAGTTGAAGTTGCTTTAATGCATTCGCTGTGGACCAGGCTTCTTGTTGATGACTACATATCACATAAATTGCCAGAGGGTTTCCAAAATGTTACCCACTAATCTTAAGTGTAATTCTCAGTGTATGTATTTGTTGGAAGCTTTGACTGGAGGAGAACATGCCAGACTTCATCTTGAGACCGGAGAACATCAGAGAGAGATAGGTAAACGAAAGCTGCGGACCAAAAGGACCATTTGATAGGGCAGCCAACGACAAAGTGGAAGTCATCTTCAATGGGTGCTACACATAGTGGACATTCGTATGATGGCCAGCGCTGAGGGCGTTGATTATGCAAAGATAACCTTGAACTTAATGATGCGCGCAGCAACCGCCACCAGCAGGTAAAGACCTTGTGTGGCAATCGTAACGATTAGAAGAGTTTCCAAATACGAGGATGGCAAAAACCGGGTGGGCCGATATAAGGTACTTGTGGGATGCCCTGCATAGAGAATGAACCCGGTAGTTTTTCTTGAAGATATCGCTGAGGCCAATATTGTCGTAATAGTCCCGGAGTCAACTTAGCAATTGGAATGGTCTTATCACCAACTTGAATCCCCCAGTGATCACACCGAGGAACCCATGAAGACGCGTCAAGGGTGACAATTGGTGTTGCTCGCTGATCGGCATTCTGACATGGCCATGTCGGCGAAAATACATCGAAGCGGAAATCACGCGGCATGAACTTTTTGAGTGTAGGGCGCCAGTAAATGGGAGGGTTATCTTTTCTAAGCAGCGGGAGTATTTCACCTACCTTATTAAGATTAGGGAGATCTAAGCGAAGGTAATTAGTGAACATGTTATATGAATAGGACCAAGAAATTGCATTTGCCACAGTATAGCGCAAGGGTATTTGAAACTGGTCATAGGCGTCCTCATTGTTCGCGGGGTTGACTGGTACCAAAGCAAAACGGAATGGTGTATCTGCGTACCAGCGTCCAGGCCAGCTAGTATGTCCCATTAGTGCTGATAGCTCCATTAGAAGCTGTGTTAAAATAGATAACGTAGGGAGCCCTTTAAAGAGAGGTAAGAAGGCCCGAGGATGCTGCAGCCATGGCAGAAAGGAATGGTGACCAGTACATATGTATACGCAATGGCCGATCAAGGGAGTAACGAAATCACTGTTGCATTTAGGGTGAAGAATACGGTGAACAAAGATAAGCTGCAATACTAGATGTTGCTGATGTATATCAATGATGCCCAAGCCGCCAAAACACTTGCGGAGACAGATAGAACGCCAACAAGGAGCTGGACGAAAAGGTAGAACAAACTTGCGCCCGACAGTACGAATGTTGTTCAAACATGTCTTTGGCACTGGTACTACTCTCAATAAATGCCAAATTTTACTGAGAACTTGAGAATTTACTATCAATGACAAACCGCGAACGGAGAGACCTCGATCTTTCAACTTATTGCAATGCATTTTAATGATATTTGTAATACGCGAAGATAAGATTTCAGCTGCTTCGGTGATGAGTAGAGGGGATATCCTAAATAACGAACAATCGATGTACTTTGCTTCGTATGGTATTTAATCCCCTTCGTTTGGGCTATAGCGGCCCAGGGTGGACAGCAATCCCCAGATAGAGAGACAATGACGGTCTTTTTGATGTTAACTTCGGCATTACTGGCGTCTCCGTACATGGTCAACAGTTGTTCTAGTATGGGCAATTCATTAAGTGAGGATAGAAAAACTTCCAAATCGTCAGCGTAGCTTGGTAATTTGAAGATCAGTGGATGGTACCATTGGATAGGGCTCTCATCTGCTCCATATTCCGATGCCGAATGATTGGAGAATTGGCCGTTAAAGAGATGCTTGTTGAGAAAGGTGACAGTGACACTCCGTTAAGAGAAGAGGCCAAAATAGTACGTAGAAATGGTTCGAACATCAGATTGAAAAGCAGAGGCGACAAGGGGTCTCTTTAGCGTCGTCCACGTCCTTGTAATAAAGGCTTTCGCAGACACCATTAATTGAAACAGAGTAGCCGTTGAGAAAAATAAGGACATTAGTGCTGAGATAAGATGAGGAGAAAAGTTGAACCGTGACAAAAGCAGTCTGAAATATTGAGGATGCACCCGATCGTATACAATTTTTTTTTTAAATTCATGTGCGATTTATTTGAACAGAAAGACATAGGATAAAAATTAGAGATGAAGACAAGTGGTATAAGAGGAGAAAAAAATAAGGGCGGGCGGGCTAGAAGAGGCACATGAGCGGCACATTATGAACAGTACTCATCGCAGTGTTTAAGTAATGTCTGGTGGGGACACGTTTTCAACATTCTGTAACGTGATACTTAAAGTTATAGAGGATTGGAGTCTCTGTAATGCATTCGCTGTGGACCAGGCTTCATTGTTGATGGCTACATACCAATGATATTGCCAAAGAGTTTCCACAATATTACAAACTAATTACAATATACCATAGGACATAAAACCAAAAAAAGCTGCAAACAGTAAAAACGTCTCACGAAATATCAAAAGGAGTAAAAAAACGCTCCTAGGTGGGCTCGAACCACCAACCTCCTGATTAACAGTCAGACGCGCTAGCCAATTGCGCCATAGAAGCTATTTGTGACAAAATTTTGTAATTAATTCAGATGTGTAAAATTTATTGGTCACGTGATTCATCAAGCGACAATTAGGGGATTAATTGGATAAAAGTTTTTGTTCTTATCACGTGAATGATGGCGTCACAGTTCGGCTTCCACTTATTCTTATTCACCTTTTGACTCCTGTTTGCTTGTGCTTCTCTCTGCTTCTCCAATTCTCAGCTTTGCTGACTACCTTTTATCTAAACGCGACAATTACAAGAGAGTCACCCGTTTCCAACTGAAATTTTTGCCATTCAATAGCGTGTAGCGATCAGTTTGTCACCGTCAGACTTTACTACATTGTCTTTGTGTAAAAGTATATTTTCCCCACATTTTAACGAAAGGAACCATGACAACAGAGCATCAGCAACTCGAGCAACCAAAACTTGATTTGGAGTTATATGAACAGCCAAGTACAATCTCGTACTTTGAAAATATTTTAAACGATTTAAAGAATGATTTGGCTGCCATTGGAGCCGACACATCAATCAACGCACCTGAATTAGCCTATTTTACCGCACGCTTACTGAAATTCCAAGCACAATTTCTTTCTTCCCATTCCGTCGACTTAAATCACACAAATGAGTATAATAAAGAGAAAGATTTGCCAGCTCGTATACCAGTGCGCTTTTTCAACGTAGAGACTTTAGCAAAGCCTTCACCGTTATATACCATTCTTCAGTCAGCTTATACCTTCCAGTCGGACAATGACATGGGGGACTGGCAATTTGACGCGCCCGAGGAGAGAGCACTATACCTTGAGATGATCAGAACAATTACAAAGCAACTTGTGCAAGATGGATTTTATGTGCCACCAGTAGTCGCATTTGACGAAAGTGTCAACAAAGGTGAAGATATGGATAAGTGGACAAAAATGGTTAATGCATTAGGTGGTAAGTTCCTTAGCCAAAACAAAAATTGAATGCCATACGTGGAGACAGGAAGCCAATCATGATTCTTCACTCTTTCACCTTCAGGCAAAGTTGTAGATATCCTTCCGTCTGCTACACATATAATATATAACAATACAGACAGAGTCTTCATTCCAGAAAGGCGCTTATATTACGTTGAAGAGGAGCAGAATGGGAAATCATTGATTCATTATGTCGGTTTACCAGAATCCTATGATAGACTAGTTGAGGAATTGGATGAGAACCAAATATCTAAACCTGAATTGTCCAGTCCTTGGCACATACGAGCAACATGGATTTTAGATAGTTACAAATTCAATGAGTGGATGAAACCTATAGATTACGATTTTCCGGATAAGAAAACGAATCGATCACATTTAAAAAGAACAGGAGAAGAGGTACCTGTGAGTGAGGATGATAGTAGTCCTGCTAAAAAGCCAAAAACACCTGTAACATCCTCACAGATGATGCGAATGCAGGTTAACAATAGAAATACGGAGCAGAATAACACAAACAAAATTACAGGTTCGACGACAGATATTTCAGATGCACCTATACTAAAAGCAGAAGAAAATCAAACAACAGGACACAACCCAACAGAAAGCAAAGCATCTGAATCAGATGCAGCCAAAATCGACGCCGCTACTATAAATGATACTCACACTACTGATAGTATAACTATGTCCACACAACCACTTTTACCAGCAGATATTTCTGCTATACCCACAGCTAACAATGATCCCAATCGCTATCTGACTATACAAGCACATGATATTGTTATACCATCTTACGCATCTTGGTTTGATTTTAAGAATATTCACCCAAATGAAATACGCTCTTTGCCCGAATTCTTTAACGATCGCAACAAATCAAAAAACCCCACTACCTACAGAACATACCGAGATTTTATGATCAATACTTACCGTATGAATCCCGTAGAATATCTTAGCATCACAGCTTGTAGACGCAATCTGACAGGCGATGTTTGCGCAATCCTTCGCGTTCATTCCTTTTTAGAGCAATGGGGGCTCATCAATTACCAGGTAAAGAATCCTTTTCTTTTACTTTTTTGCTCATTAATCTGTTTGTATTTTATATACTTCATATTTGCTAAACTCTTTGTTTTTTGTTTGGTTTATTTTTTCTTTTGTAAAAAAATACAAAAGGTCGATCATGATTCTAAACCATCTTCTGTCAGCCCACCCTTCGATAGTCAATTTAAGGTGGTAATAATGAAAGAAGAGGAGCCAACAGAACCAGAGGAATCCGAACAGCAAGTGAAGGACAACAATAAAGGGAATGGAAATCAAATCGATGAAAAAATAAAGGAAGAAGTGGAGAAACCTGTTATCAAAACTTACAACTTTGATAAGGAGAAAAAACCAGAAAAGTGTTCATCATGTGGGTCCGAGTGTAAGGCTGAACAATTTTGTAGCACAACCCAGCCGAATTTCTATCTTTGCCGTCAATGCTATTTAGAAGGAAAATATCCTTCAACACAAAGTCCGCGATGTTTTGTATTGGAAAAACTTTGTAAAAGAACAGGGAAGCATAACGAAGCAGAAGTTAAAGAGGAAGAACAATCCATCGAAGAAGATGAAGAAAAGTGGACAAAAGAAGAGGAGACATTACTCAAAGAAGGGTTAGTGAAGTTCTATAACGATTGGTCAAGGATTTCTGATTACGTGGGGACACGTACTCCGGACGAATGCCTATTACACTTCTTAAAGCTACCCTATAATGATCCTATACATGACATTGAGATCGAAAAACTCGGTCTCATTAGCTACAGTAGTCTAAATTATGACAGAAATCCAATTATGTCTGGTATAGCTTTTCTAGCATCCACAGTGCAGCCAGAAGTAGCCGCAGCCGCAGCCGACATTGAAATGGTGAATATCAAAAAAGAGGAGGAAGGAAAAACAAAAAAGGAAAACTATACGACAGAAATGCATATTTCAGAAGGGAAATCTGATGTAGACCACAAAGATGAGAGTAAAGCAAATGAAACTGAAGAACAACCAACTATGTCGATGAATGACGACAAACATTTATGCAACCTTACAGCCACACTTTTTGGACAAAAGCTAGAATCTTACAAACAACGTGTATTGAATTTTGAAAAACTGGAGATTATCGTTGAAGAGCAAAAACGACGATTTGAGAAAGAGCAGCGTCAAATCGGGTTGGAACAAATATCTTTCAAGCAAAAGATAACCTCTATATACCAAAAGATTACAGAACGAGGTAATTCCGCTACGATCATTGCCAATAGTATCACTCCCGCACAACTTCAGCAGCAGATGGTGGCGGGAACGAATCCTGCTATGTTACTGAACTCTCAGCAAGCTTCAGTGTCTCCACATCATCATCAACGACAGCAGCAGCAGCAATCGCCGCAAGCATTGCAACAACAATTGATGCAGTTACAACAACAGAAAGCGCAGCATCTACAGCAGCGTCAGCACCAACACAGTCCTATGCATGCCAATGACACTGTGTACAATAATTTGATGGATCTATAGCTATTATCCGCACGACAGTGATAAGCGAAAACTCTTTGTAAAATCTTGATATCTTTTACCAACAAAAAGATATAAAAACTATACATATCATAAAACCCCTTAATCTGTAAATCAGCATTTTTTACCGTATTATAAAGAAAAGTTTAGATTAAGAACCTGTGGCAAAAAACTAAGAATTTTTTAGTATGTTTTAAGACAAATAATTTTTTACCCATATGAGCACGATATCAATATAACACATGTCTAAAATTGCCCGGATAAGGGTATGAAAAAGGACCAAAATACCCTCATGAAAGGCATGAGAGGAGTATTTTTAGTACGTTCAAACAAACTTTTATTACAAATAATTGAAATTTTCTAAAGCCCAGTGGACACGATATATCAACCTTATTTACATTGCCCAGAGAAAATCCAAATGTATAAGAGTTATCTGCTCCTTTCGGGCTTAAGGGTAAAAAAGGATCTATAGCGGTGTTGAGAGAAAAAGAGGTAACCCGTCAAGAAATGTTTGATCTAGTAGTGGAGGGGAGGAAGGCTTTTGCTGGCGTTGCAGCTGGCAAGTTCAAAAAGTAATAGATAAACAGCCGGCCATCAGTAATACCATAGTTGGAGCGGTGGGCAGACAATTCAAAATGAAAGAAAGAGGATGGGATATGGTGGACGATAGATATAAGCATGCATGCATGCTGAGACAAGAGATAGTGTGCGTGAGGGGGTATCGAAGACAGGCATATTTGATGGATTCCAGAAAGCCGTCGGACGCAACCGTTGGGTTCCGCTCGAGCACCTTGTTGATTGATGTATTGCTGCTGCTTGGCAGATATTTTGGATCAATTCTGTGTTCAGCAAAACTTGAACTGCAGCAATTCTGAATATTCCGGCGACGGAACTTCTGCCATTATCAAACTTCACTAGGGAGTGAATGTATAATATGGACAACGTATGTGGACTTGCGTGAATGGGCGGCATTAACAACATAGGAAGTATGTTGTCAATCTCAGAATGCTCTCTGTAAACATCACCGCTTTTCAACCGTACATAAGACTCCAGACTTCACAGTATTCAGCATTAACATGGCCATTTTTTGTGATTCAGAGGAATACTTCGTACTAAAAAGTTGTGCTGTTGCTTGCCGCATGTGTAGGTAATGCGGTGTGTTCTACCAACGGATGATAATGCTGATATATCAAAGTGATAATCACATTCAGGTATTGTAAGCACTAGAGTAGCCTTTGTTAGCATCGCCAATGGGCATTTGGCAAGTTGCCAACGGCCTCACTAAGCTGTACGATCGTACGCTTGTTCAGCAAAAACTTGTAAAGTGAATTGTTTAACATTGCGTTTAACGCAGCAGTATTGTTTGTCCAGTCCTTTTTACACTAAGTGGACACTGTCCACAACACTATCCTTTTTTTTTCACACTACGTAGCAATGACCGCAAATATTTTTTTTATTGTTGTATTGTATATCTTATTAGAATAGCAAACAGAAATAGAAAATTAACGAGACTGCAATAAGGTTCTTATCGTTATGCATGCATTGAGGAGTTAGTAGTAAGAAAGCGTCTCAGTGGAAGTATGTTATGGATCGTAAGACCCTTGGGTGTATGAACCTTGGTTGTTCCTTCGTTACATCGTTGTTGTTCCAGTATGCCCGAGTGGGTGATTTCAGCACGCCAGGACAGCTGTCTAGCTCGAAATATCGTCGATCAACAGCAATGGACGTGACAGTAGCGGTTGCAGAGGTGATAGCTCCTTTAGTCAGTGGTCATTCCAATTGATGTAGACTAGAAAATCTTATCCTACTAGCAAGTTCAGATGAAAATGAATGAAGCCGAGCAAATCTTCAGCCATGCCCTTGATGTTTACAGAAATGGTACCCTTCTTTTCCCTTGTCATAATATAGGATCCGGATTCCGGTCGTCCAGAATTTCACCGTATGGCCTAGAAATTGAAACCATTCAGCTGCTATTAATGTATGCATTTTGAGCAACATTACTCTACCTACCACAAACGTGAATGAAGTGAAACTTGATCCTTTTTACTGTTTTCAAGGACCCGTAATGGTTTTTTCAGGTGAGAGTCCTTGATACAGCAAGTAGCCCAAACACAGTTTTCGTGTAGTTGAAGATGGATTATATTCTTGGTCGCTGCAGTTTCGTACTTCAGCCGAGTATCAAAAATCTTCTGAACGGCGGCGTGGATCAGCCCCGTACCAAATTACACCATGCTTTTCTGAACTATGTTGTTAGTTTTTATGATTGAAAAAATGAGCATTCCTATGGCTAATACCTGAGAGGGGTAAGATAGTCTTGAACTCCTTCCAGTTTTGCCAGATACACTTTGGTTCAATTTCTTCTAGTTCAACTTCCCTTCCACTCACATCTGAACAGATCTGTTTGTTATTTGCAGCTGCAGTTGTCGTTGAGTTCATCTGAAAACGCTCATCTTGTTCAAGAGCTATTTCTTGCATCAATGCTGATTTCATTATAGCCTACAATCGTTGTAATCAATAACGCATGCATATGGATAAATAATGCCTCCTACGTTCTCATCTAGACAGACTTACGCTTGATGCCCGAGATATTTGTAGTTGAATCGATGACTATGAACTTAGCGTCTTCATAACTCTTCAGAGGGAAGGAGAAGCATTGTTTGAATTGTAAGATCTGTTGGAATCATGTTATTGTGGGGACGCGGACGCGTAGGGTAGTCACTACTTTCAGGTTCAGATGAATTATTCGATCTTAGGCCACTCTCTTGTTATGCACTTGTACATAGCCTGTATTAGATGCAATATAGATAGACTGTGGTAGAATGCATTTTCTACTTGGTTGTACATAGTCGAATATTGTAGTTGTTTTCTCACTAAATACGTCATTATGCTTAAGGAGAAATATTAATAAGAGTGAATGAGTAGGCAGATAGAGCGTATGCTGATAATTATTCTGTATATCATCTACAGTGTACGCAACTAAGTTGCTTCCTAGTGTTACAATTTCATATAAACCAGCACAAACAGTAAAACCCCTTCTTCTTCTTCTTCTATACATCAAAGGTAGTAACACACAGATCCTTTCTTAACCTACCTTGCTGCTCTATATTAAGTACTGTTACGTTTATTTAATTTTCGGAGATAGATATTTTCATATCCTCCGGCGCGGCCACCGTTTTTCGTGTGGAAAGGCCGTGTTATACCTTTAAACTGACATTTTTTAGATACATACAATTTTTTTTATTTGATTGGCAAGCTAAAGAATATAGAGAAATTTCTTGATTGGCTGATCCAATCTAGGATATAATTTATTTTTTTTTTAGATCTTAAAGGCAAAACATTGAAGGCAAACTTAGCGTAAGAAGTAGCTGGTAAAAAATAAAAGTAATCATTCAAGAGGGGCGGGGGAGGTGTTTGACCTGCGTTAGACAATCTATATGATGAACGGCAGTAATTATCTATCTCAGTAACTGACTGGATCGCTAATGAAGCTGATGCTTACATCACTCTCCCCTTCCGAATGAATGTTGGTTCCGATTTTGGCAAAAAGGAAGATTATTGGGCGGAGGTTTTAGCACGTTACTGAGCCAGAATGAGCAGCTTTTTTTTTTTTAAAAATTTGCCCTTTCCTTATTCACTTTTTTTTTTTTTTTTTTTTTTTTTTTTTTTTTTTTTGTTTCTATTCCCCTTCTCTCCTTGCCTTTCTATCCTTATTACCAGTTTTCTGTATTATTAAATGATTATGACCAAGATAGATTCCACTACCAAGAAAGAGGATAGAGGTCACCTTCTCCTTGAGCAGGATCAGAATAGACAAAATATTGCTCTGCCTCCCAAAAAGCTTATGGCAAATAAAGTTCATGCAGCAGAAAGAGCTGCGTCGAATAGCAAAAAGTTAACCAGCAGTACTGCTACTATGACGAACTCTAGAATAATGACAACAATGACAACAGAAAGGTCCACCGCTACCACCACTACCACCAGTTTCAAAATGGCTTCTGCTTCAGTCGGAAAAGAAGACATCAGTAGACCCAATGGGGAGGCTCAAAAAAGCACTCCCAGTCATGCTGAATCATTTGGAACTGGAAACAGTACGTCAAAAAGAAGGCCTTCCACCACAATAGAAAGTAGTAAAGAGAAGAGAGCCATGATGAGCACCAATAGTAACAATAATGTCAACGACAACAGCAGCAGCAGCAGCAACAACCATAGACCGGCTCCTGCGAAGGCAGCGAGAACAATCACTCATTCCGAACGAATTGTTCAAGCCGAGATCAGTAACTACAGACCTTACTTTACTGAAGTTGACGGTGATTCTGACTCAACATTGAGCGAGGAAGAGAAGAATCTTCTAGTTGAACTTGAGTACCCCGGGCCCGTAGAACCTGAACGGTAAGTTCATTGTTTGTTTTTCGTTATTGGATAGTTTCCCTTGGTTAGTGCGTGGACCTGTTATTCATCGTCTTTATGTCCAGATTCCTTTTGCTGAAGCCTGTCCTAAAAACCTCGAGTGCACGTAATGCCGATTCTGAAGAAGAAGATAAAGATGAATATAACCCCATCAACGACCTCATGAGGACAGCCGAGTTCATTTATGATTGTTACCTCACTCCTGAGCAACAAAAGAAATTGGGTGATCAATCGCAAGGCATCATGCGTAATCTGACCAAGTACCGCAATCGTCGTAATGGAGCTGGATTCGCTCAAGCGTTAAAGGATTTCAACAGAGTTATCAAGCAGTTCAAACAAGACGGCAGTTTAGCAAAGAACGCTAGTGATATGTGCCATCCCAGTTACGATTTAGCTTGCCATATTCTATTTCAGGTCTACAGCCGTACAGTGGCACCTCAAGCAGACCAGCTGAACAATTATGCAGGTACTTACTTGTAGTTTCCATCAAGGAGTGTGTGTGTGTGTGAGCAGGGGGGAGAAGGCAACGAAGTGGGGAGTAAATGAAACTAACATGGAGCTGTTTCGTATCTTTTCTAGCGTTTTCAAATAATGTGTACGGTGAGATTAATCCTATTTTGGTAAAAGAGTTTATTGCCAAGACCGGGATCAATTCTCGTAGCGTTTTCATGGATATGGGATGTGGTATTGGTAACGTGGTGCTACAGGTCGCTGCACAAACAGGATGTGAAGCTTACGGCATCGAGATCATGGAAACTCCTTGTAGAATGGCCAAGCGCCAACTGAGAGAATACGCGCGACGAATGAAGTAAGTCTTTTTCATTGCTTGAGAAAGGAGAAGAGGAAGATGACTCCTTAAGTTACTCTTTTACTGATGTGATCGTTTTTCACCTTTACAGGGCTTGGAAACTTCCCACTGGCAAAATTCATTTTAGACATGGCGACTTCTTAGACGTAGCAGCCAACGATTTATATTCTACGCTAAAGAGATCTGATGTTCTGTTGGTCAATAACTACGCATTTGACGCAGCGACCAATCAAGCGCTGGCTCAGCTATTTTTAGATTTGAAAGAAGGCACCAAGATTATTTCATTGAAATCGTTTGTGCCTAAGCATCACAAAATCAACCAACGTACACTCAATATGCCAGAGTCGATTTTACGTGTAGAAGAATTTGAATATTTCTCAGAAGCAGTTAGCTGGACGAATAACGGTGGAAATTATTATATTGCCACTGTTGATCGCAGCCGCTTAGCACCTTACTTTGAAGAAATGTACGGACGTTAGATTGCCATAGAATTCTTCTTTCTTATTTAAGTTTTTTAAGTTATTATTGCTTTTATCATCATTATATACATATATATATTATCTTATATCACTTTTTGTATAGTACTTATCGTCTATTTTTTTTTTTTTTTTTGACCTCTTTCTTTACATTTCATAACACCAACAAAATTAACATTCTCTTCATACCCTCACTTTTTGTCACGAAAATAAACCGACTTGAAAAAAAATCAAAAAAAAACGTCCGAAATGGCTATTTGAATCTAATCGTATTCTTCGGGCCGATCGTTTTTCCTTGCACGTTTGCTTGTCTGATAGGATAACATACAAGTAAGTATAAAAGTAGAGTATATCGACAGTGGTGAGTGTATTATTCACGATACCATCATTCAATCACTGACTACCAAGGCCGTAAGTTTTTTGACAAATAGGTCAGTAAAGGTAGCTCAATGGTCAAAGAAAGTAAATTACAGTGAGTGTGTATGTTTACAGCTTTTTCAAATACTATATCTGATCTCTGCTGTACTCATCTGTTCAGTACAAGATGATGGTATAAAGTGGAAGAAAGGATAAATACGAAAAGATCAAGCCGCTTATCATACACTTCTTGATGGGTGTAATTACAAAGAGAAAGTACACTGTGATCAAGTATACAGATATCACGAAAAGGCGGTCAGAGAACTGTACACTATTTCTATGAATCACTATTTCATAAAGATGCTATAGATAGGACAGTGGAGTGCTTATTCTTTGTAATAATGGGATGCATTACGACGCCTACTAGACTCGGAAAAAGAGCTAATTATATGTACATTTCACCGATATTGCACGACGGAGGGGAATTTAACGTTTAGAAACAGTAATCACTTAGCTAACTTTGGGAGATTGAAAAACAGAACATAGTACTAGATGCTTTCTATTATCAGATTGTCTTTTCGCTTGGTTAATAGGAACAGAAGGAGGAATAATGATACTATAGGTATTGCGGTTGGTGTGCAAATAAAGTACGTCAGTGGGACGCTTTTTATCCAATTGAGCATTGAAGGCCATGAGAAAGTTTTAAATCATTCGCCTATAATAAAAGATGGTTTCAAACTTTACTCCCTACGTCCATCTCCACCTACTAAGCTGTTTGTATTGTTCATAACCTGAAAGAAATGCTGTATTATACATCATACAGTATAACCATACTACTCTGAGCATTGAGATCCTACATGGAGGCGTTCTCACAGGACGAACATCTTTAAAAATCTCATGACTTAAGCCAAGTTCTCAACCCATTGGTCAATTCATATTGTAGTCAATGCTGAAAATAAGAGTGAAGATACCTATGCCGTCAAAAAGCTACTTTCAATGTTTGCGTAACGATCTTAAGTCATCCAATGTCAAAGCTTACTTAGCTGTGAAAATAGGAGGAGTATGAAAGTCTAAAAAGAAAGAAAAAAAGAAATCCCAAGTTTCTACCAGGATAGTGGCCTTTATTTACTCTGTGAAAACCTTATCTTTCATAGCCAAAAACCTTCTTTCTTGCATTTGTTGAACAGTGTGAGACAACAGGGTTTTTTCTGTTTTTTTTTTTTTGCAGGACCCTTAAAAACACTGTTTTTATGCTAAAGTGAATGCAAAAGAGGCATTACAATGTGTCTCTTCTTTTGCACGCGAATCGCGATAGACTCAATACTCAAAAGGCGCTCGTCGGGAAAAGCGATTGATAATTAGGTTGAGTCATCGATATTAGCGGACGTTCACTGGTTGAATGCACAATGACAAAGGCACATCCGGACCTTGGTTTTTTTTTTTGTTTCTCCGTTTTTGTTTTCCACCCTCACTGTTTCCCAACTACAAGTTGTATCAACCCCATATATCTCGATTACGCATCCAGTGTCGGGATCTACAGAAGAACCAGACCGGGAAACCCATTGCCCAATACAGTTTCCGTTATGGAAAAATTGGTCATAAAAAGAAGTGCGTTCTCTATCTCTGAGACATCCCCTTTCAGCATTGTTCGCAGATCAAATGCAAATAGCTCGAGTAAGGCAAGATAACGAAAACAGCAAACTCTTATATATGTAAGAGGCGTTCTTTTACTGCGTTGTGTTACGGCAATACAACGGAAATTTTCAATTAATGAAGAACGTAACCAGCTGTAAAAGGTTACCCAGAAAGAATTGCGTTTTCGTATCGTCTGCCTGATCGTAACAATTCCAGCAAGTCAATAAACTATCAAAAGTAGAATATTTGTCTTCTTTTGTTGCGGGGTGCATTTAAGTGTTCGTTAGATGTAGTGCAATGACTGAAAAAGAACGGTCGTCGTGCATAGGTACCTATAGCTTGCCTGCATTGCGTTTAGACTTACACTAGCCGATGGACAAGCTTTTCATAAAAAGATAGCCATGTTGTTACTAAAGTTTCTGACAATAGGGTCAGATATTGCAATGAAACTGCGCCCATCCCCTCCACCAATGTTACAACGATAGCGCAGGGTCTCATGAAATTTTCTACTCAAGTTGGGACAAGAAAACAGTATATTTTGAGACGACGGTATCTGTACAAATTGACAATAGATAACTGAGGCACATCATAGTGTGATATTTCAAAAGCGAGTAGACTGACAAAAATGGCCACTCTATCTGTTAGGAGTCTTTGTTGCTTTGAACTTAATGATCTACACCAATAATAAGTCGTCTTGCACGTATTCTCTTTTCATTTCTCAAAAGACGCAATAATGTCTCAAAATTGAAAACAGTTAGCACCTAACATACTGTTCTGATCTTAGCGTGAGAGAAAATGATAGGTTGAAGCGGACATTATTATGTGAGAATATTGTTTTGTGTACATGTGCCCCATGAGGACGGTACATAGATTATTCCCTTTTATGGGAGTCTGGAGAAACCCAAATCTTTTTTTTTTTTTTTTTTTTTTTTTTTTGACAAAATATACTTAAATAGAAAATCCATTTTACAAAGAGAAGCTGACCTCATTCGTACCTGGCTATAAAAAAACTAAAACCTTTTTGCTTCGAAATGACGGCACAATGAAAGTAACTGATACACGCTACATACTCTCCTTTCTTAATGACTATGTGAAGTGTGGAGTGGACGCGGGCATCACTTTCTATGTCTACTCATTCACGTCCCTATTGTTGTACCTCATCTTGTTTTTGTTTTTTTTTTTGGAAGCGGCAATTAGATTTTCTTATCTTTATGGCTCTCAAAATTGTAATCGTTTTAAACTGTATTCGTCCAATCATAATTCTGCTACACAAAATGATTGGTCTGTTATCAACGGCGGGGAAATTAGCCTCTTTTGTTCTTTTTGTCAGATTTTCTGTGTAAAAAAATAATAATTGTGGGTGAGATAAGGTTCGTGTTACTTGTTAGTTTGGAATTTCAAATCAAGCAAAAAGAGCCAAATATATAAAGCAGAGTTAAAAGTGAAAGGTAGAAAAAGGAAGAAATCAACCTCTATTCTCTCTTTTACTTGATTGTCTATTAAACGACTCTATCCCTTTTTTTTCTTTTTTTTTTTTTTCCTTTCTTTACTTGTCACTACTTTTACATAATCACTCAGTAAAGTCTCGTTTTGCAACGTTATGACAGAAAAGTCAGCACACGAAAAAACGGCCGATGTTGTGTCATATCATGACAAGGCTGAGCCAAGCGATGTTTATGTCAGCTATGAAGGATTCGAGGCACCAACAGAAGAGGATTGGAAGACCTTGAGACAGGTGCCTGACAAGATTCCCTTCTCCGCTTTTCTCGTCATCATTATCGAATTTTGTGAGAGATTTACTTACTACGGTTTGAGTGGCCCATTTCAAAATTATATTCAAAACCCTGCTCCCGCAAGCTGTACGTAAATCATCATTGAGGAATGCATGATTATCCTACTAGGACAGCCATGATTTGATATGAACAAATGAACTCATCTCCTTCTTTTTCTTTTGTCATTATGCCTACAGATCCTGCTGAAAAGGCTGGTGCTATGGGTAAAGGGCAGCAAACAGCTACTGCTTTGACTACATTTTTCCAATTCTGGTGTTATATTACTCCCATTATTGGCGCCGTTATCGCTGATCAATATCTCGGTAAATACCGTGCCATTCTGTTATTCTCCATCATTTACTTTATTGGTTTGATCATCCTCACCTTGACGTCCATCCCACCTGCTATCGAAAGTGGTGCTGCTTTCCCCGGTTTCATTGTGTCTATCATCATCATTGGTCTTGGTACCGGTGGTATCAAATCCAACGTAGCTCCCTTGGTCGCCGAACAATATCAAAGTAGATCTCCTTACATCCGTACCGATAACAAAGGCAATCGCGTGATTGTCAGTCCTCAAGCTACCTACCAACAAATCTTTTCTTACTTTTACTGGGGTATCAACATCGGTGCTTTGTCTGCTATTGCCACCACAGAATTGGAAAAGAACGTCGGCTTCTGGCCTGCTTACCTCTTGCCTACCATCATGTTCATGTTCGGTATCGCTACTATCTTCATAGGACGTAAACGCTACATTCAAGCTCCACCTCGTGGCTCTATCTTTGTAGAAGTTGGAAAATTATTCATGATGAAGATCAAGGTGAAAGACGGTCTTGAAGCCTGTAAGCCTTCCAACCTCGCCATCGACCATCCTGATTTACTCCATGAAGCTACATGGGATGATGTCTTTGTGGATGAATTGAAACGTGCCCTCAGAGCCTGTATCATCTTCTGTTGGTATCCCATCTTCTGGCTCTGTTACTCTCAAATGACCAACAACTTGATTTCTATGGCCGGTACCATGTTGACGGGTAATGTTCCCAACGATATCATGCAAAACATCGATCCTCTTACCCTGATTATCGCTATCCCCGTGTTTGATCGTGTCATCTTCCCTGGTCTCCGTCGTTGCGGTATCAACTTGGGTCCCATCACCCGTATTGCCCTTGGTTTCTTCTTTGCTGCCGTTGCCATGGGCTACAGTGCCGGTATTCAAGCCAAGGTGTATCAAACTGCCCCTTACTATGACCACCCCGATGGCCGTCAGAACTGGATTTCTGCTGCCTACCAGATTCCTTCTTACTTCTTCACCGCTATTTCTGAAGTCTTTGCCTCTATCACCGGTAACGAGTACGCTTACAAGAAGGCCCCTGAATCCATGAAGTCCATTGTCATGGCTCTCTTCTTATTCACCAACTGTATTGCCTCTATTCTCGGTTTTGCTCTCGTCTCTGTTGCCGTCGATCCCAAGTTGACTTGGATGTACACCGGTATCGGCTGTGCTTCATTCATCTGCTCCGTTCTTATCTTTGTCCTCTACCGCAAGTATGATAAGACAGATGTTGAAGATGATGCCATTGGTCGTAATGATTCAGAAAGAGAAAAGTACCAAAAGAAGATGGCCACTATCGAATACGAAGTTGAAAAGGGTCCTGTGTAAAAGAACGATACCTTTGCAAAAACCTACCAAAAAAAAAAAAAAACCAAAAAAAAAAACCAACTTAGCATAGACGTATCTGTTTGTCATCCTTCCCTAAACCCCAACACCCTCGCATTATTATTATTCACCATCATTTTCTCAAAATTAATGTCCTTCCCCTCTAAATTATCCTTATTTTTCTTTCGTTACCATCTATATATCTCTTTTATCTTTTTGTATTTTTGTAATCTATAGTGCAAAATAATACCTTATTTTTTTTCCTGAACAGATCTCTTTTATTTAATATCATGTAAAGAATAAAAAAAAATAAAATAATAATCATTGCTTGAATTCAAAAAATGTTTATTACTGCATATCATACAACTTTTTCGTGACAAAAACGGTAGCGTTGAAGACACCGTGTTGCTCAATCATAAGCACAAAGATATCGTTGACCCGTTCAAGTAAGCGACTCTCGTCTTTCTTTTTCACTAAAGAGATCATTTTATGAGTATACTCTAATTACCCCCCGTCAATAAAGGACGACTTTACTACCTTCGTCTGTCGTCTCCACTTCAACTGATAAGTCAGGGACGACATGATTTTCAACGTTCGCATCCAGATATTCAAACTGCAAGTTACAGGGTATAATCTGCCAAGTGAATAACAACTTTATCTTATCGTCACTACCATAGTGGGCCCGTTAACTCACTGTATTCAATTCACATCTACAGTTAAGGCTTTTATCGTTACTTACAGTACATGACTGATTTCTAATTGCGCTGCAGATAGGTCGTTTACATCAATAGGGGTATCTTGAAAATAGGCTTTCAGTTTCTTTAAAGTAATCTGTCTTTGATGGTTGATCGCTGCATAATGCACAAGTAAACGGAAGAAACCCATGATATTGCATTCTTTTTTAACTCTAACGACAGCCCCAACCTTTCATTTTAGTTTATCCCCTTTCATGTCGTCCCATACGAAGCCTTTTTTTGTCTTTTACCTATTCAGAACATCGTCTATATCAAGCTGCATCTGAAAATCCACATCAAAGTCTAGTTTGGATATCACCATACTAGGCTCGATCACATCGAACCGAACTTGAAACTGTTGGTTAAACGTTGTCCCAGCTATTTCGCAATGTCGAATATCGTCTACATTTCCCGTGAAATTTTTGCCTTCCAATGAGACTACATAGGCTTGTGAAAATTCGGTATGCTGTTCACTCACCATTATTGTCAGCATTACTCTCTATGATATTTTTAGAGCTGGTGATCTTTATACATGAGTAATCTGTCTGTCTAATGACCTAAAAAACGCGCGAGACTCTGTCCATTCAGAAACAAAATAACAAAAATGACACTTTCAAACGGACGAGATAGGCTTTCCTTCCACAAGCTTACCTCATCATGAACATACGCCCTCTGCCGAAGCTTTGAATCTGGGTCAATGAATTCTGCTCCTCCTAAAACGTTTGTATCATTTGCAGGTGTACTCTGTAGCAGTAATAAATATTCACTGTGTGTGCAAGATGAATTCAAGTCAATATCATGGGTCCATGGGATGCTGAGAGTGCATTTCCTCCTCATCTTACTAAATGACGTCCCAATCGGGCTCCTTTTCTGTATTGTCCTCTTCCAGTTCACTCTCTTCTTCATCATCATCATCATCTGAATCAGAAGCGTCCTCTTCCATAGTCGTGTTCATGCGCTGCAAAGCTGCCTGCTTCTTCAACGTTTTCGCTTCTAGTCTCTCTCTCTGTTTTTCTCTTTTCCTTGCTTCTCTTTTCGCTCTTTTTTCTTCTTCTTCAAAATAAGCAGCTCTTTCCTCTGGTGTCATGTTGGTTAAGCCTGCCTCCTTCTCCCTTTTGGCTCGGATTTTAGATAAACGTTGCTCCATTCCTTGGACCCTTTTTTCGACACGTTCTACTTGTTCTTTGTATTTTACCAATTGTTTTTTTAAGCTTTCTTCATCATACGTCAAAAAAGCCTCATCAGTAACATCCTAATAGGGGTTGAATCATAGTTTAGCCATTCATCGTATAAAAGGCCATGGATCCTTAAAGTGGATCGATCCTCGTCCCCACTTCATCGTGGCGGATTCGTAAAAGTTCCTTACAAGCTGTTCGTCCCTCGTCTGTTCTTGTGCTCTCAGTAAACGTTCTTGGAATTCTTCATGTGTTGTTCTATGTCCATAAGAAAGTGCATTGTCTTCTTCTGAACCCGTATTATCGTTAGCGTCAGACATGACTGCTGGAAGGTGTTTGTTCCTAGTAAATCAAAAAAGGGTGTCTTTTTTTTAGCTCCTCTCTCTTCCTCTCTCGTGACTGAATGGGGAGAGGAAAATTGCATTGATGGTAAACCCACTCCTTCTTTTTTCGGTTCGCAGCTTTTTTTTTTTCCTGATTTTTTTTCTTTGAAAAAAAAACAATTCGTCGTGCTTCTTTCCCTGGACCCACATTACACTCCCATCCACAGCATAAATAATGGATTTCCAAAATCGTGTCGGCAGCAAACATAGAGGAGGTGGTTTAGCGTCGGCCTCAGAATCGAATGTGGATCGTCGAGAACGACTTCGTAAATTGGCCATGGAAACCATCGACATTGCCAAAGATCCTTACTTTATGAAGAATCACTTGGGTTCCTACGAATGTAAACTCTGTCTTACGCTTCACACCAGTGAAGGCTCTTATTTGGCTCACACACAGGGTAAAAAGCATCAAACCAACCTGGCCCGTCGTGCAGCCAAAGAAGCCAAAGAAGCCAACTTGGTGCAAGTCGCTGTCGGTCCCGCTAAACCCATTATTCAACCACGCCGCAACATCATTAAAATTGGTCGTCCCGGTTATCGAGTGACGAAAGTGCGTGATCCTGTCACTCGTCAGCTAGGCCTCTTATTCCAGGTTCAGTATCCTCAGATAGGCGAAGAGGTCAAGCCTCGTCATCGATTCATGGGCGCCTACGAACAGAAAATCGAGCCACCCAACAACAACTACCAGTATCTGATTATCGCAGCTGAACCTTACGAATCAGTAGCCTTCAAGATTCAGAGCTTAAAAGTAGACGAGACACCTGGTAAATTTTGGACACATTGGGATCCGGATGCCAAACAGTATTCGCTACAGTTTTTCTATAAAAATGAAAAGGATGCCATGTTTGGCGGTATGGGAGGTGCTCCTCTCACTGCACCTCCACCCGTAGCTTCAGCCTAGACACGTATACGATGAATCATCTTAAAAAAAAACACAGGAAGAAAGAAAAGAAAAAACCCAAAACCAAAACCAGCCATGATCAATCCACGCTACTACTATTTATGAATCCATATCCCACTTTTTCCGCTCCTATTGCTAGTTTCTTTGAACCCAAGTCTTTTGTACAAAAAATACATCTCCTCACTCGCCCCTTCACAGGTGTGATAGCTTTGTTGAAATAAATTTGTTATTTTCTGTTTTCTTTTTTTTTTTTTTTTTCAGAATATACATGAGTACTATGAGTAGTAGTAGGATTGCTACTGCGTATCATTTACATGTGATCTAGTAAAGAATTGCTTTCAACTGTATCATACAAATTTATGCGAAAAGGCAAAAAAAAAAAAAAAAAACAAAAAAAAAAAAACAACCAGGGAAAGAGAGGGAAAGGCAATGTACGAAAAACCGAGCTTCATCATAAATAGGGCTTCTAAAGTCGTCTTTGTTTCTTGGGTCTACAACCGCCAAAAGGTACTGGTGTAGCATCTGTTATACGTTTGATGTTCCAATTAGCTGTTGCTAAAGCTTTATACGCAGCATCACGTCCTGGACCAAAACCTTTCAGAATGATATTGACATTGTTGACTCTAATGTTCTTTGTATTGATTTTCTCTAGTAATTGTAAAGCGGCTTGGTGAGCCGCTTCATAGCCAGATCGTGCAGCCTTTTTAAATCCTGCCGAGCCACCTGATGTTGTGATTAATGGTGAACCGTTAGGTCGTGTCAACGTGATAATTGTATTATTGGGGGATACATTGACGTGGATATGATAAGGTGTGCTATCAAACTCAGACAAATCCATACCCAAAAACAGTGGCGTGCTACTGCCTTCGCTCATGTTAGCACCTGGAAAAGCCTTTCTGTTGTTATTTCTGCTAAAGGAGCCTGATCCAAGGTCCTTAAAGATGCCAGCTGTTAAGCTTTCACTTCCGTCTGAATCAATGGCGCTTATGATACCCTTGAAAGCAGCTGTTTCAGAGGGTTTGGTATTCGCAGATACAGTAGCTTCAATGGTTTCTGATTTTTCTTTTACAGCGCCTGAAGGGCTGGTTGTAGTTGTGGTTTCTTTGGTCATCAAAGCGCCTGTTAATCCTTGTTGCTCAGGAGAAGAACCACTAGACTGCTGCGATGCCCAGCGAAGTTGAGTGACCGATCGGGCCCATCCTGTTCTTGTCGCAATGAGTCTGTTGAATGAAACTTTGGTAACCAACATTGATCGTTTGCTGCCCCGCCACTTGCACAGTAAGAATAGTAAGAAAATATGGAACTGAAAGCAATAACTGACAGGCCCCAGGGGAAGTACAAAAAACCCACCTACTGACCAACATCTGACTTTAAAACAATGAGGGTAAGTCGGTCATTCAGTGGCAGCTCCTCGAAGGGCTTCCCCAGTTCTTTTTTTTCTCTGCCGCTGCCAATCGGCTGTCGTGACTTCAGAAGGAAATGCAGCATGAAGCATAATAAAAACTCGGGAGCCAGTAATAATTTCTTTTCAGGTCCCTTTATTTCTGTTCTATTATTTCAAATTAAATTTGTCCTCTGATAGAATATGTCAAAAAGACAGACGAGAGCACGTCCGATCGAAAGTAGTACTGATGGTGGTGATTCCACAAGTCGACAAAGACAAATGAAGAGAGACGAAGTAAAGAACGTTCTAATAACCCGATGCACTCTTTTATTTTTTCTTTTTTTTTTTTTTTTTTCAATTTGATATGTCAACCATTTAAACTAAACAAAAAAAAAAAAAATAACCACCTTCACTGGTCTTTCTATCACTTATTCTACTGCAATATGAATTTACCAGGCTATACGTAAAAAATTAGAGCAAGATTTTTCCAAAAAGAGAAGCACTGCATCCAGAACTCTTGGTAAAAATAGACGGATACCCGGTACAGTATCTGCCTTAAGGGTAGGACAGGCACTGACAGTAAAAGAGACGATGCGTGTCATGGAAGCCACTCAACTCATGGCTGCCAAAAGATGTGATTGTGTCTTGGTTATCAATGATAACGATCAACTATCGGGCATTTTCACCGTAAGTACACGATCCTTTACAATAAAAGCATCCTTTTTGTTGAAAAAGACTAACGTTGTACGGGATATTTTGTGTTAGGCAAAAGATATAGCCTACAGGCTTGTGGCAGAAAACCTCGATGCAAAGTAATGGGACCCAATGATTCAGTTGTTGTTCTGTCTATTAAAAACAATCCACTTTATATTTGTTGATACATGTAGAAGGACACCCGTCATCGACATCATGACAAAAAACCCAATGTGTGTTACCTCAGACACTTCGGCTACCGAAGCATTGAATCTGATGGTTTCTAAAGGATTCCGTCATTTAGTAAGTTTAAAAACTGTGTATCTTTCTTAAAATCGTTCGATTTATTTGTTCGTCCCATTTTTATGCATCTGATTCTTAACTGTAACTTTAAATTCATAGCCTGTATGTAATGAAGAAGGTGACATTTTTGGCTTATTAGATATTACAAAATGCCTATACAGTGCTTTGGAAAAGATGGAAAGAGCATTTGGTTCCTCGCGAGAGTTATACGATGCGATGGAAAATGTCGAAAAGGAGTGGGCAGGAACATCCGTTCAGATGAATCAATATATGGAGTCGTTACGCCAACATATGTCTTGCCCTAACTTGGAATCCGTATTAGATGGAACACCTCCTGCTGAAGTGAAATATAAAACGAACGTAAGAGATATTGCCGTCATGATGAAAGAGCTACATACAACTGCTGTTCTAGTAACAAAACATCATAATTTGGCTGGTATTTTCACATCGTAAGTATTTTTGCGAGCTGTTTATTCAATGTTTTTTATTTTAATGGGATTTTTATTGTTCTATTTCCGTAGAAAAGATATTGTCCTCCGTGTTATTGCAGCAGGTTTAAACCCTGAAAACTGTACAGTCGTGAGAGTAATGACACCAAGCCCTGATACAGCAGCACCGAGCACAACTGTACTAGATGCTTTAAAGCTGATGAATGGTATGCTTTTTTCTTTTCACAAGGCGAGTGGCATTCATTAGAGTGAACTAACTTATTAGTCTCAACACAGAGGGACACTATCTGAATCTTCCGATACTCGAGAAAGGTATTGTTATTGGCATGGTGGACGTGCTGAAATTGACCTATGTCACGCTAGAACAGGTAATTAAAACTACTCCACTAAAATGATAATCTTAACCTTCTTTATTTTTTTTTTTCTCCCTCATTAACCTTTTTCTTTTTTAATATTCTCGTTCTTTATACATAGATGCGGAGCATGGAAGGGCAGGAAGGCGAGGGTAAAGTACTAGTAGCGATTGTTTAGGACGTTTTAGACTCTTATCGTTAATCATATGTCATTTAGGCGGTCCTTTATGGGGGAAATTTTGGGATAGTTTTGGCACTTTAGATCACTTAGAAAACACTTCACAATTATCAGATAATTCTTCTGCTGCTGCTCGCCCCAGATCCCTTTCTCTTATTTCCGATCCAATGCTCTCTCCACAACCATCTACTTCACTTTCACATCTGAAGAGCTTCTCCGATATATCACCCAACGAATCCGCCAGTATGGTGAACCAACCATCTTCGGCTGGTGAATCTCACACGTCTTCGGGCCAGCATCTTCAACCACTGCAACAACAACAAATGGATACCTTTACTTTTAAATTTACCTCTGCACGGCAAAAAACACATCGTGTCGTTTGTAGACCCTATTTTAGTGAATTATCTGAAGCAGTTCGCACAAAGTTATTACCTGAGCATGGCGACGACGACGTAGGATCGGACGAATGGCTCACTCTATTCTACATTGATGACGAGGATGATCAAATATTGATAACATGCGATGAAGATGTGTCAGACGCAGTACGTCTAGCAGTAAAAACAGGCCAAAATCGTGTCAAATTGATTGCTCAAGACAAGTCGCTCGTACCTACTATTTCAATATCATCTCAAAATGATAACGATCTTCCTCGAAAAGTTGAAGCAGCAGTCGTGGAAGCACCGGATGTCTTAAAGGAGGAAAAAGAAACGATGCGATCAGATAAGAAAAGCGCAAATACAACGTTGACATCAACACGGCGAAACTCGAAGGAGTTACGGGCAATCTCGAAGGGAAAAAGGCAGAGCCCGTTTCTACCAGCAAGCATTGGCTTATTAGGTGCTGTCATTGTTGGTGTCGTAGTTTTCACGAAAGTTTTTAAAAAATCCCCAGTAGACATTAAATTATAATTCATATATCTTTTTCTTTGTTTTTTTGTTTCTCCATTCGTGAATACAAATTCACAATAAAACACCCGAACACCAACCTGTGTGCAAATAATAGCATCAAATGTAATATTTTTATTTATAGAATTTCACAAGGCTGTTATGCCTTAATCCTTCTTCGAAATGGTCGGCTTATAACATATCTACTATCATTGTATGGCCAGGTAATATAATTTCATCAAACAAAACAATAATTTGCTCACGTTTTTGAAGGCACGTTTAGCGATGGCAAGATTTTCTAGCTGAATTTTCAATCTTTTACACTCTTTTCCACGTCTCTGACAGTAGAGAGTGCTTAGAAAAAAAGACGCCAAAATGACAAGCGCCAGCTTTCTGATTGGCAATATTTGCACACAATTAAGAAGTCCTTTCCCTTCTTCTTCTGCAGTGAAAGTGTATAATGGATGGTTTTCTACATCTGAATGGTCACTTAGTTACCCGTTTTCTATAGTCGTTGGTACATAAAGAAAAGAAACAAACAAAACGAAAGTTGAAGCTGGATAAAAGAATAGTCTTCAAAGAGTGCATCCAAAGTCATTTTGCAGTTAGTGGGTGAGTTTGTCGCATGCTACTTCGAACAAGATAATACTTGAGTCAGAAACAATATCTGGTGTTCCTCTTACTTTATATCCTCAAGACTTTAAAAGTAAAGCAAAGCTTAAAAGAATGTAGAAGATAGCTATAAAACTCTTTGACGAGATATAGTAAGCATATCTGCTGTTTAACGACCAGTTATAATATGGGCCATTGTGGGTAAACCATTAAATTATATGCGAAGGTGGTATGTTATATGCCCGAAATTCATAAAAAATACACTGATATGATGTGCAGCTATTTGCATAATTTGACTACTGCCTTCAATAACTTGGTTTTCTTTGGAAATAATAATATTGCAAGTATCAATTTCAACAATTCTTGTAGATTTGAAGTGAGCAAGCTTACGGGATTGCACTTTACCTCATCAGATTTTTGAGGGGTCAATCTTTTTCTTAGAACGCACTCACGGTTCTAATAGTCGTCTGAAGGCGAATGTAACAATGTCATGTTATCAGTATACTGCTGTAGTAAGCCTATTTAGCCTTAATCGTCTTTTCACTGACATTCAGGAACCACGGTATAGGAATGTTACGATCAGGTTTCGATTGTAGTAAAGCTCCTAAAAATAATGGCATTAATAAACCTGCAGTGATTACTCCTGCTTGCGGTATTCAGATCCCATAATATATGTTTGTTTCTGTTTCTCTGACATAGTAATTCAAATGTTTTAGTCGAGCATTTGTTTAACTTATCGACGCTTTCGAATTCTTAATTTGCTATGAACAGGCATAGGAAGAACGAAGGTTTTCATGAAGTTTTTATTTCTCGCGGCGCGTATGGATCTGTGAATATTTGACAGGTCGTTAAAATCACTAATCAATATGTTGTTTGCTGAAAAATGATGGCTGTGAAATTATCTGTGTATGATGTAAATGATTGTTAAATAAGTACATTTGAGGCTTGCTAAAGCCTAAATGAAAGCAGGTAATTCTCTTCTACGGTGGTGGCGAATTTCGACCGGTTGCACTTGGGTAAAAAGCAACTTCATCCTCATCATCGTTGACTTGAAAAATAAATTATTTATTTTGAATAAATATGGTCATAAGATGTTATTTAGTAATTTGAAGTACGATTATCGTTTACATTTTCTACATGTTCCTTCTACTGTTGTCTCTCAACTACATCTTCTTCATCAGTATGATGATTGTCACTATCATCATCACTGCGGTTGTTTGATTCATTATCGCTATTTTGCTGGGATTGTACTTCTTGTGATTCTGGTTCTTCTTCCCACCATTTTCGCGATGTTTTCACATTTAATAGGAACGCTTCTACTATTAATAAAGGATATTGCTCAACACCCTTGAAGAATTGTCGTACTGCATAACGAATAAATATCTTTAACTGATCGAAAGCATCCGATCTCGGCACTTTAGCGGCATTTATCAAGATACGATTGAATAACTCTAGTACAGGCGCCTGCAGAAAAAGCAAACTTAATATATGCAATCTTAATAAACTTTTGTAAGTAATTTGAGTTTACCTTCCAGAATAGGTACTCGACATTTTGTTTCACCATAATCCTATGGAACATACTAGCTATACATGTGAAATACTCAGGCGATAGAGTTTCATATGTTTCGAGCAGGGCAAGATAGGCGTTTATAACATCCCAATTGATATATTTCTAACATTGAAAAGGCGTTGCTGTTAAAGTCAATAGTATAAGATAATTCAACAAGACTCGCTTTTTTACCTGCTCGAATGTAGAAAATTGAAAAACGGCATCTTTGTACTCTTGCTCTTCCTGTTCTTGTATTACTTGCTCTGCTTCATCTTCTGAAGGTATGTCAGTCACTATCCCCACTTCTTCATCGTCGCCATTTTTCCCCCCTGGTGTTCCTGACGCTGATGCGGATTTCTTCTTTCCTCTATTCTTTCTTCTTCTGACAAACAACATCTTCTTTCCTTGCCTATAGCTATCCAACATTTTAAGCAGTACATGTGTCAATAGAATGACTGCTTTCAGATAACCATAGGATTGTGCTTTGTAACATTTGAGAATTTCCACAAACAAATCAAAGGCGGTTTGCTCGTAGAAAAGATTTTGCTGAATATGCTCAGCAATATCACGATATTCCTCATTCTCTGATTTATTCATAGTGCTTATAACCAACAGCATCTGCTTGAAGCATTCGGCTGCCATTTGTACATCAAACCATCCCTTCTCGTCTAATTTGATACGCATATGTCTTAAGGTGAATAGGACAGATTTGAGATTGATAGCACTGGCGATAAGAGCAAAATCAAAATCCTTATCATTGCGTTGTATGGGGTTACTAAGCGAATCCGTACTGTCTGTTGGTAAATAAAATTCATCGGCTTTTCTTTGTTCTGTTGCCTTCTGCTCGTATCCAAAGTACTCCAAAAACCAATGCATCGTAAAGTGATAACGTACATAATCAGCATTTGTAATTCTGTCGTCTTCCCGTTGCATATCTTTTAAAATACTTCCATAAAATGCTATACGAACTTTGTGAGTAACCAACGTCTACTGGATCTGTTCATAACAAAGGTTGGATAACGTACCATTAAAACAAGCGATAAGAAATGATTGAGCTGTCAATTTGAGATACATCAAGGATTTTCGGTTTTGGTAAACTTTTTGAATTCGAATACCATCACCAAGTTTACGTTTAGTGCCGACTCTGTTTTCTTTCTTTGACGCATCAAATAGCTCAGCAGGGTCAGCAAACGCTGCTTGCTGTTTAGTTGAGATTTTTCTCTTTCCATCCTATTACAGTACAAACGCGGTTTGAGCATTCGAACGGTTGTTTGTTGTTAGGTTTCTTACAGTCTGTCCTTACGATATTAATCACATAAGCTCCACCAAATCGGTTATGGCGGGTAGGCGGATAACTAGTTTTTTGTCGCTTTCTTGCTTCATCACCTAACAGATTGGATAACCTACTTGTAATAGTCCGTAGTTCTTCCTTATCCTAACGTAATCAACGGATTAAGCTACACATACAGAGGCAATAACAGAAGACTGCTTTCGCGTAAACTTACTGCATCTCCTGTAAATTTATATAAGAAAACATCTTTTGGATCCACCGGTTTAAGGATGTAATAAATAGTCTCCAAAACTAGTAAGTTGTAATCAGTTGTATCTTGCTGTTTTTCACTATTTGAAGCGATCGTCAATAAGAATTCAATAACATCTGCTTCATAATATTGTATCACTAAATTCTCTTGCAAATGAGTTAGCTCGTATTGTTCGTAAGTGGCGGTTTCTGGCATGTTCAGATCCGGAATGGCTGTTAAATTTCGAAATAAATATAGAGCGAGACGAATGATTTGCTTATCTACAAGTGAACGGTCTCTAATCGTAATATATTCAAATCTTGTAAATTATATTGGTGACAGAAAGAGCCGAACTATTTGTTACTCTACCTTTGAGGAATTCGAACAGATTTCATGACCATAGATAAAATGGTTTCAAATATTCCTGGTCTTAGCAAACCCTTTTTATAATTTCGATAACAGTTCAACAAATTAGGATCTTCCTCTTCATCCACTTCTTCGTCACCTGTGCCTTTCTTTTCGACAGGCCAAGTCATTGGTACCAACAATTCAACTATAAGAAGAGGAAGCTTAAAATGAAAAACCAGTACAACTTCGAAATTATATTGAAACATAGAGTTCCATACCACATGCAAGAATGAACCGATGGGCTATTTCCGTCTTTTGATTTCGGAAAGACAGGATCAAAGGCACGATATCTGTCTCAATCAAATTATACTCGACAAGTGCATTTAAAACGACCTTTTCATTATTCTGACTATCTAACCGAATAGCCTTTTTCAAATCCTTTAGACAAGCTATTTTGTTTTAGTTGGCATAAATATTATAGTAACTTTTTTTATACTGTCAAAACTACCTAAAGCCTCGTCACCAATAATATACGTTTGTGTTATGGTTCCATCTTCCTCCTTGATCTCTTCCATTCCACCGATCGCTGAACATAAACTGAGAATGTAGGATTTGGTGGCCTGTATTTCTGCAGCATCGTTGTCCAAATAAGCTTCCATGTTATGCAGTTATGAGAAAAAGGAAAGTGGATTGAATAATGGAAGCTGATCCAATGTTAAGCAATGCTGATCAGAAAGTGCTTTCTTTTGACGAAATTGATTAGGTCCGTGTTAATTTTGGTCAAAATCAACACGCGAAGTCGCGTTATATGAAGCGGAGAATCAGGAGACTATGGCTGTTTGTCCCACAATCAGCTCGCATGACTGTCAGAATTCAAATAATTTGTTGCTATAAACAGAAAGGGGTGGTCGAGCAAATTAATCAACTGAGTCCGCCTCATTGAACACGTATATAGAGCTTCAAAAGCTCAACTGGACCTTTGAAGCGTTAGGATGAACGGACGGAGGAAGAAAGATGGACACAAAACTAGGCTAGTTTATTTAATATAAATTCAATTGCGTAATACTGAAAACAAGGTTCAATAAAATAACTAAAGGCTAACTCGAATACATGCTGAATCTGTGTGAGGAAGGAAGAGTGAACAAAAAGAAAAAAAGAAAAAGGCGCGCAAAAGTGGACAAGAACAGCATGAAAACCGAGTAGAATTAATCGTGCAATGGGTAATCGATTGCTTTCAAGGAAATCATAACTTGAATACCAGTGCAAACTCAACTAACGAGCCACGCAACAGTAACCCGCTTGACTAACGAACCAAAAATTTAGCGTTGAAGAAACTGTATCTGTGACCCGTCCGCTAGAATAATCAGCGAGCTTCAGTCAAATTCGTCAGTGGATGGCCTTTACACGAAGTTTAACTGTATAAAAGTTTATCTGCTCTCTTTGCATTTGTTACAACTCAAACATTGCTACAGAACAACAATTTTGATAAGTACTTCCATATCGATCATCAGCATTCGTTTTGAAGATAGTGAATACTCTAAACATACTGCAGAGGTTCATATTGTCCGTATGACGAAGCTCATTCTTCCCTATGTTTGAAGTTTATAACAGGATGGTGTACCATTGCTTATGCCTTGAGTATGAAGAGCATGATTTTACCTTTAAAATTACATCCTATCTTTTCCTTATCAAGTAAAAGGAGGGATCTCCACAACAAGATTGGCTTTAAATGAAGGATCGCCGTCGAACACAGGTTATATATAAAAAGCAAAAAAAAGTTCATGCTTTCCTACGTAGGTACCCTTAATCGAATCAAAGAATTTTAAGGTACCCAAATGGTCCTTGAGAACTGATGCACACGTCTAAGGAGGAAAGATAGGAACAGAAACCTTTTACGGGTTAAAACCAGGCCAAAAAAGGGAACAATTGCATGATGAACACTGTATGATGCACTATCCAATAGGTGTTAATCCTAGCAATCGAACCAACGAAATATTTCTTCTATACGGTTTTTTATACTTTATCACTATATGAAGCGCCTTAAATCTAACGCTTAGATCTCTCCTTTTTCGTATGATCCTCTCCTATCGTTTTTTCTTTTCTGCCTTGCAATTTTGTGTACTTTTCAGGTTAGGCAAAGTTACAGTTGTTGGCCTCATACAGCCCCAGCAATGTTACACTACCAGCAAAGAAACTTGATCTGTTTTTACAGCTCCTCTCCTTTCAACTTTGAAGTGTACACAGAGTTCAACGACAAATTTTTTCTTTCCATAATCCCCCCTATTCGACAGGACACACACAGTTGTACTCTTTTGTGTAAAAGAGCCTTGTTTTTCTGTTTGTTTCCTTCCTTTCTTTTTCCTTTTCTACTTCTATTTTGCAGCTTTTCATCAGTGCATTGGATCTCTTTTCGTGGAAGCCACTAAATACATTATAATAAAAAAAAGCAGAAAATGTACTCGCCAGATCAATGGGAAATTCTTTCCGAAATTAATAGTGTCACTTGCATTACTATCATTTCACTGATATTCGGAAGAAAAGTGGCTAGTATTGATGGACCTTTACATTACGTTCGACTTCTATTGCTGCTAATTTATGGTGCAACCTGGGCTTTCTGTTTGATTGCCTGTATGTTAACCAGTACGAATAACGGCAACCTCGTATCATGTACCTTGACCAACTTCAATTGTATCATCATCTATACAATCACGAAAATATTTTTATTTCTTTATTTCATTGAGAAGGTAAGAGTAGAAACAGCCTTGTCTCAAAATTGTAAGGCAGTTACAAACGTGTGTTCTACAAAAATTGCCTCTAGATCCATATCATATCGGTTCCGAAGACATCCCGCTTCAGATCACCTTTATACCTTGTAAACCTTGGCCTTTTGATTCCTCAAATTGCAGTAGTAGTCCTGCAGGTTATATACCGCCTCAGTATTATTCGCAATCAATATCCATTTCATTGTTTAGTCGGTTATGGATTGCCAGCCACTGCTGCTACCCTCTGTTATGATGTCCTTTTATCTGCCTTATATATTGGCATCTTTGTCAAGTACTATTATTTCCCAAATACGGCTCAACAAACAGCCCATCAATCCTCTTCATTACACATGATGGCAAAACGAAATACTATTGCAGCCATTACTACTTTATTGACATCAGCTATCAACTATGTGCTTCTAATTTGCTTAGGCGGAGAAGAACGTGGATTGGTTGCTTCCAGCGTAATCACTTTGGTAAATTGTTTTTTCTCGGTATTACAACTGGTATCGACCTGAACTAATCACTGGGAACTTTCTTCATTCTTTTTTTCAAATATAGTGTCTCACAATTGACTGTATGCTTGTGCATTGGGGTATGCTCTCATTTATAGACTCAGGGAAAGACATGTATCCTTAATTCTAATTCTCTTTTCTATAAAATAGTTACAACACATCCCGCGGAGATTCAATTGAATGAAAGAGCCCTTCAGAGAGTCAACGGAGACAAACCAGCCAGATTGGAGATCAAACAACATCAAGAAGTAGTCATTTTAACAGAGTTGAACAATCGAGCTTAAATTAGTATGAAGTCCTTTGTCATCATGAACAACTACTGATGCCTTGTGCACCCGACTATCGCAAGGTTTTCAGCCCTCTTTCTTTTTAGACTACCTTCCTCCTTTGTTTCCTAGTTCTTTTATATATACTCCTTACTCCTTAAAACCTTATTTTCTTAACTAACTAATTCTTCCTTACTTAATTTGCCCTCTTTGAAAATGCGCAATTCATAGCATTACACAAACGCATTTGTAGCACATGTGCTTAACAATATTCATCATTATTTTTAATTTTCAATAAACCCGGCATTTTCATACAATGGAAAACGTACGAAACAGCGAGAGATCAATAGAATACACGCGTGCAGAAAAATTCAACACTCACACCTCCATTTGTCTACATCTTTCTGTCCGTATTCTGCTCGCTTAAATGCAAAGTGAGACAAATGGCGATATGACAACTACTGTAACACAAGCTAAAACGCTAGCTGGAAGCGTTCATACAGCAGCAGCGAAAAGGCCCCTGACTCACACCGTCATCACTATCGCTGACAAAGGCTTTTTTTTAGTTTTCATTTTGATAACGTTAAATATATACATGCAAGGTAGAAAAAGGAATTGAAAGATCTAATAGTTATATATGTAATATATAGGTTAGTTAGGTAACATCTGCTTAAGGAAGAAGCTTATTTCTTGAAGCTTTTTCTGCCTTTTCCTTTAAAGATTGGTTTGCCCTTCATCTTGTTATATCCGCCAAGTTCAGCAGATGATTCAGCAGTATTTGACTTAGCGAAGCGTCCCTTCTTTCCTCCAGATCCATACTTTTTATCCTTCATTACTCTCTTCAAACTCTTTGTAGGTTTGTCCTTATCCTTCTTTGCGCGTTTGGTATCTGCCTTTTCTAAAGCAATGTCAAAGTTATCATCCACAGTTAAATCTTCACCGCTCTTTCTCTCTGTTTTTGAAAGTGTAAGATAACATCAGTAAACGCATAATTCTTTTCCTTACAAAATTATAATAGTAAACATACTTCTTTTCAGTAATTTGATCTTTTCTAGTGTTTCTGTCTTTTGTTTTTGTCGTTCTAATTGCTTCTCAATCTGAACCTTCTTGCCAAACTTTTTGAGTTGACGTTGACGTTTAGCATCCTCAGCTGCCTTAATAGCTGCCTTTTCATTGGCCAATTTCTTATTGATCTATATAGCAGAAGATCATTTGGAGCGTTAAAACAACTGCGTACACAAAAGGCACTAGATGGGTATCTTTCAATGCTGTTTACCTTTGCCATATGTTCATCACTCTTCACCATTTCAGCGAAATAGTCGTCAGGCTTCCAAAAAGGCACATCTGCTTTCTCTACTAATTTCTTTCCAAGCTTTGCTGCTTCCAAAGCTTGTTTATAAAATGCTAGTTCACGTTCCATATCATTATTCACATCTTCAACAACAATAGGTTCTTTGGATGTAATGGTCATTGTTTCTATCCAAGGTAAGTTTTTCAGTTTAAATTCTTCAGTAATGCGAGTCATGGCGGCCTATGTGGTCAACGATTTACAGATCAAGTAAGTTAATGGACTAACATGGACACAACAAACGTAGATGCAACTTTCTACAAGCATACCTCATCATTAATTTTCGGCTTTGGCACTAAAGCTTCTTCTTCTTCCTTTTCTTCTACTAGATCTTTGGGATCTTCGTTATCACTGCCGCTTTCGCTGGCTGTTTCAACGTCACTTGGGATCTGTTCTTCTTCACTTTCAATGGGAACAGCATCAGGTATTTCCTCCTCGTCTATTTCTTCCTCCTTTCTTTTATCGACTTTCTCAATAGCTTTTTTAGCGGCTTTTCTGGCAGCTCTTTCTGTTTTTCTGGACATATTTCAGAACGCTTAAGCAAAAGTGAAGAGTCTTTGAATTGTGGGACTTTTTTTGGCAGGATCCCAAAATTACAATTGAAATAAGCGGCAGTAAATATGGTCACAATGAAGACATAAGCCACGGAGACTTAAACATCAATCCAACTTTCCTGCAATTTATCGGGCTTGAAAAACTAACCTTCTTCAACTCTATCCTGAGATATATTGAAGAGATGGCCAATTTAGTAGAACTCACTAACAAATTGTCGACAACGTTCGAAGCCTGTCTGGGCAATATCTTATCTACATCAACACAACAAGAAGAGCAACGGCTACAACAAAACAATAAAAAAGCTCCTCAAGGTACCTCATTCATAGGCACGCAATATGCAAAAGAAAACGACACGTCTAACTTTTTACGTGCCATGGTAAAGATTTAGATACCCAAATCACTAACCTAAAAGCAACATTCCACGAAATCGAACGAGGGATTAATGATATTCGTTTAAAAGCATTAAGCACCAAAGAAGTATCTGCTATAGAGGTAAAATAATTTAGGGTAATGCCAAGTTATAAAGCGGCTCTTGAGTTTGCTTACGATTTGTATCTAATTGACACGGCAAAACTGGTAGTCCAATAAACTTCTGAGAGAAGACATTGATATCAAAAGGAAGGCAATAGAAAAGTATATTACCAAAATTGAAAGGTGGGAAGAAGAGCTACCCATAATATTAAAAAACGCTAGAAAAGCCCTAGCGCTACGAACAGATGGGCAAGATTTCGATGCTACACATGTAGCTATACCTCCACCGGCAACAGACCTTGAACCATCAGCTACAAATGACAATGCGACATCCTCTCCAAGCAGCTCCGACCATCAGCAAGCTGCTACAGCAACTGCAGAGACGACATCAAGTGTACCTGCCGATCAGCAGTCAAGTGCCAAAGCAGAAGAGACTGTTGAAGAAGCTACAGCGACTCATATGGATGTAGATGATGATGAAGATGATGACGATGATGACGTGGAATTTGAAGAAGTTTAGCTCAATATTCACGTAACATTCATCATGGCGGTTTATTAATGACAATTTGAGACAATATATCCAACCATTTCGTCTCAACATTTCAACAAAATATGTATTGCATCTAGTGGCTTCTAATAAAAGGAAGTTTTTTTTTTTCGTGCTGCCTGAGAATCAAAATATACGTGTCATTCTAGCTTGCTACTACCTTGATTCTCTGAAGCACTATTCTCATTTGCGTGCTCATCTTTTTCGCTATCGTCCTGTTCAGCGTCCTCATTCTCTTGATTGAGTACTACAGTATCTTTTAACTTTCTTCCAGGGATGACTTCTAAGAAAGCCTTTTCCCAATCACGATGCTCTACCCACTTTACCATAATTTCGAAAACTTGATTCACAGTCAAGACTTTTCTGGTAGACATTTGCAAGTGGTCGCCGATAGGTAACTGTCCTGTTGTAATACCTTCTTTGTCTGCCTTATCTTTGCATAAATTCTGTTGTAAAAACTCTAGTTAGTTGACCTTTATCGTAGGTTATTTCAGTTTCGATTCATTCCATACTTTATAACGATTTTTGTCGACAATACCGCCGATAATATACGTTTTCCCTTCTTCCAAATCATGAATAACATTATCAGAATCTGCTGTGAGATAGACCAAGTCCTCCTTTTTAAACTCATCCAAATACGTATTCGACGTAATTTTGATATTCTTCCAATTTTGCCATGCAGGTGCTTTATCGTCCATGTGTTTTTTCAATATGTCGTCGAACGAAGTAATAGCTAGCTTTAATGATTCTTTACCCGCTCTCACATTTGCACTATAGGTTCGTATAATTTGCTGTCGTAAGGAGCTCACTTCTTTATCATTCATGTAGTCGGAGAAGGAGCAGTCCAGTACAGCGCCTATATTCCCCACTGTCATATCTTTCGCCCTGGGCTTCTTTGGAAGTCGTTCTACGACACCCTCGTCTTGCAGTTGTCGTCGTTCTTGTCGCTTACGCTTATGTTTCTCACGCTTCATTTTTGTACGTTCGGCTCGCTGTTCTTCCCATAGTTCATCCTTAATTAGACGCTTAATCGCGTTTTTACTGAGGCCCTTAAAACGTGGGTCGGTAATGTCGTACTCCTTTCCACGACAGGTACGGATGTTTGATTTTCTCTCTTCTGCCTGGCTATTTGTACTCGCATCCGGTTCGTCTTTTTTTTCAAGTGATGTCTCAGCAGTACTTTGTGCTAAAGATGCATCAGTAGCACCTGTTTTGTCGTTATCGGCTGCTAAGCTATCAATGACTGTTTCTTTTTCAAGTTGACTTGACATTGGTGAGATTTCAGATCGATGTCAGAAGAAAAAAAAACAAACTAAAATTGGGAAAATTTCAGGACCAAAAAGGAACAATTAACGTGACTCTCGGCGCACTAAGTTGATGGTAGTGTACGGAGAAAAAACTGTTTTTTCTTTTATTTTGTTTGCTTTACAGTTTAATTTGGAAATAGGACAATGTGGGGGAGATAAAACCGATTTAAATAAATATTTTCAGTTAATGTGTCTTTGCAATTTCTATACAGAGACACAAAAAAAAAAAAAAAAAACGTCAGTCATCCCTTTAAACAGTTTCTTTTATCGTTATATCCTCTTGATGTGTTTAAACCTACTTTGTACATCGGCAATAGCTTGATCGAGAATTTGTTGTTGAATCTTGGGGTCTTGTAGATCCTTGTTAATCTTTTCCATCAAATAAGCTGCTAATTGCTTCTGTTCACGCTCACGGAGATTAGCTTCGTGGCGGACCCAAGCATCCAAAGTAGTCTTGACTTCGCGAGCAACATCGACTTTTTGCTTAAGTTGGAAAGCTTCTGCTTCTAATTTGGCTGTTTCACGGGACAATTCGAAAAGTGCCTTAGTTACATCAACCAGATCTTTCATTTGTCCAACTTCATCAATTCGTTCCTTAACAGCAGTCTTATGATCTTCACGTGCTTGGATCAAAACGTTCTTGATACGGTTAATGTGCTCGTTTGCCATGTTGTTGAAAGGTTCCCTTAAGTATTTGAGAAGAACCACGAGCAAACCAGCAGTGGAAATCAATACCAAAGTCTCTTCATTGACGACATAGATTTCCTTTGAAATGATATAGGTAGCAAGGCCGGTACCTAAGGTGAGGAAACCAGTCTTAGAAACAAGGCTGTTGCCGGGCAAAGAGTTGATGATACTATTGGCCTTTTCTTTGGGATCAGCTATCAATACATATAAAGAAGCGTTAAGCGATATGAATATTCTAGCATTATTTTCGCTTCTTATCTAACCTTGCTTTTGAGTGGTATAGTGGCGGATGACAGTACTACCAACAGATCGGCGAGCAGTAGCTGCTAATGTAGGACGAGTGGCGATAGCAGCTATTCAAGCAATGTAGGGTCAGTATAATACATAATTTGACCATTTGTACTCGATGACTTACCAGCTGCAGCGTTCTTTGAGATTAGACGAAAAGCCATTCTAATAGTAAGGATAAGTTAGAAATAGAAATACTAAGTCATTCCAAATTTTACAAAAGGTTTCGCAATGAATGCCGTTATCCCTAATGGAGCTCCTTACGTCTGTCTATACAAAAGTGATACACTTGATTGATATGAGTTGTGTAATTGAAAATACGGGGAATTTACTTTTTTTCCTGCTGGATTTAGGCGGATCCCCTTGTTTCTCAGCTTAAACCACGCAGGACTTGAATGAACGACTCGAGGACCTTTTTTGGTTTCTCGCTTCTGGGAGCAAGGGGCACAATAGGCGGGCATCCTACGTCATCGACTCCACATTCAAAGATGGTAATTGACGGCGAATGAAAATAATACGCCAATATCGAAAAAGAAAAAAATTAAACTTTCGCGCTTTACTTCTTCTTTATGCTTGAACTAAATTAAGTATGAGCTGTCCCACTTTCAATGTTCCTATCGGTATTCCAGTTTTTGGGCTAGGATTTGCCTCAAATAACCAATTGATCATTGGTGGTGGCGGAGGAGCCTCTCGTTCAGGTGTCAAAAATAAGTTGGTAAGTAGAAGAGAAGAAAATACAAGTCGTCCTTATAACGTGCGACTTCTGATGACAAATAAATAGGCCTCTTATAAAATAGACATACGACGCAAAGACCTGGAAGAGGACGCGACATTTGAGTTTGAATCCGAAGAAGATGCACCCATGTGCATAGATATCCATCCTACTGTAATACACCGAATACTTTTGATGATTACGATAACCCCTTCATACAGCTCATCGACAATCAAAATGTGCGTAGGAAATGATTGCAGTGACTGGTGTCAATGAGCAAGAGAGTAATATAAAAATTGGAATGAATAAAAACTGTCGAGTGTTCAAAATCTTGGAAGACAAGTAGGTAGCAGACACTAACGATAGAGTAAAGACTGGCATAATTTGTTAACTAAGCTGCTTGAAAGATTTGAACATCAAAAGTCATTGAGCACCTTGGAAAGTCGCAAGGCAGATGACTATCAGGTATGTACCGTAATGAATGCCCTACGAATTTCTTACATATCTAAAGACTATTTTGCCACAGAAAGTAGTCCGTTTCAGTGAAGACGGTACACTTTTTGCAACAGGTACCACTGATGGGAATGTGAATGTGTTTAAATTTCCATCGTATGAATCGCTTTGTCAGCGTATCAACGTAGTAGAAAATGATGAAATCTTAGACGTCGATTTCAACCTTGAGAAAGAGAAGCTTATCTGTGTATTAAGGGACGCGTTAAAATTAATTAATCTACGCGGCAAGAATACAGGCCAAACAGTACAAACAATTCCCAGCTCAACTCTGATCAAAAATATGAAATCTAACTTCAGAGCTTTCAGGTAAACCCAATGAAGTGGATGGGTAACAATATTGCTCCCTATGGCTAATTGTTGGTTATCAGATACGGCCGCAAATTTACAAAAGACTATGGATATGCAGCGTTAAATACGGTGACAAAACCTGGTGGTCACATCATCAAATTTGATGCTTATTCATTCGAGAAATTGAAAATGACTAAAGTGAGCAACAAGCCTATTACATCCTTCACTATCAGTCAAGACGGTGCCTTGATTGCTATTGCAAGTGCCGATCTAAGTATAACACTGCTAGATGCTCAGGCACTCAAGGTGAGATCAAGAATAATTTCGATAGGGTGCACTAGAAATACTGTTTACATAGGTATATACTTCTTCCTCCTTAGGTATTAGTCAAGATAAAAGATGCACACAGTTTTTCAATTACTTCTATCGCAATAAGTCCGGATCGACGAATTCTAGCCAGTGCTTCAGCAGATAACAGTTGTCGAATTGTATCACTTCCTCTTCAATTTTCATCGCAAGTAACAATTAATCCTCTCTATACAGTTCTATTAGCCTGTGCTATAGCTGGATTGTTGATTTGGGTGCTGTCCATTGTGGATCTTCAACCTATGATTGATAGCTCCAACAATCAACACTCAATAATCAACTCAGTGAACTCGGATTCTGTACAGATGGTGGATACAGCTGCATCTAACATAAACGTAATTGACAATTCCAAAGCAAGCCCTCTCCTTATACCAGATACAATTACTGCTACTGTCGTAAAAGAAACTGATAAGGTTGAGAAGACGAAGGATGAGTTGTAGTAGTTATAGAAACCTAAACAATGAATTCATCTTTTCCGCATCATCTGTACATTTTATTTCTTCAACTCTCTGGTGAATAAACGCTTGAATATGAAGTTTACGGCAGTTTTAGTTTGTGAGAATCACTTAACAGGTGGTTTATTTTTCTGTTGTATCATTCGCAAGGTTAAATAAATTATTGTTGTTCATCTTTGAATTGCTTAGCCCACTATTAAATCTCGTTAGTGTTATCGAACTCTAACTACAAAATCTTTATAACCGTTCACTTACCAGCATTGATGGGATCCATCGAGTAGGTTGTTGGTATCGAACCTTTACAAAATCTGTATCAGTATCAGTATGAAATGCTATTGCGGTCAGGCTAACTTACTTCTTTCTCAGCAGAGACACTCCAAATAGCACCCAACGTAACTGCCATACCAATAGCAGCTACAGCCGTATTTGCCTTCCAATTCCTGGGTTGTGCCCACCAGCCACCAGCAGGTGACCTATGCAATGAAGACAGAAGGTTAGAACCGACAAACTTTGAAAGTGCGGGGATGTTGAACTTCACTCTACCAAACTTCTTTGGGATAAGGATAACGTTTAACAGCACCCTATGTTCAATGAATAAAAGGACCGTTAATGTGCTGTCGATTGCAATTCAGCATGGGTCAATTCTACCATTATTGTATAGTTATTTAAAGTATGGTTTCAGAATTAGGATAACAAAAGTATGAAAAATCGAAGAGTAAATGATTTGGAAGAAGTGCGCCCTGGAATTTCTTTCTGTCAAACTTCGCTCAGACGTCATTTTTTTTGTTTTCTTTTTGGGAGTGAATTCATGGCTTACGTAATAAGAAAGAAGGGAAATCTTTTAATTGATCTTGGAAACTGGTAGATGTATAATGGAGATTATGGAGAAAGTGATCCTAATAGAATGCACAATGAATCACACTTTTTTGAATGCTTTTCGAACCAACTTTAAGAATTTGAATAAATCTCGATCTTCGTTCAATTGAGAGAGCAAAAAATCAAGATTGGGTATTTGTGGTTCACAATCAGATACTAATAAAAGGCAACAATCAGCAAAACAGAGTCTTCAACTTCACAAGAATTTCGCCGAATGATTTTACCTGTGTATATATTAGTATTGCCAATACCGACTTGCAATGAATAAACCCTTTCAGGATCTGTAATGTCAATGTATTTGAAAAGGAACCGTAGACTTGTGGCTACAGATGATATCAGTCAAGACAGTGAATAAACAGATTACTACCAGTGCTCGTTGGGAAACAAACACTTACGAGAAGGTATAATAATTTCTAACTGTAGAATTTTTGATAATGCTTCAAACTCCAATTGCCGTACTGTAGCCTCAATCTTTGCGTCTTCATTCCTTCGTAACTGTTCTTTTCGCAATTGTGAACATCTCTCCACTAACAGTTCGCAAACTTTATTCGCGCTAGCCTCTTCAGACTCTAACTGCGCACGTTTCGCTTCCAATTGTTGTTTCCTTTGTATCAGTGATGAATCCTCACTACTTTCTAACTCTTTAACCCATTGGAAGTTTTTAGTAGCGTGATCACATAGAGTAAAGCTTTCCAATTTTTTACCTTTTTGCTTTATGGTTACATTTGCCTTGCGTTTCGCGATCTCCTCTAATAACTGCGCTTTTCGCTCTACAAATAGTAAGAAAAAGTTGAATAACTGAAAGCCATAGTGACATGCAGTTCTTATAAGGTGTCAATATACCTTGCGTATTCTGTCGTTCTCTTTGTCTCCAATCATCTAACGATTTTGATTTACGTGCAGCATTTTCTTTGGCAATTTGATATTCTCTCTTCAAATCGTTCAATTTTGCCTGCAGTGTCTGTTTATATGCACGTAACCGGTCTTCATCATTTTTGATCTGACCAATTGTTGTCAATTCGGAAAGAGTCATCATGTTTGAAAAACTCGATAACCAGAAGAAGTTTTTAACGATGAAATACAGACATTCCTCTGTCATGTGAGGAAGACAACATTCAACTCCGCTCTTGATTTTGTAGGGAGAGCTTTATGAATTCTTAGAACAGCTTATACAAGGTTATTCAGTAGATATAGAAAAGAATACTGTAGATAGAATCGCCTTCCTTTGATCATGATTATGGTTCGCTATGTTAGGGGAAATAAAGATTCAAATACTCACTGAACGCTCAGATCGTAAGGTCCGTTGGGTTAGACCGTCAATTATCAATTAACTGTTTCTTTATAGTTCAGGGTTATGATAAATGTATTGATCACGGTTAACAGATTACCTACTGACCCCGTTCCCACTATCACTACTTGCCGATTAATACTCTAGCTTACATCAATCTATATTCAACACCTTAAAATAGCTTGCACAGCAATTCTGAAAATTTTCTTGAAGCGAAAAGTTTCCAGCTGTGTTTTTCAACTAGTAAATCTGACGACCTTCACTTAAGGATGCTCATAACAATTAGAGCAAGCATGTAGTGCAAATGTCTTTCTTTTTTTTTTGTCTTAGATATTGTTTATTTACAGATAACAGTCTTGTAATAATAGCTAACCTAGATTGATAATTCATTTTAAATGATCTTCAACCAGGAAAAATGTTACAATGGCTGGACGGATAGACTTCAAGGTTTGAATATAAAAAATAATCTAAATGAAAAGACTTCAATTCAATTATTTCTTAGATTTCTTTGATTTATGCTTTGCTAATTCTTCTTCTTCTTCATCTATGCAAATCGAAAGCAAGGCGTAAGTCAATTGTAGAAATCTAAACTGCTATTCACAACTCTATTACCTTCGGAGTCAGAACCAAGCTCGATTTCTTCGTCAATATCTTCGTCAGATTCATCGCCTTGATAATAATCAAGGGCGTTAGGGAAAATATCCTCACTATCGAGAGCATAATTGATAAATATTTAGCTTGAGTTTTTCGAAACAGCTTTCTATCTAAAATTTTCATTTACGTGAGTAAAATGCCCATACGAGCATCGTCGTTACTGAACCAATCAAGGAATTCCATTCCATCGAAATCATCGTCGTCATCGTTAGCCTTACGCTTCTTCTGGTTGGGGGCTTTATTTTCATGATAGTCAATGGTAGACTTTGAGATGACAGTTGCGTCAGACTCAGGGTCAATGGTGAATTCCTTGACTAGTGTTTCGTTTTTGAAAACGTTGTTCTTTTTGAAGGTCTACAATCATTGACAAAGTAAATGTTCACGTTCTACTAGCGTTAGTTTATAACATGAGATACGTACAGCAGTAACCTTACGGTAGTCGGGCTTGTTATCATCATATTCGACATGGAAATCAACCAAATTTTCGATAGCTTCGATGTCGTTATCGGTAGGATCCATCTCACTCAAAGTAGAGTTAGTGAACTACAAAACAATTTATGATAGAAGATAAGACATGCTTAATGGTTTGAAGCATTACTACAGATCTATGATGTGCGAAATTTTATGTGTATTTACAACTTGATTCCAGAAATTAGGAATCTTTTTGACCATCTCACGACGCTTTTCCCAAATGGGGGCCATGAGCTTACGGTGGTAGGCTTGAACTTGTTCGGAAACCTTCATGGCTTCTTCTTCAAGAACCATAAGATCGTCGGTAAAAGCTTCTTCGGCGGACATTTTTGAGCGTTTGTAGAAGTTTGAAAAAGCTAAAGAAGGGATAGAAATGAAAAAACTTCTATCGCGTTCAGTCTTTGGGGACGAATACTCCTTGCAAAGCCTCTGAACATGTAAGACGGTCACTTCGCTTGCATAATATTATGCAGAGTGTTCGTGTTTTCGTACTCAGATCGTTTCTGCTTTTCCAAATTGATTTTTTTGATCGGCAAAGTTAAAAGTACGTCATAACAGAGAATATACAAAATGTGCATGACAATAATCAACACTGTACCGTTATTGTTGTGTTGGAGATCAACTATTGATAAGTGCTATTCAATAAACGAGTTTGACATGCAAATCAGGAATGGATTTGTTATCAATACTTCTTGTATTTTCATTAACGTGTATTAGAGACCGTAAGAACATATATCATCTCGCTACACATTGGTACTTGCGAAAGGGCCTACATCATCGTTTATGTAAAATCAAATAAGTTAGTAGACAGTAGTTGAAGGGTCTTTAATTCCATTTGATAGTTTCGCCCTTCCTTTGTTCATTTCTACCGTACAAATGCAGTTTCGCCGACCATTATTAAAAATATATTGAATGCTGCAAAGGGTGTCTTCTAATGTTGAAATGACAGACGTTACCAATGATCTACAGTCACAGCTGATTATATTTGAGATCAATGAAAAGTTACAAAAATGAGGATACATGGCAGCTTAGACTAAAAAAAATGGTTCGTTTTTTTACAAAGAGTAAAGTGTCACAGAAACTGCCTTCTCTTTAGTAATTCCGCGGAAGTTCTATCTATAAATAAATAAAGAGGTTTAACAATAGCCAATACGCTATGGTCTCATTGAATTCGTGGAGGGAGCGACTTAAAAAAGTATGAGTGTGCAAAGGATTTTTACCTGCGAAGTTAAATATCCAGTAATTATTTGATAACTTCCTACCACTCGCTCTGCCAATGATCTGTCCAAACTGACGAACAATTGGGTCATTCCTACATCTACTGTCGGCTTATAAGAACGTAATAACAAGAAGCGTGCTCTTCTGCTAAAAGTGCTCTAGAATATATCTCTCAGAGGAGTCATAAAAGGATACTTGTACTTCATTTCAATGTTATAACACAAATGGAAGGCCGGGGGGAAAGTAAAACACCAAATGGACCCATGGAATACTCTTCTAGACGGCCAGTAAGCCACATAAAGTCTTGCTACCTACGAATTCAATAAAACTGTTTTTGCATGTTGTATATGTATTTGAGAGCACATTTCATATTGTTCACACGATAAGCCCTTAAATGCTTTAAACAATCTGTTCGAAGATAGCTGATGAGTACGCTAGATCACTGTCAAAAAAGGTATTGTTTCATCGATAATCTAACAGTGATCAATGCAAAATGCGAATATAGATAGCGGTCGAGTGTTACAGCTATCTACATGAACGACATAGGTTTAAGCTCGAACAGGTGATTGCCATCGTTGGCGATTCACTTCTCATTTGCCAGCTTTGCTTTGAACAGCAGCTTTTCTCTCTAGCTAAGTGAGATAAACAACTACCATATGACCGACTAATGATTGGAAAACAACCTAAAAAGACCAACCCAATTTCAAATAGCATACATTGAAATCTTCAAGCGTTGGTGCTAGCCTTGCCTTCGTTCATAAGAATCTTTCACCTCAGCTTCTTGTTCAACTTCTCCTTTATGCTCACTTTTTCTTTCAAATTGTTCCCTCTGCATCGCAGTAGAAAAGAGGTGTTAAATGAAATGGGACAGAGTTGCTTGATGAAATAAATTAGAAAACACGCACTCGAACTCGTGTATTTCTTCAAATTTTGATCTGGACAATTGAAGTATGCTCGTATAATAAAACTAGTACAGTGAATCGATAGGTTTTTTTAAGGAAGCAAAAAAATCTTTCAGTAGAATTCTAATGTAGAGTCTGTAGCTGGTATGAGTCTTTTCTTATGCTTTTATCATCAATGACTTCTCTGTGATCTTCAACAACGTTTCACAAACTTTTTTTCTGTCTCAAATTGAAATTAAAAACAGCAATCAACTAATTAACTGCATGCTCTAAAATCAAATCATTTAGGCTTTCAGATAATTAGCAGCCTGTTCAGCTTCTTTTCCCTATTTCTTTCTCTCATCAGTATTTTACAAAAAAAGTCTACGTGGTGCTTATGCTTTATCAGTCTATTTTACCCCCAGTATCAGTAGCAGCAGTAGATGCTTTGGATGTAAGTTATACAAGCTTTTCTGTGAGTTGAGTTTATTCAGGTTAATTTTCAATTTTCTCTTGCATGCATCTGTAACTTTGCATATCAAGCCTAACATAAATGCATATAATTTGTTTATGTAGTTGAAGAAGGATATATCCAAAAGACATACAATCGCTTCCTACTCAAATCATGGGTTCTACAGGTAAATAAATACCTTCATTGCGATCAATCACCTTAATAGAACTTAAAAAAGAATATTTCATTTGCCCCTTAATTTTGTGCATTTAATCAAAATTCGACGATAATGATTTCTCTCATGCCTTAAATAGAATATTCAAAGAACCTGGTCTTCCTTTCATTCAGCAACAACTGTCTAAAAAGGATTCAATGCTGGCTCATATTAATTCAGTACCTGGGCATTCACAACCTCAGATCACCGGAAGAGATAAATGGCATTTGAAACAGCAACATAACAGTGCTTTACCCGAATTTAGACAATTTAAAATCAATCGAATTCAAGACGAAGATGTTTTATCCGTTAAAGAGCAATTATTGCAACACTGGGAAACAATCGAAGGCTATTATATCAAGCGACTCGATTCACTTCAGAAGGAAATTAATAATGCCACTTTACACAATGAGAAATTAGCATTGGCAAAGGAAGAGCTAGTACAAAATGTACTTCAATTACATAATAAATCGATGGAATTAAGCATCAAAAATGAATCTCTGACAAGAGCAATAGCTGAACATCAGAACCGAATCAATGCATTTATGTACAACACTGGAAACTATGACAGTAGCAATTATAAATATGCTGGTTATGTAGATGGTGTCACTCTGGTCGATTTACCTTGCAGTCAACAGCAAAGCAGTAACTCCCCACCGTCAACTCCACCTTCGCAGCAAACGAATAATGATGAATTTTTACAACCGCCTCCTGCTATATCAATCACGGAACCTGCAGTATTAAATACGCACGCTATTGCCGCATCCACTGATATCACCAATAAATCACCGAAGAAAGATTCATCACCGGGTCTTTTTCGTCAACTAAGCCTTCGACTTTCGGGCAGAAGAAAGAGATCCGTAATGCGGCATGATAGCAGTAGCGATAACGGCGTTCAAATCAACGTTGTCCAGCCAAACAACTCTTCTACAATTACATCCAGTAACTCTATTTTACATATATCCAACCCTTTGTCATCTGAAAAGCACCATCATCATTTATCTGTAATACATCAGCGAGGAACGAACAATAAGGCTGCTGAGCAGCAACAACTTTTACACCCTGCTGCTGTGTTAAGCACGTCCCCATTAACACAACAAGGAAACAGCAACTTTTACTTTCAGCAAAAGCAGCAATCATCACAACCGCAAGAGCCCACTACTGCCACTGGTAGTGGTGGTGCTGGTGTAAACAACAATAACAATTATAAATCAATTTTCGGAAATGATCTTGTGGAACAAGCAAAAGCAGAAAACTTGTTAGTACCTTGTATCATTTCTCACTGTATAAAGGAAATTGAATCAAGAGGTCTAGATGTAGAAGGCATTTACAGGAAATCGGGTACCTACGCTCAAGTGAAAGAGCTTCAAAAGGAGTTTAACCGAGAGAATCCAGATCTTTCGAAATATGATGATGTGAATGTGATTACGAGTTTATTGAAATTGTACTTTAGAGAATTATCTGCACCGTTGATTCCAAATTATTTCATACGTAAAGCGCAAAATGTTGAAAAGCCATGAGATTGAATTGAATCTAACTAGCAGTTATATTGTATTTGCAGTGCCTTCTTCTTTAACAGATCAGGAACGACTAAACAAGACATATGCAATACTTCATCAACTTCCTCTGGAAGTATACAGCACAGTTAAACAGCTTGTGCAACATTTAAAAAGGTAAGCATGATCATCCAGAGAAGTGATATATCACGTGCTTAATTTTAACTTCTGAACTCTTGATCATGAACAATAACAGAGTCCACCAGCATCAATCAACGAATCGCATGAATTCCAGGAATCTAGCTGTTGTGTTTGGACCAACTTTGATGAGATGTTCAAATGGTGATCAACGAATGCAGGATATTATCCAAACAGTCGACTTTTTAATACAACAAAGTCATATTTTGTTTGCTGACTATTAGCACATACACTGTGCTATAGATTTGTAAATCACAGATATCCCCCGTTACCCCCAATTCAAATCGTTCTATTTACCATTTACCTGTAGTTTCTCATCTAACCCTTATTTTACTTTACTTTTACGTATTTTATACTTTGATTTTCAATAAAATAGTAACACTCTTCGCTGGAAGAAGGGGCAGTTTATTATTCTTATCGAGTCAAATACATAAGAATGGAATATTATTTACAAATTGTCAATTGTATTATCCTGACTCTTTTAATTCAATTGTTCAACTAGACCAGTTAGAGTATTTTGATCCAAGGGTATATAGAAAATTTCTGTACCATCCAATGCCTTTTTCGTTGATATCAGTTTATGGTCTCTAAATTCCGTCAGCTCTGTTCTTAATGCCAAATCACTAGACACAAAGAATTGGTCTCTACATTTTTGATAATATTGACCATAAGTCAAACCGACTGTCTCGTTGCCACGACCCTCCATATTACTCTCTGCCATTTCTTGGAGTTGATGCTCAGCCAATATCTTGAACACACCACGAGCGTTTGTCGTGAGTGAGTCCAAGACATATTTCGCGCCTCTTGCGCCACCCACTTCACTAGATCGCACCAACAGAGAGTTCTCAAAGCTAGTTTCCACCAAATAATTATCAAAAGTGGTTGCATCATGCCAAATCCAGTTAAATCTTGTTGACTTTACATTATCCCATAAGAGACCAGTATTGATATGATCGACGGAAGCGATGACATGGATATTAGTGGCACTAGCAAGCATAGATAAAGCAGCCTGCGTCCTTTCATTACGGAGATTAGCACCATCTAGATTATGTATCAAAATATACAGACACTCATACTCCCGATTGTCTTCTGCAAAATAGTCACAGATAAATTGAATATGATCTTGCAAAGAACCTGTAGGACCGGTGAGCTCCAGGGCGCCAGCCGTGATTTTCAGTAAGATATCTTTTATGGAAACAGATGGGAAAAAACCATTCACCACGATCAACGGTCCTTCTGTCAAGCAGGTTTGAGCAAACTCGTTTAATAAATTACGTTTGGAACCGTAACCATAGAATAAGAGATTAAACCCCGAGTGAAGCTCAAAGTACCACTGTGAAAAAAATTGCCTATGCATGTTGGATAAAGTAAGAACTTCCTCCTTATGTTTGGAAGGAGCCTTCTCTAAAATATCTTTGAATTGCTGTGGTTCTAAGATTTGCAATTTCGACAGTGTATTATTCGAAGTTTTTGCTGTATAATGTAAATCTTGAAAGTAACGCTCATAACCCTCTTTTTCAAAGGTAGCTGAACTCTTTCCTCCTGTTGTACCATCTTCATCTTCATCTTCGTCTATATCCATTTTATCGGTTGGATGAGAATGTTGCTCATCATCTTCGTCGTCTTCAAACATTTCGTCTTCTTCCTCTTCATCAGCTGAATTAGCTCTATCGTTTCTCATTAATTCAACTTGTCTTAAGAATTTTCGTCGTTTCGTATGATCAATCGCTCGCTTCTTCGAAGAAGCCTGCTCCATTTCTTGCTTCTTTTTCGTTGATTTTTTGGTTCTTGCCGATCTCCTAACTGTTAATGATTCTGTTACTTCCTCTGATAGATTTTGATCTTCTATATCAGCTTCTGTAATAGCTGATGTTGCTCTCTTCATCATGGTATTGACAGATTTTCTTAAATTTGCCTGGAATTTGTAAATGCTTCTTCCGCGCAAATCCCTATTCTCTTTATCCATAATTTCGTCATTATCGTTCTCGTCTTTGCCATTATTGCCTTTATTTGTAGCACTCCTTCTGATCGTCTCGGCTTTGTCAGCTGCAATGTCATGATGACTTTTATTGTACTGTGTTAGGACTTGTGCTGTTTCTTCTGTTTGATCAATAGCCATGGCATCGGCTTCAACACTATCGTTAAAAAGAGCGGACGACTGCTGTCTTGACCGAAGACGTGTCCCTGAATTTGACGTGCGATCCTCACTGACGGTCAGGCCGACATCGATCTGGTTTGTGTTATTGCGTTTCACATGTTTGACTGACGATCGATGTTCTTTGACTAATTGCTCTTCCAACTTTGCACTTCTCGCATCGACAGTGCTCCGAATGTGAATTGGGATATCGATGTCAGATTGTACTAATATCTGCATGCTTTTTTCCTTATCTGACAATCAAACAGCAACAATGAAACAGGTTCTAACCTTGGCTATAGGCACTACAGAAACGAGTGAGTGGACAAGCTTTTTTTTTTCTTTTCTTTTCGGTTCCTGTCTACTTTATTAAATCGTCACGCACGAGCTTATTTAGAACTCAAAACACTTTTCATGCCGCGCGCGCTTCAATTATGTAAAAGCTTCAGTTTGGCAGCTTTAGGGTCATAGAAAGAAGCCACAACACAGTTGAACAATGAATAGCATAAACAAGGATGAGTACGTCTCTGCAATGCTTACTCTAGAACGCATTTTTTTATAGTTATTCATCCGTCTAGTCTTGACGTTTTGAAATAGTGTAGTCAAGTTAATCATTCAGTTTCTGCGAGAAAGCAATCTGAATCGAACTCGATCAGCTTTAGAGAAGGAGTCGAACCAGATATACAATACAGTAGAGGATAAAAGCAGGTTTATTCAAGATATCAAGGATGGAAAATGGGATATCGTTTTGAAACAAGTGACTCAGCTTGCCATTTCGGAAGAAAAACTAATCGATCTTTACGAACAAGTAACAAAGATAAACAGATTTGAAATTAAGGATGTATACAATTGTAACCTTCGCCTCAATGAATACCTTAGATTGTATTCGAGTTGATTGAAAATAATGAGCTTAGTGCAGCCGAGATTGTGCTGAGAAAATCAAACGTCTTACGATTTGTCAACGAAGAGTATCCGGAACGATATGAGATAATGGAGCGCTATTTAGATGAAGCAAAGACAAAATTGCCTCATAAACCAAAGTACACTTCCGAAGAAAGACGAACACGGATAGCAAAAAGTAAGTAGAGGAAAAATCAATACATTCGCACCTATGATTATTTCTGAATCAAACTGATGAAACACGATTAGACTTGGAGAAAGAAATAGCTGCGGCTCCCAACAGTCGGCTGTTATCGTTACTGGGACAAAGTATCAAATGGCAACAACTACAAGGTTCAATCACAGCAGACTCCATTTATGACTTATTTAGAGGCACTGTTACAGTTCAAAAAGCTGAACAAGATATCTTTGCCTCAAAGCCCTACGTTTCTGTCAAATTTCCCGCTCCTTCAGCAAAGCAGAGGACGTATGCTGAATGTGCTGCTTTTTCTAAAAACGGTCTCTATCTCGCGACAGGATCTTCTGATGGTTTTATTGAAATATGGAACTATTTGACGGGCAAGCTAAGAAAAGATCTGTCATACCAAGCGCAAGATAGAATGATGGCTATGGATAAAGCTGTGCTCTGTGTCGCATTTAGTCGCGATAATGAATTGTTGGCATCTGGGTCAGCGGATGGAAAGATATTTATCTGGAAAGTGAAAACCGGGCAATGTCAACGGAAAATAATAGCAGCTCATGCCACCGGAGCGGGCGTCACCTCGCTATGCTTCAGTAAAGAAAACAGCCAGATTTTGAGTGGCAGTTACGATCAAACCATAAAGATTCATGGTTTAAAGTCGGGTAAAATGCTGAAGGAATTCAGAGGGCATAGTTCGTTTGTGAATGCAGCCGTATTTTCAGTTGATAATACAAGGGTTTTGAGTGCCAGTAGCGACGGCACCGTTAAGATTTGGGATTGTAAAACAACGTCGTGTCTAAACACTATTACTCCTCAGCCTGCCATGGAAAAAGGACAGCTTTTGCCGATGGGAGGATTAGGCACAGCTGCTGTGCAGAGTATAACTCCGCTTCCCAGAAACTCGCACCAGTATTTGATATGCAATAAAACCAACACTTTATACGTTATGGATACACGAGGGCAAATTGTGAGGACCTTGACGCATAAGAAACCAGTCGGATCTGACTTTTTAACAGCAACACTGTCACCGCAAGGTGATATTGTCTACGCAGTCACTGAAGATAACTATTTATATGGATTTCAGCTTCATACAGGAGAAACAATTGCAAGTATAAAAATAGGGGATAATGAAGTCGTGGGGTTGACAAGTCATCCATTGACAAATGTTGTGGTAGCGCATGACGATGCTGGATATATGATATTCTTTAAGGCACCATAATAGCAATTATTTGCCGTGCAATAAAAATAGAATAGTTTCAGTCCATTGTTATGTTTGAACCCTTTATGTAAATACATTCATCGTTGTTCGTTCATTTGGATACGAACTTTTTACGTTCCTGTGGTTCAATGCTTGGCATGTGATTAAAAGCCAGCACTAGTTCTCCATAAAGCATTCCATTTGAAGAGTTTCAATTTAAAGCAACAAAAGAAGACTCACAATATTGAGTCTGTGTTAAAAAGCTGGTAACAGTAGCCCTCCAACAAAATACGTTAAAAGGAAACAACAGAAGAAATTAACTGACGATTACCGACACATGGTACGGACAAGGACGACTTTATCAACATTCTACCATTATAATGACCCCTATAGCTTCACTTCCTTCCAGACTGAGGGTGCATTATTTTTTTATCAGCCCATATACGAAGTAAAAGAGTTTAACACGCAGAGGGTCATAAAGCTTTGCAAGACATTATTCTTGGTTTTATCATGGTAATGGCTATAAGCTCTGTGCTGTTGGCCAAATTGACCTTCAGGGGGGGGGTGCAACCATTAGCTTCCTATTCATCAGTGAAAATACTACAAATCCGCTAATTAAGTCAACAGAGTAATCGACATGATTAATAATATAATGAGTTCTACTTTTTCATTGTAAAAGTAGAGCATAATGAGGTACCCGGCAATAACAGTTTATAAATAATGCGTTGCAAACATGTTGCAGGATTCGTCTACGAGAAGATTGTTATCAAATATTCTATTTTGCAAAAGAGTCGACATGCTTTATTATAATAGTACATCTTTACTACCTACAAGAGCTCCTCTTGCGGATTCATCAACAGATAATAATAACAATTCGGCGGCATCTAATGATAATAAAGGTGAAGGTACTAACGGCGAAGTAGGAGAAGAAAACCCTCGAAAGCAGCGTAAGGTGGTTATCTTTATTGTTCTTCTTGCCGGTGTACTGGCGCTTGGAGGTTTCTTTGCTATTAGTGAAGGCTTATCTGGAAGACTGAAATTATAGTTGATCCTGTGTTTGAATTGATAGAAAAAAAACTTACCCAATCAATAAGCTGAATCCTGATTTGTCACTTATCCGATTCCCCACACAAATTAGATAGACTGAACTTCAATTTGAAAAAGCTTATTTCCGATATCCAATGTAATACTTCTTTTCACAAAAATGACATAGCTCAAAAGTTATACCAACCCTTTGTCAGACATGAACGCATTACTGCATGCTTTTATAGTTTGTAGCTAACTAATAAATCATAAGCGAGACCAAGAAAAGCTGTAATAAAAGTTTATTTGATGATTTCTAAGCTATTTTCGGTGTAAAGCGGGCTACTTCGGTCGCGGTTTTGTGGAGATGCAAAAATCCAGAAAAATCCAATCAGATAAAGTACGAGTCTCTTTTGATTGGCTTACAGTCACAGCCCCCCTTTTAATCAGATTTTTTTTCTCGTTCTTATTGTTTGCAACACGCCCCCCAGCAAATATAAAAGAAAACTTTTTTTGGCAATGATACTGGTTCCTTTTCTTTTCTATATTCTTTTCTTTATTTCACTCCATTCAACGGACGTATTTATTATCATACAGTAAAAAATGTTGCGTACCAACTTCTCTAGTGCTATCCTTCGTTCTACTCGACTTGTCCAACGACCTATGACTCTTTCAGGCACTCGATTTTATCATGAAAAGGTTTATATCAGGAATGAAATGTGTATTATATAAGCAGACCTTGATGGACTCATTCTGAATTGAAATCATAGGTTATAGATCATTATGAGCGACCTCGTAATGTAGGCTCTTTCCCCAAAACAGAGACCAATATTGGTACTGGCCTCGTTGGTGCACCTGCTTGTGGTGATGTATTGAAATTACAGATCAAGGTCGATGATGCCACTGGAAAAATTGTCGATGTCAAATTCAAAACTTTTGGTTGTGGTTCAGCTATTGCTTCTAGTAGCTTTATGACAGAACGTGTGCGTGGTTTGACATTAGAACAAGCAGGACAAATCAAAAACACAGAAATTGCAAAGGAATTATGTTTACCTCCTGTTAAACTGCACTGTTCAAGTAAGTCGATGGATGGGAAAGGCCATGTGTTCTCTGTGCGGAACATTTATTAACATGACATTACTCTGTTTATCTTAGTGTTGGCTGAAGATGCCATCAAGTCAGCTATCGCAGATTATAAGAGAAAGCGTGCTGCAAAAACAGCAACAGCAACAGCAGCAGCAGCATCATCATAATTTTTAGTCCATTTTTTAAGTGGAGGTTGCTCCGGTTATGATTGGATAACATTTTAGCCCTAATATTTACTTATTCTAAGTATATTCTTATATACCTGATACCAGAAGAACTCTCTTGCAAGACGCAAAGTTACATTGTATAATAACAGATGGAGTTTCAATAGAATATTTCGTTCTATCTAATCCACATGCATAAAATAGAACAAATTGTTTGCTATCGTTTTCTTCCATTATTCTTGTGCCCCCATGTTAGCGTTCAATAAGAAAGTTATGCAGGTCATCTTCTTACTTCATATTGCTGTTTCGTAGATGCTATATTGCCTGCCCAATATTCAAAGTGAAACTGCCAAGTCCGCGTCGGAACTTTGACAGTTATGGATCAACTGTAGTTCTGTTTTACTTTGAAAGGCGCGTATAAGTTGTATTGACGCATAACCCAATAGCAGAATGTACTGGCAGAATCGTTTTTAAGAGATTCATCGGGATTACCATATTTATACAAATTTAACAAAGAACAAAAAAAAAAAAAAAAAAAAACCAAAGAGTAAAAAAAATCAAAAAAAAATCGGAGGTATATCATAAAAGTTTATTCTCACTGCTTGCAATGACACGATACAAGACTATCATTTTAAACAAAAGTGCGTAGGGTTAGGGTATATTGTATGTGTATATGGTATATTGAGTGTAATAAAGATGCATTAACGGGAATGAAGTGTAGAAGATGGCTAGTTCTCCTTTAATAGGTTGAGTGTGAGAAAATTGAACAGCTTTCAGCAACGAGAAAAGGTTCTAGACTACTACTGCTTCCTCTTCAATAATCAGGTCCATTTCCAATAATTTTCCATGAACATCCAAATATTCCTGAATGGATTGCAAGTTCACATACAAATCATATTGAATCAAGCTTAAAAAGGATCGTTCCATCAAATTGATGTCCTTTGGCGTATACAGATAGTCTGTCATAGCCACCAACACTTGGCTGGTCAATTCGGTGCCAGTTTCTGATAGAAATTTGGATGCGACGAGAATTGCAGCTAGAAAAAGTCGGTAGGGCGTATCTAATTCACCACGAGCATGCCTCGGTAAGAACGCTCTCAATCTTTGCATGTAAATCAATGATACCAAGCATACACAAGGCGTTAGGTTGGATCTTTGGAATACAGTAGCAATAAAGTCATTAATGGGTGGAAGAGCCTTTTTATTGTTGTGGTGATGACTGCTATTACTACTTAGAGTCTTCTTCTTATTCGTTATTGAGCAACATGGCAATAAATTGGTGGCCGTATTGGTAGTAAAAGCTAAGATAATGATATGAATATCGAATGGTGTTTTTTCATACAGAGATAAATAGAATTTTGCAATTGGTTCTTACAAAGAAGAGCCTCTGGACTTCTTGATGATACAGTTGCGGGCATTACGATACCAGAACACTGAAATGAGTAAGAAAAGAAAAGTGCTGATTATATCATTTTGAATTGGTGTAAGCATAACAAATAGGTTTTTTGTGTATAGGAACAAAAAGGGAAAGATTACGAAAGTATCCAATCATTAATCAATTCCTTATCTTCATCCTTTTTGTAACCACAACTTTAGAATGATGCCCCTTTTTTCATTATGTAATCAAGCCTTCTTTTCATGAAACAGAAGTAGATCCTTTCCGCGGTGACCCAAAAAAAAAAAAAAGAAAAAAGAAACATTTAACCGCCTAATGAACTGCACAGCACTTGTCCATTTTATTTTATTTTATTTTTTTATTTTTTGTATTTTTGTTGAATCGTCCTTTAATTAATTCGATTTTACCATGTACTCCATTTGGGGAAAGAAGTCTAAAGAAGCTGAAGCAGAGAAGAAGAAGCCCAAAACAAGTGCTGCTCAAATTAGAGTACAAAAAGGTTAGCCATGTTTTATCGAAATCGTTTGAGACAGTCGTACAATTGTTGTTAACATTTACGATTACAGACTTAGCGGATTTAGACATACCCAATACCATTCAATTAGACTTTCCTAACCCATCCAATATCCTTAACTTTAACGTTACTATTTGCCCCGATGAAGGTTCGACATCTTTGATACAGTGTTTCTTCAATGACAAATGAAGCAAGTCATACTAATCATCTATAATTATTAGGCTTTTACACTCAGGGCGCTTTCAAATTCACCTTTACAATCAACAATAATTATCCTCATGAGCCTCCCAAAGTGCACTGTACGCAGAAGGTAAGATGAAAAGTAGTTGGAGGTTCGATTGTGATAGTATGTATATTAATCCTAATGTTATAGATTTACCATCCAAATATCGACCTTGAAGGCAATGTTTGCCTAAATATTTTACGTGAAGACTGGAAACCTGTACTATCATTACAAGCCGTTTTAGTTGGCTTATTTTATCTATTTCTTGAACCGAATGCAGACGACCCTCTAAACAAAGGTACTATACCATCATGAATCGAAAGTGAACAATATACCTTATGACTTACACAATCAATTTTATAGCCGCTGCGGAAGTACTGAAGCAAAATAGAAAATTATTTGAAGCGAATGTTAAAAAGGCTATTGTCGGCGGGTCTTTTGGTGGTGTACAATATGATAATGTAGTTGGATAGATTGTTTGTTATTATAATAAAGAAAGAATTGTTTAGCAGTTCGCTAGCATACTGTCAGCAAATGCTAAACATCAGCCTATACAAAGACGGAAACACGGAATTATTACCCATAGGGAGATGATGGTAGTGACTAGAGCCATTTAGGTTCTTTTATCACCTTTTTTCCAGCCTTCTTTGATACGAATTTTATAAGGCTGTTGAGCATCATTCTATATAGTAAGGAAAAACTTGAAAAGGCATTTGGATATTTAGACGATACTAATAGTATAATTGTTTTGGATTGTGACGCGCTGGGAAGTCATATACAAAGCTGAGAACAGGAAGTAGAGTACGGAGTATAATACTGCTGTAGTGGAATTAACAATCTCATCGTAAATTTGCGCGTATAAATGCGTGTGCTTGTTATTACCAGCAAAAATAAGCCTGCATACATACGCCAAGGGTACTAAAATCAGTAGTTCTGTCGTCTATATTAACTCAAGTTTACACATTGTTCTTCCAGCTTACCTTCTCTTGATGGGAAGATAAGTTTAGAAGTTGATACATACTGCTATAATTCTGAGTGGCTTAAAAGTAAGTCGAATGATGGTTAAAGAAGGCTTTTTCTATCGTTTCTTGCCCCTTTTACGAATATAATTAGTTTTTTTAATTTGATCTCCGTAGAAGTTTGTTTTTGATTTGTCCATGTAACCCTAACCACAGACATATACGGCACCCCCTCTTTCTTTTCTAAGCGAAGCACGCTTTCTGTGCTTCACAAAATTGGCTTTTTTTTTTTTTTTTTTTTTTTTCTTTTGTAACCAGAAACTACTTTGTATAGGCTTTTGCCTTTCTTTTTCTTCTAATACTTCTTTCTTTTGTTTCTTTCACCTTTTTGTTTCATATGACATTCTACTAATATAATGGCTACTACAACGGCTATTGCTACTGGTGCTCCTTTACCGCCTATCTCTACGACATCCTCCACGTCTACATCATCAAGTTCTTCATCTTCCATTGATCAAACATTATTAACCTCAGTATTGGTAGACTGGACAAATGCACTCATTGAAAACAATATGAATCAAGTACGTCGATTGCTAGACAAGGAACCTGAATTATTATGGACTCCTATACCCCACACTTTGGACGATATTGATCCGCTCAAAGAAAAACTTGTTCAATTCAAAAAACTTGGCCATTCATTTCAACCTGTCTGCGCTATCCAATTTCTTGTGCTATATCATCAACAACAGGAAGACAGACGAGACTTGATCTCTTCTCTAATTGAGGTAATATAATTTAAAGCAGTGGTCGTTTGCTTACGTACTAATGTATGGTTTATACAGGAGTCTTCAGTTTATGATCTTGATACTCGTTTATGGGGTGAATGTAATAATTCTTTATTACACCTGACTTGTTTTTTAGATGACTATTACTTAACACAACTACTCTTGAAGAAAGGGACTTCAACTCATATAAGAAATGATCGTGGTTATACGCCTGCAGACGTTACTCAATCAGATAATGTTTTGTCGTTATTACTGTCAACAACTAGACAAGACGATGGCAACGATATGAGCATTTCTGCATCAGAAATCAGCTTGGAAGCAGCAGAGACAGCAGTAAAGGATCATCATTCTGAACATCGAATAGATGAAGACAATCAGCAGCAGCCACCACATCCTAACGCATCTAGATCCTCTAATAGTAACATGACTGCTGGCAACATTAAAGTAGTCAGACCTAATTATAGCACTCCAAACCGGTTTCAATTGCTCAAAAACTTGGCCGAAGTAGCCGCTGCACAAGATGAGAAGGCAACTTTATTAGACATCACTCTAGACCGTCAAAAGGCAGATGGGAAGTATTTCAAGAAGGGAAAAGTGAAAGAGACGCAACAAAAGGTACTGACAGAAGAAGAAGAAGCTTTACTATTGGATAAGCAGAAGAGGCAAATTGAAGTAGCTCAGTTGGTCAAAAAATCGGCTGTCAAAAACAATCCCTTATTTATGAAATTGGAAAAGAAGGCTTTTACTTTGCCTGCTACTTCAACAGCATCCATTTCGAATACTAAAAAACCATCCACTACTTCTTCTAGTAAAAGTATGGCTAATGATAAAATACCGGAAGCAACATGTAAAATGGAGAAGAGCACGAATGGTATTGCCATTGCGGATGAAAATTCTGGATTTTCGCAACACAATGACAACAAATCAAGTGTTTGTCATACTTTACCGGATAATTCCAATGAAGTACAGGATAATAAAATTGCAGATGCTGCTACAAACGAAAGCTTGAAAAGCAAAGCTTCAGATCTTGCCACTAGTGCGCCCACTTCAGCGACTACAGACCAAAAGCATACAAGTAACAAACTAAAATTCACAATGGACGACCTCATGGGCACCACAACTTCAGATGATAATGACGATGATATGAATGACGAAGATAGCGATGATGATGATGACGATAAAATCTTTGAGCAAGTAGCTACTATTCATATTGCCCATCGACTCACTTCATCTACCATTTATAAACCCATCAAAATCCCAATTGATGATAAGTTAGTCCTGCAGCAACAACAGAATCGCAACTATAAACATGGCCCTGAACGTCTCAGCCATTATTACTTTAACGATCAAATTGAATACTCTGAAGACTCTCATGTTGCTGGTTTACGAGACGATAAAGTCAGCAAGACACCCTCCTTAGTCACAACAGAAGAAAACGATGATGAACTAGATGAAGAACAACTGCCTCCCAGTACAAGTAGTACCACCAGCAGTACTGCAGTAGTAACAGCAGATGATGCCATCTCTCATTCTAATCAAAATAATACGGTAGAGCCATTGTTCGTGGAACTGAACGCCACTACTGGTTTGGACAGCATTACGGTCGCCGACCTCTCGACTCCTGCACGACGCCCACAGCGTTCTGATCGTCGTTCACTTAGTCGTAAACATGCTTCCATTGCCACCATTTCAACAACTATCAGTGGTGATTTTGACTCAAGAAGTGAAAAGAGTAGCAAGCATAACAGTACAGTTGACTTGCCACTTCATATGAAACGTAGAAGTGGAAGTCAAAAAGCGTCGTGGACTATGAGTATGAGCTCCTGGGCAGCTATACTGGATCGTGAATTCAATTTGAGTGAATTAGATCAAGAGAAAAGATTGCTGAAAGAAAAACAACAGCAGCAGCAAATACGAGGTCTACAAAAAAAAGAAGATAAGGTTCTGGAAGAGAAGAGTTCTGTCAGCAGTGACAACAGAACTGGAGCCCTTCGAAAGAGTCTGCCTCTCGGAAGCAGTAAATTAGAACTCAACGAGAGCGATAATGTGGATTACTTGCTACATCAAAATTTGATCAATGCTGTGAACTGCACAAATTTGATAACTGCTAACACTACTTCGGCTGACAGTGTTCTATCGTTGTCATCTACATTAAAATTGCCTGATTCAGATAAAGATTACAGAGCTCTTCCTTCGTTTTCATTACCATCGGACAGCAACAAATTACGCTCAGCCAACTTACTGCATTTACCTTCCAACATTAAGAACAAGACTTCTTCATCTGCAGCTCCTCAAATCAAAGAACTACCAAACCTCAATTTGTCTAGTCGTTCCGTACGTCGCAAGCCTATCACATCTTCATTTTCAAAACCGAACATTAATGGCCAGCAAAAGAAAACGACAAAGCCATCCCCATCTATCTCATCGTCCTCCACTTCAGCAGCGGCAACCACTACTCCATCCTCTACACAACAACAATCACCGTCGCAACAACAATATCAGAAACCGAATGAGATAATGACAACCATTCCGACTGCCCTTCCTCCTACGCCTACACCCTCCCTCAGTTTCCAGCCCAGTATTCCAATGGGCTACGGTAAATTATATCTCCATGTCAACGGTATTCAAAACCTTCTCCTCCCTATGCCCAAAGACCGCGCCTACATCCGCTGTGTAGTCAGCGATGGCAGATTTGAATACATGTCACGATACGAAATACTCTCACCTACCATTCCTTTTGATTATGAATGTGTCATTGATACTCATCCTGGAATGCTTATCACTATTTCGATCCATGTTCGTCCTGACTTCATCATGAAATCAAGAAAACCACTCCTGCGGCTCTTTTCATCGAAGAAGAAGAGGAAAGACTGCCTATCCAGCTACGTCAATAAAGAAGATGGCGCAATCGGCCAAACAAGATTCGCGTTGACGCACATGTTGCCAGCGTGTCATGAAATGCCTTATTTGACTGATTTTCATTGCTTTAACGCCTGGTGGTCGTCAAAATCATCCTTTAGTAAGCAAAAGAAAAAGCAGAATGATCTGAAAGAGCAAGAGAAGGACGAGATTCTAAAGGTGATTGGTAGCTTTGATGTCGAGATGCTATACTTACCCTCTTCTTCAACCCACAATCAACAGCAGGTAAAATTATCAATAATGATTCAAATACATGGTATATTGACATTAACATGTTTGTTGTACATGATTAGCACTTTCCTCAAAGTATAAGAGATTATAAAACACATCAAGCCGTTCAGTAGTAGTACACGAGAATGTCTTTCACTACTAACATAGTAGGCAGTTTCTTCCTTACGCTTCTCTTTAGTATAATACTCTTTCGTTACCCTTCAGTAAATTCCTAATACATACTCGCATTCATGTTTCACTTGTCCAAAAAAAAAAAAAAAGTAGTTTATAAATGATCTACAAAAGAAAAAGTAAATAAAATCGATTTGCTTTTGTATCAGTTTAGAAAAAACGCAAAGTTCGTCAAGGTCATTTTAACTGTGCATATCAACACGTTATCTTTTGGACTATTCGCAATATTTATATCCGGAGTGTCTGTATTAAGAGGTATATTAGCATATTCAAATTGTATCTTCACTTTGCTGAGAAAAGAAATGTGTATAAGCAATAACTACAAAAAATATTCAAAGCATCAGTAACCGGGCTCCACTTGCTAGAAATGAAATCACTTACTTGTTCCGTAGACTAGCAAACCACCTGCAATACTCATGCCCATAGCAGGGTATGTTATCTGTAATAGAGAGAGCGTCAGTAATGTAAGGTATCTATTACCGATGACGATATCATACTTACTATTTCATTATGTGCCAACACAGATGGTAAGCCTATTTATTACAACAGGAACTCAAATGAATAGGCTGCTGAATCAGATCTGCGAATGTGTCGTACTACTTACAAAATCCAGTTACAATAAAAATACCAGTGATGAACTGCCCCGCATCAACAATGCCCCTATTCATGGAAAAAGATAATGTTGTTAAGATAAATTTTTTTCATCATCTTTCTTGCGCGCTATTATTTTGTAGAAACACATACTGGTTATCGTTGCCCATTGACAATACGTCATACGTATGATCGAATCTCGAGCATATAGCATTAGGCAGAGGTGCCAATATATATGTTGCGACTAAAATGAGTATACGAGTAGTTATTATTTGTTGCTCTACTGTCTACAGAACTAGTTCGTTTGAGAACTGCCCACTTACCCACAAATAAAGGCCACCAGTTTCTATAGTAAGTATAGCATGACAAGTATTAATATCCAGGTAAAATAACAATTTCACTTTATGCTCAAACTTTACTCATATAGTGCACATGATAAGATAACTAATAGAAATCCAATAGCTAGTACAAATGATAACGCTATAATTCTGGATGCACCAAACAGTTGATGTGCGCAAATGGCGTTAAAGACGAACGAAAGTGAAAAAGTTCAAGGGCAATTGAAGCGGTCGCTACTTACGCTATACAAGTTGATGTAAGTAAAGATTAGTTTGAATAACATAATATTCTACGTTTTTACAAAATAAATGACTTGATTAGCTTACTTCTTAAGCCTGCCATTGAACTTTTCAGCACAAGTTTTACAGTCTATACAGATGAGTGATGTAGTAGAGAAGCATTCAGCTGTAACCCTATGCATTGTCATTTTTACTCGCCTTGTTAGATTTGAAACTGCGATGTCTGTGTCATTGCCTGGTTTTTCAATTTCCACGATTACATGAAACGCTCTGGGATTGTACCTTCATCAAGGTATACAGTAAATATGAATTGATTTTGTAGCTCTCTCTGTTGTTGCATGCTTGTAACCTAAGCAGACGAATCCAATATTACTGACCTAAAACCTACTATGAGACTTTGATGGCCTAAATTATAATGTTTCATATTGCAGTCTTTGCCAGCATTTCCTCACCTAACCTTCAACCTTTGAGAGCTCACTGGATTGATGTTTATATTGTTATTAGATTACGTTGTTTCCATCAGCCATTTGCTCGGCATACACTGTAGTTAGCATTTATTATTTCTTACGACTTCAGTAATAAGAAATGATGAATGGACAAGATAGTGCTCTGAATGGAATATTAGCGCTTTCATATAACTATTTCTTCGATGAAAAATGTAGGAAGGTTAGTGTGTGGTAGAAAACTAATCTTGTCTATATTCGTCTGTTTCGCCAAGTGGACAATTTGAGGCAGATTGTTTCGATTTCCCCTCTCCCTGTTTGACTTTGGTGTATTGAGCTGCATTAATTCGAACTTTTTCCAGTCACGACGTCAAAAAACTGACATGAGTTGCGGTATTGCGTGTCTCTCCGAAAGTTTCAATAAAGAAGGTACAAACCCACAACGTTGAAACCGTCAATATTTCTTTCTATTGCTTTTCGTTAAATTACTCCAAGAAATCCAGATTTCAAAATGGTAAAGCACTTCTCCAAAGTGTATAATATATTTAAAGAAAGATATTAATGTATCAATTCTAACACATAGTTGCTTCGTATTCGCTCAAAAGAAGGCATGAACAGAGTTCAAGTTGAACCAGAAGAAAACTTTGGTTCACTCGCTCAAAAAGTCGCAGAGATTTTGAAACTATCCGATCCTTCAATCCTCGCCATGGGGAAGGATCCCAATCCTTCTACAGCAGCGCCTATAAACCAGTTAGCCAATCAAACGCTAAACGCAGCCGGTTTAAAGTAAGAGAAACGAAATTGAAGTTAGCAACAAGATTGACGATGTGCAGAGCTATTTACTTAATTATAACTACGTGAATATATATAGGCATGGTGATATTGTTTACGTCAGTTATACTGAAACGCAGCAACAGCCAGATTTGGAAAAGGATACTGTACCAATAACACACAACAAGACTTCAAACAATGTGGACATACCAACTATTAAGCAGGACGAAGTAGACGATTTCCTTGAAAGCCAACGAGGTTTAATACATCGTAAGAAAGACCCTAAATTGTAAGTGAAGGAATGGACCAAGTGACAGTTACACACTATCCGAGAAAGTTTACCTACGCATTTAATTTTACTAGTTGTCGACATGGCGATAATGCTATGTGCGATTATTGTATGCCACTTGAGGTACAGAGCCAATTATAGAGAATGATGAATGAATTATACGTCAAATATTGATCCACTTTTCTTTTTCTTTTTTTTTTTTTGTTGTTGTTGAAAGCCTTACGACATGAATTATTTGGAAGAAAATAAAATCAAACACATGTCATTCCATGCCTACCTACGACAAATTAATGCTGCACAACAATCGATCAATAATGCCGCCAGTAGTAATAATATACCGCCATTGGAGGAACAGGATTTTAAAGTCAAAGTGCCATGCACAGGTGGCCATGCACCTTGGCCAGAAGGAATCTGCACAAAATGTCAGCCCAGTGCCATTACGCTTCAAAGACAGGTAACTTTTTAAAAAGAACGAAAAGTAGGACATGAAAATCATTTTGCAGCCTATTTTACCTTTCTGAAATGCTCATCTTATATGTATATCTTTCATTAGACTTATCGTATCGTAGATCATGTTGAGTTCTCTTCTGCTTCGCTTATAGACTCCTTTTTGAATTATTGGCGTTCATCTGGGTCGCAACGTTTTGGCTACTTGTATGGTCGGTATGAGCCATATCTCGACGTTCCACTTGGTATTAAAGCTGTCGTTGAAGCCATCTATGAACCTCCTCAAGAAAATCACTCCGACGGTATCAAACTTGACCTACTTTGGGAAAACGAGAATCACATCAATCAAGTCGCCGAAGCTTGTGGTTTGGTTCAAGTCGGTATGATTTTCTCAGATTTAGTAGATGATGGCACAGGATCAGGCACCGTTATACCCAAGCGTCATGTCAACTCTTACTTTTTGTCATCAGTTGAATGTATTTTTGCTGCTGAAATGCAACATCGCCATCCCAATATCAGTAAACACTCAATTCAGGGCAAATACAGTTCCAAATTCGTTACCTGTGTAATTTCAGGCGATACAGAAGGTCAAATTGACGTAAAGGCTTACCAAGTATCTGATACGTTAACGGCGTTGAAGGAAGCAGAGATTGTAGAACCTTGTAGAAACCCTTCTATTATGCGCGTCAAGGATAGTATACCCCACGTCAGATATGTACCTGAAGTCTTCTATAAGTTTAAAAATGAATACAATGTTTTAGTGAAGCAATCGGCTAGACCTACCTTCCCTGTTGAATACCTGCTTGTGAATGTAAGCAGATAAGATCAGCTGTTATTATAAGACATCAAATTAACACTACTTTTTTCACTGCTAGGTTACGAACGGTTTCCCACATAATCCATCACCACTATTTAACCCAGAATCTAAGTTTCCTATCGAGAATAGAGAAGGGTTAGAGCATCAAAGTATCTATTCCCTTGCTAAAGTCCTCAAATCTTTCGATTCTGTTGACAATATAAGAACAGCATTAGCAGATTTTCACATACTATGCTTCATACAATCCTTGGGTGCATTCTCACCAGAAGAATTCAAACGATTTTGTAAACTTATTACCAGCAAAGAGAGTAATATTGAAGAACTTGAGCAGATCAATGGCTGGAACACGCTTAAAATACTTATCCAAGAAGCCGAAACGAATGCTAAGGCAAATGCATCTGTTATGCCGTCGGATACATCTTCAGGCAGATCTTCAGCCTCGGCAATGGCTGCTGCTCCTGTGAGTTGTAGACACTGTACTTTTGCCAACCCTCCTGGTAATGAAAACTGTGAAATGTGTGGGCTACCTTTATCGGGTTAAAAGAAGTATATTTTAGGAAAAGCTTATTCATAATGTCTGAATCCTCAGATATGAACCAATTTTTATGTATCATTACAATCAATAAATTGAATTTTGGATTATAGGCAATCGTTTTCCGTCTTAATAAGGTCCTCTGAATCCAAAAACATCAAAACATGTGCATGGCCATTAGTATATGTATATTCCTCAAAATGAGCATCTGTTATAATCCATCAAGCACTTTCTTATTTATTCTTACGGCAAGCTACGAACAATACAATTTTTCTTTTTTTCTGGTTCACATTTAAAGCAGTTAAGGCGGTAACTTAAATAGTTCAACAAGCAACAACACTTCAACTCTTTTGTGGCGATTAAAAAATGGTCTTTTTGTTGCTGCCCGCATTTATAACTCAAAAATGGAGTCTTTTATTTTCTTTCTTTCTTCTGCTTTAGAACTCTTACTTATAGTACGAAATGTCATCAGAGCAACAAGCAAAAGATTTGATTAACCAAGCTCAAAAGAAATTGAACTCGTGGTCATTTTTTGGGCCTTCCAATAAATATGAAGATGCAGCAGAATTGTATGAGAAAGCAGGAAATATGTTCAAACTAGCCCAGCAATGTAAATGTTACATTTGAAATTTCTCGCTCATTCTGTTACAAACTTCCTTTCATCTCTTTATTTTGCATTTTGAAAATAAATAATAATTTAGGGGGCAACGCCGGTGATGCATTCGTGGAAGCAGCTAAATTGTTCCAACGCGGAAACAGTGCCAAATTTGAAGGCTCAAGGGCCTATGATAATGCTGCAAAATGTTATAAGCGGAGCGATGTGTCAGGTGAGTTTTTAAAGAAGAAAAGTAGAGACAGTTAAGTAAAGTTCAATGAATAACTATTATCTATAGCTGCTGTATCTGCTTTAAAGGAGGCAGTTATTCTTGATCAAGAGGGCGGCAATTTCAGAGCAGCTGCTAGACATTACCAAGATATCGCAGAGTTATGTGAATCAGCTGATTATGATAAACCAAAGGAAGCTTATGATGCTTATACAAGATCCGCAGAGCTCTATAATGCAGATGATTCACCAGCGTAAGAATGGCAGAAATACGGCAGAATAAAAATGATACAATATTCTGAAAGCATCCTTTTTTTTTTTTTGTCTTTGCATAGACTCGCAAATAAATGCTTGTTAAAAGTAGCCCAAATCGCTGCCGATATGGAAATGTACGATGTGGCTATTGAAAAATACGAACAAGTGGCAGCTACAGCTGTTGATGATCCTTTACTTAAATGGTCACTGAAAGAATACTTTTTTAAGGCAGGCTTATGCCATTTATGCACTGGTGTAAGTATTGTTTAGAGTGTTTCACGAGCCTATAAAGTGCACACGATAACCTGTTACTTTTCGATTTGTTCAGGATATGGTCAAAACGACTCAAGCACTTAGTAATTATTGTAATATGGACTTATCATTTGAAGCCTCTCGTGAATACACATTGTTGAGGGGAATCATAGATTGTGTTGATCAAGGCGATGTGGACCAATTCACACAAATAGTGTACGATTATGATAAGTTAAGTCGATTGGATCCTTGGAAGACAGCTGTTCTATTGAAAATCAAAAAATCGATGGAGTCAGATGAATTGCGTTAAAGAGTTACGTTTTTTTTTTTTTTTTTGGTTACACATCACGATTCCATTCGTCTTCATTTCAACTCACAGAGTCATGTTATCTAAATTTCTATATTGTTTCCTTCCTTCCCTTTTTTGTTAAAAAAGTCAAGCAATAGCTAATTTCTTATTGACATTTCTTTCTCTTTTATAACTCACTCTATATACATTTACATATAATACTATGGGTTCTTTTCTATAATACTCAATATATCATCTTGGTGATGCCACAGCTAGAATTGCGCTTTTAAAATCGATCGTTACTTTATATATAAACAAATCATCCGCTTTACCGTCAAAACATTATACGTCTATCTGCTATACAATTATCCTAACAATTTCAGGACAAGAATGAAAGAGAATTGCATCCAATGCAATGATGTACTGCCACAAGCTATGCTAACAAAGGCAACCATCGGTTATCTAGATGTAATGAAAACTATTAATCCAGCGTATCGTTCAGACCTTGTATATATACCTAAAAGGACTTTGACCCAACCATCTGTACCATCAAAAAATAATGGATACGATAATATTCAAGATGATTATATTTTGAAAGTTCAAGAATTGATTGGCCATACCGTAATGTAAAAATCAAGGAAACAATAAGAGAAAGGAACAGTTAGTTGGTGCATAAATTATAATTTCCATTTTACTGAGTTTATCATTTATTTTGACAGGTATGAAATATTGGAGTTAATGGGACAAGGAACATTTGGGCAAGTTGTGAAGTGTAGGAACACCACCACTGGTGAGCTTGTCGCTATTAAAGTGATCAAAAGACAGCCTTCCTTTCACATACAAGGGCAAAAGGAGATGAGCATATTGTGCATTGTAAGCTTACCTCAATTATCATGAGTATACTGTAAACTCACATGCCGTGGTAAACTAAAATTAAAGAATTAAGTTGAGGGAGAGACTAGATGAGAGCGACAGATTTCTCCAGCTCCGAGACCATTTCTTATTCAGAGGTCATCTGTGCGCTGTGTTCGAACTATTGTCCATCAGTTTACATAAGCTATTTAGCTTACAGCCCGGAAAGCCATGTATGGCAATCACCGATATTCAAATGATAGCGTTCAACATTTTACAAACACTAGCCTTACTGAAAGAAATGAAGATTATTCATACTGATTTAAAGCCTGATAACATACTGTTAAAAAGGTAATGGACATGTAAAAAAATGAAAAATAAACGCCAATAGAAAGAAGAAATGTACGAGGGAACAATAACAAATTTTGTCTGTCCGCTAGCAAGGAGAATGTGCACGATGTTAAACTGATTGATTATGGATCTGCTTTATTAGAAAGTGATAATTCAAACTATTGCATTCAAACTGCTTACTATCGTTCACCGGAAGTTATCTTACGGGCACCGTTCAATTGTGCTATTGATATGTGGTCTTTTGGTTGTTTTATCGCTGAATTGTTTTTGGGTGAGCCCCTTTTTCCAAGTGGCAAAGAAACAACGCTTATGCAAATGATGGTGAAGGCTCTGCAGTAAGATTCTTCCGCCGTGATTCTTTGCGGTATACTATGCTATATGTCATTGCAGTAACTGAATTTCTGGATTACATAGGTCTCTGCCGCCGGCTTATTTGCTTCGGCAAGGGCGAAAATCAGACTGTTATTTTGACTTTAGGGCGCAAACGATAGAAAAAGATGATGATTCAACTAGTGTCCAGCTTAAGAAATCACTTCGGCAGTCGCAAGATTTTATTTCAGATGAATATGAAAGTTTAAAAGAAAGAATTATGGAAAGAGATATTATATGTCCCGGTGGATCAATGAAAACCGAAGCAGGTAACGGTGAACAGTCTGAGTGGCTAGCACTGTACAATATTAATCGATGCTATTCAATCGCGCCTACGTAGAAAACAGCACTAAAGAGCGATTTTATGATTTCGTAAAATGTCTTCTTGAATTTGATCCTGCAATACGATATTCTCCGCAACAAGCTTTGAATCACCCATTTATAACAACAAAAATTGAAGGAGTTGCTGCCATCAGTAATGCAAAGCTATTTGTTAGAAGTAATGGTGCATCTTCATCAGTAAAAGACTTGGATAACAAAGACCCAAAAAAATCAAGTCCTATAGATGAAAACGAAATTATCGGCAATCTCAAAAAACTAACGTCTGCAAGTCAGTTACCAACATCAGCGACTGCATCATTCTCTAATACACCAGTTGACAATCCATCGACTTTAACCGAGCGAAAGCCAAAATCTATATTGAAGAAAAGTAAGAAAATGTGCAGCACAGCAAGTCCTCGCATACACTTGCTATCTGCTACATCAGATACGACTACTACCACTGCAACTCCTGCTGGTAGGCAACAACACGTACCTAACTCAGTCAACAGGGTAACATTTGCACTACAGCCACAATACTTGATATCTGTCCCTGATGAGGTCTCCTCAATGGGCAGTTCTATTACATCGATAGTATCAGCAGTAACGGAAATGCCTCCTACTGTCGCTTCTTTTTCAGGCGCAGAAACGATGTTTAATAATAAATCGACTATGGCAACTACTGCTTTTAATAGTGCTTATACACAGCAAGGGTGGCATCGAGTACGTCACCAACAACAACAATATGCCATAACAATGAGTACTACTACAGCACAACAACCATCGTCTTCAGTATTTTATCAAAGTCCCGAGGAGTATAACTATCATAATGAGAAGAATAGGTATAGTAGTAACGTCACAAGCCATCCGAATGAAACGGTCATTTCGCCTCTATTTCATTACCATCTAGAACCCAAAATTTTGGATAACAGAAGATATGATTCGCAATATCCATACTCTTAAAAGTCATATAAACACCCCACACCCCCCCCAGGTTAAATTCTTTTACCATTACCGCTCTTCAGACTGAAAGCCTTTAATTTACATTAATGAAGTCTTTTATTCATAAACAAAGTACATAAGACATGTTACATAGTATAAAAACACGAGTAAAAGGGGGGAAAAGGTATATTATAGGGGAGGAGTGAATGATGAAGATGTACTATACACATGCTTTAAAGTAAACAAAAATTGGCATATAAAATAAAAAACGGTTCTTTTGTGTGGTATATGTATATGTGTATGTATATATATTGTTATGTAACCATAGATGTAAGAATTGTTTTTGAGCGCATACAGCTTTTCCGGTAAACAATTAATAACAGTAGTGAACAGAAGCAGTAGCAGTGAAAATAAATAAGATCATATGAATAAAAGCCTGTAGTCGCTAATTAACCCATTTCTTCAGTTGTGATGAGTCTTGTTGATGCTGTAATCGACTAGTAGGTCTTGTATGATGAGGATGAAGAATGGTATCTTTTGTAGTTGCATTTGTAGTAGATGAAACAGAAGACAGTCGCCTATTACTAGTACTACTATTGTAATTTTTATTTGGTATAGGTGAACTCGGCAAATTATTATGTATACTTCCAACGGAAACTCTTCGCATATCATTATTGCTTAACGAAGCTGTTGTTGCTTTAATGCTCGCTCTATCGGGTAGTATCAGTGATCGTGGCCGTCTTTTGGTAGTTGACGTTGTTTTCTTGCCCTCAAAATTGTTGGTGAAAAAGTATTTGTTGATTTCCGCATTATGTTCTAATTCCATTAATGCACGCCCTGACAGCTTCTGATCTTGTGAAACAGCAGTTTGCGCTTGGTCAATTAAATTCGACAATATAACCCGTATCCTTTCGAATGCAGCGTCTTCTTCTTCCAAACATTGCTCCAAATCCGATATTGTCAGTGTTTCTACAACTGGAGATGAAAACTTAAGAGATATATCCAAAAATGAGTGATATGAAGGAACTTTGGATAAGAAACAGTGCCTTTAACTTACCATGAGACCATCTTTACTACTACAAACGGATTGTGTATCCAAAGCAGGCGTCAGAGGCCTTTCTATTCTGCATGAATCAAGAGTAAATATTATTGTTTGTTGTCTGTCTTTTCTCTTTTTTTTTTTTTTCCTGTTTCTTTCGCTTGTGTAATTACTAAATAACAATACTTACGCGGCCAGTCGGTTTTGCAAATCACTTATTTTATTTGATTGTTCCTTAACGACCATTTCTAAAGTTTGATTCAATTGCAACAACGACTTTTTTTCTATTTCTAGGTCTTTGAGCTAAGGAAAAACAGATAAAAAGACACCCTTCTTCTGTTAGTATCTATTTGTGGCCCCACTATTATATTTTCGTTATACCTTTCTATATATCCTAGCTTCGTCTACTTGAGGTTTCTGAGCTGCTATCAGATTTCCGCGCAAAAGAAAAGAACCTAGTCCACCACTACTATTACTTAAAAATCCAAATCCTGGTTTAAAGGCGGATGTTGTAGTAGCTGACGTTGCAGTGGCAGTAGGAGTAGTATCATCATCGTCAACATCAATGTCAATGTCAATGTCAATATCGTCTCTGTCTTCATGTTTATGAACAAGCTCGTCGTTTGTTGCTTGATATTCATTAGTAACCTTTACATTATTCTTGTCGTTCATCGCTGTTGTTACGATGGGTGGTGGAGGCACACGTATACGTTGCTGCTGTTGTTGCTGTTGTTGTTGTTGATGGTGCTGAAAATTAGCTAAATTGATTCTACTTATTACCAAAGGCCCCTTTATCTTATCTTGTTGTTTTTGAGTGTTGCTGTTATCATTGTCTATCAAAGATGAAGAAGATGATGCAGAAGAGGGAGCATGGGTTGGTCCGTAAATACTGCTAGTAATGAGAGACTTTTTCGTCGTAGTCTCTTGCTTCGACGTTGCTGTTGTAGGTTGTAACTGACAAAAAAATGAAAGACCAGGATTACTATCAACAGACAGCTGTCGTATCATGGGTGAGGATTTTGGTGGACTGAAGGAATTTGTTGCTGTAAAAATATGCAGTGTGTTGTATGTTGACGCGGTGGATAAGGTGTTAATGGAAGAAGTAGTGGATGACGAGAGATTCATAAATGCAGAGGAAGAAGTAGAAGAAGAAGAGAATGAGGAATCAGTCAATGACGGATTCCGTTGTTGTTGTTGACGTTGAGTTGACGGACGTACAATATTGACAGCCTTAGGATTAGGCGTCAGGTCCTTTGATAGCATTGAAATACCTTATTTGAAAGAGAAATGGTTGATTGTTATATGCAAAGGAAATGATATTATAGTCTTCTATGAATCCAGAGGAGAAGACGAAAAGGAAAATCTTTGTAAAGAAATAATAAAAAATTAGGGGAACTGGGAAAAACCAAACAAAAACAAAACAAAAAAAGAATTGCTGCTGAATGAAGAAATACCCCCACTTTTTTTAACTGTGAACTCATGTTTATTCCGTCCTCGAAAATAAAAGATCGCAACTATCACTGTCACTTAGCACAATCACGGTGCGACTATTTGCTTAAACTGTTACTGCTTCTATCATTCTACAAACTGACAAATATCAACAAAAAAAATGATATGTTTACATGCACAAATGTCTGTGCGAGAACAAATAGGGGCCGATATTGGCAATGAATGCGCACTCTTTGTATGCTGAAGAGCTTCCGTGTGTTCATTATACTTGCCAAATCTTATAAAGTTTTCCTTTCCTTTAAAAGAATGAGTAAACAACAGTCTGGTATAAGGATGCTTTTAGTGTGTTACTACCTTTTAATTCTATTGTTTTTTTCGACAAAGAAATGGTGCTACAGCAGCTAAAAGGATTGGTAGGGATAAAGCTACTGCAGATAGCATTAGAAGCAAGAATAGCATGATTCAAATGTTTATTCTTAATCAGTTTCTTTTTTTTTTTATTTTCAGGTACCAGCAGCAAGCTTCCTCATAAAAATATCGAACAAGTCAGCTGATATGATAAGTGAATCCACATCAGGTTACTTTTTGTGTCTTGTCATGAAGAGTTTGTACAATGTATAATTCTCAGGGCAGGGTATTTTGTTGTTGTAGTATACAACACTTTTATGGTAGTTAAACAGCTTATTTCCGTTAGAAACTGTTCCGTATTCAAAGGTTCATCCAACCAGATTGCAGATATTGTTAGGAACAATGACAATACAATTTGTTAAACTGAAGGTTTGGTTTCCAAATATGTTAAACGTAAAACAGCAGAAAGCAAAAAGTTAAACATTCCGTGACAAGCCGAGCGGAGAGAGTAAGACAGCACTTCGTGTTACTGAACGTCTTCTATTGTACGAAACTTACACATACCAGTTATACTTAACTGGACCATATTCAAACCCTCACCTCCACTCCAGAACGCATAACCACCTGGTACGTAAATCAAACATCGTAACAAATGCCCTTCTTTTACTGTACTTTTACACTGCGTGATGCATCTTGTATTTTGGTAAGCTCCATCCTCACATCACTCGTGCTGCTGTTCCTGTTTAATAGAAATTCCAAAGACATTCTATGTTTGTTCTTCTTTTTACCATCCTCAGAAATTTTTGGTAGTTGTGATTTGTTCGAGTAGATCTTATTTTCAAATCGTAGACAACACGTGTGTCAAGTTTATTTATATTTATTTACCAATGGAAAAAGTTAATCCTTCGTACTTTTTCAGTTATTTGTCAAGTATGTAGGTCAAGGTTTTTCTTTATGTGTGAATAGCACAATACTAGGCTGATCTATTGCAGCTCTACTTTCAAGCTTAAAACTTGGAAGGCCCTCATTTTAACAGCAAATCCACCTTGTTCTTTTTGCAATTCCCTGCCTGTGTCATCTTCAAGAACATTAGATATTTGTATACGCTTAATATTCAATGGGCTACATTTAAAATAGAAACACCATGTCAATTATACACAAAGAACATCATCATTTGATATTCTTGTAAAAATTACCTTCTTAAAATAGCCATGGATTTTCCACCGTATGCTTCGTACAAACGTAAGATAATCACTTTGCCTTGACCGTCGTCATCTTCAGCCAGTTTCACAGTGTCAATAATTATTTGGTCAGAAGGAGCAATTTCGAAAAGTGAAGGAATTATCTCTCCAGATCTGATATCGTTGGTCTTTATATAACTGAGTATTGCATTTTGAGCGGCCATTAGTATCTATTCAGCTTATCTGTTTTATCCCTTTATCCTGTCTGTAATGTTACTTACCGAACTAAAAGAGGCACGTTGAAATCCAATGCACATTGCATTACGTTAGAAGAGGTAAAATTTCCTTTGTGCGGATAGATTGCATATTTGAAACTATGTTGACCTATAACGCTCAAATTGCAAAATCAATATTTGACCTCTTGCTTCATTCCTGCGCTTTTTTCACAAAATTTTACCCATATCAGCATGCTCATCAGGGCCTTTTGGAGAACGTAGGAGAGATAAACGCTGGGTGCCGCCGTGCGTTGCATAGCCATATTTACAATCGTTCAATATAGCAACACCGTAATTTGATTCGGATAAATCAGCAAATTTATGACCACAAACCTATACCATTCAATCATAGTACATCAGTATATGGTATATCTTTTTATATCCCTTTATTTGTTTACAGCAGCATCTGAAATTTCTCACCTCAAACTTTGCGTAATCAACTGTAGTATTATAGTGGGTAGGTCGTCTGATAACACCATACTGAATATCGTATGTAGCCTGAATCATGAACGAAGAGGATCTATTAATTATTGCGCACTATATTTTCAAAAATGTACAATATACCACATACGTAGTCGGTGATAAGATCCCAGTTAAACTCAACTTTCTGTTAAAGTAAATGAAGAAAATTGGTAAGGAGATGTACAGTGAATATGCCGTGGTTGTTCAGCAAATCATTTACCAAAAACTGGTGGCTTTCGTGCCATTCCACGACGTTATCAAACTCAATCCTGTCTCCAATACAAGTCAAACTAATAATCTGTTTTATAGAGCTGTTTTTTGAAATTGTATGCTCAAACTGCAATTCTGCCTTCAAAGGTCCGTCTGAAAGAATCTATTTCGAGCCATTAGTATGTTTAACTAGGTACGCAACAATAAATGAAAAGTTGCTAGTACCTTTAATGAGTTTTGACCTTCAAGAGTAACATATTTTTGCAGATGGTAGATTTCAACTGTAAGCAATTATCAAAGAGAAGAAATAAAAAATGAGCTCATCTGAACTATATATATGTTCTAACAGCTTGCTTACCATCCCAAGCATCCCAGTAAGTTGGCTAAATGAGTTGGCAATAAAAACGAAATTGGTCACTGAAAACGCTTCAAAGACATTTCATCTAAATTTAATCACACTTACAACATCCTCATAAAGTTGAAGAACGTTGGCCTTCTTTTTTTCCGCAACCAGATTTCCTCTACAGGATCTTATTTATTAGGACACTTTGACTGTAAACAATTCGTTTTGTATAATTACCTGGCACTAGTCTTATCGTAAAGTTCTAGCAGTTGACCATCTTTATTAAAGACAGCTTTCAAATTCAAATTCTCGAGCACGAAATTACCATTTTGCGTATAGGCTGTGAGACAAAGATCATTTAGCAAAGCAATCCTACATATCATTAGGAGTTGAAGACCTGAAAGGCTCCTACCTTTAGCCGAATGATCTCCGGAAACTGGCTCAAAGTCAACTTTTGCTTTATATCCTGACGCTCCCAAGCTGGGTACATTTTTAACTAGAGTATACTCACCATGTTAATGTACTTCATCTATCAGACACTGGCCTTTAATGGCTATACCTATCATAAGACTTACCAAGCACATATTCATAATCCCCTGAGGTTTGCTGATTTGTCCAGTTTGTATTTTTCTCAGGAACCAAAATAACTTCAGAACGTGGCCAAGGTAGCGTATTGAAGACAACAACACCGTCTTCCTCATCGTCAGTGATAAGCTCGCCTTTGCTTTCGCTCGTTCCTCTGATGAGAAATGTTTGAATCCCATGACGAAGGATTGAACATTCTTGTATTACTTCGCGATGAAACTACAATTTGCCGCGAGCAAACAAAGACGTTGTTGAATTAGCTCAGAAAATACTACTAAAGAATTATTTTTAAGTGTTATATACTTCTTCGTTACCTTGTGGACATCCACATAGGCTAAATTAATTGCGGAGCCTGGAAGACAATCATGGAATTGATTGAGGCAAAGAAGCTTCCACAAACGAGTAATAGTCTCGGAAGGATAACTGAATAGCAAATGTTGTTACGAAGAAAAGGATAAGTAAAATATGCTTTACTCTAACATTCGATTCACTTTAGGATATATACCTAAAGTCTAATCTGGCAGCATTGGCGTGAAGCTTTGCATAAACAGCCAGCATTTCAACGTCTCTGATAATAACTTCTCCTTTTCTGTTGCCCTTTTTCACAAGAGCTTGAGTAGTATACGTGCCACGATGAAATTCAAGGTACTATGAAATTGTTTACGTATAATTTGATTGTAAGTATACGAAAAACTTGAAGATGCCAGTCTACTTTTTTGTTCGTTACCAGTTCTCCTTTGTAGGCTTGGAGACGATCTGAGGTCTTTTCTATGCTTTCAAAGAAATTTGTTGCGCTTCCATAACTGACAGTAGGCAGCCCATCCTAACAAATGGAAGTCAACTTACTCTGCATCTAATCGAACGCTATAGCAAGTTTTCCTCTCTTATTTTCGGCACACTTACAACATTCTTCATTCTTTCAAGTCTTTCAAGCATCTCTGGGGCCGGCCCGCCTCCACCATCACCATGTCTAACCATCGTGTGTTAATACAAAATAAAGTAGTTGCCTTCATTATAGTTCGACTTATGCTGCTGCTTACCCGAAGACAAGTAAACTTTGGTTTGAGACTTCTAAATCGTGATGATTTTCGATACTTGAAAAAGAATTCAGCTACTGTAAAGTAATGTCTATTTTTTATTGATTGCTTTGAATAGATATCTTACCACTTGTGTAATTCAGCGGGTGTTACTGATGCAGTGTACCTATTTTCACCATTAATTGATTTTAAACTCAATATCATATTGACATCAACATTCAGACTTTTTTTTAATTCTCTTACGTCTCAGCAGGCGTCAAGTGAGCCAAAATCCTACTATCATCAATACCTGTCCACCAAAACGTGGTCAACGGGAACGTATTAATGTTGTTCCAGGAAAGCTTCTGAGTAAAGAAGTAATCGCAGCCAGATTCCCGAAGAATTTGGGGAAGTTGCCCAGAATAACCTATGTTTATATCGTATGGAGAAGCAACAATGAGACATCCTTGACTATATTGATTTTGACAAGCCAGAAATTTGCTATGCATTGTATTTACCAAACGAATCTGGTAACCAGAATACTCTTGTTCTCTTTCCGAAATGCTTCTCAAAAAACCGCTGACTGTATATAAAAGGATTGACCTTAGGTTTACGGGTCGTCACTGCTACAGTATGTTTCGTCAAATAAACTCTTACCCCAGAAGCATTTGTCGGCAGAGCGACTCTCCAGACTAGTGCATAAATGTAAGTAGATGATTAACAATGCAACCACTATAGGTAGTAAAATAACTTACAGGCATATTTGTATCTAACATCAAGAACAAAAACAAAAAAGTTCTAGCAAAGTATGTATGTGATATCAGGTAATAAATGATCTATTGATTGTTACCATGCTCTACCCAGCTCTATAATGCAAAAATAATAGAAAAAAAGAAGTGGTTTAGAATGCGAATAGGGATGCTTGTAGCGCTTCTAATAACTTACACCTCCAATAATTTCCCATTGCCCAGTTTTTTCAGCCTTTAGTATTTTCTCAAACACTGCTGGATAAAGCTCTTTAAGCCATTCATATTGTTGCACCTGAGATCCAGTGAAAATGTACTCGGGATAACGATTTAGGAGATCAAGTTGGCTTGACCATGATCTAGCAATTTTCCGTTTCGTCTCATCATAAGGCCATAACCAAGCTGTATCGATATGACAGTTGCCGACAGCTGTAATATGATGTTCACCAGAGCCATTTTTGGCGCTAAGATATTCTTTTGTTAAATCCAAACATTTCTGAACGGCTTCTTTATCTTCAGCAATGAAGTTATTAATCACTTCATTCAATACCCATAAAGCTTGTCGAGCTCGAGAGGATGTTGACTCGGTATCATAAGCAATTCCGCGAATAACACTATCAAAAGAAGGAATGTATCAGCCCCCTTCTATGCTTAGCTTCTTTTTTTCTGGTTTTAAGACTTAAAAAAAAGAGAAACAAGCGTTGATGAACATCAAATTACGTTAAATCATGATATAGCTTTTGAACACGCTTATTCGGTACGACCAAATCAGCTCGCTTGAGTTCAAAGTATTTGTTGGGATTTGCAACCATAGAGTCTGCTGCACCAACTCCAAACATTCCATTACAAGCCGCTTCAATATAAAACTCGAACTGCGCTCCTGCACTTCCTCTGTTTGTAAGAATGTATTCATGTCGTGGCTGATCGGCTAAAGTATCGATTAGTTGAAAGGCATGCAATATTAGCATAGTAAACAATCATCTTTATGAGCATTGAAATAGCAACGATTGATCAACTTACTTCCTCCTGTCAGGCCTTGTTGCGGTACACCATCTTTGCTCCATACCATACCTTCACAACCCATATCCCATTGGAAAACTACTTCTTTGCCTTCCATTTCTTGAGGTAGAGTTGCAACAACATGAAACCAATGGGTTGACCAGCTTGGACCAAACTTGTGCTGTCCTATCGTAAAGCTTTCAAAATTTTGTGCAACGGCTTCCTGTGATGGAATTTTCATGCAAAAGAAGGGTTCCCAAAATTTGACACATTATTCAGCATGAACAATCAGACTCATTCATCGATTGGCGTTTGTAACTTTTACCTTAAAACTTATACGCTTTTCATTTTAAATTAATTGGAAAGTACAGTCAATATCTCTTATGAAAAGTACCTTTGTTCCGTATCTTTTATTTACCTTTAATCCAGGCACACTGTAGACTTTCAGCTGTACATGTGGTGAGCCTTTCGTTCTGGAAACCCACAATGCTCGGTGGATTCCCATACTATAAAATTGCCCACTAGAAGCTACAAAGTTATTAATACGTGATTTTGTTATCTTGAGGGGCACCCTGGGTGCATTATCCAATGCAGGAGCGAATGAATCATCCGCGTGGTTGCTGTGCCGATGCCCATAGATAGCCATTTTCTCTTTCTTTTTGAAAATGAATATCCTATGAAGTGCAATTCAAAAGAGACCAAAACAAAGAAAAAGAAAGAGTAGATCGCCCCTGATGTGAGAACAAACCTCTTTCACTACATCGGCATAAATCACATGATGGTATATTCACACCAATCTTCAAGCACATTCGTCTTGATACGTGATCACTTTTGATGACTTTAAATTTAAACTGTATGCAAGAAAAAAAAAAGGGATGTACCTTTTTTATTTTACTTTTAATCGTCCAAAAACAAATTATGGCCCAATTCGAATTGAGTAAGACATGGAAAATCCTCGGACCATTTCCAATCGGTTCTCGAGAGCAGGACTTTGGAGCAGATCTGTTAGAAAACTATGGTAATGTCAGTCCTTATTTTATGCATATGACACAATAATAAAATATACAAACTCAAAGACATGAACCATTAGGCGGATTCAGCCAACTGAAGTATTCGACTACAGCAAAGTTTCCCTCTGAATTAGTGGAGGGAGGTTTTGTTGGATGGTCTACTGTAACTGCAGATGATAATTGTGTCGTTGGCCCGCTGGGCTTCACGAATGTTAGGTTCGCGAAACACATGCTTGATTGTGATTCGTATTTGTCTTGTCTTGACCGAAAAAGATTGGTTTTGAACTTAAAATACTAAGTGGGAAAACAATGGGGCGCCCTTTGGATGGTCAATTGAGCAATATCAAGCATGGGCAAGAGGCCTATTAGTTGTGCATGAACCAGTCCAATTGTTTATTCAGATAAGCGGCGTGTCTGAGTTTTACCTTGACGGGGTCAAATATCATGGCGATTGTTACGCTTATAACACAACAACGCATATAGTCTCCATGAAGCATGGAAAACACCATTTAGACGTAAGGATAGTTCATGACGTACGAGTATTTGGTGGCAGCAAAGTGCCGCCGCGGTGTCAATTTCAAGTGCACCTTTATACCCGTGGTGAGGAAGCTTTGGTTTACCCTGAGGATTACGTTTTAATTAGACCTGCTCTGCCTGCTCCACCAAAGACATCTTCCTCTCCCTCCCCAAACAGAGCAGAAGAACAACAGCAGACCGTTTGCGAGCTTTTGATGCCAGATTATCTCAAAGATATAGGCTTTGCAGGATCTTATGGTTGTGTCTATGTACAGAATGCTGGTGATGAAACTCTTTGGGTTACTTCTCTGACTTTGTGTATAGTAGATGATCAAACGTTAGCGTCAAGGACAAAAAATGGTTTGTTCATGGAATATAAAACGGATCTATTAATGAGCAATGAGCTTCTCTATTTGATACCTGGCCAAATGCGCCCTATTGGTTTTCACTTTCAAAAAGAATTCGGCACATTGCCTGCTACCAAAATTTTGCGGTTTTGGGTGCGTATTGGGTTTGCAATCCAATACGATACAGCAGATGGAAGAAGTGAGTTTGCTGTCCGCGCCACATCCAATGTCCGTTGTGTTGATTGGATTCACTCAGCTTTTCGTTATACATTTTTGGACTATGACAATACAGTGCACTACGGTAATTCTGAAACATATAGCTTTTGCTAAACAAATATTCTTTAAGCCCTTAGATTAACGATAACTTAAGCAATGGCGAAAAGACCGAACACATTGACTACTAGTACCACTAAGCCAGTGATTGTAGCGCTCCATGGAGCAGGCGTTGAGGCTGACTCGGAGTTTTGGACTGATTCTGTGCCTACACAAAAAACGTCTTGGGTATGCTCCACTATTCGCCGCTGAATGTGCTTTTGCACAAAAAAAAAAACTAAAATGTACCCTTAGATAGTATATCCTACAGGACGAACGCCTTGGTAAGGAAAAAAATTATCTGCCGAAACTATTGAGATATTGTTTCGCAAACTTCGCGATTCATTTGTTAAAAGGGGTTATGACTGGCATGGCCCTAGTGCAAACAATGTATTCAGCGCTTTATAAGGCTTAGTTGACATACGGGATCTTTTACCACCGCACATTGAGTGTATCGATGCCGCTCTTGGTGATTGGATAAACGGTACAATGAGCATAGTTAAGGCTAGTATAAGAGTAATCACCAGATGTTAATAGCTTCAAAATACTTTAGTGTCAAAACCTTATGAAACACCATTAACGTTAAAACCAGAGGACCAGCGAGAGTGGACAGTTGGTGATATCGAAAAATTAATCGTCATAGGTAAGCATATATTATATTAAAAATTGCCAATGAGGGATGAGCAAATTTTTAATGTTGAACGAAAGGCCATAGTAATGGCGGACAAGGAGCGTGGTATTTTGCTACACATTTCTCTGACAAAGTTATAGCAGGTAAAAAGCTCATGCTTGACGTAATTTCATAACAATACTTTCTTATCGATCAACGAATATATATCAACTACTCTTGTCAATAGCTGTTCCTGTTGCTGGCTATGTAAAGATTCAAGATTATATATCTTACGCCAACTGGGTGGGTCAAAGTTACTGCGACCCACAGTTGAAAGGTGTAGGTTTAAAGCCTTTACAACTGTCTTACGTAGTGAATTTGACATTTAAAATTCAATAGATTTTGGAGTCTTCAATTGCCGAGTATAATAACGATCTTTATCTTTCAAACATGGCAAGTCAATTACCTGAAATTTACAACTTACATTTGGAGTAAAAAAAAAACTTATAGATGATATGCCTCCTACAGACAACCATTGCCGTGCTTCCAAGACTAGGGACTGAAGATGACAATGTTCCGCCGTTGCACACCAGAAAGTATGTAAGAATTTTGAATGGAATTTTGAAAACACCAACAGCCATAAAGTAAGTTCAAACCGCATTTTCTCTTTAAATTTTCTTTTTGTTCACATTTCTTGGCTTATTATAGGATATCAGAAGTATCTATGACAGGTCACTGGTGGGATACGGTATTCAGTGATCGAATTGTTCAAGACTTTCTAACAAAAAACCAGAAAATAAAAGCAAGATTTGAACCTGACGATTTTTCTATCACACTGATGAACCCGGCGGGAAGTGGAAGTATTCATGGAATACAAATTGAGCAACTGACAATCCCTTATAGGTAACTACTCTTCAAGTGGAAACATTGTTAGCTTTGAGTAATGAATTCGAACAGATTAGGCAAGATACAAGGCTATTATTCAAAAGATCAGCACGGCAAAACGATACTAATGCTTAAGACCACAAATATTGCATCGTTCCGGTTCACAAAGTATTTTAGAGGATGTAATAAACTAACAGTTGATGAGGATAAGTTTCTACATTTGGAAAAAAACTATACAAAAAGTGAAAATGTTCATTTATCATATGATAGAAAGACGAAACGATGGAAGGTAAGAAACCACAACATGCAAAAAGCTTATATTGAAACATTTGGAAGGCTTTATTCATGGCAACCTCACCTTACAACATTAATGTGATTTTCTAGTTGGAAGCATGTAGGGTGACAGAACGAAACAAAAATCCCTATGGTCCGGTTCACCGTATGTACGAGTCAAAGATGGCTCTTATCATAGTCATTCCGCAAAAAGACATGTATGAACATGCAGCTTTGCAAATTGCTCATGATTGGTATCTGTATGGCAGAGGTGACGCTATCATTGTTTATGATAATGACGATGCTACCTTCGATAAAATTAAGCATGACAGTGTACATTATTGCATTTACCTGGGATTGATCAATGAGAATAAGAAAATGAAAGAGCTTATATCGAAATCAACGATTTGTAATATTGATATCAAGGAAAACATGGATAGTACAATTAGTATCAGAGTCTCTAACAGGAAGTTTAACGAAGCTGGAACAGGTATGTACATTAAAAAGACAAGCAACTTGTCACATTATCCATGTTTTACTATGGAAGGAGTAATTCAAAATGTAATTTGATAAAAGGTCTATTGTTAATGCAGCCAGGGTTATTAGAAGGAGAAATCGCGCTTATTATCACTGGAACGGACATCAATGGATTTGATTCAGTACTGCAGCTTATACCAAAACGTACAGGAATGATGACACCAGAATGGGGTTAGTTATTTTATAAAAGTATTTTTTTGTGAGCCTCGTTTTTTAAAATATCAAACACTTATGTGTATGAATAGTGATTACACATAGTAGTGAAATGAAAGCAACAGGCTTGGGTGGTATCTTAGCGGCAGGGTAAGATTATCTTATGGTAGCTGAGTTATTCCCAGCAAGCAGAGAAGCTAAATAGAAACCTTACTCTAGTTTCTTTGATAATGAATGGAAGGCTTTTGGCTATCTGTGAGGCACAGCGATCTAATAGGTGTAGAAAGCTTTTTCAATAAAGAGAATTATAAGACCATTGCTCCAGTTTGGCCTTAACGAAGAATCATGTAGCACAGCTTAAGTATAGTTTGCTTACAACAGTTGACAATAAATAGTATTTATCATACGATAAAACTTAGCTGCCCTGGCCTTGAAGGGAACGTTACTCTATTCAGCCTTTTCAACATTTTCAGTTAGACATTGTGTTACAATATCTTGACAAGAAGTATCTTTTCAGCCAAACGAAGAGTCACCATGAGACCGAATTCCGAAGCTATGTACCCATACTTGTCTTATTAACTGTTTTGCATACAACGGCTTTTAAGGCGTACATTTGCGTCAAAAACATACACTGATTGAATGCATTTGTGCAGCCTTACCATAGCCATGCTGGTTCAGGAAGTGCTTTTAAGCACTCACAAATTCTCATTGGTTGATCCGACATCGTTCATTTTCATGCGACCAAAGATTATTAAAGGGGCGATTGTGACTTCAGTGGGATTTGTGTGTGGAGACGTCTAGTCTGCTTGATCGGCTTTTTATTTTGGTCATGAATATCTTTTCCCTTTTATTTTTAAGCTTTTTTTCTTTCCCTTCATTTGATTATATTCCACAAATACGCAAGCTTGCTCCAGTAAGATGTCAAACTCAACTACTGAAAGAAGGCCAAGTGAGCCTATTTCAATACTGAAACATTCAAATGTATTTAAATCATTGCTTCTTTGTCAAATAACAAATAAAAGTTGTTTGATTGAAAACTGACCACAATAACGTCTCACTCCACTTTCCGTTGTGCGGAATCATGTTAGACTGCCTCATCTCAAGCTACCTCAATACCAAAAAATGCACGCATCATGCTTAGTGAAGATGAAGATGATGATTATAACAAGAATAATAAATGTATCTCTGATAATGAGGAGGAAGAGCCCAACACAGAACTTATGTCAGCAGAAGCTTTAGAATTACTACAAACAGAGAAAGTGTTGAAGTCAGGATATTTATTTAAGAAAGGCGAAAAAAGAAGAGTAATATCATGTTTTATGAATCCACAATATACACTCATATCTATAAGCCTAACAACGTCAACGCCATACTTTTTTAGACGTGGAAAAAGCGTTGGTTTGTACTGAGGACGACGAAATTAGCAATGTATAAAGATGACAAGGTAAAATAATTAAACACAAATTCCGCATCAATAAAATTCTCTAATAAGAATTTTCTTATTTACCAGGAATATAAATTACTGAGAATAATTGATTTACATGAAATACACAAAGTTGTTCAAGTTACAACAAAACACAAGTATAAGTTTGTTTTTGCCTTTGTTACTGCGAAGAGACTGTACTATGTACAAGCAAACAGTCAGATTGATATGGATGACTGGTTCAAACAGGTTAACCAAGCCAAGCATGATTTGCATTTATATGAGACAGACGTGGATCCTGCTACAGTTGACCGTGATCAAGAATTTGCTAAGGACGTGATCACATCATACAAATCAAACCATATTTTACAGAGTCAAAGACGTAAATCTAGTGGAACGTATGATAATTTCCTGTCAAGGCCATCAGGAGCAGGAGTAACAGCAGCAGCATTGGCTTCTCATTCAAACACACCTCAGTTTTTCAATAGCAATGAAATTACTCCAACAATGAAAGCGATAGATGTCCCCAAAAATCGTAAAAATAGTGCTTCTAAAGGCTTGAGTGAGTATGCTATAGATCGCAATTACCCCTTGTCACCCTCTTCCGATCATCAACATCAATTAACAACAATCGATGGCATTGCAAGCTCTGAGGACGATGAGGAATTTAGTGCTGACAAAGCTAATATCAGGCTTGAAGAGGATAGGAACAGGGTTTTAATTGAAGGCTATTTGTTAAAATTAGGGCGTAATAAGGTAAGCAGTAATTTATTTTTTTTCTCGGCGTCTATTTCGCAGGTCAACAAAAACACTAATCATCATGGTTACTTTTGTAGGGTTGGAGAAAACGTTGGTTTGTGTTACGCACAGACACGTTAGCATACTATGAAGATGATAAAGAATACTCGCCTCACAGAATCATTCCTTTACAGCACATTATTGATTCTTTAGAAATTGATCCTGTCAGTAAACATAAGCTTTTTTGTTTCAAAATAATCATTCCCAAACGAAGCTACGTTTTATGCGCTCCGGCGGAAGAAGATATGGACGCTTGGTTGAACGCTTTAGTTGTAGCCGTTCGACGTGCTAAAAAAGAGTGTGAAAGTGGCCATATTGATAGCAGCTATGCGAATCCAACTGCTGTTTCGCCAACCGCTTCACAAGCACAAACCTTACAGCAGCAGCAGGAACAACATCATTATCCGCCACGCCCTTTGTCCTTGATACCGGAGCATAAGCCTTATGAATCTCAACAACATTTGAACTCACATTCCTCAGCGGATTCCTTTGAGAACATGAGTCATTTGTCTGGGGTCAGTGGCGCTGGTGGTGTAGGCGGCGCTGGTGGAGCTTTAGGCGGCATGCCGACTTCTACTCCACTGACTCATCTACATTCTAGAGCGTCAGAGAGACTTGGTCGTGCAAATTAACATACAGTTTACAATTCGACAATCTGACAAACCTAATACTGAACCACAAACCGTTATTTATTCTATTCTCAATTAATATTAGCTTATACCACCTTATAATACTTACATACCTCCGTCAACCTGAAATAAGTCTAACATGCACTTAACATGCACTTTAAAATTCGCAGAATATTCTTTGCAGTAATCAGTTACTTCTCTCATGTTTTATATGTTTCCGGTTCCTCTGTTATCATCATAGTAACAGTAACACTGGATCGATCTTTTTTAAGGAGGCAATTCTTAACCATTCATGAGTTCACATTACATCTTTGTGTAAGGCTATTCATGCAGAGACTAGGTTTTGGCTTTTCGTTGAAGAAAAAAAGAAGGGACTCCTAAACGAGTTTTAAGCTCCTTTTCATACGTGGTCTGATGAGCATGTAATCGACGTTTACTCTTGAATTTATCCAGCTTTGGTCTATATAGAGTTCATAGACCCCATGATGTTATTTTAACAAGTGAAGTGCAGGAATACATACATGCGGGATTACTAAAGCTCTAAAGGGAAGAATGCTTAGCAATGATAACTTTTAATTACATATGGTTCTGTTTGGAGTGCGATAAAAAAAAAATGCTTTAAAATGCTGAGATAAGTAAGATTACGTATAAACTGGCAATTAGTGTTTTCCCTCTTTCAAGGCTGCAGAAAAAGGACATTTAGGCATAAATTTCTCGGGGCCAAGTTCCTCAATACGGTATCCTTCTGTGTAAATAGCTGGTTTGTAAACAAAATAATGAGGGACGTATTTACCCTCCTTGTTTGGATAAAAAGGTGTTCGTAAATCATACATATTTCTTGGTAAACACAAATAACGGATGAATAAAGCGCGAACGGTGATTAGGCTGTTAAAAATGAAGTTCATCACCGTAGAGGCCGTATCAATACCGAAAGCTTTACATTCACTGTCTTCCAGCAAACAAGGGAGTATTTTATATAAAACAGGCAACATGAATTTCGGAAGTCTCTGACCCAAATGTTTGATAGTGGGATCAGCACAGCGCCAATTTGCAGGGTGATAAGTAACAGAGGTATTTTCGTAAGCCTTTTGGATTTCATACCATTCATCGAGTGTATCAGGAATTTCTTTAATGTTCATTTTGGTTCCAATCTCGTGCCACACTCTAAAGATAGCCTAAAGGACGAAAGATGGTAATGTTAAGAGAAGAACTGCTGGATTTTTGAAGAAAGGAAAAAATTGCGCTTTACGTTAACTTCACGTATGTCTAACTTTCGCCATTCCCAGCTATTGATCCAACGAATAGGTTCAGCTACAAATAATACGAGTGTATAAAGGTAGTCTTCATTTGAAATGGGGTATTTTCCATGGAGTTCATTCAATCTTTTGATGGATGCTTCTCGTCGTTCATATTGCTTCGTTATCTCTTTCCCTGATATATTTGGATTATTTCTTAATTCGTTTTGAATTCTTGGATAAGGGTCAATAATTTCAGACAGAATGAGTTCGGTATCCTCGGCGCGACGAGAACAGTGGTCTAGGAACTCCCTTGTTGAGACAAGTAGCTTACTCACAGAGGGCGTAGCAAAAGGTTTGAATAAGGCAAACTCTAAGGAGGAGCGTGCAAACACTGATCCAACGCAGAAGGTTAAAATACATACAACTTTATACTATTACGATATTTTTCTTTCCGAACCTACATGGGAATTCCTTTCTGAATATATTACTATAAATCTCCATAGCGATATCGTGGTTTTTAAGCACAATATTTGGATCAGGGTATTTTCTGATCATTTCATTGAGGAGTTTATAGCGGTTGTACCGAACAACGATCAAATATGCAACTATTAAGAAAGCTGAACCTATAAGCAAGGACTGTTGTAGCCCGGCTTCGAACATTAAGACTTCCAGTAACATAATTCTATTTGAGTAGGATAAAAATGTCGAATGGAAAAAAAAAGAAGAGGAACGGATAATGGTGAGTGATGGTGGCAAAATTTGAAAAGAAAGTTGGCACTTACAAAAGGATGCACAATAAGCAGTGTTATCAATCTTTGTGCACCCCTTAAACCTTAAACCTTACAAGTATAGCACCAAACGTACCGCTATTCATCTGAGAAATGCCAACAATAAGTATCATCCAGTAGTCACAATGAAGGCCAACGACTGCATTTTAGATTAGAGAAAAAGAATAACTAGTTGACGCTATTTATAATCCATCCAATAAAGCAAGAAGGGATGGAGCAGCTTACTTAATGTCTGATTGCCTTTGAGTAAAATGTTTTCCAAAGCATCGTTGCTGTGAAGCTTTTCAGGCCTCAAGGAATCGCTGTATGTATCCACCATCTAGATTAGTACCACTTCAGGATCTACGACTGTAAACGTTATTACCGATTTGAAGTCTCTCAGACTCTCTCGCATCGCTTGAGTTAATTTACAGCTTTAAGGTTTAGTAAGTGCTCATTTAAAGGTGTGTTTCGGGGAAATTATTCTTCCGCTGCTATCACTAATGATCCACCATGGGGGTCTCAACCATCTGCTTCGATTGGACAGCATTTATGCTAAGCTGCATGATTTCAAAGAACTTTCAAGAATGGACTATTTACTTTGTTCTTCTTTCGCAGTTGACCTAGCATAATGTCTTACGGAAGTACCCCATATACAGCGCCACCACCTAATTACGACGAGGAATCTCATCAGCCGTTACTCGGCAATCAAACCGATGATGACATGTTCAAGGAATTCATTGCGAATAGCTCCAAAGAAGTTCGACTTCGTAAGTTTTGCATTTTATATACTGAAAATGTATTTTCAAAACGTATCGTTTACATTTTTACATTGTTGCGGTGTGTTAGAATTTGTCAGGAAGGTTTATTCTATTCTGGCAACGCAATTATTCGCAACGTCAGCTTTATCAGCATTTTATATGCTCAATGATTCTGCAAGATACTGGGTGCAGTCCAAGTAAGTGTCAAAAATTACTTACTGCTGCGCATGAACTAACAGCCATGCCCTCTTTCTGCTAATACATTAGTCAATGGATGGTAATTGTTTCGATGCTCGGTACATTAGGTTTAATATTCGTTCTTTTCTGGAAAGCAAGGTCATATCCTGTAAACTATGTTCTTCTGGGTGCTTTTACATTGTTGGAGGCACATGCGGTTGGCACGATTGGTGAGCTCTCATTATTTATGACTTGAACTCTGTGGAGAAGCTTTTCATCACTCACGTTTTCTTCTATTCTTTTTTTTTGACAGTTACATTCTATAATCAAAAAATTGTATTACAGGCACTACTGATAACTTTAGGTGTATTTGTTGGTCTTACTATCTTCACTCTTCAATCCAAATGGGATTTTACAGGATTAGGGCCTTTGTAAGTCAAATAAGAAAATGTTTGCTCTTATGGTCTAGTATCTATTAACATTTCTTGTATATAGCTTATATGCGGGTATTTGGATATTGCTCATTGCAGGCGTTGTGCAGATGTTCTTCCCATTCTCCAAGGGTATTCAACTTGCATTTGCGGTTGGTGGTGTGATTATTTTCAGTGGTTATATTCTGCTTGATACATACCTGATTTTCTACCGATATTCTGCAGAGGATTACATTATAGCATCAGTTAGTCTCTATTTAGACGTAATCAATCTTTTCTTACGTATCTTGAAAATTTTGGACTTGACGAGCAATGATAACTGAGTTCGTGTCCAAGTATTTGAAAGATCGAATTCATGTATATTATATCATATAGTTGTTTTAGGAATAATGGGTAATAAAGAACTCAGTTACATTCATGTAAAGAGATAGGGAGATTTATTACAAAAAAGAATCAAGCATGGTATATTCAAGAGGGTTCGAGTCACTGTAATAAATGCTACAGACACATCCTCAGAAAAAAAAAACCCCCCCAATAAGAAAAGGGGGAAAATATATTTTTCGATGTAGCTTTCTTCTGTTATTTTTATAATTTTAAAGTCTTGCTCCGGAAGGGTAATACTTCATGGCTTGACGAACACCGAGATCAGCCATGATCTCTTCAGATCCACCCAAAATGGCGGAGAACTTGTATGTTCTTTGAAGTGTTTCTATTGTTCTACCCATACCACTCTTTGTGATGGCACGACCACCAAAGATTTGGCAAGCATCGTCAGATACGTGATGCAAAACGCGGGTGATATGGTATTTACATAAGGCAATAGGACCTGCTAGTTTTTCAGATTGCTCATCATAACTCATATGCGTCATTTGATATGTGATATTTTCAACCCAACTATGAACACTTTCGACCTCAGCAATCTACATATCGTAGGGTAAATGCAGGTGTAAGTAACAAAAGAACTGTCATGACGTTCAACAATGTTCTACTGTGATAATACCATTTTTGCCAATTTGAAACGAATTACTGGTTGGTCAATGAGCCGCTTGCCGAATACTTTTCGTTGATTTGCCCATTTGAAGCATTCTTCAACGGCTAGCCGAGCCGCCATACTGGCGCCTGTAAGCATAACCCAACGCTCATGGTTGAAATTGGAGAGAACAACCAAGAAACCTTTATCTTCTCTGCCCAACAAATTTTCAACAGGTACTAGAACCTATTGCATGAAAACAAAGAATAATAACCGTGGGTTGGCATCAATAAAAGCATACACAAGGCGAAAGAATGTGTTTCTAAAGCTTACATTTTCAAAAGTAACATAAGCAGTACCCGCACTTGGAGAATAAGAGGTTTTGATAGGTTTGGTTTCCACACCCTCACTACGTTCGATTAAAAGCATTGACATACCCTTTTCTGTTTGAACAGCGACAGAAAAGTAATCAGCCCAACAACCGCCAGTAATCCACTTCTTAACACCATTGACAATAAAGTGCTTGCCATCGGGAGTACGCTTAGCAGTAGTTCTGATACGTGCAACATCAGAGCCAGCATAGGGTTCGCTAATAGCAAGACAAATTCGTTTTTTACCAGCAAAGACCTCTGGGATAATCTATAAACAGTCGCCATCCAATTTGATTGTTACAAACATATTCAAATAAAAATTAAATGAGCACTTTATAAATGTTACCTTTTGCTTTAACGTAGGTGAACCAAAGTTTAGAATAGTAGGCGCCGAAATGACCATACCACCAATGACGCCATCATCAAAGCCACGAACTTTCCAGCGAGCAAACTCCTCATGAACGATCATCTAAACGACATATGGATGCATTCAAAGTGTGTACCATTATTTCCAGTGAACTGAGCTGAATATTTACCTCATGAAAATAATCAAAATCTTCACCTTTAACACCTCCCGGTAGTGTTAAACCGTGCAACCAAGGTCCAGGACCGATATTGCAAGCCAATAAATGATGATCGCCCAATTTTTTCATGAATTCGTCAGAAGGCTTGCTGCCGGCGTCTTCGAATTCCCTGGCTTCGGTAGCTAAGGAATCGCAAATTTTTCTGACAGCCGAACGGAAGTCAAAGTGTGATTGACTATAGAGATTGGTTAGAGATAGAAAAGAAGTTAATGAATATAAGCTAGTAAACCGCAGTGATAGCAAAAAAAAGCTGTATGTATTTGAATACCATACTTGAAGTAAGCGGATTTGAACCCCATCCAAGCACTAGGCTCAGCATACGGAACCTTTGAAAGACTACCCTCTTCATAAAAGTCAATCTGAGGTTTTTCACCTTCAATACGGCCTATTTTGTAGCGAGCATATTTAACAAGAACTTCTTGTCGATGAAGCCCATAAAATGCATCTGTGGCATCTTTGCCAGCTAATTCGATGATAGGAAATGCCCCGCCTGGATGCAGATCAACAAAGGTGCTCATATCGTATACACTAGAGTCGATAACGATCCAAAGATCGTCTTCCGAAGCATGGCGCTTTACTTCTTCTCTTGTGTATGTTTTAAGACTCATTTTTTTTTCTTATATATATTTATATATACAATAGGGAATAGAAATACCGTTCAACAAGTGTTGTAAGAAAAGAGACGTCGCTATACTTAAATAATGTCGACAGTGAGAAAAGGTCAATAATGTGGGGGAAAACAACAATTTAGATTACCAATCTTTTTGTAACGCAGCACTGACATTGAAAACTGCTTGCATAAAACTCGTGTTGGTATCCTTGGTTAGAGAGCTCATTTGTCATACAGCAATTGTCACTCGTTCCAACAGACCAGCTATTTGTGTTGCAACCGTGGATTGGCGACCTGATTCAGCTAACAGTCAAGTCTCTCTTGATATAACATTTCACAACTGAATTAACATGTGTTGTCGTATACACACGATCAACTTAAAATTTGGGATTGTTTGCTCTAAAAGCTCATGTGAGCAAAGAAAAGGACTTTTATATAATTGCTTTCTTCTAAGCCATCCTCAAGCAGGTAGTGGGTGGAAATTACAACTGTTTAGGGATCATTGGACAACTCTAGAAAAGGTTGGTAATCGACTTCCTTTCAAACATTTCTGATCCATTCCTTTTTTGAAAATGATATACATTGATTGCACAACTATGCATCCTCTAGGATAATGTATGTTGCCTAGAGTTTGGTCTTCCTGTTGTCCTTAGAACTGAACGGCTAATTTTTTACATTAATAGAAATCTATCGTAGTTAAAACTTTTGCTTTATTCCAAGACAGTGACTATAGCAATCCGTAAGTCAGTCGAATTCGTGGAGGACGTCAGCGTACATTTAAGCTTATATTATTAAGAATCCAGCTATATTCATCTATGCTGTGACTATTTAGTGTTGTACTTCCACAACAAAAGAACCGGAAAACGTCAAAAAGCCGATCGTAAAGAGTTTATTTTGACTTTTATAAAGGCATTGCTCTGGTTTCCCACCTTATCTCTCGATTATAGTTCCGTTGCTAGGAAAGACTGCTTTTGGACTATTTTTGAGAGTAAGGAGTTGCGATGGCGTGAGTTTCAGTGGTCTTTTTTTTTTTTGGTTTTTTTTTCAGGAACAAGGAGAAAATCCAAATCGTACGATTGGCGATAAAAATTTGCTGCGTAAAAGTCAAATTTTTCTGCTCACAATCATATTCCTCGTAGCGAGTGATCCTTGTTTAAAATGATCATGCTAGTGATGTATTATGTAGTGTCTTCATTATTACTATATCCAACTGACGGGCGACGTCTTACCCTCTTAATGCAGAGAAGCTGTGATACATATTAGGCTCAATCGACGGTTTGATACGCCAAAAATCACGCTTCTAAAATAAAAGCCCGCCGATAGGGCGCATTTTTTTGATGTTTCGTTGTACAAGTGCCCTTTTTGATTGATTCATCCCTTTTTTTTAACTTTCTTCCAGTTTTTCCTGTTGATTATCTTTATTTTGAACATAGCAACAGAAATTGATTACAATGTCCACTACATCGCAAGTAGAAGATCGGTTCAACACCAATGATTCCATGCGCACAACAATCTATTCGGGCGCTGATGATATTAAAAGAGCCGTTTCTACAACAGGCACGCCCAACACTACTATATTCGACCCATTAGGCAATAGCAGCGCCCACGCTGGAAACAAGCGGTTCGACAGAGATAACACTGAAGATAACACTATAGAATTGAGAAGGAAGCAATCAAAGATTGAGGTGGATGAAGCAACAGCCGCTGTTGGTAGTCGAACAAATACAAGAAGCTCTACAGCAACCTCTTCACTAGCAAGTTATGAAAATAACGATCCATCTCCCTCAATCAACAGCAATCCTTCTGTTCAGTCAACAGTATCAACCGCAGATTCTGCACTTGTTCTAGATGACCAATGGCAGTTAGAATTACCTGATTGGCTAGCCCATCCAAATGCTTGGGCATTTTTACAATCGCTGAATTCACAATATGAATCGATGTACTTGGAAAAGAAGGACTCTGACACCAGTGGTCGTGCTGGCTACATGCTTGGTCGCCGTTCTGATTGTGATATGAGGTAATTTGACGTTCACTCCAATAACAATATTATTTAATATACCAACACCTGTAAACATATTTCAATCATCCTACAGGTTCGATCATGACATGATCAGCAAGATTCACTGTTTATTATATATGGTAAGGGTGTTTGTGAACAGTTCCTGGACGGTAGTTATTCATCAATCCTATGTTTGTTTTGAATGCAGGAAACTGGCTCCAACGGCCAAACTAAAGGGATTAGAATTTTTCTGGAAGACAAAAGGTAAAACCGAACGTTCAGTAACAAATGAAATGTTAAACTCTAGCTTACACGATTTTCTCATCTTACAGCACAAATGGAACCTATGTAAATGGTGACCGCGTTTATGGTAGGCGAATTTTAAAAAATAAAGACGAAATTCAGTTAGTTCTTCCCAAGCCCTACTTGAAAGACGATCATCGCTTCAAATGTAAGCAAATAAACATAAATAACAACTCCTCAGCTCTTTTATATAATCTTTTTCCTTTTTAAAATAGTTTTCCGCGTGCTATTCCCGCCTACTTTTGGTGCAAATGTAAGGCATAACTATCATCAGTGTTCAAAATTACGTGTGTTTGAATTTCTAAACCGTTATATTAGCTTTGTGAACAGGAGTACAAGTTTGATAGAGTACTTGGCAAAGGCAATTTTGCTACTGTTTTTCATGCATTCAATAGAAAGACGCATCAAGAAGTTGCCATTAAGGTTCTCCATAAAAATCGATTCTCAAAGAAAAGCAAACTGGCAGAATCATTAGTGAGCGAAGTCAGTATTTCAATGCAACTGATAAGACACGTAAGTAAATTGAGGTTTTACTAACGATGAACTTCTATTGACTAACTGCTTCCTTACCTTTCCTTCTTTGATCCTCAAAAGCCATTAATAGCATCTATTCATAAAACATTCAATGAAGTGTCAAAGATTTATTTAATACTTGATTAGTAAGTCTCCTTCTCCTTCTATGGTCATTACTGTCGTTACTCATTCCTTCTTTTGTGTCGATCATTTAGCGTTCATGGTGGAGAGCTATTCCATTACATTGTAAAGAATAAAAAGCTTAGTGAAAACACAACGCGCTTCATATTCTGGCAGTTGTTTACTGCGATTAAGGTAACTGCAAATTGGACGAGACGTTTTCGGTTTTGGCTTTACTCAAGGCTTTCTATAATTACTAGTATTTGCATGATAATCAAATTGCGCACCGTGATCTCAAACCAGAAAATGGTAATGCTTCTTTCGAATATATTACTCTTTGTATGTACCTTATTAAGCTGTTCTTTTATCTAGTACTCATAGCGAACAAGGATACTTTGCAGATCAAGGTTACTGATTTTGGCTTGGCCAAAATTGAGAGTAGGAATGAGGGTTTTGAAAGTCAATGTGGTACACCTAATTATGGTAAATTCATCTGCTTACGCTTTACACATACAAATATATGATCTGGTTGTTGAACAAAAAGTCGGCATTTTGTAGTTGCTCCCGAAATTCTTGACCCCTCAGTTACACGTGCTTATAACAAGCAGTGCGATATGTGGAGCCTTGGTGTTATGCTATATATCTGCTTATGTGGCTTTCCACCATTCTCAGGTAAAGGGTATCTGTTATTTTGTGCAGTAGTTTTGGACCTTTTATTGAATTGATTTGGATTTGAATAGAGGATCACGCACCACCATCCATGAAACAACAAATTCGCACAGCACATTACTCTTTTCCCTCGCCGTTTTTCGATAACATTTCGGCGGAAGGTAAGCAGAGAATGAAGTCTCTTTGACGCTTACTAGCCCTGATTCTGAGAAGTAAACTTCTGTTAATGAAATAGCCAAGAATCTTATTCAAAATTTACTTGTTGTTGATCCTAATCAACGCTATACTGTTGATGAAGCGCTAGCAAGCGATTGGTTGTTAATGGAGGTTAGCAAAGACATTCAAAAAATGTAGCGTACGTCTGCTCGAATTATTGACTTATTTTCATACTTTTAGTCTGAGGATATGGAGAGACGGAAAAATCAGCTCGGTGTTGAGACTCTCAACCAAATTGAGAAATTCCGCGAATCGTTTACACCTATTTCTGTTACTCAAGCCTATAGTCAGCTACCAAGTCAACAATATTAACATCACTGTGAATGCTTTCACTGCTGAGCACTCGAAAAGCAATCTTATGAACAATAAAACTTTTTATATCTACGATAAGTTAAGCTGAAAAGCGTCCTTTCTTTTTGATGAGCTAATGTGTGCTATGATGAACTACCCATAAACATAAAGTAGAGTGAGCGCTTTTTTATGTATATAGTCCGCACACAAACCTCGAAACTGACTTGAAATGATCTAAATACGAATATTTAAAGCATGTCATACGGCTTCCTCAAAGGCATTTTCATACTTTTGATAAATCTTCTAAAGATCTTGTAAAAGGTCATTCAAACAAAATAACATATAACATCTACTGAACGTTTTATTTCACTTTATTGAACGAACGCTAAACTCTAGAAATGCGACAGAGTGAAGGTTGAAGAAGACAGTAATGCAATGTTCAAAGTGGCCAGAATACGGATTGGATAATGAATAACTTGAGAATGAAATATAGATGGAAGTTTAAGATGTTGCTTGTCTTCTTTGAGAATTACCTCTATTACATTAAAATTTCACTATGATAAGAGGATTTGAGTTCCTTGTGAGGTAAAACAATGCAATTGCGAATAATTGTTTCATCCAACACTGATACTTCTTTGCCCAAAATAGTAATATTCTGAAGCTTCACGCCGTTCTTCATCATTTCTTCGTTATGGTCAGACACGGCTGTACCTTCAACACGTGCCCAAGCACCAATTTTACTATTCCAACCAATGACAGAATGAAGAATACAACTGGCATGCTAATATAATTGTAGTGTTGGGTACTATGTAAGTTTTCCGACATACATGCTACTGACAGTTGTTAACATTCGATATAAAACTTACTCCAATTGTGACATTATCAAGAATTATAGAATCTTTTATGCGAACACCTTGACCAATTATAGCCTTAGGACCAATCGATACGTTAGGACCAAGCTGCATTGAAAGGCAAATGTTAGTATTACTCTTCTGGTAAACTTATGAATAGAGCCGTTTGTTTAGGACTGGTTACCTTTGCTGTTGAGTCCACTTGTGCTGTTGGATGAATATATACAGCTCCGATTATTTCGGGTCCATTATCTTCAGTACGTGCTAATCTATTTGACTCAGCATGGTATTGTAATTCTAAGTAGGCAGCACTGGCAGCAACGGCAGATCTTTATCGAGGCGCCAAAAGATATTGTACGTTAATAGGTACCCATTTGCAGTGTGTTTCCTTCGCAACCTTAATATATTTACCCTGCAGTCTTGATTTGCTTCCAGAAACCTTCTGTTACATAAGCATAAAGCTTTCTTGATTCTGACAAAGGACGCAACAAATCTCTTTCTAGACTCAGTCTGCCGTCATTTCCATTACTGGGCAAACCAGGTGTAGTGATAGAAGGATGGGCAGAATTACCGAATAAGAAATAATGGTCGTTTTCCTCATCGGAGTCCTTCTTTGCATCCATAGCTTTCTTTATCTCGGTAAAAACAGCGGCATCAAACAAGTATACGCCGCAGGAAATCAAATCAGAAACAAAAGTATCGGGTTTCTCGACATAATGAAGGACTTGGTTGGTATTTTGATCAGCAACAAGACAACCGTATTTTTTTGCTTGTTCATGCCCAATCTATGTGTAACAGCATCCATGGCAAATGTCAGCAAAAAACTAAAGCGGAGGAACAAAACTCTTTAAAAAAATCATGCGAACTATCTGTTCTCTTTTTCACCTTTTTACTCAACATGGTACATAATCCTCGATGCTTCATATGAAAAGCTACCATTTCATTCAAAGGGAATGAGCAAGCGATATCCACATGCATTACGAAGAATTGTTGAGGATTTCCATGTAAAATTTCATCGCGAAAATGATAGATACCACCTGCAGTGCCCATGGCTTGATATTCACGTAAATACCTTGAGTTAAAGTACAAAGACAGTTTAGTATACGGTTGTTATAGGAGAGTAGAATAAAGAAAAGGGCAAGGCGCTTACTTGATATGAATGTGAGGAAATTCAGTGGACGCCTCTTCAATAAACTTATTGAAAACTGTGTCTTCAAAAAAGCCCACAATCAAGACTTCTCGTAGCCCATGGACTTTAGACAATGCTTGCAAATGATGATGAATTAATGGAGCTCCAGCAACCGGAAATAAAGGTTTAGGAACATCTAGAGATAAAGGCCTAAAACGTGTTGCTCTTGAAGGGCCACCAACAAGAATAATAGCTTTGTAGAGAGCTTGTTTTTGAGAAGGAGATGTCATTCAAAGTGTACTGACGAGGGAATCGAAGAGTAGTAGATAATAAAGAAGAAAGGAAGACGACCCTTTTACTTATAAACAATAAGTGGAGATGGTCTTGAAAAGCTAAAAATAAAAAGGCCCCGTTTGGCGGGAAACAAAAAAACCAAACACGATTAAAAGAGAAATTTCGTTCTCCTTTTTCTGGCTGGCTTTTAAAAATGATGAAATGCTCGCTTGTTGCCCTTTTGAAAGATTTGTGATCTGCTACCACTATCGACAAGCGTCTCTCCTTCTTTTTAACGTGGTGCCAGAATTTCTCCCGCTTAGTCTACTTTCTTTCTTTCTTCTTCTCTTTGCTTTTGTTACTTTTTATTGACATACTAAGTTACTGTAATGGCTACCGAACGAATATCGCAAATTCTACCAACAGTTAAATGTTCAGATTGTGGACGCGACGTACAAATTCGTCGGTTAGGCGATCATTTATGTTCCTCCAGCAGCAAACCACCTGTACCTGCTTTACCCATTATACCACCAGTCAAGAAGGGTACCTACTCTGTGCATAATTGAACTTTTATTCAAGCATTAACCTTTCTGTAATTCGTTAGATCAATACAATATAAAACCTATTTCACCATTACAAAGCCCGGATCGTAAATCTCCTCTACCTCCTAATACTACTGCTACTACCAATTTTACCAATAATTACATTCAGGAGCAGCCATTATTGACTAACAAATCAGGGACATTAACTCCACCATATTGTTATAGTGGAATGACAAAAGATTTGGTAACGAAGAAACCTCAACAGCAGCAACAGCAGCATCCTTACTCGAAGATGACTACAAATAGTAATAGCATAAGCAGCAGTAGCAGCAGTAGCAGCAGCAGTAGCAGTAGTAGCAGTAACAGTAGCAGTAACAGTAGCAATGGCGGTGCAGCTGGCGGTGGCATTGGTTTATATACTGACGATTTATACAATTCCTCATCTTCTACTATAACAACATCACCAACATCACCAAGAAAGAATAGCACATCACCTGCTCCATTACTTTCATCAAGTTCTTCTCTTTCATTAGTATCCTCTTTATCTTCATCACCATCACCTTACCGGTAAGTCATGTCATTGTATTTGGCTTTTCTCCCTCTTTCTCTATCTCTCTCTCTCTTTCTCTTTGTTGTTGTACCTTAAAAAGAAAAGAAAATGGAATGTTTCCAGTTTCGAAAGAAGTGTGTAACTTGATTTCTCATTTCCCACTATTTGTACACTGTGTACACAATACATTTTACTATATTTAAATACAGATATCACCAGAATAACAGCAGTAACCACTCTAACGTTGGATCAACGTCAAGATATGGTAAAAATCGATACTCAAACTTGTTTAAAACTCTTCTCCCCTATCCTTTCTTCTTATTGACTTGTACACACTCTTTGTCTCTGTATCAATACAGAAGGAACAAGGAAGCAATCATTAGGTAATGCAAATAGCCATTATCAGCAACAGCGGGAACATAGCAATGGGGATAGTCATGGAGCTTTGGATAGTTTAATGCAAGATTTAATGAATTCAATGAATGATGAAATTCATCAAGTTCCAGCGAATAATAATGCTAGTGCTACAACGCACCAAAAATCAGCAGCCGCAGATAACTTTTGTTGTGCTTGTCTAGAAGAATTCGATTATCGAGATGATGTTAGGAATATTGGAAGCAAGGTATGTGCACTCGTGTCTATTTCTAATCCATATAGTTAAGCAGCTCACCTAACGGGCCTTTTTTTCCCGCTATTAAATCTGTAATAGTGTTACCACAGAGCATGTTTCATTTGTCGCTTGTGTAGCTTACCATTTGATCATCATCAACATCGTAGCACTCCGTTTGAATTTGAAGGCAAACTGTATTGTGAAAGAGATTATCATGTGGTGAAAAACCGCATTCTATGTGGTTCTTGGTAAGATATAGTCATGCTTCATCAGTATGACAAGGAATTCCCAGCTAATCTTGTATACATGTATTTAGTGATCGTGTTATTGCACCTTCAATCACACCTATCAAGGCATTGGGAAAATACTACCATCCTGGACACATTAAATGTTATCATTGTTACTTGAATATTGATGAACGAACGGGATGGAAAGAATACCAAGGACGAGTCTACTGTCGACAAGATTTCAAAACGTTATTTCTTCCCAAATGCAGAGCATGTCAAAAACCAGTAGAGAAAAACGCGGTATCAGCAGCAGATGGAAAAATGAAAGGAAAATGGCATTTAGAATGTTTTGGGTGTCATTATTGTAGATCACCCTTTCCTGAAAACACATTCTACGTCTTTGAAGAATTACCTTACTGTAAACGACATTATCACAAGTTGAATGGATCGTTATGCAAACGGTGTGGTGATGGAATAGAAGGTCACTGTGCATTTACGCCAGAGAATTGGAAATTCCATCCTCGATGCTTCACGTGTGAGGCTTGTCATAAAAGGATGGATGATGAATACTATGTCGCAAATGGTAGAATTTTTTGCGAGGATGATATAAGACGGCAATATCATCATCAAAAGAATATAAATATTTCCAAAAGGAAAACTCAAATGTACAATATCTAATATGAACGGTTATACTCTTAAGCAACTGCGAAACTCACTCTTCCTCAATATGTGCAGTATCTTAACTTTCTAATTTATTTTTTCTATAGTATTTATTCAATTTTTTTGGTCCTAACAGACTCATTCTACGTATTATTCTCTTACAATTTAACTAATAAAAAATGGCTAACTATTGGCGCTGTCAATATATACGTGTCATTCAATGCTTTGGTTATAATGCTCTCATAAATAATAATGCAATCAACTATTACTAGTAATAGGGAAAATATGCCTTCGACTCCTTTACATACAATCCTAAAACAGAGGCGATTGCAATTTTATTGGATCATTTAAAATTCAATTAAAGAACACTTTTAAACTAAAATATAAAAGGAAGTATGTTACATTCTACTGGACAATGTGGGAAACATATTCTAACATTAACGATTTTTCAACTCAAGTAATTTTTTGGCTGCATCATCTACTTAACCTCAAAAGTTATATGACTCTTTAATTTTAAATTAACAATTGGAAAAGGATGAGCTTCACCAGTTATTTTTGTAGCGAAATGGCTACATTTATGAAGCCTTCGAAAAACGGTTAATATATTAATGAGTGCGCAGAGGTTGAAAAGCTTCATACAGAACCTTTAACGAAGCCGCCAAATGTGGCCTATAGTCATGAAGTATAAATTTTTATTGCTTGGCATATTAATTTCACTTTCTAATTGTAACTATTGTTCTAATGTTCTACAATGATTTTTCTGCTTATTGCTCGCTTAAAGCCATATTTTATCGATTTTGCTGACTGCAAAGCTATCTTGTTATGATATTTTTAAATTCGAACATACTACGCTCGAATATTTTCCAACGAAGCCCCAAGATGATGTTTGAGTAGCATCTTTCTGAAGTTCAATGGCATTTTAAATATTTGCTTGAGATGTCTTTCAAGGTACAAAAAGTTTGTTGGGCTGTAACATTAGGTATGTCAGTTTATTGCGTTGGATGTCAAGAGCACTACATCTGCGTAAGAAGTTTGCAACCCCAAGTTCAAAGACTATATTCTAATGAGGTGGTACGCCATTCACTAAGTTGCGTGTAGTACGTTCTGTGTAATTAATTCTTGCTATCTATTGCAAACGTGTCTCCGACAATGGAAATATTGTTATTTTATGCTGCTCAACTTATAGTCTTTGGCAAAGGAACTACGTTTTATAGATACCCATAATTGTATATAAGGGTCATGACATGATCTCGGCATGATCCAGAGCTGCTATGTTATAAAGCCTCATATCTGGAGCTAAATGCTTTTTTTTTTTTTTTTTGGTCGTTTCAGTTGTCAAGTCTACTAAGGATTACAGTTGAATCACAGGTTTTGCAGTTATTGATGGAATAGTGTAGGAAAACAGTATAAGTGCTATAGCTGTAGAGGGAGGTTTTTCAGAACCGCTTCAATGGAATTGGAGGTGATTAACCATTGACTTCACTACAGTAGTCATTGTCTTTGGGTATGGATATACTTCGCAAATCAGCATAACATATGAGAAATGGTCTAGAATGATTGCTTTGACGAATAGAAGAAAATAGGGAATGTTACGGAAGAAACGAAATCAAAAAAGCCCATTTCGTTTTCGAGTTTGGTACGGTGTTATAGGCTACTGCAATTTGTGAATTCGAGGCATTGCGTTTTGCTAATAGCTGCTTCGATTTTTTGCCCGTAATTGGTGCTTGTATCTCTGCGCAACGTCTGTATAACCGTTTCTTTCTTTCATACCTCGTCAATCTTGATGATACAGCGTTTGCACTTGCAAGGCAGCATGATGCTAAAGGAGGAAAAGTACATAAATGATGATGAAGCTAGTTAAAAATGACTCGAAGCCCATTTGAACATACACTAAAAAACAATGAGTTGCGATTTAACCGAAATAAAAGTAAACTGAATGCACTTATAAAAAAAGGGCAGAAAATTGGTTTGAAAAATAGAGTAAAAACAGTTGAAGTGGAGATGATAAAAAGTGCCTGATGGCAATAAGGATTGCATTAAACAGAAGGCTATTGTTTTTTATGGACTTTAATACTTCGAATCAAAATATTCTATAATTGTTCTATTGTGTCCCTTTTTTACTCTCAATTAAAAATGACTTCTTTGACAATTAACCGTCTCCGACCGTTCCGACGTTTTGTGTAATCATCACGCCTGGATAAAAATTCATTCGATTTAGTATACTAAGAAACAGTGAACGTGCTCTTGTGCAACAAGTAACATTTAAAAAAAGATCACCGGTTACATTTTTGAATCTTTTATTTTTTGTCAAAGTTTGAAGGATGAGATATATGAAACAGAAAAATGAATAAGAAACGAATAGACGTTGCTGATATGCCGAAGGTAGTACACTTGTCGAATATTTTTGTATGCTAATGGCTGTAGAATGACCGTAATTTTGGCCTATATATTATGGCTGGCTGTGCGACAAAGAAGGAATGTTATGTTGGGTTTATATCTAGTTTATACCAGCATGATTGAAGCCAAACCACCAAATTAGGATACCCACGACAATGAGGATAATGATGAACAGGACGAAACAGAACCATTTTTTCTATTATATATAAAGGATTGTTAGTAATTGAACTGACAAATTTTTTTAAGCTACTGAAGAGCTACCTTGCGGGTGCTTCTTGCGCTCACAATTGCTTTGTCTATATGCTTATTTCCTTGTTCCAAATCTACTACTGTTGTTTCTGCGTAAGATTCGATCTGATCTAAGGTTTCCTGCTGCGTCTCAATCATCATCTGCATATCCATGAATAATTGATGTAGCTCCAGTATGGTTTTTTCGATCTTTTTAATTTCATCATGACGCGATTGGACTTCTGATAATACTGCTCTGGCTTGACCTGACCGGTTTGCTTGCATTAACGACTGGGCAAAAATCTGTGGTGGTTCATCCGAATCCAACACTCTTTCAATCTCATCTTCTGTTGCATTGGGTTGAACAATTCTTATCTGTCGCTCTACTCTTTGCCTATATTTCTGCTGGTAAGTTCTCTCAATATCTTGATAACGCTGGATAGTTTCGATAAATTTTCGTTTTATAGCGGCATGCTGAGTTTTTCGCATAGGTAAATCTCCCCCAGCGTTCATACGAGCATTACTCAGTTCAATAGCTTTAATCTTATCTTTGCACTGAGTATTGAGTTTAGCTGTTTGCTTTACCAGTCTTTCTAGTCGAGATGCGTTTTCTTCAGACTGTTCATCATTCAATGTCGTGGTGTTTGTCAATGCAGCGCCGTGTAGTTCTTCAATTAGGGTGATATTTTGATTGATCTGTCTATTCAGCTCTTTCACTTCTTCTATCTACATGATCCATTGATAGTATTAGAGAGATGGATTAAAATAGCTATTGATTAAGCCCACTGGTGTCTCTTTTACCTCCTGAAAAAACTGATCTGTCGAAACAATGCTCCCATTAGGACTATATTGGCTCATTTCAAAGGCCTCTTTTGAATCCATCGCTGCTGTTGCATGACGATTTCCACGTGCGTTATGATTGTAGGTTGCTGATGGTGGAGCAGGTGGACGATATCCTCTTGTGTCTGTAGGCATAGGAGGCGCCGTATCCTCATCACTAAATTTATGTAAGTAAAAAAATAAAAAAATAAAAAAAAAGGAGGAAAACGTATCATCCGACAGAAGAACAAATCAATATAACGGTTATATTCATGTAACTCTATTAAATTTGTAAGAAACCGTTACTATTGCCGGTTGTACCTGAGACGACTGGTTGATGATGTGGAGCAATCGTAAAATAATGGATGAAAGGATATAATTTATGATAAGCACCAAAAGGCTTTCTTTTCTTTGCTCATTACTGGGTAAATAAAATTGTGTCAAAGATAGATACTTACTCGTAGCGCTTCTCGCTATTGTTAGCGCCCTATTAACGTGTAATTAAAGCATAAAAAGAGACAACATGAGCTTATTGCATTGCTGACAAAGAAGCATGAAAACTAATTACACGCAATTCAGCTAAACGGTCTCGACTCATTGTGAACCTTGCAGACATTATGTTGTTTCTATTATATATTAAGGAAAGTACAGGGCAAAGAAAAGGAATGGATAGCTACCAAAAGGTTGAATCAAGAAGAAAAAGTAGGTTTTATTGTTGTTGCGATAGTGAAAGTTGAAGAGAAAAAAGAGGGTTGCACAACAATTATTGCAAAATATAGAGGACACTCATTTTGTCAATTCCAGAACAAATATTATCGGTTAGTTTAAGCCTGCTCTCCTTTTTTCTTCTTTTTTTCTTCCACTCTGTCAATATTTTCTTGAGGTACCTATATTATGTAATATACAGAACAACAATAAACAAGGAGTTATTAGAAAACTTGATCATCTTTTGCTCCCGTAAACAAAATCAAGTGTACCGTGGGCCAGTTCTTTAGAATAATCTCGTGTATTTCTTCACTAAAATCACCCTGAACGACAATTTCATCTTGTCCTTGATTATTTTTCGCTACTGAAGAGCCGCATGCAAATCTATTAGCAAACATTTTAGCTGCTTTCTTCAAATCTACACCAAAGATTTCCAGACCAAAAATGGTTGTGACACTCTTTCTCTTAGTTCTTTCGATACGTTTAATAATGATTCGAGATGCCTAAGAAATAATGTTCAGAATTGTATATATACTTGTTGAATGATCTTCCTTTCATGGTTTCGGATCACCTCTGCCGTTTGTTTCCCCTTACCATCTTCTTTTTATTTTCACGTTCTAGTTTTGCTTCCAATTTTGCTGATTTGTCTTTGACTACTGTTCTATCTTTACCGCTGTCATCTTCAATAGATGCATTTGCAACCCCTTTAGTCACACCTAAGATAACAAAGAAAGATATAATCTTTGGTGTAAGTTTTTCTGTCACAAACAATTCGTACTCGCTAGTAGAAGAATCAAATAGATGTATTCTGAAAAGAAAAGGAGGAGAACGGTTCGAACGGATGGCAACAGCATACACTATGTATTCTAAAATTGTGCCGTACGATGAAATAAGAAGGCTACATGTGTGCGTATCTCGTACAGAAGACACTAACATCGTTTCCGTCTCACCAGTGATATATCAAGAATATGAATACAGAATCTTGTTGTTGTGTAAAAATGCATTACCATCGACACCATAAAACTTTTCGTATAAATCTTCATCGTGATTCTTTAACCATAATTTACATTTTTCTTGAGTTCCGCTGAATTCACAATACTGTTTTACAACTGGCGATTAGTTTGACGTGTAGTTGTGTTTCCTTTGAGTGACTCAATAAAGTTACAGAAACACCCTACCTCTAATGGCATAGTGCAAACTATAATATGATATTGTCAGTGAGTTGATCGCGCAATGTATGCTTGCAAATATCAGGTAGGAGAGACAAGAATACAATACTTTACTGCCACAATAAATGACTTTAACGGGTTCGATAGTCATTGTGTAAATTATCCACTTTCTTTCGCTGTTAGATTACAAGACGTGAGGTGGAAGTTAACTGACAAAAAGGAATAATATCAGGCCCAAATCGGGCGAGATTTTAAAATTTATAAAGCAGTCATTTTAGGTCATTTTCTGTCAAGGTTATGCAACAATGAACAAGATTAAAAAAAAAAAAAAAAAATATAAAAAGGGAAAGGGAAAAAACTGTCAGCTGTACTTGACCAGCTTCCATTGAGCTAAACTTATCGTACTGTATATTTACATAATAATATTTTGTAGACATTGGGGCTTTCCTGTCAACTGACCAAGCTCTACTGATCAATCGAGAAGCAGTAACAATTAAAACATATATTTATAACGCGCCCTTATGACCAAAAATTATTATAGCACGTATGTTATAGCTATATTTGTTACCTGTACTGCTTTCATAGTTTACAATGCATTCTTACTGTCTTTGCATTCAAAATTGAGTAGTTCGTCTTTGTGTATTTAAGAGTAAATGAAACATTTTATCATCCAATATCCGAGATGGTTGAAGAGTCAACCAATCAAACAGTGCTCACGTGATTGCGTTTTCAAAAAGTATATATTATAAATTTTTGTGTAACAAAATATCAATCTTCGGTAGTATAGTGGTGAGTATCCCCGCCTGTCACGCGGGAGACCGGGGTTCAATTCCCCGCCGGAGAGTTTTTTCCACTCACTATCTATGGAGTGCGTGTAACCTTTTGAATAATTCTGTTTATCTGTGCTGCAGCTCAAAAATATTTCTTATATTACAGTATTTTAGGTTTCATAAGAGACGATTTCGAAAATTTTGTGGACGAAGTTGGTACCTTAATTGGGACGTTTCTTTTTTTTTAGTGGACTATAGATTTTTGATTTTAGACGAACTGGGCTTTTACGGTAGACGAAATATTTTGAGTAGATTTCGTTTGCTTTAAAATAAACACATCCCTGCAACATGAATTACATAAATTATAATCCTGCAAGTGAGCCTATGCTTTCCGAAAATACTTTTGCTATGGACTTGGATGAAATTGCTGTTACTTTCGGGCAAATGGAGAAGATCGTCGACTATGATGAAATGCAGCGGCGCCCTGTAGTCGATGATGCGAAAATGGAAGAAGCTGTTGAAGAATTAACAACAGAATTCAGCACTATCGCATTAACGGATAAGTCCAAGAAGCGCAAGCAATATAGTGAGCACAGCATTAGACGGTTGATTCACTTAATCCACGAGGCTGGGCTTACAGTTCCCAAAGCTGCGGTTGAGTGTGACATTCCGAGGTTCACCGCTTATAAGTTTTCAGATCAGTGGAATGTTAGTGATGGTACAGTCCTTCCTGGTAGCAAGCCAAGAACCGGCATCTCTCGACCAAAGAAGCTTTTTGCAGAACATACTGAGTTTCTTATAGCATTATTTGATGCGAGACCTTTGACAACAATTCAAGCTGCAAGACAGGAGCTCTGTGCGAAATTTGAAGGTTTGAGTAGACGTCTCAAAAATCTGGTTTGTACTGTCCATTCATATGGCAGCTTTGTTTAAATCCAACGCTAAATTACTGTATCGGATCAAATTTTTCAATATCTGCGTATTTTTTAAATGTGACATTAAACGCGTAAATCATACTGTTATTATAAATGTTGTTAAACGAAATGTTATGTTGCCAAAATTTAGTGATCATTCTTATCTTTCACCTTTTTCAATTATTTTCTTCTCTTCTTCTTTTCTTTCACTTCATTACCTTCAAACCAACGTTATTTTCTACACACATGTACAAGACAATCATCATAGATAAAATCAATTCAGTGAAAGAAAATCATACCAAGAAGGAAAATCCGTCCGGTAATGGCATATCACTATACAGTGTGTAGTTTGAGACATTAGTAACCTTATTGTACACTTTTCAGAGCATACCAAATGTAAGGACTGTAATGATTTGGGTCACTTTAATAAAAATTACCCGGGATGCAAGTACCATAAAGCTATATCCGCCGATGATGGTAAGTTGAGCCTCGACCTGCCTTTAGCCACACAAGCCAAGTAATAGACCATCTCTTCCACATATAGTTGGGACTCGCAATAAGAAGAGAAAACAGAGCGCCAGTGTTAAAGCAGAGAAGAAAGCAGTGAAAAAGAAGAGAACAGCATCACAGGCTGTAGAGTGTTCCAGTTGTGGGAATGATGACCATGCTTCTCCTCGTTCGCCTCTTTGTCCTAATCACATACAATCAAAGGACGAGGCCATTTCATCTGTCCTTGGCCATGATTCTACTGTTTTTGCGAGGAAGCTTCCTATCGACAGTGCCGTTTTACCACAGTTTCGTGAAAAGTTCAAGGAAAAGGTCATCTCCTGCTGCAAGGACATCAGAGCTATAGTGTTTCGCTGCCAGCTATTTGTTAATGCCTACCTCGTGCATAATAAGAATGCCATTCCTTCAGAAGTCTTCACACAGCAATTTTGGTATTCTGTTGGACAACTCGTTACGGGCAAAAAGGTTACTCACAAGAAGGTGCTGAACGACGACATCAAAAATTATTTTGATGACTTTAAGGAAAAGCATCCGACAATAGTAATCAGTCAGAGCTTCACTAAAGGTTACAGCCACTGTCTCACAGAAGCCGCCAAGGAGATAAGCGTTTCGTATACTAACTCTATTGTTGAGCTTTTTGAACAACGAGTGCTTAAATATCTAACCTATAAGCTGCAAAACATGTTTGTTGTGCGTATTGTTATCACTACTATAATTTCGATTTCTTAGTTTCTAACCATTTGTATTTGCTTTATTATAATCAGAGCATGAAGAAGGCCGACGCAGTGGAAATATCAAAAGCATACTGCTACCAAGTAATTTGCAAAGGCGAACCCAACTGGCCTGATAGAATCATGCTTAGTAAAGAAGACAAAAGCAAGATAGAGATGCTATGCAAAAGCTTTGAGAAACTTATAACGGAAAAGGTTACGTTGCTTTCTTTATCATCCGATCCCGCCAAGTTTACCAAAGCATTATGGCACATCCTATCCTCGTATGAAAAGGAACATGACGAACATGCAGCTTACGATGTCCGTAGATTACCGCTGCCCAAGCGCTTCTTCCCTTTCCCTCTGCCTTCGCTCCATTGGCGTTTCATCACCATAAGCATCAACTCGCTCCTCCCATTCATGTTTCCCGGTACACCTCCAAAAGGCTATACAGATCAACTCGAAAAGTTTTATCAAGTGTTCAGCTTTAAGAAGATGGGATTTGATACGTAAAAAAAGAAAAAAAAAGTTTGGCAGAAATGTTGTCATTGGTATTTACTGAATTTCATTTTTTGTGACAACAGTTTGAATAACCTCAAGACAAGCCAAGAGACCCTATTCCGTAATATCGTCCGCTCGGATGGCTTCACTGTCGACTTTATTTTTAGTAAGAAGAGAAAATCAAAAGAAGAGAAAACCATCGAAGACCATCGGTTGACTTTGGAAGATTTTGATTATGCCGAAATCGAATCTGGTTATAGACCCTGCTTCATTGATCCTGGTAGAAGAGACGTTTTCACAGCAGCAATTGGGATAGACGTAACGAAGCACCAGGTGCGAAGCTGTTCTACCAAAGAGTACTACCATATGACTGGTAGCACTAGGTATTCAGCAAGGCTGGAACAGAAGAAAGCAGACAAAATCAAGGGCATCGAAAGTGATATGCCAACTGCCAAGACAGGCTCCAAAGCCCAATATCACTGTTATGCAGCATACATCTTACAGCACTTGGAAGTCTTGTTTTCTTTCTACGGTGATGACACTGCCAAAGATCGATTTCATTTATACCAAGGACGGAAACGTGCAGCAGACAAAATGGTAAATATGCTAGTTACTGGCAGTACAAAGTATAACGAGGATCTCAGATTGAAGAAGAGAGAAGAAAAAGAAAAGAAGGCCTCAAAGAAGAAGAACAATGGCAAGGCGGCTTCTCAGAAAAGACGAAAAAAGAAGAAGAAAGGAGCACCAGAGAAAAAGAGTATAGAAGAAGGGACATCAAAAGTTAAAGTGAAATTGGAGAAGAAAGATAGGTAAAGTTCATAAGCAATCATCATCAACAACTTATAGAAAGTAACATGTTTTTTGTAGTAGTAGTTCAAATGCCAAATGGAGGCCCCAACCTTTCAGTGTCGGTGATGTCAAAAAAGTACCTCTCATTGTATTTGGCAATGGTATGTTCGCTAAAGATAATGTCGCATTCAAGGGTCACCGATGTGGAACGGTGGGTGTTTTGTGGCGTGCACTCAAGCGACGTGAATCAAGCGGAGACCTGGTTGTACTTGAAATCGATGAATACAAGACATCCAGGATATGCTCCTGCTGTTCGAACAATACTTTGGAGAGGTTGAAAGGCGTTAAGACCTGCAGTATACTTGTATGTAAAACTTGCCATATACTGTGGAATCGAGACGTCAATGCTGCCAAGAATATGATGAAAATTAGTTGTGCTATTTGGAAGGCTTTAGGAAGGCCGAAAGAATTTACACGGACAAAATCATAAGACACCCTCTCCCTCAACATCGCTGGAACGAACCCAGTTTGATAATTACAGGTAAAAAGAATGGAAAACCTTATACTTTCTAGTGTTGTGCAAACTGTCTAACATTTTATTCTTAACGGTCTACTATTATCTTACATCCGCTTAAACTTAATTTCCTTATCGTCTAAAAATTTTGTGTGTGTTGTCCAAATCTAAAGTTAATAAACTGTATTCGACCATTCTATTAATTGTCAACTGTATATTCAAATTTAGTGCCTACAGATTATAATCGAGATAGCTCTCTAGCCAGTATCAAAAGAATCGCATCCGTTAATTTCACTCGTATGGTTGTTAATAGTGAATGGCTTTCAGCTTATTTTACAACTACCATATGGTTATTAACGGCAGCAATCGGTTCTTCCGTACGTGTTTATTGTCCAAACGTCAATCTTATTGAATGATGTGGTCATTTTTATTCCTTTGACTTAAGAATTACCATATAACTTAGAGTTTTCTGTTATATAACAGAGGATTTATCCACGCTTATCCGTGCTTCCATTCACTGGTTGTGCCTTCAAAAGCATGTTTATCCAATTCAGCTACTTCACTATCATTCAATCTAAAATTAAGTGCCATGCGGTTTTGCTCCACATGCTGAGCCGTGCGAGCGCCACCCAGAGGGATAGTACCCTTAACAATACACCAATTAAGGGCAATTGCACTTTGAGGACGTTGATATTTCTCACTCAATGCCTTTAGAACACTTAATAATCTTTCCAGTTGATCTGTATCAAGCGAGTCAAAAGTTTCCTTACGACCTTCTGGCCAAGGGCCTTTGGAACCAAATTTACCAGTCAAGATACCCATACCAATAGCTGAAAAGAAAGGAAAAAAGGGAAAAAATGAATAACGTAAATACAGAATACAATATGTATGAAAGAGGGGCGAAGAAAGCAAAGACTACTAAAGAGTGAATAAACTTACGAGAATAGGCCAAAATGGCTACACCAAGATCATGACATAATTTGATTAAGCCAGACTTTTCAGGCAATGTACGAATAAGGGAAAAGCAAACTTGGTTAGAAGCCAAAGGAACACCTCTTTTCTTTAAAGCATCGTACATGCGTTGGACCTCTTCCTTGCTATAGTTAGACACACCAACGGTTTTAACAAGACCAGCTTCATGTGCATCGGCCAAAGCATTAGCTATAAGTGGTAAGAACAACAAACATTAGCAGGCTTTTTAGAGGTTTTTTTTTTTTTTTTTTTTTTTTTCGTTAAAATCTGTCGTTGTGCACTACTGCTAGATTTAATTTACCAACAACTTCAATCTCCACAGGATGAATGGCTGCATGAATTTGATAAAGATCGACGTTCATTGTACCCAAACGGGCTAAAGAGTCTTTCAAAGCCGATAAAAGGACGTCAGGAAAGTTCGTACGATGCTTATGTGGAAAGTATTTTGTAGCAATAATTTGCTGTTCCTTTTGTTCTTGAGTATATTTTTGACGGAAACGAGAGATTTCTCGTTCAGATTCACCATCGCCATACACTTCGGCTGTCACAGATCGATTCGTACAACTTAGTATTTAGTAAGTGTGCCCTTTCAGTGTCTATATTCTTAGTTATACCTGTATCATAAAATGGAATGCCTAATTCAAACGCTTTATCAAATGCCTCGTTGGCATCTTTTTCGGCTTCAGGTGTCCAATTCCAAACTATACATAAATGACATGTTGAGTACGCCGAGGAATCCTTCAACATTGTAATCAAGTTTTCATACCATGCTTATCACCCCATTGCCATGCACCGATGGCTAAAATAATAGTAGAAAATATAATTGTAAAGCAAAAAGGAATAGTTTAGCATAAGGTAAAATGAATTCTCAATTTGACATTGTATTTTTTACCTATGGGAGGCACCGAGACAACACCAGCTAACACTATTCTTGTATCTTTCGTGGGAACAACGCCTTCTTTCACTTTTACTACAGCTTCAGGCATATGAACGTTATTTGTGGGAAGAGAAACAAAATATAGTGGAAAATGGTAATGCGAGAAGTTGAACTTTTTGCGGGGAAGTAAATACGGTTTCTGAGATTAAATTTTGTGTGAAAGTTGATGTTGCTCGCATTACGTTCAAACAAGCTTTTACTAAAACCATTGAAATTCTTGAACAGCAATGGAAACTTGAATAAGAGTCAATTGACCGAATGGGTGGCCAAAGATGGCTTCTGGAGCGGTGCCCAACAAAACTACAAATGGAAGAGTGAGTGGCCGTATAAAACCGTCGTCGACATAATTGTCGATGTTGCGCACAAAATACATAGACGTATTCAACATCAAATTCTAAAAGACGACGAAATATTGTCAAATTTCAGATGCACAATAAAAAGTAAATATCATTGGATTGCTTTACTTTTTAGTGCGAATTATAATGAGAAGCATTCGACGAAACTTCTGCGGCTTATTTCTTGAATTGGAGAGATTGATATAACAAAAAAACATAACAGTGGTCTTTAACGTGACTTTTACTCAGTAAATCAAGAAAGACCAAACTACTTTCGAAGAGACTGAAATACCAGCAATCCGTTGTTCGACTCTTAAACTCTTTTATAAAAATTTCATTGATGAGCAAATGAAATTTGGAGTAATTCTTCTTGTCACGTTTGGATAATTATTTGTCGTTTGTTTTACGGTTTTGTCGTGTTCAAGTTTCGTAAATCTAATTTGAATCATAATTGAATTTTTTTTATATGGCACTTGCCCATCTTCCAAAAGTGACAAAGAAATGCGGCTAAAGTGGCAACGACATTTTAAATTAGAAATACTGTGTCACTGCCACCCTGAGAATACAGACAAGCTCAGTTAAATGTACGCATCCGAACTATAAAAGAGGCTTCTTTTTTTTAGGAAGGTATACAAAATGCGTAATCTATTTAAAACTTTAATAAAACGAGCCATCTGCAATTGATCTTTATTAAAGCGCAACACAAAAAGAGCAGATACATGCATTATGAAAAGACAAGCATTTAATATAAGAAAAAAAGGAGGATCATGTGTTATGCATGTTGTGTCCTTTTCTATAGAGCTAAAAGAGGAAAACGGCTCGCATGGGGTTTCTTGTTTTCTCTTTGTTTGTTGACATTCAAGAAGGGTTTGGGGCAAATTATCATGATACATACACATAGCAAAGATTGGGAGTTTCACATAAACCACAAACTGGAATTCCACACGAATCCATTCACTAATTAATTGCATTGAAGAACTTGTCATTACTACTAGTACTATTATGAATATCATTGCTATTTTTGTTATCTTATTTCTTTTATACTACAAATGTCAATCGGGTTCTAGTTGTTATTACTGCTGTTATTGCCAATGCAAGATAGTAGTGAATCATATTTATATCGTAATGACAGTTACCGTTTCATTGAAAGAAACGGTTTTCTTTTTGCTTTTCTTTTTGGATCTTAATGCCATTGTTGCGGTAGTCGTCATCTTATCATCATTCTCCATCACTGTCAATGAGTTTTTAAACGTATTTCTTTCTAGTATAAGATCGTTCATATTCTTCATCCCTTTGTTATCGTCGATGCCTGTATTGTATAACTGATCACCTAACCAACTTTTATTTGTTCTACGTGTTCTGAGTAATGTAATTGGAGAATTGCTCTTGTTTGTCGCCGTTCCAGAACGCTGCAGGTGTTTATTGTACTTATTGTGACTGTAACGATGCTGTTTGTGTGCAAATGGCGCTAATACTGGTAGAGGTAGTAGAGAAGTATCTATGACCGAATCTGTTGCTTGACCGATGTACAATGAGAGTACTTTGAATATTGCATTGTCTATATCCATGATCGGTTTGTTACTTTTGTTTGTTTCCTCGTAAGTCCGAGGTCTTAAAGTAGGAGGAAGATCGATAGAAGAATGTAGTGTTTGTGGGTATACAGCTACAGATGGAGGTGATAGACTTGATTCAATATCCATGTTGAAATTAAGATCAAATAGAGCAAGCTATTATTGCAGAAATGAAGAAGCCTAAAACGGAGAAAAAACTGGGGAGATGCTATTTTATATGTTGAAATAGGGGGTGTGTGTGCTCAGGAAACAGGTAAGTGAAGTCAAAAAGAAAAAGAAAAAAAAAAACAGGTTAATTAAGGCTTTGGAATTTCGAATATTCACAGATCAAGGGACGAGAGAAGAGGTCGGTTAAATAGACAGCAAACGCTGATTACCATTCTTCCCTTTGTTCTTCCACGTTATACGTATTAAGGTCGTATACAAAAATATACAATCAATGCTTTGAGTTGCATACTTTTAGTCTGCAGATGCCCTTATATCACTCTCATGAAACAGAAATATGCCACAATATGAGAAAAGTTTAACAGGAATTTCACAGCTTTCTTCCTAGAGTTTCGCAAACAAGAGGAGTTTTATGGACATCAATGCAGTACTATTAAGCTTTGATTGGCTAAATGAAATAGCAAATAGTAATCGTCGGTCATTCTACTGCTTGAGCTTTTTTCAATCTTTGTTTCCTCCAGAATCTCTATTCTCAGTTGCAAATCACTAAAATTGTTCACTTGAGTTGTTTTATTGATTGCAATAGACATGACTTCTCTGTTAGTACAAACGCACCGAAATATACCTATACGTTTCATTGTTCGCCAAAGGAATGAATCAAGGCAAAGAATAAATAATGATTTACTGAAATATTGACATACATGATACTCCAAGTTTTATGATCGATATCATTGACTATTCTTTGTTAAGTCGCAATAACTTTTTTCACTATTGCAAATCTTACAGTTTACTACTTCTCATCGTCATACTCTTCTTGCTCTGCCACTTTTAATACACCGTTTAACGTATTATTATTTTGAGCTGGATTCAAATATAATATACGCGTCATCACATTATATAATTCTACATTCCAAAACGGTTCCAACAGTTCACCTGCTCGAAAAGCAGGCCCTTTTGCGACAAAAATTGCCCTTGAATCAGGTGACTGATTATCATAACCATGTACTCCTTTGGGTTGATACTCCAGCCCACGATCAGGGTCATATCGTTTGCGAGTAACAAAATTCCAGCCTGAATCAGGCACCGCCAACAATGGTGGTATACGATTGACTAGCTGATTGAAATGAAATCGAGTCGGAAACTCCTCCCTCTTATATACTTCAAAATGAGCCTTCTTATCTTTACTCAATTTTCGTTGGTGTAACTTAAGCCGTTGAAAGGCTTGATACAGCACCTCTACAGCTTCAGATTCGTTCAAATATGGGCGTGGCCGAATGGCCAAGGTGGGCTCAGCTTCAATACGCCAAATCATATCAAGTTCCTCTTTTGTTAATACGTCGTCGTAATATATCAAGCGTGACTTGTCGGTAGCCGACATACCGTGATCGCTAACAATCATAATGTTGACAATATCAGTCAAGTTGCGTTGCTCTAGGCCTTCAAGCAAACGGCCTATGCTCTTATCGGCAAGCGATAATTGAGTCATTGTCTATAAAGTTTTTTATGAGTTTCTCGAGCTTATACATTTAGAGACTACCATGTTCCTCTCATATTTTTCTTTCTTTCTCTCTCTGCGCCCTTTACCTCATTCGCATAGGGCCCATAGGCATGTCCTGCCTGGTCAATTTGAGGGACATAAACACCAATAAATTGAGGTCGATCTTCTAACGGCAGATCAAGCCAATCGAATACCTGGTTTACTTTCTCATCTGTTGTAACATAGTCACTATAGGCAACAGAATAAGTCGGCGTCAAACCATTGAAGTCTGTGCTGCAACCAGGCCACATAATGACGCCTGATTTCTTGTTCTGTTTGACAGCGGTGATCCATATCTATATGGATTGACATACATTAACTTTTTTTTTTTTTCGCAGTTTTAATGCAATCAAGATGGATAGATAATACGTTACAGGTTCACCGCCCCACCATTTCGAATCCCAGCTACGATCGGGACTTTTATAGTAAAAGGTGTCGTTGAGTTGAGTATCATAAAAGTAGTTTCCTACAATACCGTGTGCCTCAGGATATAAACCAGTGACTAAACTCCAATGATTAGGAAAAGTGATTGGCTATATATGAACACAAATAATTTTAGCTAAGGCTGTATTTGCCCTTACACTTTGGCTTTCTAATCTATTTTTACAGGAAATGATGGTATCATATATTTTGCTTTTCCTCCTTCTCGGCCTGTATATAGATAATAATGTCAATCTATCTGTTGGGCTTTCTAAAAGGGTATAATAGCTCTTTAAATATATATATTACCTATTTGTGTCAGTACAGGTGTTCTATGTAATTGCAGATCGTGATTCACAACGCCATCAAGTGAAATGAGAATGACAGTTGGCGCAAAAGTATGAGTGCCATTACTCCATCTCGGCTCTTTGTTGTCGTCGTCATTGATACGATGTCCTAAAGCAGCGCCACTTATAAAAAGTATACAAGCAACAGTTATAACAGCTATGACTACCAACTTCTGCCTTTTCCTATGATCTTCCGACTGTGCTCAATCAAAAATAATGTTATTATTGCAGTAAATGGAGCATCTCGTTTTTTTGATCATGCAAACAAACCTCCTCTTCTATGTGGGATATATCAGGCTCAGACGGTCCAATGGATTGATAATGTGTATGAACAGAAGTAGAAAGATGCTTGTCAGCTTTATATTGATTCATAAAGAAGTAGAATAAAAACAAAGATAAAGAAGGCAGAGATGATGATTCGAAGAGAAGTTAAGGAAAAAGGGGTATCACCAGACGTATTACAAACGATCGCATTATTATGCTTAGGAAATTTTATGAAATCTCTGCGCTTTATTTGTTGACGAGGTTCTAGAGTATTACACTGGTCTAATACTTTTGCAGTATTGGTTGCCATTTTCGTTAAAAAAACCAGATGCCATCAAAAGATCTCCCAGCTGAATTGGCTCTGCTTCAACTGTTTCTGCGCGCATGTTTTTATAATCTGAAGAGAAAACTTTTGGATTTCTACTCATTCAAAAACTTTTCAGAAACATATTAATACATAAGCATATTATAAACATGTTGATGCAAATTAAGTGTGAGAAATATACGACATTGAGACAGCTATTTCATTTCTAATATTTGTGCGATTCTTCTCTATAATTTGAATCAATACAAAGTAGAATCATTAATTTATTATCTGTCAGTCTTAACCGTTATTAGTTTCAAAGCAACAGATCGGGAACAACATATTATATGCTGTTGAGGCCGTTCAAAGACTTTTTGTTGGAACTCACTAAAAAATTCTACAGGAGTGAAATGATTAGGGCAGACAAAGAGTGTATTTTCTGCGACTGTTGAATTCCAAATAATCATTGTTGTTACTGACAGACAGCTCCAGTACTTCTTAAGTAGAACCTTCAGGTATAAAGTGAAAAAGCTACTGCTCCTGTCTTATCTGTCGGCAGGTGCATTTGGCAATTTAAATGGAATCACAGTTTTTGGTTGGATATTACGCTATGGCTCAGTGGTTAAGGCTTTATTCCTCTCTTTATTCAAGCAGGCAATTTGTCTAAATCACGACAAATTATCTATGTGATTTCGTCTTTATATTTCCAGTATAGCTCAAGGTGGTTGTCTACGGAACCATTCCGGCTATGGTCCAGTCATTAAAATGGGGGTAAAACCTCGAATTCTATTAAAAAGTTTGTGAAGCAACAGGCAAAATAGACGAATATCATCCACCAACCCAATTGTTGAGTGACATGATAGCCATTGATGTTGACTACAATCAAAGTACTTATTAGCACTGTCATGAGTCCACCAGCGGATATTAAAATTGTAGGCGCTATATCTAATTTATAGGCTTCTCCAAGCTTCCAGGTCTGATAAAAGGACGATACACCTACACCCAACACCATATCTATATTAAAGATTCATTCAGTATCAGAATACTCACTTGTTTAAAGCATTAAATCTCTTCAACTTACTCAGTAAAGGACCGGCATAGCAAGCAGATATAGCCATTGTAGGAAAGCCCATCTTTTACAAAGGATATTGATTGAGTACGCAGGTCTTTTATTAACGCGACTCTTGAATTAAGATTTTAGGAACCTTTTTACCTTAGCCATAGCAGTATTCGTTACTAAATCACCAATGCTATTACCCTATCCATATAGATGGTGTATTTTATTGTTGGATCTTCTTCAATTGTATAGATCAGCTATGCCTCTTTCTTTTGTTTTTCCCCCTTACCAATGCGAAAACAGTTAGACCCATGATGGATTCACTTATGCAGAATATCTCTCCCAACGCCTATGGAATTTAAAGAGAAAGAATCACATCAATGTGACCTTCCTAATCATTTACTATTTCATACTGCTAGACTTTCTTTACCTGTAAAAGACCGACTACTTCGTTAGCTAGCAAGAATATCCAATTCAAAGAAACAAAAAAACCGAAGAAAGAAATCATCCAAAACCATGAAGGAGGTTCTTCCTTCTTAGTAAATTTGCAAACTATTCCAGCTAGTAGCAAACCTACGACACCTCCTAAGGAAACAAAATAAGATGGTATCATTCCATTCACTATAATAAAAACTCATTTCAGTCACATGTCTTCCATTATCAGTTCTCGTCATTAATATAGCTCGGAATCCATTCTCTTACTATAAAAGACGCCGAATATGAACAAAAGGCTAAAAATACATTGAACTATTAGTATGTGCTTATTCCATCCCTGTTGTATATCCACATTGTCTTCTTCCATATAAGTCGCGACCCCTTTTGTAGATTCTGTTTCTGCTACTTTTTGATGTGGAGTTACTATTGGCAATGACTTGACGGTAGTAGCATAATTAACAGACAAATAAGATCTGTTATTTCTATGTACAGTGTTGTTGTTATTACTCGAAGCTCTACTATGATACTTCCCCCCTTCTTCAAATTGTTGCTGCTGTACTACCGCTTCTTCCAGTATATCGCAATTTCTAGCTACCACCTCTATATCATCCATTTTGATATTCTCACTTTCAGCAACAGGTAATGTCAGTGTAAAAATGAGAATAAAAGGTGTGGAGGCCAATGCATTAAGTTTGGAAAAAAAATCCTTCTCTTTCCAACCCTCCAATGTTGGAAATAAAAGCTGTATGATATCTTGCAAGAAAAGGTAAATAATTTTGCTCGTGGATGATGATGTTAGGTATTTGATAAACATAGAATTTTTTGTCAATGAATAGGATGCTGATGTTTGCTGTTGCTGTTGTAGTGGAGGAACCTTTAAAGATAAACAATATTCATCTTCTCCTCCTGTTTGGCGCTGCTGCCGCGGTTGTGGCTGCTGTTCATATTGTTGCAATGCTAATACTGACGTTGAAGGACTAATGACTGGGCTTTCTCTTGCAGATACAAAATGTTCATATTCGGAAGTATGGGGACTTGCTGGTGTAAGACCCTTGCCTGTTTGTTGTCGATCAAAGTGATAGTTTAGTAACGACGTGTTATGTTGTTGTTGTTGTTGTTTTCGTAGATCATTGAACCCATCCTCCATATAATGATTGTAGCTGTTACTATAAATGGAGGCGGAGGAGGGTTGAATTTCCAATATGTTGATTGTCGGTATAATAGGAGGTTGTGATAGTATTGTTGTTGTTTCCTCTTCTTGTTTTTGATGGGACTGGATAAAATGAGGTTGACTATTATGAAGTGATAAATAAGTAAAATAATCGCCTGCAGCTAAAGAAGGTGAGTGAGGTAAATTGATGTGATGTGTTTGAGGAGTTGAAGAGAGAACAGTCATAGAACTTGGGGAAAGAGATGACAATGGACGATGATCTGCAGCTGCTGCAGCAGTTGTTGATGATCGCTGCCGCCCCATACTTTTTGCGGAGTAATTGGAAGGGTAAGCAATTACTTGTGATTCCACATGCTGATGTTGCTGTTGTTGATGCATAGATTGAGGCATAGAAACCTGGCGTTGCCGATTGTACTGCTTATTGATATTAAGATACTGACTCCAAGTTGGGGATGTAAGTTGCTCTTTACTCTTCTCGCGGATAAGGCTATATACTTGCTGTTGGAACTATATTACACCAAAACTCTTCTGATTAGCTCCGTTGATCTTTCATCTTTATTGATCTTATGGTTGCCTATATTGAGCATTCACTTTAAAACAATCTTTTGTTTACCTCAATAGCACCAAACACAGAAGATCTTATGCCTATACGTGGCGTCATCGGCCGGCGATGTGTTCTTATACTAGAGACTGTTTTGAGAGAACTCATTGACTTTGGCATCAGTGCGTCGTAATAGATTGAATTACGAGTTGAGAGGGGTGAAGTGGGCCGTATAATATGACCTAAATGGCTCGTACTAAAATCTGACATATTCGATTGAATTGTTGGAGAGTATCCTCTAGATGGAATAGTCAACCTTGGCGGTTTTTTTCCTGTGCCTACAAATATATAAACATAACTTTTAGATATCTGGCTCTCTCGTTGAGTCTATTCGCCGTATACATATTGATGTACAAGTACCTGTACTGCTTAAAAGGTGACTCGTTTCATCCACAATAATCGTAACATCACCTTTTTTGACTTCTGCTGCTGACCCCTCCACCTTCAGCTGAGAATTGCCTTCACTGATAACAAGCGTTGATGCACTGCTACTGCTACCACTGAGTACAACGGCGCTTACGTAGACAAGGTAGTATCCAATCAAAGCGACACTATGATACCAGTAGATACGTTGATGATAAATAATCCAAAAAATCAGTATGATGGCGCCTGTTAGGAACGATGTATCCCGCATAAAAGTTATTCTTTCTGATTGAAATGGTTTAATGATTCCCATTGAACCGGAAACAACAGCTACTATAAAAAAGGCAGCACCAATTAATTCACCAATTGCCAATGAACCTGCCCCTGTGTCCAGTGCACTATTTTATTTTATTTTTTCAATTTGGTCGCAAAACATCGTTAGCACAACATCGTTTATGATTTCTTCGACCCTTACAGATATTCTCCCTATCCAAAGTTTACTTACCTGAACGTACTGAATAAGTCAGGGCTTCCATTTCCCAATGCTAGGATGGTTACACCGGCCTGAAGTTGCATAAAACTATTAATTATACAAAATGTCCATTTAAAGAATCTACTTCTGTGTTTTCTTCATTACCATGCTTTCTGATAGATGCAGCTTGGCTGAAATCGTTTGCAGATTCGGGCCTTTAGAGTTCAAAAGAATTGGTTATTACTAAGGCCATGTTATTGTTGTTTAATTATGACGAGAAATAACGTTACAGAAAAAGTCAGCGGCAACAACACCAATTGCACCAAATAACATAAGTAACGCTGTCAACTTTGATCAAAATCAATGAATTTAATCGTTTTTTTCCAGCTTGTGTATCGAAGAATGAATACCCCTTTCGAAATAAAGCTGTATTACCGGCTAGGGGTCATCAAAACACTTTCATTGGGAATACACTTACCAAAATGGATGTAGAAAGAGGCTTCCATAAACCTGAACAATAATAAAGCTCCAAATAGATGGCATTAAAGCCATGACATGCACTTCGGACAAATTCACATTGATCCTCATGTAATTCTATATCTCTGCAGTGAACCTTTTATATATAAAATTTGAATATTAATGATACATAGAATTTATTCATGACAAGATACAGTAATACTGGGTTGGTTTTTTGGTTTTTTTTATAGATACCGTATATGACGAATTATCATTGAGAGTCGTAGTAGTAGGTGAGAATGATGCTGTATTGCTCAGGGCCGAAGGCAAAGTGAGCCTGGTTTGTGATATCGATATTTTAAAACTGAAGACTAATGCGAAGAACGCAAGTATGTAGAAAGTTCGGTAGAATGGTGAAGTTTGAGCATTCATATTCACAAAATTTCCGTAACTATTTGGAAAAGTTGCGGGAAAATGGTTTTGGAAGGCTTCAAAATGACCGGTAGGAAAACAAGAAGGACTAGAAGAACAAAAGAAAAAGAAAAAGCAAAGAATGAACTATAACCCATATCATAATAAGTATTTTTTTTTTTTTTTTAATCAGTATAGTCTTTCGCCTCCTGTCATTGCAGATAGCTCCAAATTTCTTTATTATCGTTTCAAAAAGAAGGGCGATGGGATGTTGTTGGGCCTTGCGCTTTTTGCATGATCGCTGCTCCCTCCTTGATTGCCAACATTTGCCTTTTAAGTCATTTCTTCCTACCACGTATGTCCGATTTATAACTTAATATAATATAAAACTTATACCCCGTTGAATTAGTAATAGTATGCAAATGGTAATTTGCACAAAAGTTACAAGTGGACCATGAATATTCTCAGCAAGGCATTTATTGTGTGGTTTGAGTGGGTACTCTCTACACTTTTGCGAGTGATGCCTAAATGGCTGAAGGGTTGAGTCGTTTAAATATATTATAAATAGATTATAATTCGTTTCCTGCACTGATAAGCAAATCGTACTTTCAAAGAGTTTCTAAGTGGTTCTTATCAGTTCTAGAATGTAGATTTCAGTACTGGAAATCATAAATTAGCTTTAATTCAAGTAAGATATGCGTTACTCTCAGAGGTACCGTAACAAATGGTTAGACATGGAAAAACGTAACCGCTTACTAGGGCTTTTTCTGATACAGTAGATAGCGAGTCAAAAAGTGAGTAATATCTTCACGCACTACAAATATGAATCGCATAAAAAATTGGTCCCACCGAGAATCGAACTCGGATCACAGGATTCAAAGTCCTGTATGATAACCATTACACTATGGAACCTTCAGATGTTTTAGTAATTTTGAAATATTATGTGTTCTATGATAGAATTCATGATCACGTGCACGACATTTGCTTGGTTAAAATCTTTTGTCCGAAGTTTGGATAGTGAGTTTTATTGATAAATACTCCCACCCAGAAGTGAGTGTAACGCGATAAGTTGTTCCTGACCCACTTGAGTTTTACACATCAATTTGGTAGCGTAAAAAAATTATTACGCACTCAACAGCTAATATTAAATTCAACATAAAAATTAATTGTTGGTCGTGCCTTCAGCAATCCTTGTTGACTGCGACTCGGACTCCAATGTGGTAACAAGCTCCCAAGAGCCGCGCTTTATTTTCCTTTTATGGTTCAAAAATTTATAATAGTACTTGAATACGAATACATGAAGTATTGTACTTATTATACGAGAGCGAAAGGATCTTTGTTGTTCCTACCCACCACTCCTCTCTTATTCTCTTTGATCTTCTACTGTCTCATTCAAGAAGATGAAGTTAAAATTTTTTTATTATTTCCATATATTATATTTTTTTTAGTAGTACAAATTCGACAAATAAAGTGTGAAAAGTTGATAACAACAAAGATCCTGAGCTCGAAGTATAATAAATTTAAACTGTACTCTATACTTTCCCTTTTCCCTTTTATACCTTCAAAAGGCGTATCATATCAATTTTTTTATCTAAAACAGGGAGGGCAAGATTTGAAGCTAAACTAAGTGATTTGATTCTTCAACCAAGAAAACCAAGTAGGGTGGGTTGTTACCACATTTTTGTCCTCGTCTCCGTTTTTGCTTCTGTGATTTATATTTTATAATAACAATCAAAGTAAAAAATAATGAGACTGCCAAAAAGAGGTTACCCTTTATTCATTCATTGAGGAGTAGGGTTCTTATACTTTAAGTTAGTAAGACATGTGTTCCAGTGAGACTATTGTGATATTCTTAGAATCAAGAGTATGATTTAATAAGTTTTAAAATGTAGAGACTGAGTGAGTCAGCGAGACTGAACAATAGTTCTTGGATAATTTTATTTTGGTTTAGAAATTGAATGGTCTTCTATATGAATGCGAGGTTGAACTGAGCTTATAGTGGAATTAAGAAAGTAGTAGTGACAACCGAGTAATATTGTTCCTGTTAATGAACTGTACAACGCCACTGAGATATATCTAGATTACCAGTAAGGTTGAAGTGTGCCTGATGAAATCTTATTTGTCCCAGTGTGCCTGGAATCTTGTTTGTTCCAGTACACTATAACTGGTGAAGGCAGTAAGTCTGGATTGTTTCTCAGATTGTCATATGAGTTAAAGGTCAGAACATGACTCTATGTTATTAACCATAAAACCCATGAGTGTATGAACCCTAATTGTTTCTAAGTTGGTGTCTCATTATGCTAGACTGGGTTGTCTCAACGGATCATGACAACTTCGAATTTAAGGAACTATATCATTTACCAATAAGCTGACATAAGCACATGGCTTTTGGATTGTACCTTTAAATGCATCGAACGTATTCCGATAATTATAGTTGAAATACGTTGATGAAGCATATTTTAGCACTTCATTTCGTATATTTTTCTTACAAGTCAAAAACAGAGACAATTAAATCCAAAGTGGTAAGTAAGCTGTATCATTTTAAGGTCTAAAACGCCACAGTAGTTAAAAAGTTGCTCACATAAGCTGCAAACTGCAAAATATTCTTGCAACGGTCCACATCTTTATTCTTTTCCGCTACAATAACCAGTTAACCAACTCTTCGGCGATGCACAAGTACTGTAAGTCTGATTTTTATTCTTAAAGACTCTTGATATATCCAGTTATTTTAAAAATGAAATAAGACAGTAAAATGACCAGACACAACAAAGATACTCTTTATTCAAGTTTGTTGAGAATGATACTTTTATATAAGAAACGGGGTTATTAACGGGTATTCAACGATTAATACAACTGAACTAAAACTATCATGAGAACGATAAGGTCTTAGCCGCAAGCGGGTGTCAAAGTAGATGTGTATCAGATTGTCAAGCAGGCACTGAAGTCGTTCTGTAGTTTAAGACGTATAGTTGTATCTTGGATGCAACAACTCTGATACAAATGTTCGAACTAGGTGCGAAATTACTGTTATTTGATACCTCTCTCACAAAAGTTTATGCTTTTTTCATTATTTTTGTGATGACCTTATGCCTTGTTGGCTACATTTCGGACGTAGTCCGTATAAATATTAAGTTCTAAATCCATTTATCTGTTCTGCAGTGTTTTGATCGGTTTTATCTGTTTATATCTGTTCTACCTGTTCTCTGCTTTAATTAACATTATCTACACTCTACCTTAATAAATCTTATTATGTAATGACTGTGAACTATGGCAGAGATGAGAAGGACCAATTGGACAGAACAAGACTGTGGGGTTGTATTATCAACGTCTCTGAAAGGTTTGTTACAACGGACGGAAGATAATACTTCATATGATAAGTTTATTGAACAGATGTATAAAAAAGAAAAATGGGGGCAAGAAACAGATAAAAACACTGAGGTAGTTTTAACTACAGAGGTGGGCTATATTTATATTTAAAGAGGTGAGACCTCTCTAATTATTGTATTTGCCTAGAAGGCATCATACATAATAAATGTGTTAATTCTACTGTAACTTATGTGTTCAGAGCATTCTTAACACCACATCCAGTCTCGCTCTGGGCAAAGATATTTTAGTTGAACTACTAGGTCACTGCCGTTACAGTTTTCACCCTTCCCATCTCTCTTGCTATTGATGTAATTAATATATGAACAGCTAACTAGTGTATCTGGATCCTAAGCTCATAATAGGTAACGACAATGACTTTTAGTTTAATTTGCGATTAATAAATTATACTCTTCCTTCGTAACGCATAACGTGGTACTGGAGGACTTATTTGTGAATATAAGTTTGCAAAATATTTATCAGATCCAATACTGCCTATGTAAGAATTATTTTTGAAAGCCAATCAGCATAAACATTCAACTTGTATCAATCTTCTGTTCATGGATTTTTGTTAAGAAACACATAATAAACCTTAACTTTCACGTAATAGCATTTTCTTTGGTGTTCATTTCTACTCTTACTTCGGTTCATAACACCCTACTTACTCATAAAAGGAAATTACTCGCATAGTCACTCACTGCTAAAACGCGCCATACATCACAATGATACTTGTAAAACAGAGAGATCTTGATGGTCGTATCAACTATACTCTAGTCCAGCAGGATCACTTACTCCATCTGTGAATCAAATACAAATCAAAAAAAAAAAGCCTGATCTAGCAGAGCCTTTAATCTTTCATACAGCGCTTGCCAAACGTATAATAATGAATCTCCACATTCTTTTACAGTTTGACGGGGCCTGCTATATATTACTGCATTTCTTCATAAATATACAAAGGCAAGTAATAGCAGTAATTCAGCAGGGCATAGTCCCATTTCAGCAGTGCTCAGCTCGAGTCCCTAGAATATAAAATCACAACATCAGGTCGAAGAATAACCTTTCATATCATATTAAATTATCATCGAATCCCGATAAAGCGAACACAGTTTGACGGACTTGTTTCTGTCTATACAATCTTTATGTAACTACACAACGTTTTACAATTATTGAATTCCATCGAATCTTAGACAATACAAATGTCATCACTATGTAACTGGTTTTACTAGACAGACACAGAGAAGGATGAACTTTTTGTTGCTTCATGCGTATCTATATTGATTCAAATGAATATGCTGCTACGAATATTAATATCAAGCCCGATTAATTTGTCATACATTCCGTTCTTTGTCCAAAACTATTTAAAATGTATTATCATGTATGGACGATAACGAATTACTGTTATACCATTGATAGAGCAATATAATCCGTGGTCTATGGCTAAGTCGCGCTTCAGATCATTAAGAATGCCGATCATCTATCAGAGCCACTAGGCGTGATTTATTGTATCTCCATAACAGAAATAACATGAAAAGGGTCCCTCTTTCTTTTTATAGTATCAGCTAATTTTCCAGCAAACATATCCGAGCGAACATACAGCAGTGCTAAAAGACTGATACTCAACTCTTATCATTTCAATCCACGTTATACAATACAAATACTCCTCTAACCCATATAGTCCAGAACAATATTGAAAATGAAAAAATTCCTTCAAAATCCAATTTGAATTGTTGTGTTCGCCGTATAGAGAATCACATCTGCTAATCCAGAAAATGCAAATGGTGTTGAATCATTTAATGAAATAGAAGTTTAGTATATATGTACGAGTGAGAAAGCAACCACAGAAATATATACCATCGGCGATACGTTTAGAGACGACGACCACGACGACCACCCTTTCTACGAGTAGAGTCAGTAGGAATGGGGGTAACATCCTCAATACGACCAATTCTCATACCAGCACGAGCAAGAGCACGGAGGGCAGCTTGACCACCAGGACCGGGGGTCTTGGTACCGGTACCACCAGTAGCTCTCATCTTGATGTGAAGAGCATTGATACCGAGCTCTTTACATTTAGCAGCAACTTGTTGAGCGGCCAACATGGCAGCATAAGGAGAAGACTCGTCACGATCAGCCTTGACTTGCATACCACCGGTAACACGAGAGATGGTTTCGCGACCAGAGAGATCGGTGACATGAACGAAGGTGTCATTGAAAGAAGCGAAAATGTGAGCAACACCGAAAACAAGTTCACCTTCACGAACTTGAGGACCGAGAGTGACCTTTTCAACAGCCTTAGGGGCAGCCTTCTTGTTAGACTAGGTATGGTAAAAAGAAGAGCAAAACAATATAATTAGAAAATCAGACATGACAAGCAAATGATTAAATTGTAAATGGTGTAGAAATCGAGCTGCAAGTGAAATCAAATCCGATAGTCAAAGATAACAAACATCCATCTATCAAAAGTACTTTTTCCATCCAACTATCGATGTGATGCATCCGTTTCATATACAACTGATATCATTATCTGCGTGATCGATGCGTTGTTTACATACCATATTGGATTATATGAGAAAGAGGAGGATTAGGCTTGCTGGAGGTTTACCAACTGCCAAATCAAGAATTGTGGAAATTAGAAATTATGGAATAAAGTCCGCTATATGAACAACAGAACTGTAATTGTACCTGAGCGCAAAGGAATTGTTAGATAACTACAGTACATTTGAATCCGCTCCGGACAACTCAGATACGTTTCATCTCATGTCTATTGGGCTTTGAAAATCTAAGAATTTGTAATAATAAGTTTGTTTGAACGTAGTTTTATCAGAACCATCTCTTTGAAGTTTTGCGCCAAGTAAAAATATCACCCACTCTTGTGCCTTCAAAACACAAAGGGAATGAACTATTTTTTAATAAATTATATGAAGCCAGGTGCGTCCTAGGTAGCGGGGCCTTCCAAATATCCAACTTCACTTAATAGTACAAATATTACAAAACCTCAAATTGTTGAATAAGATCCTTTTTTCTTTTTTTTTCATATATAGTCGCTTTTTAATTTTATGAAAGTTTCCATGATTTGACCCCGTTATTTGAGCAGCTTTACTTCAGACATTGCGACAAGTTATAGCTAAAAACATAGTACGGAATTGTATATGAGTTGAATGAGGAGTGTTTTTTGTTTGCGGAAACTCGTTAGTAAATCGCCTAATAAAAGTTAAAATACTTTGACGCTATATTAGGTATAGGTATAGATGGGTTATGCCCTCCTCCTTTGAACTTCTTTAACACCTAACATCTTTACATCTCCACCCTCTTCCCCTTCATACCTTTTTCCCTTTTGTCTACCAAAAAGGTTTTTGGACCCATCTTCCAGAACTGTCCCAGGCAATACTTTTATAGTACGGCGAATACAGTGGATATATTTAACCGTTGAGCTGAATTGATTTTGAATTGGCGTAATAAGCAATCCGTAGTATACGGACTAATCGATCATTAGGTAGAAAGACTGAGTACTGGAGAGCCAAATCAGCCAATGTTGAAAGCTCTTTCTTTACGAAAGACAGAATTAAGCAAAGGTTATAGCAAAAAGCGGCCTTTGGGTAGAGGAGAGAAAGCTACGGATATTTTAATCGGACCACTCAGACTTGAAATGAATGAATAAAAAATAGAAAAAACGGCAAAAACAGAAAAAAAAGAATCAAACAATTACATAAATTTGGTTTTTTGGTTGTTGTCCTTTCAAAATATTTATTTCTTGTCTTTCTTCTTCCTTCCTAGCCCCCACCTTGTTTTCTTTTCTTCAGGCTGTGGAGTAGGAACATGCAATGGCGGGGTTGAAACTGATGAAGGTATTTCAATATGTGCAGTCGAAGAGAAATCGTCTTTCCGCGAACTCCTTGCTGCTGTCGGTGATTGAAGGCTAGAAAAGTGATTAGTATTGCTATTTTCGATGCTGCTGTTGCTAATATTATAGTTATTCATGTCTGTTTCTAAACGTGGAGAATGACTTGAATTTGATGAAATAGATATACTTGGATGATGTTGATGTAATAGCGGCCTGCCGTTATTAGTATTTGTACTGCTACTACTGACGTTCATATCGTCCAGTTTTTTTCCATAGGTAACTATCTGTTGCCCTATGCCATTGAATGAATCTATATCTAAATCTACCGCTTGATAGAAGAGCACATAACCTGACCCACTGCCTGGAAGATCAGCAAAGTATTTCTGAATGTCTTCTTCTTGAATTTGCTATTGTAGGATGATGCAAATAAAGAGCAATTTTAATTAAAAAATAAGAATGATTCCAAAGACTTGTGTACAAACTTACGGTTACAGTGTCATCATCAAATAGCATCCACCGTCCATTGCTTTTGATAACGGAGACATAATGACCATGATGCGGCCCACTAGAAAAGATAATTGTCATCATTTTAGCACATTTGAAAAACCGTTGAAGATGTAGGTATTAGGCAACAAAAATAATACCTTCCGATATGAACTACAATGGCCCATAGTTCGTACATTCTATCTGCATCTTCAGTGTCATCCGTCTATAATTCGTAACGTGGTATTTAATAGTCAAGCTTATCAGATGCTAATTGTAATGACTATAAACCTACCGTATTGAACAATCTCAATTCGAAGGGAAAGACAACTCTATAGGTGAGCTTGGTATACTTTTGTAATTGTTCTTGATATTTGAATCTCTTTAAATGTAGCGCTAATATGTTGGGTAACTTTTTGATTTTCATTCTAAACATATAGGGACCTTAAGTAAGTAAAATGTTCATCTTTAAATTGTTTAAGTATCTTTTTCCTAGGATTTACCTTCTTTCGGCTTCCTGTAAACCTGAGCATACATCACAATAGTATTTATTTTTGTGACATAAAGTTTCACTCGCGGAAAACTGCCTTAAACAAGAAGTAATAGAAGAATTCATTTCTACATCAATTGACAAATCCATAAAGCTTTCATCTCTACTGGTAACAGTCTCGCATGATAAGCATTTCGTTTCGTTCGAAAATATGCCTTCAAATAATTGATGAACCCATGTTGATTTAGTATTTACTGTACTATTTACTGTGCTCGATTCTGTAGTCGTCGTCGTTGTTGTGGTCATCAGCTCTGATCCTTCATTGTTATTAATACTACTATCACTGTGTATACCGCTACTGTTGTTATTCTTTTCATCTTCTTCAGCATCTTTTTTCTGCTTTTTCTCAACGTCTTCTGCTACCTGGTTGACGAGATAATTGAAAAACTCATGTGCATCTTGATGCATGCTGGATCGAAACAATTCTGTTATTGTAAATGTAGTGTTAGATTTTTTTGAATTGGTTCATTTTAAACTGTTGTTACGATGTTTTTACCATTCTCTTTCTTGACTTTATTAATAAAATTGATGGGTGCAATGACGCCTGTCTTCTTTTTATTTTGCGAAATTTTCCAGAATAAGTCTTTCAAACAAGAAAATAATGTATCCTCCATTCCAGGTGCCAGGTTGATATTTACTTGATCCTTTTCAACAGAGGGTGCTACATTGCCATTGCCAGAACTACTTCCATTGACAATAGTACTCCCATTATTGTTATTGTTGCCATTATTACTAATGCTTGTACTTATTGCTGTATGTGGCGTAGAAGTAGAATTGCTGTTAATACTACGTTTTAAGCTGTTAGAAAAGCTTTCCTTTATAGGGGTCGTTAAACCTCCTCGAAGAGTTGATGTGGATGAAGAATGGCTTTGTGAAAAGTAAGTGTTGTTGCTATTATTACTGTTATTGCTACTACCATTTCCATTCAAAACAGGCGAGGAGCTATAGCCTGAAGGTGAAGGTGAATAAAGTGGCTGTTGCGATGATTGATTATGCAGTGTACCAACGGGGTAATTTAATACACAGTGACGGAAAGGTTTACAGAAATAGAGTGCTTGGACCACGGAATTGCTATAGCTGTTTACGTGGTATGTTTATGTAGTCAATATATAAGCGTAAGTCAGATATATGGATGACAGAAATAGCCTACCATGTATTTCCGAACTAATCAAGGACAAATAAGATGCGAGTTATTAGTTTTTTTTTTTAAAAGAGAAGGAGCGGTCAGTTGAGAAGGCTTACATTTTCCAAACCAAAATATCTTTCTCCTTCATCTACAGTATCAGTTTCAGTGGCTGGTTTACCCGTGGATTGGCCCTAATAAGAAAAACATTCAAACCATGAGCTGTGTTGCTTGCTATTTCAATATTCAAGACGAGCGATTATTACCAATCCCATCCACTTAAACAAAGAATTACTGGCCATACTGTTTGACTATATCTCACACTAATAGATTGAAAAATGCGTAGTTTCTATAGTTACAGAGTGAAACTGTTCATGAGCAAACGAAGGTGAATGACAAAAAGTAGAAGAAGAAAATGGGTTATTATTCGTTGTCTAAAAGAATGGAAATTACATGCGGGAGCTTAAAAATCCAAGGCTCGCTTTTTATGGCAAGAACGGCTCCTCCCTCATTTAACTTTTGTATGACACTCATGGGTTGGACAATTCAAAAAAAAAGGACGTTAAACTGCCACGTTACTTAACATATTCAACACTCTCTAATGTATTTGTCCACCACAACAGCAAATTGATTGGGTTTCGATTGAAAATTCTTGATGTTACTTCTGCTACATATTCATCAAGGCACAAAGTTGGCCAAAACCTGAGAATAATGATCCAATGGTTCAATAAAAAGTGCTTCAGAGCTTGAGGCAATAATACACACTATTGATGACAGTTCAAAGAAGCTCCTTGGCAAGACCTAACGGATAACGGTTGGACGTGATAGTTTTAAATACCCTGCCGTGACGTCTACTCCAACCGGAGTGGCTTATTGGGCGAGCTCAAGAAAAAGATTACCACTTCCGCTCGGTAAAAAAAAAAAACGAGGAACTGCCAAAAAAACGCATACAAGTAAAACAACCTTTTGTTCGCCTTTCCGTGAAAACCAAACTTTGAGAATCATATAATGGCCTCTACGTAGGTGTTAGATGTACAATTGCGTAAAGTTTAATTTTAGCAACATTTTTTACTCACTTTAATTGAAAGTAGCGCACCACCTAAAGCTTCTTGGGCTGATGAATATGAAGATGAAGAAGGTACCATCAAAAAGCGACTTCGTACACTTTTATTTGACGATTACAAGGCTTTGTTAGTTTCTCATTTTATTTCTTGTCTCGTTTTGTTCAGATTCCTTCCAACCCCAAGTCTATACTGATGAAGACGGCAATAAAGTCGTCATTGAATATAGAGAAAACGATGACGGAAAGAAAGTGAAGGTTAGGATTCAGCATTGTTTCATTAGTGAGGAAGCGACGGTTGAGCAACTCAATTTACAGTTTTCGAACTAACACAAATACCATGATTATAGGTTACTCGTAAGATTCGCTCCAAACTAGTTACTGAACATGTTAATAAAGCAGTTGCAGCTCGTAAAAAGTGGGCGAAGTTTGGTGAGGAAAAGGGTAAGAAGCCTGGACCCGATTTATCAACAACTACTATCGGTGAAAACATTCCACTCAAGTTAGGATCTAATACCGGCAAGGTAGTTTTGAAAGTGGATGTTGATTCATGTTTGTACTTTTTTACCAAACGTACCTATTTGTCGTTGTCAATCATAGAATGTTGAAGCAGTAGCTGAACAAGAAGCCAAGGATAAATTAGCCAGTCAACTCAAATCTAAAAATATTGCCTGTCGTATTTGTAAAGGCGATCATTTCACCTCTAAATGTCCTTACAAAGATACAATGCAACCTTTGGATGAAATCGCTTCTACCGTTGAACAAATGAAACTAAGCGATAGTGCTGCTGTCGCTGATAAGTTAGGCAGCCCCAGTTTATCAGCCATCGATTCACCTGCGGGCAACAAATACACACCTCCTCATCTCCGTAATAAACTTGGTGGTGCTAGCTCTCCTGCTGCTGGTGAATCTATGCGTGATAACAAACGTGATGATTCTGCTACTCTTCGTGTCACCAACTTATCAGAGGATGTAACAGATAGTGATATTCATGACTTATTCAATCGCTTTGGTGCTATTGCTCGTGTTTATCTTGCTCGTGATCACAAAACAAATCTCTGTAAAGGTTTCGCATTTGTTTCTTTCCATGATCGTGAAGCAGCTGAAAAGGCTCAACAAGCCATCAATGGTTATGGTTATGATAATCTTATCCTAAGAGTTGAATTTGCTAGAAGCTCTTAATTATTGGAAAAATAAAATAATCTTACTATACTATTATAACCCATATTAGCTTGCAATTCAAACCCTTCAACCTTATCATTAAAACATTTTATACACAGTAAAAAAAAGAATATTTAATTTCTTCATGGAAGACCCGTAATAAATGTTTGTAAAATATATATGTATGTCTGATATATTATTTGCCAGATGAACAAGCATTTATTCATGTATTTAATTCTCATACAGATTGAACATAACGGTGAGCAGACAGAAAGCAGACGCTAACGAAACAGCAGCAGCCTACATAATAATTAAACGCTGATATTGGTCTTGAATCTGTAGGAGATACGATTGAACTAAAACGAAAACTTTACGCGCATTGTATACAGAAGCGAAAATGAACTATTGATGTATGTACAATTTTATAAGCTCAATGTTTTCCGAGTTAGATACTGTAAGCACATCATCGTCTCAAGCTCTTTTTGTATTCAAGAGCTGCTCCGTATATGCTTTACTTTTCTCGCACTTTATACCTCTACATCTTTGGTTAACTTATTCAGAAGCTTTATATATTTATCGACGTGATATTGTATCTGTTTAGAATATGTTTTGCTTCGCTGATATGCCCAAACTCCACTAAAAGCATTACAACCCCACGAATAGCCGATGCAAGTGCAGCTGAAATCCATCCATGCTTGATATCTGTATGTTCACCCACAAAAACCAAACCATGATCGATTTTGAAATAAGAAGGCATGTAGAGTTTATGCTGCCCCGTGTAGGGTATAGCATAAGTCCCGCTTTGAAAGGGTTCCAAGCTATAACATTTTCGAACATATTTCCCTGTATAGTGCTTCTCAACCAAATTTCCATGAAGCTCCTTAAAGTCTTCTAGAACCCTTTCTACATGCTGTTGTTCGGTCATAGCGGCCAAAGACAGAGCTAAATCACCTTCTACGTAACTTGCCAGCACAGCAGCGGGTCCATTGTGACCGATATTATTTACCGGATAACATGTTGTCTCACTTAGTAGGTCAGTGTCATCACAACCACCTTGAATGGACCGTTTATATTGCTGTTCCCAGAAACGTTCGTCGAATTCAAGAGCGACTTTACAACCATGAGAATAAGCCAAATTATGTATGGCTTCACGTATCATGTAATCCAGTTTTTTGGGCAAATGCCACGTACGCAATACAGAAAAAGGTGCAGATACGATGACATTATCATAAGTGCGAGATTGATAGTGCTCCTCAAGGTTACTGTTCGAATTACTACCCTTATTACCTTTCACTGAGTCTTCTTCATCTTCTGCCGCCTTCCATTTCACCGTCACCTTTTGTATTTCATCATCATACTCCAATCGACTGACAGGCGCACGGTAAGTTATCTTCTCTTCTCCTATTTGAGGCAAAAAGGCTCTTGGAAAGTTTTCCATACCGCCTTGAATGGTGCGCCACTTGGAGGATGAGAAAACAAATATATCATACATCCATTGCCAAAGTTGTATGGCTGCCATGCCTGTTGCATAATTGGTCGCATTAAGACTGAGACCGAGTTTGTTATGAAGCCATCCCCATTCGGACCAATCATCGAAACCTTCGTCTAGTGCTTTGCGATGAGCGGCATATAGATCTTCGCTCATGAGGTGAAACCATTCATGAGAGGTGAAGGATGAAGTAGCGTTGAGGACCTCTTGCTTTAAAGAAGCAACACCTGAATCAACCGTTAGGTTTGGATTTGCTTGGGTTTCTCCAACAGTTGGTATCCGACCGTCAGGAAAACGAAAGCCAGCTTTAAAGTAAAGATTACTATTTTCTTGGTAAATTAAGAAAAAGAAATGGTAAGTTGGATAAAGTTAGATTGCTTTTTACAATGGATAATGCAATTGATATGCTTTACTTTGATCGATGCTGATACCAAGGAATAAATTCAATTTGATGACTCTCTTCGTTGAGCAAATTGAGTTCCTCGGCAACCTGAAATACAAGTTTAGTATCAGTGATCGGTAATGTTTCATTTTCATACTGTATTTCTACAGGAAGACGCATAGCACCCATTTCCTGGTATACAGTTTGAGAATCATCAAAGTAAGCTGTGTGTATACGACTGCATAAAATATACGAATAGAAGAAATGAAAGTGTTATTCCACTGCCGAACAATGGTATTATTTTCTTCGCATTGTACTGTTTTACTCCATCGCTTACCCTCCAACCCTGCTGGTCGCCTCTAAAATCTCATAATTGTGAAAATCCACTTGATCCAACAGGTAAGCACTGAAAAGGCCCGAGATACCCGCGCCGATTATACCAATTCCTAAAATTTGGAATGATTCCGAGCAGTGAGATAAGATATGAATTAGTTAAGCAATACCATTATAAGAAAGGCTGCTCATAAGAGGGAAATAGAGCGCATACTTTGGTCTTTGCTTGTAGCTAGAGTACATTCAGCATTTTTTCGGCTTTTATCAAAATCCACCGCATCAAGGTACATATGCTTGAATTCTGCATGAGAGCGTCTTTTTTTTTGATGTTCAGATTGTAATACGTATGGATTGCTCTTTGCTACAAGAATATCAGCTTCGTTCTTTAAGTATAAACAGTTCTTAGCGTAAGAACCAGTATCATTGTCAGTGTTCTTTGCATCGAATTGCTGTTGCTGATCTAGTCGATCTGTTGCAGGCACTCGCCATGATAATTTATATGACGTGGTAGTTGTATTTGTTGAAATGTAAATCTCATTGATTTGACGCATGGTGTCATTGATAGTTTCTATGGATGATGAAGAACAAGAGCCCTGGTACAAGGCGTATTTTCCCTGTATCAATGATGAATTGTTACTATTACCAGATGCTATGTATATATTGGTCAAAGAGTTAGCAACTATTTGGCGTTCAACATTGAGAGAAATGTAATGATCATTATTAAGCGAAATAGCAGCCGCAGAAACAGTAGCGATGTGCACAAACTCCAATACAATTAAGTTGGTGGCAGTAACGGATAATATTTTTAAAATAAAAAGACTAATCTTCATTTTAGCTCCTCTTTTAATTGAATAAAGAAAGGCAGAGAGATAGAGTAAGGACTAAAGAGTGAGTAAAAACCGTAGCCCACAATGATTCAGCAGCCATTCTTTATATAGCTTATGAAAGACAGCAAGCTTACAGCTTTCTTCTGTTGATACTTTAGTTATCCATTTTAAATTTCGCATGAACACGTTTACTATTAAATTCGGCTTTTTGGCGGAAAAATGTTCAATATACCATTAGATGGTATCATCCGACCAAGGCAATATTTAATGACTAGCACCATGGTACTCTAATAAGTGTTGATGCCATTCAGCATTAAATAAATAGGAGAGGTTAAGTAGCATTTGCAGCTGTAGTACGACCTCACATGATCCAATGAAAATTATAATGCCAAAGTCGTTCGTATTAAATTTCACTATTGAAAGCCCAGATTGTATTCGCACTTTAGCATTAGAAACTTCAATATCTTTATTGCTGAATACGTATAAATATGACTTTAGACCAGTCTTATGACGACAACAGCACTCGCGGTTTAACAGCTTTGAAGAATCTGGATATACCCACAAATAAGAGCAGTACTTCAGGGCAGCAAGTTACTAGACAACTATCAACCTCACGACGGACAAACCCGCATACACGAACACAGTCCATCTCGACACCATTTCATCAACATCTACTTCATTCGCCTTCGTTTTCGCCAACGTTGAATAATAATAAAAAGTTAAAGCATGGACGGAGAGGCTCTTTACCATTGGCTATTCACGTTACTGACATCAACTCAACTGCATTCAGTCGTCAAAACCTAGCATCACCTTCTTCACCGTATTGTTTGCTGAAATCACCTATACCACCCTTACCCGAAAAGGGAAATATTGCTATTGAAATTATGGATCCCAAAGTGGACGTTATGACATCGCATTATACTAATCATTCTTATGGAGGTCCAACATGTACAAGAACGATGATGCAAAACCTCTCGTATATATTGATGTGGTATTTCTTTTCAACTTCACTATCATTATACAATAAGAATTTGATGGGCCGCGATCGATTCAATTTCAATTTCCCTCTGTTAGTGAGTGCTATTCACGCTGGTTTACATACTATAATTACAAGTATTATGATGTGTTTAGGTGGAAAACGATGGAAGACAGGACGTACTATAGCACTTAAAGATTACATAATGAAAGTGGTGAGTAGAAATATTGAACCTAAAATGATGTAAGTTTCGTGCTTCTTCCAAAGCCCAATATTGACAATCGCCCACGAATGTGATAAGGTTCCTTGCGGTGTGACAGCCGCGTTAGAGATATCATGCTCGAATGCTTCACTGGTTTACATCACACTGTCTTTCTATACCATTGTCAAATCAAGTACACCTATTTGGGTGCTTCTATTTTCATTTATGTTTGGCTTTGAAAAAGCGAGGGTATCTCTAATCAGCATTATCCTAGTGATGGTCATAGGAGTCATTTTGACGGTCGAGGGCGAAACAAAATTCGATGGGTTAGGATTTATTCTGGTATTGACAGCTTCCATTGTATCTGGTCTTCGATGGAGTATGACACAATTATTACTACAGCATGAATCTTTGGGTATCAGTAATCCTATTGCCACGCTATACTACCTTAGTCCTGTTATGTTCGTTACTATGCTGGTTTTGAGTTTCATTTTTGAGCAGCCGTTACGGCAATTTCACGATTCAAAGCATTTTGAGACTATGTCACAGAGTATAGAATCACTAGGCTTAATGTCCATTGGAGGATTTCTTGGTAAGGGAGAAAGCACTAGAAAGATCTGAAAAAGAACGTATTTTGTTCACTAGATTCCGTAGCATTTGCAATGACTTTAGCCGAACTCTATCTCATCAAAAGCACCAATACAGTTACCTTGAGTGTAGCTGGCATAAGTAAAGAGATTGTTGTGATCACGTTATCCGTTTTGATATATGGAGATGTTTTGACTTCAAAAACCTTATTAGGGTAAAGTAGCAACGAGAGTGCTTTTTATAGTAAAAAAATAACGAAAGCGTACTTATTTTTGTTTGTTTGCTCTATTTAGGCTATTTATATCCATTGTTGGTATCATAGCTTACAATTACTACAGGATATTTAAGCAGCAGCCAGAGAAAGTTCAGTATCAGTTAATACCTATGCATCCACCTGCATCCACCACATCTGCTGCTAATAGCAATAGAAAACTGAGAGATTAACACAAAAGGACGAAATTTACGACCTTGAAAAAATAAAAAGCTTATCGTTGCCATTCAAAATTCTCTCTTTTGTTCAATATATCAATACATTTTTTTTTTCATAAACTTCGCAGAATGATGTATTCATTTAAGCTGCCTCTTCAACCGATCGGTTACTTATTCATTCTTTCGCATAGATGTTTAGCGAACTCTGCTTTGATTGCTCAAACACTCTTCAATGAGTTTAATATGGGGTAATATGGTTGTAAGGTTAATCCATTGTGCCTGTACTCAGGAATTGGTTGCTGAGAGCACTTTGTGAATTTTGTGAATTGTTGTATTATCCAATACAATATACATATGGTGCAGACTGGTTTATTCATTATGGCTAACATTTCGTTGAAGAACAGCAAAAAAAATTGATTCCGCATTGGTTCTAACTTTAGAATCTCACTTCAAGCCAGCAGCAACTTTTTTTTTTTTTTTTTTTTTTTTTTTTTTTTTTGGAAGGTATTTATCTGGAGAGCTTGCTTGGAAAGTGTAATCAGTTATAAGTGATTAGGCAACGCATGAGGTTGGAATTGTCGCACTCAGACTAAATTTTTATCCCCACTGCTTAGACCATGTTATATTTCACATTACATATCTTTAAATACATGCTCTTTCATAAATACGCGTTTGATTTTGAAACAATGTTGTCTCCTATGAATTCCTTGTTCCTTGGTATCATCAACTCCTAACCACTTAATCATCAGCCCTATCGCTAGCAAATCAACCTAATCAATTAAATATTGTGCCACTAAGTTTCAAACGCGAAGCAAGCATTGTATTTCATATGCAAAAAACACACAGATCATCAATACCAAAATAGTAACAGTTGTTTTTTATGCTAAAATGGGCTGGTCAAGGTTACACGTAGAGAAGAAAAAGCCTGCCAATACTATTTTTGTTTCAATACACTTAAATATCTCATTGAAGAAAAAGGCTGCATTTTTTTTCCTCTCTTCGTTAATAACATTTTCGCTTATCCTCTTAACAATCAGGTGTATAAATTATATCAAACTCTCTTAAAGTAATCATTGATTCCGAACTAAGAAAAATGGGTTGCTGCATGTCAAATGAAAGGGTAAATTTCTCAAAAGACACTGTCTTACAACGCACAAACCGATACAGGTTATTGAGCGATTAATTTCTGCAATAGAATACTGTTTTTGAAGTTACTATCGATGAACAGGGTAAGGCCCACAGAGTAGCCGAAGGAGAAGGAACTCACATTATCAGGATAACGCCAGATCAAGGAGAAATTCTTGAAAGAAAAGCCCCGATCAAGCCATCCGAATTCCAGAATGCATATTATGCTGCTTCCAAAAAGCCGTCTACTACTGAAATCAACACTATAATGAGGCCATTCGTTTCATGTTTTCCTACAGTAGGGCATAAAATTCATCCAACCTCTAACGAAAAGGCACAAAGTGAGTGTCAGAATAATAATAATGACAAGAAAGTCATAAACAAATTATTTGCCTACTAAGGGCTTGCATATTTATTACTGCCAACACTCTAACAGTATATATTTACTCGAACATTTAATATTTCTAATCTAACGCATCACTGCTCTTTCTCCTACTTCCCCGCTCCTCACATTTCTTATTCACGCCAAAGGTTAACGTACCGTATCTAATCTTATTCTTGTAAAATTGCTTCCTTTTCAAACATTTCCCCTTTTTAAAAATGTAATATTTGTTTTGTAATCCCTCGTTACATAGTCAAATTTGGGCAAACGAAAACATTAATCGTTTAAAAAAAAAGTCTTTGGACTTTTGTCAATAAAGCATTTGAATTGATCTTTAAAATAGCTAGTAGACAGAAAAGGTACAATAGGAAATTGTCTTTGTACTTTGGTTCTAGAATTCGAGAGGAGAAAGCATGTATTAACAGAATGTATAAAATCTTGGGCGATTTTTTAATGTCAACAGGATAATTTCATGTTTAGGTTTGAGCTGTCGTCTGTGGTATACTTTCAGCTTGATTAGAACTGGCGCCAAGGTTAAGCTAAGAAAGCCGTACAATGAAAGGGAGATGTACCTTTTTTAGAGTGAATAGGCAAAGTGTCCCGAAGAAAGTGTTACTACAGCTAGATTGAAAGCTTTTTTAGCTGTAGAAGATAATCATGAACAATTCGCTTATTATAGCTTCATTACCATGGGTCTATTTAAGTACAAGGTTACCAACGGTATACACTGTTCTGAGAATTTTAGATAACATCAGTATATCGTTGCCGAAGCTTACTTAAGGAGATTTTAAGACAGACAAAAACTGGCTAAAAATGCTCTTCAAAACGACGAGTAGGGAACTTAGGCCCATGAATAATATGATTCTTGCGACACACTGAAAGCTACATATTCCTGAAATAAGCTCTTTTATTATATTTGTACTTCGACAGCTTTATGTATTAGCAGCTATTCTTTATGAAAAATCGGTGTAATGGTCTTAGCGTATTTGATCGGATCTACTTTCGAAAGAGGGTGGTGCTTCGGGTGCCACTTCGTCTTCAGGGGAGCTTATATCCCAGAATCGTAATGTCTCATCACCTGCACCTGTAACAATTGTCCTTTCATCAGGACTTACTGACATGTATAATACACGAGATGTATGCCCAGAGAGGGTTGCCAGTTTGCGCATCTGCTCTGGTTTCCAAACAAAGACTTGGTTGCATAACTTGGCTGCTCCATCCGCATAACCATGCGTAGACACTAACTCGCCTGTTCTTTTCAACCAAGACAAGTTACATATCTGTGACCCTGTGTTGTAAGACCGCAAAAGCTTGCCATTCAAGGTGTTCCAAAACTTGATTGTCTTATCGGCGGTACCTCCACCACTCACCAAAATACCCCGACGGGAAGGATTCCATGCTATCGCCTTCACAGCCGCTGTATGATGTTTGAAATCATATAAAGGGGTGGAATCGGTTACGTTCCATATCATTAAGCGATTATCATTTCCACCGGTTGCCAGTTTTGAACTGTCGGGGCTCCATTTAATGCCACAAACTTCAGCTCCATGTCCAGTCAATGTACGGAAAGAAGGTTCAGGTGAGCGAACGTCGTGGTGGTATATGGTATGATCCCTTCCTCCAGTAGTAAGCACATTGTGAGTCCAGTCGAGGGCACTCACACGACCCGCATGCGTGTCCCATGTACGTATTAAGCCTTCTTGTCGTACATCATAAAGTAACGTGCGGCCATCGTCTACACCCACTGCTAACAATGGAATTAGTTTGTTCCAACTGACTGAAGTTATTTTATGATTTAGTAAATCGGCTAATTTTGTTACAATGCTTGTCCTTGAATTCCATATGTAGATACAGGTACCTAAACCGACAGCTACACAACCGTTGGGACCCCAATCAATCAAATTGAGATAGAAATCATCCTGAAGTTCTGGAGCATCGAGGACTTTGATGGGTGTTGGGTTAATTTCACGACGAGAATTCGTTGACAAGATCAAGTCTCGTAAATTAGAGCTGAATATTGAAGTTGAGAATTGACGTGCGTTCGGATCGGGTATTGTGGGAAAGGTATCGGTCATTACAGAAGTTGAACTGTAAGACGATGGGGGTATATGTGCGTCTGATGAGCGCTTATTTGTTGAACGAACATGTGAGGCAGGACTATTATGATCGTTATCGGAAATATCGTTATCGTTATTGCTGTAAGAAATATCGTAGTGAGGTGGCGATAATAGATGTGATGGTGTGGAGACTGGACTTATATTTCGTATAGTATGCGTATCATTGGATACTGTGAAGATGTAAGGACGTCTCGCTTGCTGTGAGATATTAGCATCATTAAAAGTGCTATCAGTAGACTCTGCTCGTAAGGGTGTTACGAACCGTAAAACTTCCTCCTCACGGCTTATGCGTCTTCGCAGAAAAGGTTGTTCTTCATCGTTGTCTTCTTGATCATCATCTAAAAAAGGGTTTCGTAATGGCGTGTCTGACTGCTTCCCAGCAAGTTGAGTGTTATAAAACAGATGTCTAGTACGTGTCATGGGGTCCATCTCTTCATCGGACATCAAACTTATCGTAGGCACTCTGTCGTTATTGCCACTCCCACCCTCCCACGGATCTCTTACTGGACTCTCCTGGTAAAACGACGACGATGATGACGCTTTACTGTTTCGGTGACTCTGGACGATCATATAGCGATCCCCTATATATTCATAGCTTTTCCTACCGTGGGGCGAAGGTGGAAACAGCTGTGCTATGTCTTGCTTTGGCTTCATTGGGGGTGTGCTAGGGCTCAAAGGTACACCAGTAGTATTTGTCGTGGTATCTTTTGCTGGTGAAGAAGGACTAATATCATCGATGTCGTCAATATCAGTTTTTACCGTATCATGGCCGCTGCTGTTGTAGGTATTATTTTTATCTTGATTCGTTGTTGACATTTTTCGCTCATTTCTAGTATTGTCTGCTGAAGGACTGCTATCTTTCTTATGCGATCTGAGCTTTTCGCGATAATCAACCATGTTTGTTCGGCCCTCTCTTCCAATCTCTTTTAAACTCACTCTTATGCTGGTTATTTTTATCTTTTTTTCTTTTGGAAAAATTAGCGTTTTTCTGTACCTTTTTTCCTCTCTTTTTTATACTTTTTCTTTTTTTGTTTTAGAAAAAAAAACTTACCTAAATCAAAATTCTTTCGCTTTGGGACTATCTGCTGAAATCAATTTTTCTATCAGAAACTATTGTCAGTCGATCGGAAAGAAAGGCTTGTACTAGTCTCAAGGAGTCAAAAATGTTGAAAATTGGAAATTTTGATTCAATACAAGTGAAAAAAAGTATAATGAAAGGCATTAGTTCCTTCTTCATGTTAAATCCTGTGCAAAACGTAGTCTTTTTTTCCTTATTGAAACTCAGCTACATAGCTTTTTATGCAATTTGCTGATGTACGTAAAGTCCGCCCGCTTTCATATAACATTGCTAAAATTCTGAAACCATTGAAGATGCATTTGAAGAAGCTACTACTATCTTGGAAGGATGCGTTGGAGAGTTTTCGTACGTAGTCTTGATATTGGTAGAGCATATTCATCTAAACAACTTATAGATACTGATTGTAGTGCGGCAGAACATGTACACAAAGGACCCCTACAATTGTCTTTCTACGGCCACGAAAAAGGAAGGCGGGTATACATAACTGAGTATTATGTCGAATCGAAAAGTTCTGTAATCATTAAGAGTTGCAGAGAACAGATGAATTGTTGGCAAATACGCTTAACGACAGTGTGATAATGCATGATATAAGAGAAAAAAACAATGCTAATGAACTAAACAGAAGGAGAACGATGCCATGTTCCACACAGATTGAAGGCCATCATTTATAACGACAGTCAAGAACTACGCAATATCATTCTTGGAACATAAATTATTGCAGTTTTCACACTATACAACAATTGCTGATCAAACAGTAAAAACTGTCATTTTCTGCTGATTCTCACAGCTTAAATCGATATCTGTCAATGTCATCATTTGATATGCTGCTACGGAACCTATCCTACATATAACAGTCTCTACCCATTGTTTCGATAATTGTTCTTGCTGACTATAGATCCTTTTTATAAGGGAAATCTGTTTTGCACAACGGATTTTCCCATCCATTCCTCCTGTCACGTCGAACACTCTTACTGACTTGCTTGTTTCTTGACTCTTATCATCTGTTCTAGAAGAATATACCTTATCCAAAGAACCGTCTTCTTCTACAGTAATAAGATGATATAAAACATTTTCGTTTTCCTCCTTCACTATTTTGGGGTCATATTTGAACACCCCATCCACATCAGTAAGAAATACGCATCTTTGAACCTCTGGTATATGTTTAGCCAATTGATAAATAATTGCATCACCTGATAAAATCGTACATCCTCTGACTCGGTCGAAAACTGCATCTCCATGTAAGACTGGAACAAATCCCAATTTTAAATACTTCTGTACACGCTTTATAATGGGTATAAATACTTGATCAGTAACGTCTTCGTGTTCTCCGTTATAATCTGACAGTTCCTCAATGTAATCGATAGGAGGTATGGAAAGAACAGGTACATCATGCTTTTGCAGTTGGTCTACAACATGGTGATTCAACTTCTGTAAGCAACAGCGAATATAACTAAACCCTTTTCTGTAGAAAGAAGACGGTGGTTTTAAGGTACTGGTATCTTTGATGTAGGAGGAAGTTACCGTTGATGAAAAAGAATTTGCAGCCCAACCGTCTTTCAAACGATATTCCTTGGCTTGTGGATGACCAAAACTACCTGCCCCATGTACAAGAATTAGCTTGAACCCTTTTTCTAGGAGCTTCTTGTATGCAAGAGCAATTTGTGAATATGTATGATTGTCTCTTTCTTCATCAACGGGGAAATCGCAAAGGCCGCTTTTGTTAGTGATCGCCGCTCCTCCTAATTTTACAATAACTATTCGACCAGAAGAGGAATGAGTGCTAAAGGGAAGAGCGCTGAAATTGGTTTCAGGTGATTTTGGATGGTCTGAACTACACTCCTTCATCAGTTTGCTGAGTATTGGTAATTGACACCAGGATTAAGATTCTTTCCCTGAAAATCATTGCACGTTGAAAACCCAATATTTCTTCTACCGATCAAAGCAGTCTGAACTGGTGTAACAACAAGACGTTTAGAAAATCTGTTGAATGTCATCTAAACGAAAGATCTCTTTTAAGTTGTTTGATCCCATAAAGGTAGGCGGCAATCTATTTTACTATGGTGATGTCTGTTATAAGTTTTAGGCCTGTTAAGACCTTCTAAGTTGACTGTAATATTATGCATAACTAAGTGACATTTTCGTATATATCATTTTCGTACTAAAAGGTTACAATTATACAAAGATTTCATATAACAATAGTCAGTGATTATTTTCCAACGCAACAATAATGATACCAATAAGTGTTTATTATCGCTCCTTTTGTTATTTCATCATTTATGGAGGTCAACTAATTTTGAAGAACAAATCCCATAATTCCATTCTGTAGGTTTTCTACCAAACAGTTTCCTTTTTGCTAAACATGAAAACCTATTTCTACCCAGCTATTGGAATTCCATCAGTATTTTTCACAAATATATTTGAGCAAGCCTTGGTTGTTTTAAGTAGTGAATAGTAGTAGCTCTTCATTCCGCCCCCCAAAAAAAAGCTACTTGATTCTTTTATTGCTTTTATAACGTAAGAATATGTCCCAATGGCTTTGGCTATGCTTGCCGCAAAATCCAGAAACGACAAATGATTTCCTGTTCCAGCGAAGCCCTCACTTCGCCTGTCGAGTGATAATCTCTTCTTTATAGATAAAAATTCTCTAGGAGTATTCACCAGTTTAACCACTGCTTGTTGTGGATTTTACTTGAAGCAGAAGCGATAGGCGGGAGGTTAGAATGATAAGAAGGTATTGCTCACTCAAATGCATTTGCTATTCTTCTCTTGGCTACTTTTGATCTTTCCTTCGACTATTTTGCAATATTTTCAATTACAAAAACTCGACTTGATTCACCACCTTGACCGACCAAAATTTCCTTCTGTCTCTTTACAAGCTTAGAGAGACGTTTACTTTTCTCAATTTGAGTTTTCTGATATTATTAAAGGATACATTTTGCTTGTGAGTCATACACACATCAATAATAGATTTAAGTGTTTTTATATCTCATAATAAGACGACTTTGCACCTAACTTGTGCAATAATGTAAACGACTATCACTTTCTCAAAATGCTATGCACTGTAACTCTTTACTCCAGTAAATATTTCTTTGTGTAGCCTTGTGCATTTCCATTACCGAGCCTCCAAAATGGATAAAAACTGAGTGAGCACAGATCTCTTTTCTCATACCTTTCATTTTTAATACATTTTGTTAAGCTCAAGCACAAGATATACTAATATGTCTTTCTTATTGTAAGAATGAGCGTAATGTTTTTCAAAACTAATCTTAACCCTTAAACTTACATACACGCTCGAATTCCGAAGAAATAATGGCGTCCGTATCCCAGCTATAGGTTTAGGAACATGGTGAATTTACGAGATGATGAGGAAGTTTATATTGTTCAGCAGAAAATTCTTTCCTAATAGTGCTTCTCAAATTGTGCAAAAATTCAGGCAATCAAAACCGAATGACGTCTATAATGCTGTTTTGACAGCTTTGAAGACTGGGTAAAGCACAGTAACGAACTTCAAAAGACAAGAGGTTGATAGGATATCTAAATTATTATTCTGCTTCCTGATCTTAGATATACACACATTGATACAGCTTATGTGTGTACGTACAAAAACACAGAATTTCACCAGCTTCATATCGTACTTATACATAATAGAACTGATCAATTGACCATCCATATCATTTTATAATTGCTACATAGACCGCAATGAAAAAGAAGTCGGACAAGCTATTAAGGATAGTGGAATACCAAGAGAAAGATTATTCATAACAACAAAACTGTAATAGATAACATATATTGTTACTTGCAGAAATAATGGACTTATTCCTATCCTCTTCTGTATTCATACCAATGAAAAGTTGGAACACGAGTCATCGACCAGAACTTGTAGAAGAAGCAATAACCGTATCTTTGACGAATTTACAATTGGAGTACGTTGATTTATATTTAATGCATTGGTAAGCCTAATTTTACTCTTTATGGTTAATTTTATTCGTTCATATAAATCATTGCTTCATATAACAGGCCTATCGCATTTCAGCCTTCAAAATACAGTATTCCAAAAACAGCTGACGGGCGTGTTGCTTTGGATTGGACGGTGGATTTTGTAGACACGTATAAAGTAAACATTATTATTTTCTCCATCGATAAAAAGTTGATAAAGGCTTCTTGTTAATGAAGTAGAGAATTTATCATATTACAAACTTTCTCTAGGCCATGGAAAAGTTAGTCAAGAATAAGAAAGCACGTGCAATAGGCGTCAGTAATTTTAATAAGCAAAACTTACAAAAACTGTTAAAGTCCTGTAACATCATACCCGCCGTCAATCAAGTAAGTTGACAGCGTACATAGAAAATATAAACCAAATGCAACCCTGTTTCAGTTGATAACTTTAAAAAATGACTTGCTTTGATCAATTGTCGTTGTATTTATTCGTTTTTGTAGGTTGAGATGCATTCATACTTACCACAGCCCGACTTGTTACAATTTTGTCAAAGTAAGCAAATTCATGTTACTGCCTACTCGCCATTAGGGAGCACCAACTCTCCTATAATGGAAGAGCCACTTGTGGTAAGTTAAAAGATATAAAAGCAGGAGTCAGAGTATAAATACACGCTTCCAAGGAACAGTTGAGTAACAACTTATTTACACTGATACAAAATCTATTGAAAACAGTTGAAGATTGCGCAGAAGTATAATATCACCCAGGCTCAAGTATTGTTGTCATGGGGTATTCAACGGGGCTGTTCTGTTATTCCAAAATCAGTGACAGCTTCAAGAATCGTTAGCAATTTTAAAACAGTCAAATTGGACAGAGAAGATTTTGAACAACTACAGACTTTGAAAGGGATAGATGAACCCGAACGACTACTCGATCCGTCATCCATTTGGGGAGTGGAGATATACAAGCCGAAGTTGTAATGTTTGAAAGAACAGATGTACATAAAGATGGTATTCATAACGAAATACATCCAAATTCGCGTAATAAAGACAAATGCGTCACTACATTCTTATAACTGACCAAAAAAAAAAAAAAATGAAGAAAACTAAATTCTAGTATTGACGTTAAACATTTCGCAATTTCTTAAACGTTTGAGGCATTGATGAACGTTTCTTTTATGCTTTATGCTTTAGTTTCCACCATTACTTAAAAACGACACGCCAGCATTTATTAGGTTTATCGAATGTCTTTGAAAGTTACGATTCCATTCCGCTTTCACTATTCTGAAAACGTTAAAAATCAAGCCTACTGAATGCATAATACATGTATAACATATTCGTCTCTCAGACTTAAAGCTCACGATGCGGGCTGACAAAAGGAGGATCAGCATTTGTTCGTACAATACATTATGGTTGAAAGCTCTCCACATTTAAGAATTTTCTGCTAAAATAGTTTTATTGCGACACGTTGGTGGGTGATTTCCATAGTCTGCGGTTCTATACGAAAATCCTTCAAGTTGAATATTAACGGATACTGAGTCATTTTAACAAAAAGGAATTATTCTTCTTTGGCTCGTATTGGTTTCTTCGTTCATAGCATAAATGTGAAAACTATTCGATTGGTTCGTTATGTCGATAACAAACTGCGTGATTAGTTCAAAGAAACTTCTCATGGTTAAATACGACTATCATTCGGAATCAATCAATCCGCTATTATCTGTCCGTCTGTTATTCATTGGTGGCGAGCTCCTGGCCGTTGTTGCTCTTTACCATTTTATTTTAATAAAAGATTGGAAGAGTAAATATGAACTGCAGTTCCTCTATAAATCATTTGATACTTAACTCAACAGGCATCTTTAAGGTTTCATTTTCTATAAAAAACGCTTTACTACGCATGTTTATACGAAAACTAGTCCAGCACTTTAAAGACAGAACCCGTCTAATAAAAGAGAAAATATTCTCTAACCAAAGCATAGCATTACGATGGCTAGAGCGTAATATTTATGTAGACATAGAGAGCTTATATCAATTTGCTATGGTTTAAAACATCTCACTCTTTATGATTCGGCCCCTTGAAGTTGAGCCTGCTGGCTGCTTCTTGTGGAAGCAGCCATAACTTGTTCTCTGTTGATTCTCAGATAATGAAAATATTATTTGCAGTTCCTGACAGGTCATCTTTGTACAGTTGAAGGTTGCACGAAAGCTGCTAATCTGATGAATTGGCCCCCTAATCCGTTATCCTTTTCTCTCTCTTTCTTTTAGCATATTTATATTAGTTATTTTCTGTTTTGTCTATCATTTGTATACTCATATACCCCTTCTTTCTTCCACAATATCAATAAAATAGATAAACATATATTTATACCTACGTAAATTCATTACCAAGATACCATTATGGAGGCGAAAGTGACTAGACATATCTCTGCCAACCTGGAAGAACTAAATGAGAAAATTGCGCGGATTTTAAAGGATCCAAAAACTTCTTCAGACGCAATGATGAAAACAAATGTCAACATTGAAATGATGACTCGTTCAGAGTTAGAAAATTTTGCAGAAGGAGGTACGAAAAAAAAAGGGGAAAATATAATAATAAAAAATACTTGTAGAATGATAAAATCATTGAGAAGTAGAATTTCATTTTGAAAGGTGGATTGGGTGCCTGTGTTTCAAAGGTCGATGTATTAGCTAATACAGCAGACGATTTAATGTATTTGCAAGGTACAGATAGCAATTTTGTATGAGTTTATTGATCTCTTCTCAATATTGAAACTTCAATCCATGCTTATTGTATTCGATATAGGGGAGCGCATCATTGTTTTAAAGCATATTCAGGATGATACATATTTGGGGTATTGCGAAGGAGTCATTGGTAATTTCAACGCAGAAAATGTGCATTTTGTAGAGTTAGATCCGAGAGTGTTGGAATCATTAGACGCAGACTATACCTCAGATATCATGACAGCAGAAGGTTATCATAGCAGCAATAGAAATTCAAATAATAGCAGTAACCATCAGTATTACTATCAGCAGACACTGGATTCTAAAGCGTACCTAGGAAAGCCAAGTTTTGACAGTATTGGAACATCAGGGACCGCTTCTTCTCTATCGGCAATGAATACAAATAATATGAGCGTCAATAATAGTAGTGCATTTCAAAGCCCACATAGCTCACACATATCAACAGTTTCTTACTTCAATAATTCCTCGCTGGAAGATCAACTTATCCATGATTATAGTAATAATGACAATCAGCAGCAGCTATACGAAGATGAAGACCCTTATGATACAACAGCTCTAAATATAGATTACTCGGATGAAGAAGAAATGGCTCACTTTAGTATGAATGTCCAGCGAGGAGAAAGCAAAAATATACCCCCAGTTACTGATGTTACCCCCAATACTTTGTATAATGGTATCAATAATATTGATAGAAGTAGCATAGCCCATTCGACAACAACAAGAACATTCACATCAGGAAGGAGCACCAGTGCAGCGCCTCAACCGAAGAATAACCTAACTTTGGACGAATATGGGTTCATTATAGCAACAGATCAACAAGCTAGAACAATATCACGCCATTCTTCAACAAATTCTTCCAAACAAAAAAAATCAAAGCATGCCAACAACAAATCAATGAAAGATTATCGAGAAACAGAATTGAAATGGCTATCAATAGTGAGCAAATTAGATGCTGGTACTGTCAAAAGAGACGCCAAGTTGAAAAAATTGGTTCGGCAGGGCATTCCAGCTTCTGTAAGACCCCGTGTATGGCAATTTTTGGCTGGATCCATTCATAGTAACAATAATAATAGCCAATGGATCAAACAACTCCTCAGTCGGCCCAGAATACCCATTTACGATGTCATTGAACGTGATATTGCACGCTGTTACCCCGACCACGTACAGTTTATGGATGAATCAGGACAAGGCCAAAAAGATCTCTCTCACCTCCTCAAGGCTTACGCCCAATACAATCCTGAGCTTGAATATTGTCAAGGCATGGGGCGACTCGCTGGCTTGATGCTCATGCACATGTCGCTTGAAGATGCCTTTTCCCTCTTTGTGGCTACCATTGACCGGTACATGAACGGCTACTTCACACCTACGCTTTCTCAATTACACATTGACGCCTATATTATTGGTCAACTCCTTGAGGACCATCAACCAAAACTCGCTCACCACCTACAAAAAAACGAAGTACTACCGATAATGTATATTGCCCAATGGTTTTTGACGGCTTTTACAATGACACTCCCTTGGGAATCCGTACTTCGTGTTTGGGATGCTTTCTATTTCGAAGGAATCAAAGTATTTTATCGCGTGAGTTTGGCTATTTTAGAACTCTGTAAGGAGCATTTGTTGACGGCATGTCCGACTAGTTCTGAATTGCTGGCGTTTTTGTTACATATTCCTCACCAGTATTTGGAGCCTCATGTGTTATTAGAGACGGCATTTCGGATCAACCTTTCGAAAACGGATATTAAGAAATACGCGAAAAAGGCAGGCACGGCAGACGATACGTTGAGTACATTTGGATTGCCTTTTGAGCATGGAATTAAAAATTTGCAAGTCGGAGGAATCTCGAATGGTTCTCAAAATGGAGGAAGAGCAGGAAGTGGTGGTATTGGATTGGCTAAGCCATTCCAAAATAGCTTAGGTTTCAAGAAAAAATCGTAAAATTAAAAAAACTTGAGTCCTTCGTTCAATAAGGGGGCTTTCATTAACTTTATTATTCAGGCTCTTTTGAGACAGAATAAACCTTCGTTCTCTGAGAAGAAAACCACAATAATTCCTGCTATGAGTAAACCGAAATAAAATGAGAAGAGACGGATTCCCTTGAAGTGTGTGCTTGTTTTGAAGGGGTGTGTATATGTATGTATGCGTCTTTATGCACATGTATTGTGTAATTTGTTTTATAACGTAATATACCTGCTACTACCGCCACCATTTTTATCCATATACTGATATTATTATTGTTACATTACTTTTTCCCTTTATTGACAACAACACTGCTATGATGTTCAGTGGAATTAAGGACTATATACTATTACTATTATTACTGCTGATTCCAATCCAACGAATCCGTTCGACTACTGGAATAGATATAATGCCCTTGCTGTTGCTGGGGTTCAATGTAATCCTGTTGTAATCGTTGCTTTCCTCCACCGTGATCATAGCCATTTTGCACACTCGTAGCATTACTATAAGTAGACATGGACCTGCTTATACTACCATTGATATTACTATTACTATTCATACCCGTATGATAGTTACTGTAATATTGTTGTTGCAATTGTGGCGGTGGTCTGTTCATATGAATACTAGGTCGTGGCTGTAGTCGAGTATTATTGAGATTCATATTATAGACAGGCCTAGTGTTCATGATAGAAGCTGGCGAAGAAGGTAGCATTTGTTGCTGTGGTCTATACATCATATTTGGAGGAGGAGGCCTTTGATTATAAAAACCATTGGGAGGTCGTGAAGGCAGTTGTGCTTGATGTTGCTGCTGTTGTATGTAGCCATTATTGATATAAGGTCTGCTATTACTATTGTTAGGTATAGGTGATCCCATTTTCATAGGAGGGCGACTGATCATCATTCCATTGTTATTATTGTTCATATTTGGCCCAGAATAAGGTCGTGGGTTATGCGGGATATAGTTCGGTCTGGTAATTTGTGGTGACTGAGGAAGATGCTGATGTTGTTGCTGCGGAAAATAAGCAGGTTGTTGTGGAGCATACTGTTGATGTTGTTGTTGCGGTGAACGTTGTGGATATGGCGAGGCTTGATGATACAATGACTGTGGCTGATAATTTGGAGAAACAAATTGCTGTTGTTGTTGTAGTTGTTGCCGTGGTAATTGCTGTTCTGAAGCTGCTGATTGGTTAGTATGCACCTCAGCAGATCTACGTTTTGGTGAGTGAGTAGGGGATGGTAAAAAGTCTAAGAAATCTACAACATCAGCCGCACTGGGTTCAGGACCTAATTCTTCAAGTAGCTCCGCGTCTGTTTTCTGCTTCTGCTGTTTTTGTTCCTGAAACGCATCATTATTGCTTGTAGAAGAGATACTGATAGTGGTAACTGAAGGCGAGATAGGTGAGGAAGGATTTGAATTAAAATGGTTTGCTAATAAGCTTGCTTTTTTCTTTTCGAATCCCTTCAGAGTAATGTCTCCATCTTCCAGCTCCAAATGAAGATTTTGAAGTTGCTCTAATATTTCTGGAGGTAAATCTTGGTTCTGATTTGGATTCATTCAGCTGCTAAACGTGATGTCAATTTTGAACAGGCTGGATGCTAAGTTGTTAAAAGGACAAAAAGGAAAGAGAAAAGGGAAATTTGTATAGTATTGATAACAATATGAAAGGAAAGGAAATGTTGAAAAAAAGGAGCAAAATAAGCGGGGCCGTTTTTAGGCTTGTTGTGAAAGGGGAAAAAAAGTTTATTTTAATGTGATTTAAAAGAAAGAAAGTCTACAAGAGTTCTACAAAAATAAAACAGCAATTAAGCACGTTTTTCGCTTGTAATTTAATAGCAAATGGCGCCTTGAAATACCACTATTGCTTGATTCGCCTAGGACCGAAGATGGCAGAACCAACTCTAACATTATCTGATCCCAACTTCAAGGCTTCTATGTAATCGCCTGACATACCAAAACTGGCTTCGAAATGATCTAATTCTAACCTTGATTTAATGTCTTCTTTGAGTTCAACAATTTTCTATGCAGAGTAAATTAGAAGAAACACATTTAGATAGACCCTATCACACAAAGGGTTACACACATACACCTACTTACTTTGAAGTCAGGATTATTTGCTGCATCACGATCTTTCATACCAATGGTCATTAAACCATACAATTCTAAAGCAGGGCAATTTTCCTTAATGTGTTTACAAACTTTATATGTCTCTTCTGGTTCACATCCGCTTTTAGCTACCCAAATGAAAAAAGTTTCCTAGTTAGATCGCTCCATGTTTCTCAATAGTACAGATAGTGTAATTATCATTACATTCTTCTCCACTTGTATTGATTTGAACATAGACTCTTAATTTGTCCTTTCTACCAACATTGACACATGCCTTGTTCAGGGCATCCGCTTTCTTTTCACTTTCGATCGTCTCCACAGCAAACAAATTGGGTATCTCTATCGAACGATAATATGACCTCGATTATAACAGCTATTCATTTTGCTTGCTATCATTTTTTTTTTTTTAAAAATAACGTACTTGCTACTATTTTACATTTGTTTGTTTGTAAATGTCCAATGAAGTGCCACGCAATGTTTGAAGGAAGCTATCATACAATAAGAAATAACCACTGAGTAAAAGCTATATTTTTTGAGAACTCTGAAAACTACATACATTTTTACTCTTTTCTTCCAGTTCAGCTGCCTAAATGGAGAAGATGTTCATTTCATTTTCGTATGATTTGAGGTTCTGAGTCGGTCACTACATGAAAGAAAAAACCCTTACGTAGCTTTCACCAAAGTGAATCTGACCAGTCTTCATAGCATATGAAATATCTTCAGCAGGCATATATTTACTAACAGCTACTAAGCGAGCCTATAAAGAAAATTATGAGTAATGGCTGCATACAATTAACAATGAACCAAAACGCGCGTTCATCGATTCAGTATGGAAAGTTTTTGAAAAGATGCTTTACACTAGGGTGTGTTTTGAATTCCTCGACTGTCTTTAGTACATCCTTCAAGTTTTCGACAACAGTCTTCTCACGTTCTGCAGCAGCATTGACAGTGGTAGACATGACTCTTGCTAAAAGTTGGTTGCTAAAATAGGATTTTGTGGATAAATTATTCAAAAAGAACTTTTTTGAATAATTAGCGAGCATTTAAATGAATTAAAAAAAATAAATAAAATAAGAGGTCAAACGCAAGAGGAGATGATGACAAAAGCTGTGCCCTGAGTTACTTGCACGGTACACGTGATTCCTTTAAAAACAGAGGAAATGAAAGATCCGACAACAGCCATTCGTTTTTTTTTGCATAAAAAGGAAATAGGGAAGCGTTTCTTCTTTACATTTCTCTTGCAGTTTCAAAAGCACAAGACTCTCTAAAAATGTTTATTACAGTAACTACTGATGGCGAAGAGATTTACAACTTAGAAATAGATAGTCAGATGGCTATTGAGGATTTAAAAGCCTTGTTAGAAGCTGAGGTATGGCAATCGTTAAAATGCATTGCACAAACAAAGGGATGACACTTTTCTATTAACATTCATACTAACACTACAATAACTGGAAAATGAATAACCATAGTCAGGGGTACCACCTACTGCCCAACGTTTATACTATGGTGAAAAAGAGTTGACAGAATTGAAAAAGACTCTGGAAGAGTATCAAGTAGGACAAAACGAAATTGTTCATATGCAACAGCAGTTACCAGCCTCCTCAAGTTCAAGGTAAGGCAACCCCTTCTATATGGGCAATTGAGTTATTTTCAGCCGTTTCCCTAACAACAAGTCTGAATAAACGTTTCTTTCAAAATATAGCCTTGCAGCTGAATCTGATATGATGCGCATGCATGTCTTAAGGGACCCACGACTACTTCAACAGTTAGAAAACGTAAATGTGAAAAAGCAATGATTTGTTAAATACTAGCGACTTTGACTCACCATCAATCCAATGTACTTTGATTCGATAAACACACAGACTAATCCAGAATTAGCTCAAGCAGCACGTAGCGATCCTGCTAGGTTCGCGGCTATGGTCCAGCAGATCGAGCAAACACGGCGATCTGCCGAAATGCAAAAGGCGCAACTTGTAAGTAAATGGGTGCTTCAAAAATAAAAGGAAGGAGGGTTAGTGGTAGTAATGAAGCGAATTATTGTATTGAAGCGGCTCATTTCTTTCACTAATTGATGCTGACTAAAGTTGCCTCTTGAATACAATTTTTTCTTTTGAACAGGCTGCTATGAGTGATGATCCATTTGATGTAGAAACACAAAAACGTATAGAAGATGCCATCCGGCAAGAAAATATTGCTGCTAATTTGGAAGCAGCCATGGAATACAATCCTGAATCCTTCGCTAGAGTAAGAGCTTGTACTTTACGAGGCAAAATCCGAAAGAAATGATATCAAAGTGTTTGCTCAAAAATCTTATTCCTTACTATAGGTGACACGGCTTTATATCAATGTAGAGATCAATAACAAGAAATTAGTAGCGCTTGTTGATTCAGGAGCTCAAAGTACAGTCAGTAAGTAACTCATTTTTTGTTCTTGAATTGCTCTTGAAGCACTTCCACACAAAGCTTCAAGTCATTTACATACACTTACTATACATGATTCATCTATAGTAAGCCCAGAAACAGCAGAATCGTGTGGATTAATGCGATTGTTAGATACTCGTTTTAGCGGCGTTGCTAAAGGTGTAGGCACTGCGAAAATTCTGGGTCGTATTCATAGCGCTCAAATGCGTCTTGCTCAAAACTTATTCTTGACGTGCTCCTTCATTGTTGTTGAAGGCAAAGGATCCGAACTCTTATTTGGTTTGGATATGTTGAAGAAGCACCGTGCTTGTATTGATTTGAGAAAAAATGCATTGACTTTTGATGACTGTGATATACCTTTTTTGGCAGAACATGAACTACCCGAGAAACAGAGAAGGATTGAAATTCATGGTAGTGATGAAGACGAAACCGCCACGGAAGGTAGAACGGTTGTACCTCATATATCTACACCTCCTGCTTCCAATGCTGCTGGCTCTTTTTCTTCTTCTCAGCCACCGTCAGGATCTCAGTCAGTCAAGAGTACTAATGACAATAGTAGCACAAATACAGCTTCTCAAAGTAAGAAACAAACGCACACTCATTTAGCTCTATCACTTGTGTAAAATTAAAACAGAATCCATTATCACATTAGGTAAATATCCCGAACAGCATATCAAACTACTTATAGATATGGGCGTTAGTCGTCAGGTAATAGGGATAATCTTTTTGGAAATTGATTAAAAGAGAGTATACATAACGTAGGTTTTTGAACTTTACAGGAAGCGCTGAACGCATTAGAAATGGCTGGTGGAAACCCAGATTTGGCAGCAAGTTTGTTATTCTAAACCTAAAAGAAAAACTCCTATAAAGCATTTGAGGGGAGCATAATACACGTGTTTCTCTCAGATAACAAAATAACCATTATCTATATCAAAGTTGTATGCTTGTGTCTCTACAAGATTGGTGGCCGAAGAAAGCCGAAGTTTACTTCATATCCCAATTTAGTCTTCTTTACCAATTTTTTTATCCCCGCTTTTTGTTGTTATTTTTCTGTGTGCCTTTTTTTTTTTTTTTCCAAAAACTGTAAATTACTTTTTCTTTCTTTACGGGCATAAGTTCGAACCAACAAAAAAAGTTTCGAATCCCTTCTTTGTTTCTTTTCTTTTCTGTCAATTCATTATAGTCTTTCCACTTTTCATCTTTATAAACATTACAAAAAAGCAACTCCAACAATCAGGCTAGAATAAAATGGTACCTTGAAATTTCGTCTGTTTTCTCAACGTTAATCAAATAGATAGCGTTTATGCAGATCTAATATGTTTCCTCTTTCTGCTTATGTCTTGTTGCGTGAAGAACACAGCATCAAATCATTCAGCAGATCCTGAATTATTCTACATCAAGCAAGAACGTATTGGCAAAGGTTCTTTTGGTGAAGTCTTTAAAGGGTAAAGGTCACATTTGTCTATTACAATGAGAGTTAGGGGATGGTGCGGGGAGAGGGGAGAGAAAAGTTGGTTCTGCAACGCGTACGTACATCAACCCTCAACTGATCTTACATTGTAAATTGCTTTCACAATACACTTTGAAAAGGCTTGATCGACGTACGAATAAACCCGTAGCCATCAAAATCATCGACCTCGAAAGTGCAGAAGATGAAATTGATGATATTCAACAAGAAATAGCCATCTTATCACAGCTGGATTCGCCTTATGTGACAAAGTAAGTTTCTCAAGATTGACCTTTCTCTTAGCTTCTTCTCCTCTTTATTTTTAAACCTTGTCTCTGCGTCACTCTTTCTCACTCCCTAAAATTGCAAATCCCCACTTGGCTTACAGATATCATGGATCTTATCTTAAGGGAACAGGATTATGGATTATAATGGAATATTGTGCAGGTGGATCTTGTAGCGATCTGGTAAAGGAAACAATTTCATTGATTATTACCAACATAAGTGTCACTCCAGTCTAACTGAAGGAAAACTCATCTGCGAGATAATAGATGAAGATGGGAACTATTCGAGAGGAGTATATCGCCATTATTTTAAAAGAATTATTGAAGGGATTAGACTATCTTCACAATGAAGGAAAATTACACAGAGGTAACAATTGCTATACAAATATTCTGACGAAAGGCTTGACTAATAACAGTTTTAATTTCGCAAATAATTAGATATAAAAGGTACATTAGATTCAATATGTCTCAATTTCAATAATTGCTGATTTTCAATCTCCCTTGTTCCTTTGATGAACAGCTGCCAATATACTATTGAGTTCTAATGGTGAAGGTAAATGAGAAACCAACTAATGCATATCTATTTATTGTTGAGGGGCCGAAACTAACTATCTCATAACGGATATGTATCATAGTCAAGTTGGCTGATTTTGGTGTATCTGGACAGGTAAAAAAAAAAAGAAGAAAGGAATTGACAAATTTGGCAATTCAAAAACAATAGGATTTAAAAATTGAAAACCATGATCTATCTGTATACTAGATTACTGCAACCTTAACGAAGAAAAATACATTTGTTGGTACTCCCGTAAAGTAGCGCTCTTCAATTCAGAATATGCTATAAAAAAAAACCAACTGACATTATAGTGTACGTATAGTTTTGGATGGCACCAGAAGTCATTAAACAATCTGGATATGATTTCAAAGCGGATATTTGGTCGTTAGGCATTACAGCGATAGAATTAGCCAACGGTGAGCCGCCGTATGCTAAAATGCATCCTATGAAAGTGCTATTCCATATACCCAAGAATGATCCTCCTTCCTTGGGTCCTCCTCATAGTAAGGCTTTCCGAGACTTTGTCAGTTTATGTTTACAAACCAATCCTGCCGACGTAAGTTTCATATCGATCGTTGTATTACCACGTCCCATGCCATTATAACTGGAAGCTTCTTTAATTGACCTATAGAGGCCTTCAGCTAAAGAATTATCAAAGCACAAATTTATCAAAAGCAGCAAAAAAGTCGCTTATTTGACGGAATTGATTGAGGGACACGAGCGATGGATGAGCACGCATGGACGAGATGCTGAATCATCAGACGACGAAGAAAGGTACAAATTACGACATTTATAGTGCTAAAATTAACTCAGGCCATGAATCGTAACCTTATCACGATATTTAACCCTTCAAATAAAAGCATACCTGTAGATGATGACGATGGTTGGGATTTTGGAACGGTGAGACAAGCACCACCGACAATCTCATCGCAAAAAACAGTGGCAGCTATACAGCAACAACAACAATCACGACCCATATCCCAAATGCATACCTCACCTAGCCAATATTCAATCAATAGCTATGCCAATGGAAGCAACAATGACAGATATCAACGGCCGTTATCATCACAACAACAACTGCAAAGACAACCTTACCCACGAGATGTATCAAGCGATTATTTTAATTCTTCTCAATCCTCACAGCAATCCAATTCTACAAGCTCCCGCGTAAATGAAATGACTGTAGGTTCTTCACCATGTTGGAAATTTTACAACCACAATAATTTTTGTATTAACATATTATTCTTTTTCTTTCATTCCCATGAAATAGGCCAAATTACAGAACACCGGTATTCGCAATAGTACAAATATTTACGATGATTATGATAATGGCACATTCAATCAAAATACAGTGAGAGCGGTCGAACCATCTCATTGGTCATCATCCAACATGCAGAGCAGCAACCATCATAATAAACGGTCAAGCATGATACAACAGCAACAATCTCCGTCTGCTCTTGCCAATAATAATCCGTTACCTCCTTTACCGCCCACTTCCACAAGCAGATCATCATCTTCACGTAGTATAACCTCGTCGTCATTCATGTCATCCAGCAATAGTATAAATAACCGACTAAGTTCTATCAATGCTAGCAATGCTGAGAACACAGCATTCTTGGAGAGTATTTTACCTTTATTAGACAGAGTAGGTTATATTCTGATAGAATGAATCAGCATGGTTTTCTAACATTTTTACGTTCTACAATCAAATAGCTTCAAAAGAGTTGTAAGAATCATAAAAGTTTAGCAGCGGTAGAATCCTTACAAAAGTCACTTGTGTCAGTAGAGAGAGAATTACCCGGCACCGTAAAAGCATTTTTTGAAGACGCATCTCAATTATTATAACTTTTTATTATACTTTTCATTTTGTATTTTGTTAACCGTCGTTAAAAAGAAAAAAAAAGGAGGGATAAAATGCACAGCAGCAATAAAACATCTATTAAGATTAAGACACAGAATTGTTGGAAGGTGTACGATGTCTTTGGTATGGAAAAAACTATAATCCATGATGAGAACTGCTTTCTGCTCTTAGCATTACTTCTTGGTCATCCAAGCAATCATTTCAAACAAAGAAGGATATTTTGTAACCGATAAGTTAGCAATACCCGTAAGTAACGTACTTTCCACTGCATTGACCATGTTAGGACCAAAGAAGGTTACTACAGGAAAAAAATAAACACCAAAAAACAACGGGTAATCAAAAAGCACGACCAATATATCCAGTGGCTCTGAAGCTGGCGTTAGAACGGTTAAGCATATTCATCTGTTATTAACATTAAATCACCTAGCCTCGTATTTTAATTAAATTGGACCTTCAAAGGTGAAGAAACAGAATTCTTAACCATCCGTGTACATATTATGACGGCTGACAGCACGTAACTTCTGTTTTCATTTTTCTCTACACTTTTAATGACCTCTTCCACTATAATTTTCTTCCAATGGACTGCATTTCTTGTATATTATGAAATCTCAAAGCTCAAATCTTCCTTTCTGGAGTTGCGATCCATTGTTTTACCCTTATATACAAACTTATCGAAACGACAGACTTACAGTCACATATGATAATAATATACCGTAGGTTTATTCAATAGGTGATGTATCATTTGTAAAATTGCTTCGTTCTGAATTTAACTCTATGTACAGTTGAGAAGTGTCATGATGTAACGTATCGAAACAAAAGTTCCCTGTCAAATTACCCTTTCAAAGTTGATTCAAATGCATCGATTTAGTGTCGGAATATTCTTTTGTTGTAAACTTATTAACGTAATAATGATTTTCATTTAAATATCCAAATCGTCATCGGGATCTTCATCATCAAAATCATCTGCAGCATCAGGATCGTAATATATGAGAGCACTATTATTCTTACTTTCGTTTTCGACCTCTAGTTCATCATCATGGGCGTTTTGTGCTTTATAGTAAGGCAGTACCAAACTATCTTTCACTTCCTTTTGTTTCTCTGTCAGTGTAAGTTTGAAGGAGACATTTTGTGATAGCTTATTCAAAGCTTCTGCTTCCATCGTTTCTGCAGATAATTCCTCCTCTTTATCGCCATCATCCTCTAATTCATCATCGTGCTGTAACCGAGAGAGAGATACCACCTCTAATAATCCTGTTTTATCGTTCATGATGAACCCATTTGTTTCAAAAACCACCTTACCACTACGCTTTTTCCATTCAATGCGTGCAATTCCACCCTTTGACACATTGTTGGATGTGAGCTTGAGATAAGAGAATGTGTCAACAGGCTTAAACCCAGTTAAAGCTGCTGTTGTATCAAAATGTGTGCGCTCCCTTAAGGCCTCCAATGAGACAACGGCAGTAGCCATTCTATTGATAGAATCTTTGAGTGCCAAACCGTTGTGGTTTGGGGAAGTAAAGTTCATATCCGCGTGTAATCCAAGTACTAAGCGTACAGTGTCTATATCGGGTTCAGTAGGAGATTTTTTGTATGCTTAGTCATCACACCACACACATCCACGTACAATGTTTGAATATACCTGCTGTAGTCAATGAATCTAGTGTTTTGATTAATTGATAAGTTTTATGTTGCGAGATCATCGCTAGTGAAACGACAGAATCGACGAGTATTGTGCAACTGGCTGAGGTATTGACAATTTCGATGATCGGTTGTAAAATCAACTTCTCCATCTGCTGTAAGTTTAAGTTTTTAACAATAACTGTGTGCGGATCTTGTGCTGTTGTGTCTTCATCCCAACCTTGTGGATCTGAAAAACAGTCGATAACAAACATATTGTGTAGCTTATCCTTGGAGAAATAGCTGCGCCAAGCTTTCGGAGACGTTTCTGTCAAGACGACAATAACATTGCGCTCATCGATGAGAGATCGTTTACCAATGTCAACCAAAAAGGGTAGAGACGATAAACGAACTGTGTCGTTGAAACATAGAAAAGAGCACGTTTTCTTATTGTCTAACAATTGCGCAAGAGTCAGATTATTCATTGAAAAAAAAACAGAGCAGAAAATATTGAGAGCAGAAAGAGTGATTCACAGGAAAAATAATGACAATGTATGCCACAGAAAGTAGCAAACATGTGCAGCGGACTTATTTCAGAGCAGTTATTTACTGTTATTGTTTTTTAGCCACTGTTTCTATCATCGATCAAACAAAACTTTCAAATTTTAGTACAATAAATGACCATACAAAAACTAACCCGTATGACAAATTCAATTGAGAGATCAATTTTAGGGATTTCTTTTCAACCCAAGGATATACAACTTCTACATTAATGTAAGAATTTCGCGTTACCCAAGTGAATAAAGCAGAAAAAAAAATTCCATCGCTAAAAAGACCTCCTCTCAAAGAATTGCGACAAGTACTCCGATTAATCAAATAGTTGGATTGTTAATACCAACGACAGCGCAACTACTATCATGTTATGTTTGCAAAAATCAGTATGTTTGATAAAGAAGCCTATTATCTTCTCACACGGAAGAACGCCCTTCCTCCAGTAAATAGAAAGCTCATTTATACCAATATTATTTTGAACTGAATCGATTAATTCACAATATTTCATAGGAAAAACTAATTTACTTGAATCTACAGCTGTGTGGAACCCACTATGGTTGAAGTAGCTATTGATTGAGTTACTCAACACAGCCTGCATGGGCTTTCACAACCACCTCCTCAATAATCTTCCACGACATATGATTTGGACAGTTGGCCATAAACCCACGAAAAATTAAAAAAATAATCAGAGGAGAAAAGGGAACAAACTCGTAAGGCTTACTACTGATTCATAGCACGATAGCACGTTTACTGTATGTAAGCAATATTAAACCAAACAATAAATTTCTGGAAGAACGATCAAAGACGTAAAATAGAAAAGACTTGCCTGTACAGACTACGGCTTCCCTTAGATCACCTCAAAAAATGCATCTCAAGCTATCACTTACATAAAAGTAATCTTAGCATCAGATTCATGTACATTTATGATTAAAACCAGATATGGTATCTTGACGTTCAATGAGAATTCACTCACAACTATTGAGTGAACTATTATGCTTATGGCAGCTGAATGTAGATTGACAAAAATGGCTAGTTAGTAAATGAGAGTGCGATTTAACAATTACGCATAGCAAATATACATTTACCACTACCAATAAAGCACAAGCTAATGTTATATCCAACTCATTTAGAGTATGCTTCTCTCTTATTCAGATAAGCGATTTTAATTCTCTCAAACAATAATATCTATGCCGATCTTGAATGGTGGGATGATAAGTGATAACTAATTGATAAGATTGTTAATTGTATGATAGAATTATAGGCAAGAGTGGATGGATATAACAACACAAATTATATTGATCACGGCATTAAACAATCCTACGACGATCTTATTAGATCTGTCGTGTAAACAATTAGATGTAGCCAAAACAAGAGAAAGTAAGTCTATGATCTCACTGAAAGATGGCTTAATAGGTGTTCAATCATACGTCCTCATAGATTTATTGTTATTGAACCTGAAAGCAATACATTGTTAAACTCTTACTTGTTAGCATGGACTGTAAAAATGCAACAGACTCGTCATTGCACGCTTATTGAAACCGTAATGTTATCCGTAAAAGCACACCAATAATAAGATGTTGGCGATTTAAGTATATATATATGATAAAGAGGTTACAGATCTTTCATTTCGGTCGAGGAGGAAATACATTCAGAAATTGTTGAACATTTTTGTACAGCGAGGGCAATTTAGCGAAGGGCTAAGCAAAATAATAGTAGCTGAGGAAAGCAAAAGGAAAAAAAAAAATAATGTAAAACGTCTGCTCTCTTTCTAACTCTTGCTACTGATAATAAAGAAGATGATGTGCTATGATCATATTGGAGCAGCCTAATCGAACAGTTTCGTAAAGGCAAGCTATTAGCGAAAATATAAACCATGCTTGTAGGAATCACAAATGCTATAGTGGTATATTTTGAAAGTGACATTAAATCAAATGAATAGAAAGATAAGTTAGTAATGTACGGAAGGCGTTCGTTGTGTAGGTTGCTTTTATGGGCTGAATGTGCATTTTTTAAATAATAAGCATACGTGCAGCTTTCAAGTCCAGCAGTACAAGCTTTATGATCCGCTCTAGTGGGGAATCGTGCAAGCGTCCTTGTGTGGGGTCTTCATCAACCACAGTTTTTTATCTCAGGTTTTAGACAAAGCTGCAATATAACTGGACGAAACAAAACAAAATTTTTGAGACATTTCAGGCTAAAGTTTGAGCACCGATTTTACACTAAAATGGAGACGTTTTACTTGCAAAAATCGAACCAGTTTCGTGCTAGCAATAACAGGAAAGGGATTAAGTTGTTGCCTTCTAGCTAAAATCCATCGGACTTTTCTTGTCATTCCAATCCGAAAGGCTGATATCTATCACGGTTCCATGGTATTGACAAATTTTGCAAACAAGGATGCTACAGCCACGGACGGTGTCTAATGCTTCCAACGTGTCTGAGCGACTATATGAATTCTTTTTAACCTGATTCAAATTCTTTTTTTAAAGAGATCTCATTTTCTGTACAATAAAACTTTTGTACTTGGATAGGACTGAAAGTTACAAAAGCGCGGAATACTAGGAAGAAGGGATCTTTTCCCTGTTTAAAATATGCTCTTAATTATTAATATAACCTTAAGAACAAAAATGTGAGAGGAGAAGTGTTATGGAAAGGCACGTCTTAAGCATTGTAAATCACCTTTTTATGAATAAAAAAAAAATCTAACCGAATGATGACTACGATTTGAAAAAAGTTTCCCTGTGTTGTCTACTGTTATTTTCGCTTGACTTTTGCACGAAATGGCTATCATATTGAGATTATAAATTCAGACTAAGTTAAAATTTATTTTGGATAAAAAGTATAGTTTTTGGAATCATACCTTTTCTTAAATGCTCAATGCCAAATGTGCGAACTACTATTACTCAAACAGGGTAGGTATTCTGTGCCAACTATCCTGTTTGAGTAGGTAGTAACGTCAAGTAGCAGTTAATAAAACCTCAGAAATGTACAGTGAGAAGCTTCACAAGACGAACTCACTTAAACGCGTAACGTAGGTTACAAGGGGCAGCTTCCGAGCGTAAAGCTCATACTTATCTGAATGGTTTGTTCGAAGGAGCTCCGCTTTAATAGTAATATGTTGTTGGCAAGCAAAGGAAGCTTTAGTTGAGTGACCACTTAGACCACAGTGCTTGCATATGACAGTATTCGATGGCGATGCTTTTTTCGTTTTCAACCTTCTCTTTTTCTCTTCTCTTTAGCTTGCTTTGTTTCGTAGTCGTCTTTTCCGGACTTTCGCTTCTTGGCTGGAAAAGCGTATGAATAGAATATCAGTGAAAATGAACGGGAATACCACCTCTTCAGCTATCTGTTACCATTATATTCAGGACACCAAGTATGAGCCCATGTCCGTCCCGTCCGCAATCGAAACATGTTTCTTAAAATTGGTGGTTCATTGATTCTGTTAGAGTACATAAACGAATAGTAAACAGAAGACAGCAATCATGAACTGAATTTCTTTATTCTTTTGTTGCTTTTTCTTCAACTTTGCTTCAAGATAAACTTTTGTTTCTCGTGACGGCATGATAAAAAAAACTACTCAAAAGATATAAACACTTAGTTACAAACAAAATATGTACAGTACAGTAGTTGTGAGTAGCTCGTGATGAGATCTTATTTTAATCTACCTGAAGATCCACTGTTAACACTTCTTTAATAATTCTATAAAACAAATAACGGCTATGAAAAAGGGGAAAAGGTATCAACGAAACCGAAACTTTTTGTTAGAATGTTATTTGGACAATAAAGAAGTTTTGACAACAAAAACAATCTAGACAGATTTCTTTGGACGCGCTAAATTTTGTCACCAAATTAAGACACGTTTATTTATCACTTCATCAGTTACTGACAAAAAACAGGCGTTTTGAAGTTGATTTATACAATCACCTATTGTTATTGCTTTCTTTAAGGGAAAAATGACACTAAAGTGGCACGATTTTAGATCAAGAGAGATGCTGAGCAGTCAATGAGAATACAGGATTGTGAGTCATTTACATAGAATACAACTGGACAATCAGTTCAGATGGCAGCTAAGGAGAATGTAGGAATTCTTTTGGGCCGATCAAACAACGAAACTTACTTCAACAAATGCGTGGAAAAAGAGGCGGGCCTCAGATGTTTACTACAAGTGTCCAAATGTAAAAAGTAACTAGTCCGAAAATAATGACTTAAATTTTCTGAGTTAAGTCAATCAAGATATCCAATTATGTATATAAAAAAGTCTAAACTAAACCAAAAATACTGTAGTAAAAAGCTTTAAGTTATCTGAAATAAGTTTTATTTGTCTAAAAAAATAGTTTGTCTTAATCTAAACAAGAAATAAATAATAAAATAAATGTACTTGTCACTTTATAATGGCCTGTAACCACTTTTGCCAACACCATCTCAACCCATTTGACAATGAGTGTTGCATCCTCATCTTCTGAGGCTACCTGGGCAACTGTAACTGCTCGGAAAAGCGCCAGCCGTATCCCGGCGCCATTAAAAAAGGTTCATGATGGCCAACGTGAACGTTTCGTTGCTAAGCTGCTTTACGAGGCACCTGACGTGGCTGCTTATTTGCGTTCACAACAAATCACGTCGATCGTCCACTCAACTCTTACGAGTGGGTCGGTTATCTTCAAGTTTCCTTCTAAAATTTTTGATCATTATACCGACGCGTATAGATTGATCACTGATCAGCTTGGCCCTGTCCTTGGGGGATTAAATCCTATCTCTTTACGTAGTACACGTCCCCTTTCCGATTTAATCATTGCAACTAAGTTCAAGTCCGATGATGCCAACACCAAAGCCATTTCGCATGGCGTAACTGTTGAGCATGTCACCTACAAAGCCAGCCGCTTCGTAGGTAAGGTTGATACCACTTTCACGCGTGTCAACCTCACCCTCTTTCAATTTGAGGATGAAGCAACCTTGATAAGTAAGCTTAAGAAATCTATGGCCATTTATGGCAAGGTGTGCCAGATCAAGATGCTTACCAATCGAGGTTTCTTTGAGGGCGAACTTTCCATCTTGCTTGACACCAGCGGTAGAGATGACGATGACCCTTCCCCCGTACAACCATTGGACCGTAAACTGTTCTTGTCTGAATGGGATACGTTAGCCCCTGCCAGCTGGAAAGGCGCACCTCCTGTCTGCTACTACTGTCGCCAAGCCGGGCACGTTCGTAAAGACTGTCCTGCTTTGCAAAATTTGACCTGCTATAAATGTCATCGCAAGGGTCATATTCGCCGAAATTGCCGCATGGCAGACGTCCCCGTTCCTGTTTTAAACGTTAATGAGCAAAGTGATACTGACGCCATTGCCGAATATGAAGTCCTGAGTGAACTCGCCCATAAAGAACGCCCCACCGATAGCCCTACACATTCCTCTACCATCAATGATGAGTCTGGCCTTATCATCCCGAAAAAGGCAAAACGATATGCTACCCGATCAACGACCGCTAAGGCTTCTGTAGATCATACTTTGTCTCCATTCAATACACCCACTGGTACTGCCGGCTCAAAATATGCCAGTATCACTGTTGCTGCCAGTATGGCTCTGGACGAGCCTGCAACACCTGCTTCTTCCGATGCGAACACTAGTTCGGCGACTACACCCCTTCATAGTCGTTTAACTCCTGCTCACACCGATGATATGGATCTGATAATAGATGCGGATACCACTCCTCCCAACATAGTCATGACCGCCCAGGAGGGCAATGAATAATCGACCAATACGCGTCGCATCCTTAAATGCTCGCAGCATTTTCAAGGATGCTAACAAATATACCCAGAAACAATATATATCCCATTTACGTTCCCCTGCTTTGTCTGTTGACATTTTATGTCTCCAAGAAGTATCCGCATATCATTCACAAGACCACCTCACAATCGATCAAATCAAATATTTCCATTCCTTCCTCTTTCCCCAGTGTGCAATCCTACTCTCTAAGTATTGTGCCATTATCTGTTTAAACCCGAAGTTATTGTTAACAGATGAAATTGTCACTTTCGATGAACGCTGTTTACAAGCGACCATCATCGATACAGTTAGCCGTAATTTTATATGCTCTATCACTAATATTTACGTTCCAGCAACTACCCATGATAGAATGCCTTTCCTCGCCTCCTTGATGTCACAACCGTTTTTTACAAAGGAGGCTCCAGATGTCAGCTTTATTGTTGGCGATTTTAATATGTCGCTAGCTTCTCTATCAACCACTTCAACCAATCCTAGTTTTCATGAATGCTATCGTCACCTCACTCATTATTATGATAACTGCTTCTCTGCAAGCATTCCTACTTTCCAGCGTGGTGTCACTCGCAGTACCATCGATTATTTCTTCTGTCACCGAAGTATTACCGCACGAGTCCTTAACAGAACTCAACGGTACCTACCTAGCGCTTGGACAGACCATGTCCTCATGATGGCTGACCTGTCACCCGATCGTTTGGACGTAGGACCCGGGGTATGGCGCTTCAACCCTTTGCTGCTGTCTAACGATATATTTGTGGATTTATTAAAGACTGCCCTCATTGAGTTCTTTGAAGTCCGTAATAATATCACCTCCAACCCACAAAGTACCTGGGAGGCTCTAAAACATTTATTAAAACACATTGCAGACCTATTCTCCCATGGATCTACTGCTAAAAGGCAGACAACCATTGCCGAACTTCAACACCAACGGGAAGCCCTGCTTTCCTTAAATAAGCCAGCATTCAATATAACCAACAGACAAGTGTCGCTTATTGAACAGAAACTAGACAAATTGCAGGAAGAATCCGCGCAGCAACATCTTTTACGGTCAGCCACTCGATGGCATGAGAAAGGAGAGCGCAATAATAGATACTTTTACAGGGTTATCAAAGAAAGACAAGCACAACGAACGATTCAATCTTTAAAAAGTGGTCAAGATGGCCCTGTCTTAACTAGTACTAATGCTATCCTTGAGGAAGCTCATATGTTCTATAGCAACCTTTATCGCCCTGATCCTATCGACCTGTCGGCAGTTCAAACGTTACTGGATAATGTTCCGCAGGCGATTGGTCTTACAACCGCTCAACAGAATGATCTTACAGCACCGCCCACGTCAGAAGAACTAATTTCTATAGTTAACCACTTGCCTCCACAAAAAAGTCCTGGTTTAGATGGCATACCGTATGAGGTTTACCGCCATCTGCTTTCCTGGAACATTCCGGGTTTTAAGCAACTCTTCCTTCAAGTTTATACTGACGCCTTTGAAAATATTTTCCCAGCCACCTGGAAACAAACTCGGATGGTCTTACTGTACAAAAAGGGAGACCCTGAACTCTTACAGAACTGGCGGCCTCTATCGATGATCAACACTGATACGAAGATTTTCACAAAACTGTTAGCTAATAGGTTCAATGTCGTTTTATCACAGCTGATTAATCGCTATCAGACTGGCTTTTTACCGCACCGACTAATCTCGGATAATGGGTGGGTTAACCAAATACTAATGTCACATTATAGCCATTGTGGTATGTCTCACCCTGCTGTTGCTGTCCTCTTGATCAAGAAAAAGCATATGACCGAGTACATCCTACCTACCTTCAGATGGTTATGAAGCATTTCGGCTTTCCTGCTTCCCTCGTATCTTGTTTATCTAGCCTATTTTTTGACACAGAAATATCCCTTAACATCAATGGATGGTTAAGTGCTCCCGTTCGCCAACAACGTGGCCTTCGGCAGGGAGACCCCTTATCACCACTGTTGTTCAATTTAGCTTTCGAACCCTTACTACGTACCATTTTGTCGAGCTCTGACATCAAAGGCGTTTCACTGCTCTCAACCTCCGCCTCCTCTAGTCGATATGGACAACTTCTAGCTCGCAGTCTGAGTGTCCGTTTTGAACCACAGCCTTTGTTTGACTGGCAAAACCCCCCTCGTTTCAAATTATTGAGCTATGCGGATGATTTAGAGGTTTTCTTGACCACACCTACGGAATGGCGTGTCTTGAAAGACCTCCTTACAGTTTATGGTAACGCTAGTAATGCCCGTGTCAATTTGACAAAAACAGAAATTGTTTCCCTCTCTGGTCATCCGCATACGGCATGGCTGCATATTGCTAATCAGGAATCTGTAACCTTTCATACAGCTGAAAGTCCATCTGCTGCCAAATATCTTGGCTATCCTCTCTTCTCAACCAATGCTCAACTAAAACACTATCTAGCTTCCCTTGAACTGAAAATAGTCCGTCACTTTAACCTCCTGAAACAACGGGGATTGTCTGTCCGAGGTGCCTCACTAGTTGCTAATTCCTTGATACTTAGTAAGTTATGGCATCTCCTGCGTATTGTAGTTGTTCCGGTGGACTGGCTTGATAAGCTTCGTAGCATTGTCCGGTCTTTTGTGGTTCCTTTCTGGCCTGCTCCATCGTGGGAGCGCTTGTGCTCACCTAAACGTTTTGGTGGTTTAGGCTTAGTGGATCTGCACCGACAACAATTAGCTCTTCATCTTGTGTATGTTCAGCGCCTTCTACAGCCCCCTTCATCAACCGATTTTGTCTCCCCATTACTGGCACATTGTATCCAAGTGTACACCGGTCAGTTGTCCTTACTACCATGGATTTTATCGACTGCCACTTATCGTTCATCATTTCGCTTCCTTCCGAATATGATCCACCTATGTTCTCTGCTGATGAAACTTCCTTCATCATCTCTTTCCTCCTCATGGCATGGCCGCTGGATTGCTGATTTGCCCCTTCGTAGTGCCTTACAGCGTTCCCCCTCGTTTGTAGGCCCCTTACCCGTGGATCTCAATAGCCTCCCACGGCATTTAATCGTCTCTACTGTTCTCCTTTGGTCTTCGATAACTAACTGCTTCTACACGCTAGGGTATACGTATTTTCAGGACTATCCGAAACTGAAAAGGATACCTAGTTTGCTTTCCCAAGGTGTAATACAATGGCTTCCTTTTATTCAGAACCGATTGATTGACATCCGGGCCCCTCCTCCGGCTGCTGCTCCTACGCCCACTTCACGATGGCCTAATGTATCTTACAGCACCTTATGGTTGCCTGATATGTCCCAGTGGCGTGTACCTTCTGGTTCTCAGAACAATACCACCATTTTAAAGCTTTCGCTTAGTATGCTACGGCTATACTGGCATCCTGATTATTCCGTTTTTAGTGACCCTCCTCGGATTCCTCAAGTGTTTCCTTTACGGTATCGGCCTCCGGCTCAATGGAAACGGTTCTGGTCACTCTCAATCCCTCATGCAGTGCTAACTCCATGGTGGCGTTTATGGTATAATTGCATTGGGTACAGAGCTTGGCTGTTTTCCATCAATCCTGTCATAGCTGACTCCCCTCTTTGCCGCCATTGCAGAGACTCCCCTGAGGATGGTTTTCATTTTTTCGTTGGTTGTCCACCTAAATGGCAATTTTGGATCACGGCACTGGAGGAAAATAGAATTATCTTTTTTCCTGCCACACCTACTGGCATTTGGCATATATTGTTAACACTTTGTTCCCCGTTAGATAATTCTCCTCTGCCTGACCACACAATCGTTCAGGTTAGTTTGATACTTTTAAGTATCTGGAAATATCATTGGCGCTGCCATTTTGATCGCATCTCTTGGTCCCTAGCAGGAGTTCGTACCGTCTACCAAGACGAGGTTCGATTCAGAACACTCAATACGAGCTCGTAGTATACTTAATGGTTTCTTTGTCGTAGTTTTTATGTATGCCTTTTCTTCACTTCTTTTATTGCCACTTATTAAAATATAATTTATTGTCCGTATAGTCACTTTTAATAAAGTACGTGAATTAAATACAAACAAAAAAAAAAAACTTTATAATGGCCTGTCATTCTCTTTTCCATATGATGCTGTCGACATCCTTACGAAAGAAATTTCAATGCCGTTCCGCGAACCACTTCAAACAATCCGTAAAATATGACTCTTTTGTCTGTAAAAAACTGGAAGGTGGTAATTGACACTTTCTTCTATATAGCATAGACTTTATTCAGCATTGGCTTCTTTGAGACAGTCCTTAAATAATGTTGAAAGGCACAATTCCGAAATTAACGCCTTCATTTCATTAAATGACACAGAAGTACTAGAAAAACAAGCTAGGGAAGCTGAAGAAAGGTATTTGAGAGGTATTTAATCAAAACGTAGGCTGGCTTTGCCGAATTTATTTCATAATAACATCTTATCGAACCAATAACAATTTAAAAGGGAAGCCATTAAGCCGCATTGATGGTATGACGATTGGTATCAAAGATAATATTTGTACAAGCTCTCTACCAACTACTTGTGCATCCAATATGTTGAGAGGTAATAATGAAGTAGCATGTATGTAATAAAGAAAAAACCGCATGTCTTTAATATCTGTTTTCGTGGTTGTAGACTTTACCTCGCCTTACGACGCCACTGTAGTAAAAATGATTACTGAAGCAGGTGGATTGATAATGGGAAAAACGAACATGGATGAATTCGGTATGGGGTAAGTCTTATTAGAATAAAGTATTGTTAGAAGTATATATCGATTGCTGATGTTCCTTATATAGTTCCCTAAATAAGCATACAGTATTTGGGCCTGTTATCAATCCGATTGGGTATGCCAAGAAAGAATCAAAATCAGCTGGTGGTAGCTCCGGTGGGAGTGCAGCAAGTGTTGCTATGAACATGTGTACAGCGTAAATATAAGCAAATATCATAGTACAATGATCGTTCAAGTTGCACTAAATGCGGCTTAATTTCAGGGCACTTGGATCGGATACGGGTGGATCCATACGTATGCCAGCATCTTATTGTGGAATCGTCGGTTTTAAGCCCACGTATGGAAGGTGCTCTCGGTATGGCCTTGTAGCCTATGCAAATTCTTTAGATACCATTGGTATACTAGCAAGGAGCGTCGAAGATTGTTCAAATGTGTATGGTAAATATTATAAGGAAAATATACACAATCAAGCGTTATTAGTATTCCAAGTGGCTGACGTTCTTCTGTAGATGTTATATCTCCATACGACGAAAAGGATCCTACATCAATGCCAATAGATTTGCGAACGAATTTGTCTATCCAAGAATGTAAATTACTATCACAATTTGACCACGGTAACAATTTAAATGGGTTAGTTGTGGGTGTTCCACAAGAATTCTACGTCGATTCTCTATCAGACGAAGTAATTCAAGTGTGGCGTCGAGGAATAAAACAATTTAAGGAATTAGGAGCAACGATAAAGTCGGTTTCATTACCACATATTTCCTTGGCTTTGCCCGCTTATTACATCTTGGCTTTTGCAGAAGCAAGCTCGAACTTATCGAGATACGATGGAATAAGATATGGTAAGGTTCAAAGGTATGATGTCTATAGTCCAAGTTCTCACAGCTCTCTCGATCCACTCATGTTTTAAATACGCGTAGGTCATCGAAGACCCAATACGAACGATGCTCAGCTTTACGAAAATACACGTACAAATGGGTTTGGGGATGAAGTAAAAAGACGTATATTATTAGGCACGCATATTTTAACAGAAGGGTAGGAGGCTTAAACACATTATATAGTAAAATATAAAACTGATAACCAACATATCACTGTATCAACTAGCACTTATGAGACACTGTTCCTACCTGCACAGAAAGTCAGACGAACGATCCAAAAAGAATTTAATCAGTTGTTCAAACAAGCTAATTTATTGGAAAGCGACACAAAAGAATTAGAAGAAGGAGCAACAGGAGTAGCAAGTCAGGACAGTAAGGTCGATATCTTATTAGTTCCTAGTGCAACCTCTCCTGCCCCATTATTGAGCAATGATAGTGCTAATAACATACAGGAATACTTAAACGATGTGATGACTCTACCAGCTAATCTAGCCGGTATACCAGCTATTACGCTGCCATTCGCTTCAAGTAATCAGGAGTATCCCATTGGCTTACAACTAATGGGTCAGTATGGTTATGACAGATTTCTACTAAAAATTGCAAAAATAATAATGAAAGAAAAAATGTAATAAAATATTCTGTTGGTGCAACATAACACGATGTTACCTTCCGCATTTGAACATTTTGGGTCGGTTTTTTCATTCACGGAACAAAGAAAATGCCTCACCAACCTTTTTTTAATGTTGTACCTTTCTTTTTCCACTTGTAGAAAGCATTTTTTTTTTTTTTTTTTTTTTTTTGTTTTCTGCCGATAAATTAAGCATTCAAAAAAAAACCATATTCATCAAAAAAATTATAATAGCCAGTCCAGCAGCAGTATTCGACAGATATCCTGCGCACAGCACATTATCACAGTAAATGGACCCTTATTATGAGTATTCAGAAAACAACTTGATGGAGGATGGCGAAGAGTATGAAGATCCTCATTGCCATGGCTGTCAACAACCTATTGAGGATGGGTCTGTTGTTCAGTTCGGGGAAGGAATATGGCATTTTGAATGGTAAAAATTGACTGCTCAACATTTTTATCTGCAGGAGAATGCGTACTGATGATTGCATTGATAATAGCTTCCGCTGTGCTAAATGCCGCAAACTGGTAGAATGCTACAGTAATTTATTGCTATTAAGAGACGGGAGCCCTATTTGTGAGGACTGCTCTTATAGTTGTCATGCTTGTTCAAAAACTATCAAAGACGAAGCTATTATGACAGGTGAGGAAGCGTATCATGCAGACTGTTTTCGTTGTGTGCAATGTCACCGTAAAATAGAGGATTTGGTGTTCACTCAGACGAGCAAAGGCATTTATTGTACCCAATGCCATGAGACAAAAAAGTTACAAAGATTGAAACGGAAAGAAGAAAAAGACCAACTAAAAGTAAGTATATTGATAGTTATTGCTTACTATTATTGCTGCCATTATTGCTATTATATGCTATTGGAAAAAATTGACTTGGACCAAATTTCGAACTGTACTGATAGTATAAGAACAATCTCGATTATGGTACTTTAAACAATAATGCACAGCCGACGCCGGCCCCCTTGTCACTTACAACAGCAGCAACAAGTACACCAGTTATAGATACATCATTACCACCAGTTATACCACGAATTAACTTACCACCCTCTAACACTGCTTTCCGTACTTCTTCAACTTTTTCAATTGTGAATGCTTACGCTGAAGAAAATGGTTTAACACAATCACCTATTCTGGATACATTAAATGATATCAATGAATTAAACGACATGCTTATGGGTAACAACAAAAGAAGTAGTGAAGAAACATTGCGAAATTCAACGGACCAGCAAACAGTTTCTATTGCTGCTGCACCGCTTGTACCAGAGGACGAAATACGAGAATTAAAAAGGGAACTAAGCGAAACCAAACATAGACTAAATCAAGTCGAAAATAAATTTAGTAAAATCAAAAAAATCAGTCGAAAAGCACTTGAAGAATTTAATGTTGTGAAAGAAAGCTATGCATTCGAAGTGCAATCTAGAAAAGAGGCGGAGAAACTGATTATTCGCTTGAAAAGTGAACTCGTTTTTTACCAACAAGCGTCCATCTTTCCTTCTTTTGCAAATTTTAAGCAGATGAGTCAAGACGAGATAGAAATGTTGAACCAGCAACGTGCAGACTTAGAACTGTTATGTCATGAATTTAGACAAGAAAGGGATCGACTTACTCGTGATATGGAATCTATCATTTTAAACCAAAAACCGTGGAAGAAAGAGGATTTGGAAACGTATTGGGTTAGCTTACAATCGACTTATCAGCACCAACTTCAGTCGGTTCAAAAAGATTTACAAATAGCCAAGTCTAATTATGCCAAGCTTATCAAGGGTAGGGAGGATATAATATCGGATATGATTCTTTTGAATACTAAAAACGCAGAATTAGCCCAATTAAACAATGATTTGTCGAGACGTATGATTGAGAAAGAGCAAGAAGCAACGGCTGTACTTGCTGGTTTGAGCTTCCTAGCAGATGATACGAAAAATGAAAAGCCTTCTATACCGGTGATACAACCTCACCACCAAGATACTCATCGTAAACATCATAAGCGTAATCTTTCAACAGGTTCCATTGGTATTGTTAAGCCTACAACAATCACAGCGCCTAGTTCATCAACATCTATCAATAAATTCAGTACTGCTTCAGCAGCTACCGCAAAAAACTATACCAAATTATCGGATGATACTAACCCATCAAGGGTTTCATCCTTGTCAAATAATAATATACCTAAAGTTGCACAAAGAGATAGTTTCAATGGTTCATCAGTAGCAGCACCTAAATTATTCAAATTTAGAAAAAACAAAAGTATATCCGGTAAACACAATACCAACAATTTGAAAGAAAATGAGCTGGTCTCATCATTATCAGTAACGACAGAAAGTACAACAACAAGGAACGATAACAACAATGATAAGAGCAATATTGCAAATGGAAAAGGCGCTGGTCGTAAGCATTATTATGTGCCGTTCAAATTTCTAAGACCAGTGAAATGTGAAGGATGTTATGAAAAAATGTGGGGAGTCAATGAATTAAAATGCACAGGTATGGGCATGTATAGAACATAAATGTATACCCATACTGATTTCTGACATACACTATATATATCATATCTTTTAGAATGTAATATGGCTTGTCATTCAAAATGTGTCTATGACGCTCTTCAAGTGTGTCAAGGGAACAGCAGTCATAACAAATCTAGTTTTGACGGGTTTCGTATCTTGAACGACTCTAAACTGATAACGGATTCCAATAATATCAATGAAATAGCAAGGCAACCCATGTTCGGTAACGATTTAGCCAAGCAAGTGCAGGCTGAAAAGTCAAAAATTCCAATGATTGTACAAAAATGCATTGAATGTGTTGAACTTAGAGGCATGGATTATGAAGGCATTTATCGTAAATCGGGAGCAGTCGGGCAGATTAGGCAGATACAACAAGCATTTGATAAAGGTGTCGTAATCAACCTTGAAGATGCACAGAAATGGCGAGATATTTGTGATATTACAAGCGTGTTGAAACAATATTTTAGAGAACTGCCAAATCCTTTGTTTACTTATGAACTTCATTCAAAATTCATGAATGCCAATGGTAGGTTTAAAACGTATGAACAACGATACTCTATTATTGCTATAAATAATATTTACATCATTGTACTTGCCCTCCTCACACAGCTTTGACGGATGGCGAAGAAAAGCTAAGAACGATATCGCAATTGATACAGATGTTACCTATCGAAAACTTCAACACATTAAAATACCTCATGGAACATCTGAACAGGTATTTCCTCAATTAAAAATTTGGTATATAAAATGAGGCAGGTAATAGCTGATAATAAATGATATCTATATACAACAGAATTCAGCTAAGGAGCAAAAAGAATTTGATGACATCAAAAAATTTAGCAGTGGTGTTTGGGCCAACACTTTTACGTGATATGGATGATAACAGAGATCTTTTAGAGATGAATCATAAGATAGGCATTATTGATTATATTTTAAACCATATGGATTCCTTATTCGTCATTGAAACTATCAATAACAACAGCTCTATACAAAGTTACAACAGCGCAGCACTTGGCCACCTGAATCGTCGTGGATATACATCATCCTCTTTCGATCTCCCGCGTCCTTCTCAACAGCAAGCACCAGCTGGGTATATATAAAAGAAAAAGAAGCAAAACTATGCTCTCTTATTTCGGCACAAAATACTTGTTTACTTTACAATAAGGATAGCTAGACATACTATATTACAATACCTATTACATTACATGATTATACTTTTTTCAAAAAGTTTGAATGCTGAGAGTATTAGAGAACTCCACCTAGGACTTCTTGTTGCTTTTATCCATAAAGTCATAGAATGCTTTCTGTGGTAATTCAACATTACCAATCATCTTCATCCTTTTTTTTCCTTCTTTTTGTTTTTGCAACAACTTCATCTTACGAGAAACATCACCGCCATACTAAAAGTAGAACGGATTGAATTTAAGTGTTTGAGATTAGCTTTATGTGATCATGAAGATATAACTTACGCATTTCGCTGTAACATTTTTGCGTAAAGCCTTGACACTATTTTGAAAAGCGTTAGTTATCAAGTATGGTAGAACGATGAAGATATTTAAAGTTGCTCACGTTTCTCTAGCAATAATTTTTTGACCAATAGCTGTTTGAATAGATATATCAAAGAGTTGTCGTTGAATCACGCCTTTTAATCGTTTAACCCAGTCTCTACCAACATATTCGACTTGGCTTCGATGCAGAATGATAGATAATGCATCTACAGGTTTCGAGTTAAGCAGCACGCTCATCTAAAAATACAGAACCGGACATAAATATTGATGCGTGAAAATGTTTGCGTGTACCATAGAAAAGCATTCTACTATACCTTTACTAAATCACTATCTTCATACCCATTTTCTTCATAATCAAACGATGCATAACCGGAAGATCGACTTTTCAGCTCGTCATAAAAATCAGTAACGATTTCAGCTAATGGAAGTCTATACTTCATCATGACACGCTTTTCATCAAGGTATACATAATCTAGCTGTTCACCTCGACGCGACTTTTATAGGAAAAGGATATTGATGAATGAATTTTGTTCGTCCTAAATCAGCTTTTTTGTATGACAATTGCGACTTACACCGCATAATTCAATTAGCTTGCCCATATATTCCTAGAGAGAAAAGAAATGATACATCTTGAGTAAATTTATACACAGAAAAGAAGATTTGGCCCTTTTCTTGGCACAGGTGTGTAATATTATTACCTCAGGAAAAATCAAAGTGGCTAGAACCATTGGCTCTTGAACCTTTGTCACTTTGAAGGTTCTTTCTTCATGCTCAGGAAAATCGGATGGGTTTCGCACAATTTTCGTTGTTTTATCTTTGTAAATGACTTTGAAAGATGTGTTGTAATGTTAGATACTAATAGTTGGTAATACTATTTGCATGTTAAATTAATTACCTTTGTAGGGCACAGTTGGTTGAGTTACAATAATATTCGCATCGTATTCCTGCATTAGATGTTTACGTAGAAGGGTGAAGATAAGTTAGTCTATTCGTTGAGCAGCGTAACAAAGAAGCGAATTCAAGATAGTCATTACATTCTCAAGCCGTTGTCTAAAAACATCCATATGTAAAGTACCCAAGAAACCCAACCTCCAACCTTGACCAAGTGCAAAACTATTTTCCTTGTTAACAGTGACGCTAGCATCATTCAGAGTCAGTTTTTTAATGTTATCATCCAACCGGGGAAAATCATTGGTATCTACTGGGAAAATGCCTGCAAAAACCATAGATTGTGCAGGTTGAAAGCCTGGTAATATTTCAACGGTGGAGCCAACATGATAGAACGTGTCACCAATGTGTGCTTCCGTAGCATTTTTCATACCACAAATAATGTAGCCAACTTGTCCTGCATGTCTACAAATTATTGTCAGTTTAAAAGCAATAAAAGCAAATTGACCCTCTCAAAATAGTATTACTTACAAATAACCAGTGGGAATCTGTTCAGGATGCATGATACCCACTTCTGTAATTTCATATTTTGTGCCGGAATGAGCTGATACAACTTTGTCACCCTTCCTTAAAACACCATCTTTGATACCCAGCATACATACAACACCTACATATTTATCGTACCAAGAATCAAATAATAAGGCTCGGAAAGGTTTAGTGATATCTGCTGCCGGTGGTGGCACTTGCTCAATAACGGCTGGCAAGACATTTTCAATATTGATTCCTGATTTCGCAGATATCTGAAGTATATCTTTCGTATTCAGCTCAAATGCACTTTCTATCTGTTTCGCTACTCTTTCAGGTTCAGCACCAGGTAAATCAATCTAAGAAAGTTTATCAATTTCTAAAACGTTCTTCAAAATTAGCAATATATCAATTAAATCGTTACTTTGTTTAACATGGGAATAATATGCAAATCTTCACCAAAGGCCAAATAGAAATTGGCTACTGTTTGGGCTTGAATTCCTTGGGCTGCATCGACGAGTAATATGGTTCCCTGACAAGCAGCTAGTGATCTGGAAACTTCGTAGCTGAAATCGACATGGCCCTATTAATTTATTACAAATACCTTACATTAATATGTAAATATAGGCTTAAAGATATTGGTTGTTGACCCGAAAACTTACTGGTGTATCAATCAGATTTAACAAATAATCTTTTCCTTTATGTTTGTAAAACATAGAAACTGTCTTCGACGACGTAGAGTAATTTTTGTTTTAAACAGTCAGCATGATTGCTTTATTATTATGAGTTGACCTCCTTTTGATTACCTGTGCTTTTACTGTTATTCCTCGTTCTCTTTCTACTTTCAGTTTATCCAATACTTGTTTATTCGAACCTGTTGCAGATATTGTATTGGTGAATTCTAACAGTCTTGATTCAATATTTTTCATTAATATTCTTGACAATTATTATTACAATTATGCCGAATCGATTCACTTTTACCTATCAGCCAAAGTACTCTTGCCATGGTCTAAAAATTGTGCAAATATGTGTTTTCGTTACTATACTACGGATCGCTTATAAGGCAAATGCAAGCTCGTGTTTGATATATTACCAATATGCGCAATAATACTAAAATTTCGTATGTTCTCGGTTGGAAATTTTGTTAGATCAATCAATTTCTTCGGATCTGCACCTTTTATTTTCTGTACAGGCAAGTTGAATTAAGTGATTCCCGTATCAAATCTGTCAAAATTCATTTAAAATCCTACCTCTGTTGTACTCTTATTAGAGTTCATACGTCGACAGTTGTCCCATGTTAATGGGCAATAATATACTGAACTGCGCCTTCTCAGTAGATGGCATGTGAACGAATATTGACGCTGTAATGGTCGCAGACCATATTTCATTTTTTAAAGTGGGGTATAAAAGTCTTTTAATAAAGATCTGTTGATCGTTGAGTTCAATGCCGTAGTAGAACGATGTCGCTTGCCAATTCTAAAGAAAGTATAGTGACGTTTATATCGTTGAGTTAGAGCTTGGAGTATAGCCATTTCAGTCGTAGTGGTCTTACAATGCTTTTCTTTTGTCAAAGAACAGTAGAGTTTCAAAGCAAATCAAGAAAGGAGCCCCTCCTACACAAATACCTCAGGGTCTGTAACCAATATCCAAATCTAACGGCATCAAAATTCATGCGCCGCGGCGTCGGAAGTGAAACAAAAAAAGGTCGAAGGTTAAAAATGCTCAATAGACTACAGAAGAGCAGGTGAGCAATTCCAATGGCGGTCAGGTAAGTCTATGTAGGCTAAAAAAAAAGCGTGAAACTCGAACTGTTAAAATACGCCTAAATGTAGGCCAAAAAAAAAAAAGCTTATTAAGCTGCTTTCAACACGAATCAACGGTTTGCATGTACGCTGTATAAACGTATTCAGGGACACAATTGGTACAGAGATAGCTTAAGAAGCTGAAGGAGTTACTCGAAAAAAATACTTTTCATATAATTTTCTGTTAAAGGCACTCCTTTGTAAGGCAAATTTTACAATCTTGGGAGCGGTCCAAAGCTCAAGATTTCAAAAAGTCTTCGCGTAAGCATACAAAAATCAGCTACATCTAAGCTGCCCATTGAATTCATTGAATACGTTCACTTTAGAGCTATACAATTCAAATGATACTGTTGTCTGAGATTCATTGAGCCACAGAAGCTATATAAACACTGTGAATGGTTGGAAAAGAACCTTGACCAAAACATGTAAATAAGTGCAAACAGTTTCGGCTGATTTACGACTTCAAAAGATTTGCAATAATGATTGAAAATGAAACCAACGATAATGTTACGGACAGGAGTATTGACAGGTGTAACTCAAACAGGAATTAAACAGTGTTTTTCTGTCAGCAAGTGTATTATAGACATCCCAACAGAAGTGACCACGAAGCAGCCAGTAGGTTACTTCATTTAGAAAAATCTTGAGGAACACTATCTTTCAACCCCACATTTGATAGAATATGCCAAAAACTAAACTCATCATTAAAAGTGATTGAAACGCTACCATCAATCTTTCACATAAGACATTATTCATACATCACTTTCAATTTCTTTAGTGTTCATCCTTCTGGATTGTCAATAATATTTTATACCTTGTTCATAACAGACCGCGATTATTGTTCTCTAAGCTACTCAAGCAGCCGTGGAGCTTGATAAATACCTATGGTACACTTCTGGTAATAATGAGTTCAGGGAAAAACGTACTTTTCTTTTACTTTTTAATATGTCTCTTGACGGATCATGTAAAAAAGCAAGTTGCGTATCTACTAGTGCGGTTTAAACAGTGAAGAAAAAGGAGAAAAAAAAAGTATGTACAAATAAAGGATATCAGTTGAGAGCTTTTAGGATAGAAGAAAGCCCGACCAAGAAAATGCCAATAAAAAAGAATAAAAGTACATAGCGTTGATGCGTGTCTGCTCTTATGGCTTGAGGTAGCATGCTCTATTTAGATAAAGTCAATTCGATTTTCAGTCCTACTCGATTCATGTCCTGGCTCTGCATGCCATTACATAAGGCAGTCGATTTATATACATTACCTGAATTGTAATAAGAGACATCATGCCACTCACACATGCAAATACTATGCCAAATAACAAATTCTCGCTTTCTTTTGATATATTCTTTACCAGGAATAATCCGATTAAGGCACCTAAAGGTTGGCTGCATCCACCCATAACAGCTGCTGCGATGAAGGCTGTTGTACGAGAACGCGTAGCGTAATACAATGGCAATGCAATCATAAAACCTTCCGTTAAATTATGAATTGACATAGCAATACTCACGTTGAGTCCAACTTTAGCTGATGCTTGACTCGAAACGAACATTATCAGGCCCTCTAAATAGGAGTCGACATTAGTAGAGGTAAGTCAAATGTATCTTTGCAAGTTCCACTTCTTGTTCTCATTGTTACCTGGGAATTTATGCACACAAATAGCAAATGCTGTTTGTATTCCGATACTATAATAATGACCTGGATCTTTCTCCACTGTTTGCTCGACAGATTCATGATGTTTATGATGTTGCGAACTTGGACTTTCACTCACTGTACTAGTACTATCGCTCTCATGTCTTGCTTCTCTATCCTCACAGCTGCTGCTGGGATGACTGAAAGAACTAAGTCGATCACTACTATGTGTCTTTTGACTCTTTGTAGGAGTATTGCTATGAACAAGGTCGTCATGATGAAATCTGAAGTGTGATTCGCTGGATCGTATAGTGCCATATTCGACGTCACAACGATGAGCATTTAATTTACGTCTTTCATCCTTAACAGATTGCTGTCGTTGTTGTATGTGTTGTTGACCATGATTAAAACAGTTCTGATTTCGATTATCGTCGTTTAGAGGAGGAGGAGAATGCTGTTGCTGCTTGTGGTGATGGTGGTGATGATGATGATGATGATGACCGTTATTATTTTCTTCATCAGAAGTTGTATGGTGACAGCTTTCTGAAGGGTTTCCACAAGCATGAATGGCATCAGGCATCATATAATGGATCAATTTTGTCAAAAGTAAAGTGAAAATAGCGCCTGCAAAGAAATAGGTATATAAGGAAAGATCGTTATTGCTACCCAACTTTTGTTGTGCTTGTGGAAACAAAATGGATAATGACGAGAATAATAGAACACCAGACGCCAAAGCCATTGAACAAGCCATGAATGCTCGATTGTCCAAAATCGACACATGAAAAAACTTATCTAAAAATACAATAGAAGCTATTCGACGTAGTTGATCGGTCTATTAGTGCAACCTCGTCTGCTGTATTATTTATATTACATGATCCAAACCTCCTATTATACAAGCTGCTGAGGATATAATAACACCTATCCACCCTTGCGTGTGATTTGTATCATTTAGAATAAATGAATCCATGGACTATGTAGAAAATAAGCCAAATAGAGAAAAAGCTTGATAAATGTAATGAATCTGAAATAAAAAAGAAAAAGAAAAAGACCTTGTTCTTATAAAAGTGGTCTTTGCAGGAAGCACGAAGATCCCTAAAGTGGGGTCAGAAATTTTGTGACGGCGCGTCAAATTGGGAAAAATTTCCAATGTTTATTTGATCTATGTCTGACCTTTAACTGTAACACGTGAAGGAGTACAAACTTTGCCAACGTTGGGTATTTCAGAAAAACAGGTTCTTTCTGAACAACTATCCATTGCATTTTGAGGGTAATAATTAGAATTAAAAGCCATAAAATTATATGCGTCTTGAACAAATCGCATGCTAAGCAATGTTTTGAAATCAACTCCAAATTTGTTACGGTTCGTAAAATTTGAAGCGTCAAAGTATCCAACTTTTAAGGATACAACATACATAATAAAGGAGGCGGGAAAGGAGTCAGGTCTGAGATCTGCTTTAATTTAAACATTACAACAATAAAATGAATTGTACACAATTATTAGTTTGATGCAGTCTTTCAAGTGTAGAAGGGTTCCTAAGGGGTAAGCTCAATATGTAAGAACGGTATTTTGATGGATTTGCTCAAACTTCCAGATTCTGACTTCTTGATGATGTTAGTTTTTCTTATGTAAGCATTGTTTGATTGATTTTTTCAAGGAAAGGTTAATACATTTACCAATAAACTTCCTTAAACCTTAGCGTATGATGACGATCGGTCTATTGTATTACTTTCAAAACTCTGCTTATGGTCATCTGCGTTCGGTAAGAAGATGCTTCACTTTGTCTCTCTGACAGCAACTAAGATGTCAGCAAACTGATGAACCGCAGAAAAAAAATTGAAAAAAGAAAACCGTGGATACTACCCAAGAATTATCATCAGAACTGCCCCTTTCTGTTTCATTGACCTTATCATCGCTATTATTAAGACATCAGCATAACAGACATTTCGATTTACAAGATTGTTTAAAACTGTAGGATATTAATAAAACCAGGTTAGGATCGTTACTGACTATTTTTACAGCCCATACTCTTAACAATCACAGCACTTCAAATGGTGACATTATGAAAGCGCAGTTTGCTGTATAGACTGAATTACTTTTGAAGAAGATAAAACGGTTGACGTTGGCATACTTGTAATAATCAAAGATTATGTTCCTGTTTCTCCTCCTATAAAATCACTGCTAAGTGTGCTATTAGTAGTAGTATGTACATCGCCGTCGTTATAGTGGTTGATGTTAATACTACCGGGCTGTTAATGCTCTCTCATGTCGTTTGCCGTACCTTTGTTATTTATTTGAAAGCCAACCAACAGGAATTTTGAATGTTTGCCAGCGATAAAGGATGGACAGAGCATTGGTATCAAGACGTAAATTGCTTATGGAGCTGTATCTTTCATTTAAAGTCAGGAAAACGTATCAATATAAATACAGTAGATAAATTATACCATCATTGTGAAAGGCAGTACATAGTTGTTAGGCATATAAGAGTAATGAAATAATCTCAAGGCTTCATAAAAATAAACAGGAATCAACTTTATACAGTTTAAGAATCATATATATGGATAAAAAGTCTATGACATAACTGTTATGTATGGTATCAACTGTAACTGCCAGCCGATTCTTATCGCTTTTCTTGTTCGCCAAGTACATTACCATCACCAGCTGTTCTTTCCGTTGTTCTTTTGAGACCGATACCAGCCAGGTCTTCAAATATCTTGTCGCCTTTATCTTCCGTGTCTTCGTTGCGCCCGAGACTAGCATTCGTGTCTTTCCGGCCATCTTTTCTTCGAGATGCCTTCTCGAGAGAAGTCATTGCTCGCCTGAATGCTACATCGAAGTTGGTTGGTAGGTGATCAAGAAGGATAGACCGACGAATTATCAATTCCGTGGAGACACGCTCTGGTGTCGTTCTTTCTATAACAATCCGTGATTCATCTTCAGGAGTAGGGTCCTATCATTTAATTAAAATAAAATGTGAGGCCAAGTTATTGACATATGGATCGAAATAAAACTTTACAAGCCAAAACTGGTATATTGTTCCCGCAACATATAACTAAGCAAAGCAAGGGGAAAAAAAGTCTTAAATGAGTGTCATCCCGCAAATCAACCCGTTTGAAGAGATTATTTTTTTCTTACTCTCGGGTTTGCTAATGTTTCCAGGCATCTTTTTCGGCATTCTGCTACTCTTTCAAATGCTTTTTTCCAAAGTTGTCGATCAACTCCTCCGCCCCAGATCAGATGACCGAATCCGATAGTTTTCGCTGCTTCTGCTCCAGCAATGATAAGCTCTTTGACATCCATCATGGATCCGTAACTTAGTTTACTCACAAAATCGTCAGCAAAAACAATGGACTGTATCTGATCCTATTATATAATATTATCGCACACACTTTAACAAAAGAAAAGCTCAGAACTTAAAAGGAGTTTAATTACCTTGTACTTGTTTGCTAGATTTAGACTTAACCCACAGGCTGGTGCGTATCCAAGACAATATATGTTAAAGTTGCTATCCTTCCCTTTTCTAAACTCATTAATGTAATCCTGTAACATTATTGTCAGGATTGCTCCTGTAGATGCGCCCAAACTGTGTCCCACAATATACAGCGATTGAGTCGAGTGTTTATTGACATAGGCTATCAATTTTGGAGCAATGTGACGAAAAAACCATGTCGCTGAAGACTATTAGCACAAATTTGTATTAGTATGCTTCACTATTCTTAAGAATTGAAAGTGATACCTGACTACCTTCATTCCTTTATGCACAATGCCACCCTTCCAGGGCTCGTATTCGCATACTAAGTCTGTCATAGTATCAAATGTACTCTTATGTAAACAGAATGAAAGATCAATATTGTCTCTTGCCATAGTAGATCCATAACAGTTGAGGCTTACCATTGTTCCACGGATACTAAGTACAATTGCATTTAGTTTCCTGTCTCTTGCTATAAAATAACTTGGCCTAAACGCTGCGCCCGTTCTTAGTTCATATGCGAGTAAATCATCCTTGGGTATCTCTAAATGCTCGCAAATGGACAATGCATCCGACTGTGCTCGTACGGCATCTGACAATATTCCATTTCCTTTACCAATGAAATTTAGTCCCTTCCATCCATAAGATGCAATAGCATACCGCCACATATACGATGCCATCTCAATCTCTTCAAGATTGTCAACCAAATCCCACGTTCTTTCTTCTTTTCTTGGTAGATCATTGTAGAATTTTTCTACAATATGAAATCCCATAAGTATTTGGAAATTGGATAATTCAAAACCTTGACCCTGATAATGAAATAATCATAAGCAACGAAGAGTGACGAAGAGGGAAAAGTGTTTCCATCCTTTTTACTTACGAAAGCAACTAACAGTTTTCCGATGGCTCTTAAAACCTGACTTGTCTCTTTTGCCATGGTCCATGATCCGATTGCATCTAAAATTGGAAATGATCGTAGGCTATCCTCATTTTGATCTTTGATAACTTCCTTTTTACTGTTGTAATCTTGGTATAGCGATGATGTTGTAGAGCTGGACTGTAGATGCTGCTGCTGTTGTTTTGGTTCTGCGTTACTATTATTCCCTCGAAAGCCGAAAAATGACGAGACACTCTTAAAAATGCCTCCTCCTTCTTCATTGGTATCGGATCGACTATTCCTCTGATTAGGGTCACTCGTGTTATTAGCGGAACTCCAAGTTTCTTTGACAGTTGTGGTACTACTCGCACGTGACACAGAATACGTCAGCGACACAGGTCTTTTATTCGTTATATTGTTGTCATTTTTGTTCATATCACCATTAAGAGTAACACCATTGTTGCAACATTCACGCCGATCTTTTACATTATCAGGTTCGTCAGAACTGTTATAACCACTGCTGCTGCTATTATCAGGATAATCCTCTTCTTCTGTCTTTTGTTCCTCTACTTTTTTGAATTTGATGTCGTCATAATTCCGTTGATTGTCTAGATGTCGATTGAACTCTTCAATTAATTCTGAATTTTTCCTATCATTCGTGTCCTTTGCATCGACGTCTACATTATCAACAGATGAACCAGTGCTATTCGTTGTCATAGTACTGTTGGCTGATAAGGCTCTTCTATGCTGATCAATTAACCAATTCATTTCTGACAAATCAAATGAAATATTCTGTTGAAGACGATGTTGTTGCTTTAACAAATTACCGTTGTTGCTATAACGGTATTGGTAAACTATTTCCGCCTGAATAGCGCCCACACCTGATGTCATGATTGTTCTTCGACTGACTTGCGATGTAGCCCCTATCGATAATTTCTTTTCAAAAACTTCATAAAAACTAGTAAATTGTTCGGGCATGCCTTCAAGATGCTTTATACGAATCTCTGAACGCCCGATATGCTTGTCCATAAAAATGATATTTGAGTCGTATAGGTCGAGCTGAATGGTGTCAAAGAGTTGATTATGATAGGTCACTTTCAATTCAAAGCTTTCGTTCCATGCACCTTCGGCATATTCTGAAATCGATGTTCGATGGTATTGGTCTTTTTTTTTCCTGGAGGTCAGTTTTATATTTGAAAAGCACTTGAGGATTTAATGACTCAATTGACTCCTACCTCCTAAGGTTATTGTTACATAAGGCTTTTTCACAGGTACGTTTAGAAAGCAATTATGTATGGTTATCTGAAATTGAGAAGATGACTTGTAAATGCATCGCGTTTTTTGAAGCATGGCAAAGCTGTAATATTATGTTACCCTCAAGCTGCCTGGCGACAGATGTTGATCATTGCTCATATTTTATCGGAAATTGAGGGTTGTTAGAAGAAGAGAGAAAAGGATGAATGGAAAATTTTCGTTTTCAGGAGTAACAAAAGTTTATGCTGTTTTCATACAATCGTGGTTTAACCTTTTTTGGAAAGTCATTCTTTTCCATTCTTCCCCCACTTTTTAAGGCAGCTCTCATTTGCTCAAAAACGATCAATACCAGACCGTGGTTTACCAAACCAGTAAGCTCAAACTTACTTCTATTGCTTAGAATAGAGGCTCAATGATTTTCTGTCGTTGCGCAAAAGCGATCATCCTCTATAATAACTGCATTTTAAATTTTTTTCTGTATGAAGCAATTGCCATTTTCTGACTATGAAAGGAAGTTTAAACTCCTTTCAGCTGTTCCCTTTTAATTTTTTTAGGCTTTACGAAGGAACCGCGTAATTTTTATTGCTTAATCATCATCAATAAAGAGAGCAGTTTAACAGCTTGCTGCAAACCCTTTACTAATATGTCGGCTTTATACAATTTGACTGTAAAGACTATCAAAAACACAGATTGGGAATTGAGCTCCCTAAGAGGAAAGGTAAAAGAATTTAAAAACGTAATTAACCAAAGTGACATGCATAAAGAAAAACCAACAACCTTGTTACACCTTTGGTCCTCGACGATTCCGATGGACAAATTTCTACTTTAGATTGTTTTGTTTGTCAATGTTGCTTCGAAGTGTGGTTTTACACGTCAATACAGTGGTCTAGAAGAGCTTTATAAGAAATATAAAGACCAAGATTTTGAGATCGTTGGTGCACCTTGTAATCAGTTTTTGGGTCAAGGTAAAACTTGATAAAGTACAGCTACATGTGTTCAAATTAAAATGTACGCTTACTCAATTTATTAAATCCGTTCTATAGAGCCTGGCACACCGGAAGGTATTACATACATGACATTCAAATAAGCGATTCTCGTAGGGACGCGCGTATTAACGAGAAGATTCATTACATTTGTTTTTCAGAGATTGAAAACTTCTGCAAAGCCAAATATGATGTGAGCTTCCCTCTTCTCGCTAAAATGTAAATTCTGCAGCAAAACTTTTATAATTCGAGAATCATCTACTAACAGTCTATGATGGGCGGAAAAAATCCCCCTTCACTATTGGAATATTAGGGATGTAAATGGTCCTAATGAAGCTCCACTTTACCACTTTTTGAAGACTTCCAAGCCTGGTGTTCTCGGGTATGTCTTGCATTTAGTTACTGATAAGCTTTCATCGCAGTTTAGCATATACCGAAAAATAACTACTGACCTTTTGCTTGTATAGTTTAACAAGAATTAAATGGAATTTTGAGGTAATACCCGTAAAGAAACCAAGTCGATCATCACTTTAATTGCTGACGAGCTTTAATCAATAGAAATTTCTTGTTGACCATGAAGGTAATGTTATTCAACGTTATTCCTCGTTGACTGAGCCCTCTACCATTGCCAAGGATATCGAAAACCTGTTGCAAAAGCGAGAACAGAAATAAAGGGAAAACTTCTTCTCTATATCTCAAAATGGATCATGGGTCCTTTTATTCTTTTGCAGCCGATAGTTGAAGCGAAAACAAGGCCGTTATTGGCAAAGACAGAAATAATCGAAACATTTTTCCTACGTTGGAATGGTTCATACATCTAGCATTTCATATAAAATTGAGACGTTACAGATAAGCAAATTCTTGCAACCAAAGAGATTTTGACTGTGCAAAAATAAACCGCTTTTTCAAGAGATCATACTGACTAGCTCAAGCACAACAGTATTAAGTAGCCGAAAAGATAAAAGCGACTACGTAAAAGGAGCTCCGCAACTTTACAGTATTTGAGACGACGAGAAATCGTTCATTGATATGTATAGTTCTTACGAGCATGTGTTGTGTTACTGTTAATACATCTATGTCATATTACTGCGTTGCTGCCTATTTACACAATCATCTTTTTCTTCAAAAACCAAGCTTTTATGTAATGATAATAAATGAATATGCTATATAACGAACTGATGCATAACTTGCAACATCAACAATGATATACCATAAACTCGACAGCAATGTTCGTTTATATGCTGGAATTGTATTGGCTATGGTTCCTGAATAAATTCAATTCTATGGTTTTGGCGAAATGTTGATTGCGACATCACTGATTTGCCTAAAAAAGAATCTAAGCTCAGACGTTCTGCTGTTGGAAAGATTTCTGATCACTTTTCCCTGAACTTTTTAGCTTCCTTCTTTTTCTTCGTTTTACTTCTTCTGAATTAAAAAAAATATATATAAGAAAGAGGAACCTGCATTCAAGTTTGCAAAAGATCTATGATTTTGCATTTATAAAAGAATATTTGATCTCTACATGACACCCCCAGCGTCTTCGCCTTCATCTTTATTGGATTGGAACAAAAAAGAAGAAGCATTGTCTCAATCAACCTCTGCAATGGTTGAGAATTTTCTGCAAACCGACAATAACAGCGTCGAGAGCAATAATTCCATTTTGAATCATCATCAAGATTTAGACTTGTTCTTAAATCAAGCGACCGAATACAATCTACATCCACATGCCCTGCAACAACAGCAGCAGCAGCAACAGCAGCAGCAGCAACAGCAGCAGCAGCAACAGCAGCAGCAACAGCAGCAGCAACAGCAGCAGCAACAGCAGCAGCAACAACAACAACAACCGCAACATAGAGACTCTTTCTACCCTTCACCGTTAATATCCATTCAACCAGCCGAACCCGATAGTAGTTCAACAACTATCAAACAGGAATCGACCTCGACATCTGCGACAACAGTAGCAACGGACTCGAAGAATAACAATAAAAAAGGAAAACAAAAGCACAAAGAAGGTGGACACTCCTCCTTACTACAGGTAAATTTGCACAAATGTATATTAAGTGTTAAATGAATCGTCTTTAACACTCCAAATAGGTATTCACGAACCCTCTCTTACATGCAATCCCTATACTGGCAAGAAATTGTTTGAACTTTGAAGACTTTATAGCACAAACACAGCAATCTGGGTAGGCGAATATTGGTTGTCAAGTTATTTATTATGTTCATCTTTAACTTACAGTCTCATTTCAGCCAAGGATTACTCGGACCTGAAGCGTTTGAAGATGAAAACGATTGTACAAGTCTATTGTCTTCTCCAATGTAAGTATAATTGTTTTCTTGATAAAGGATCGTTCGACTTGCGTTCATAACACCTCATTTATGGACTATATTGTTTCAGTATCAAAAGTGATACACCTTGGCATCTTCGTGTTCTAGGTCTCCCGCATACAGGTGCCAAATCCAGAGTCGAAACACAGATAAAAATTTGCTTACAAGTAGCCGACGCAACTGGTGAGTTAGCAACAAATAAGTGGACACATATTAAACTGCCGGAGCATCTAGTTTCCAAGGATAAATTGAAGAGAAATCAAACTGCTGTCAGTAAATCTAACAACAATAGCGGCTTAACATCCACTACAAGTACTCCAAATATAACGGCTAATGCTCAGCAACAACAATTATTAAATGAGGATGGAGTGCCTGCATTTCTCGACTCACAAGTTTTAACATTAGAAGCATCAGTAGTATGTGACGGCCAACCTGATACAGAAATCATTATGTGTCCCAGTTGTGTTCATCGAGAATGCAAACGCATGAAGAGAAAAAGAGATAATAAGCTTGCCAGAGCTGCTAATAAAGCTGCCTCAACCACGTCTTCAGCTGCAGAAGGAGGATCAGGAGGATCAGGAAGTACGGCTAGCGCAGCAGCAGCAGCCAAGATTGCTGCTTTGATCGCTACAGAACTGCCAAACCTCAACGATGAAAAAGTCATGGCTGAGGAGAGAAAACGTATTTTACTCTTTAACTGCAATGAATATGTAGAATTTCAAGCAGGAGAGGCGACCCTACCGACTCGTGTGACATGTTATTGTCGCCATCATAGTGAGAAGACAGGGTTCAGGATTGTGTTCACTTTAAAGGATCATCTGGGCCATGTGATTGCTACAGGGCGCTCCCCGCCAATTATGATTACAGATGATCATAAGAGTTCCAAAATGCAGCAATTAGCAGCTGCAAGAAAACGATCTCGTGCTGATGTGGAAAATGCCACTGCTTCGGCAACGGAAAGCGACGCAGCTGCTTCTGTGTCAAACGCACGCTCTGGTTTAGCTTCAAAAAACAGAAAAATTTTAGATGTGCAAGAGACAGATTCAGGAGGTTCCAGTCCTATAGAATCAACGCCAGCTACCCCATCATCTACGGCTCAAAATGAAAATAGTAATATGGAAGAAAGTAACAGTAATGGTAATTCAGCGAGAAGGGTAACTGCAGAAGTAGCGGCGAAGGCTTCAACGGCTGATGATAATGGAAGTTTACAGAAGGATACAAGTGTCAACCAAAACACTAAGTTTTTGCCAGATACCGATCAACTCTCTGAGATGCTCAGCATATCTGACCGTAATGTTAATATCATGAATACAAATATGAATGCCCATACACCTCAAGCTGGAATAGGAATGGACGCAACTAACTTGGAAATATTTATGCGTTCTTCAGCATCTGATGCGAATAATAATGGTTTTCTATCAACCCAAAGTCAATTATATCATCAGCCATCTATGACTACTAATAGTAATAACAATAGCAATCAATTCTCGTCTCAGTTACAATCACACTCACAGCAACAAAACATGTGTGCTACGACCTCACCATTCGAATCTTGTAAAAATACTTCGGAACATATGGGCATGTTCGATTTTTTAAACTCCCAAGAATTGACCATGTTAGGAACTACCGATAATCAACATTCTCAGCAATTTCAACCTGCAATTAACCTACTATACCAGCAGCAGCAGCATCAAGAACAATTATCATCTCAATTTGGTCAAGATAGCAGCCATCAGCAGAAACTCGTGCGTGTTAATCAACCGGCGTCTTCTTCTACAACTACCGCATCGGCTACTGATTTGGTGTTAGCGCCCCAATTATCTCAGCAACAGCAACAGCAGCAATTTTCAAACAATATCTACACAAAACTAGCCGAACGTAACGCCATGGATACTAAACAAAACCCCCACTTGCCTAAGTTGCACCGCCTTATTCCCTCAGAGGGCCCCATCTATGGAGGAGCAGAAGTCACCGTTTTGGGGTCCAATTTTTATGAAGGTCTTACTTGCCTATTTGGGGAAAACCCCGCCATCCCCACACATTGCTGGAGTGCCAATACACTACTGTGCATCTTGCCACCTACATCTACTGCTGGTCCAGTCGTAGTGTCATTCAAAGAGCACCCATTAATGCTCGAGAAAGGAGGGCAAGATGTAGTATTGTTTACGTATTTTGATGAGAGTGATAGAGCGTTAATGGAATTGGCACTGCAAGTAGTTGGATTGAAAACGATGGGGAAAGTGGAAAATGCACGACAAATTGCTATGAGAATAGTGCAAGGGGGAGATAGCAATAACAATAACAGCAATAATAACAACGGTAAACATGCTAGTCTGAAGAACAGCTCAGCAACCCGTCAATCACATACTGCAACTTTTGAATTGACGCGCATGGCAATGGCAGCAATTTATGAAAATGCTCGTTCTTTTTATTTATCGAAATTAGAGGAACACGTTATAGCCAGTTTGATAGCTCTACATCAACACTACCATTGTCAACCACAGCATCTATCCTTAACCAATCAATACGGCCATAGCTTGTTACATCTGGCTACTCTATGCAACTACGGACAATTAGTAAGAATATTAGTGAGCCAACTGAATTGTAATGTTAATCAAGTGGATCTGAATGGTTTCACAGCTTTACATTTTGCAAGCTGGTCTGGAAATGTAGAAATAGTTAAATTTTTAATTGATTATACTAATCTACACATTGTGAACCGTTCCGGTAAAACAGCAGAACATTTAGCTGTAGAAGGGGGACATCTATCTGTTGTGGATCTTTTCAAGAGCAAAAAGCAACAGCAAGAACAAATTTCAAAGAAAAGAAGGATAACAAAAATACCCAGAACGATCAAAAACTACTTTATTCTCCCTCGTTTAGGAGTTGTTCAACAGTACACTTCTAGTTTGCCATTGAAATTAGTGAAACTATTGTCAAATCTGTATATCGTTTCAACAACTAATATGAACCAACATCAACAGCGGCATGGCCCTTTTATCACTTCTGTAAAGAAGCGTACAATGAAGGCTATTACCGATACGTCCACGAACAGTAGCAAAAGCAACACATGCCAATCGCGCAGAATTATTACACGGTCAGCTGGACGTCAAGTTTACCATTTCATTCTTGATTTTTAAGTTGTGCATACAAATTATATACTTCATAGATTACCTTTCCCACTATTTATTAATTGCGAAATTTATTGTAAATATTGTTTATTAAATGTGATTCCCAATATCCATGTAAAATAAAATCAGAAAATCACAGTTATTTTGTATGGGTGGCATGACGAGTAATAAGCAAATAAACTTGTAAAGTTTAGAGTAAGCACGTGAAATAAGAAAAGATGAGGAATAATTAATAAATTAGCAAAGCATAACGAAGTATGAGCTTTGTAATCATGCTTATTTCATTCAACGAACAAACGCTTCACTATTCTGTTCGTCTCGCATTTTTTTGTTCCTGATAACCTTAAGTGCTGTTATTTTGAATACATTTCAATGGTTTCGATTAAAGTTTTATTCTGAATCTTTGGAAGTAAGAAAGGGTCGTTATAGCAATGGTGAAAATCAATGTGGGGGTTGACTTCAACCTTGTTTGTAAGTGTATAAACGGCTCGCTTCCAGTACGATAACTAATAGAGTATATGTGTTATAAAATTATGATCTTACATTAGTCTTATTGTTAATAAAGTACAGACATGTATAGACATCATGTCTCATCCCTTCAAAGTTTGATATCTTTCAATGTCAGTACTAAAGGAACATGATCACTTGCGCCCCAACCTTCGTGTCGAATATCACTTGAAACTACTTTGTCCATCAATTCTGGTGTTACCGTGAAGTAATCAAGTCGCCAGCCTATCAATTTGCTACGACAATTAAAACGATATCCATAATAAGTATAATGACCTTTTTGTTCAGGATGAAGATGTCGCCACGTATCGATGAGTCCAGGCAGATTGTCAGATGTAGAGCTAAGAATCTTTGTAAAATCGTCGCGTTCTTCTTTAGTAAAACCCGCTGAGCGTTGATTTGTTTCTGGGCGTGCTAAATCATCTGGTGTATGGGCTACATTCAAATCACTATACAAAAAATGCGTAAAAAAAAAGATGCCATTAACATCTCCAAAATTGTATTTATAACTATCCTCACTTACCCTGTCCATATGACTGATTTTTGTTCCTTCTGTAATGATCGAATATATCGCTCTATTTCTTTATCAAATCGCTGCTTGATGTCGAGGTTTTTGAGCTTATCACCCGCATTAGGCGAATAACAGTTAATGAGAGTAAAGTTTGGAAACGTCAATGATACTACACGACCCTTTGTTGTTTTTTCGAATCCTGGTATACCATATTCAACTTTTTCAGGTTTATATTTGGAAAATACCGCAACACCAGCTGCAAGGGGATGGTAAGCTTTCTTTCTATAAAATCACTTACACTTATGGTTATTCTTACCATATCCTTTTTTCTCATCAAACGACCAATATCGATACTTATAAACAGAATCATTAACTGCAGTAGAATGAGGTGCATTTACTTTGTGCTCTTGAATACAAACAATATCTGCATCTTCAGCATCAATATACTTATTGAATCCCTTTCTAATACAAGCATTGAGCCCAGCTACGTTATACGAGACTATTTTGAAAGTGCCCTTAGATTTAGGTGGGATCTGAAACTTCTCAGGAAATGTCGTGTTTGTGGGTAGAGAGGGATCAAATGGTTCCCATGCTTTCTTTTTTGAAGAGGTGGTCTTGACTTTTTTTGTCATACCCCGTTCTTCATGGATGGTGACCTCAGTGGCTTGTTCGCCGTTTGCTGCTATTGCTGTTGAGTTTACTGTTGTTGAGGTTTCTACTTCTGCAGTAACAGCAGAACGTGTTCTTTTGACAGGCATCAATACGGTGGTATATAGTTTTAGCAGCGGTATGTATGAATAGGTTGAGGGGAAACGATTTTTTGTCTGTTGAAATAGAGGTACAGGATGAAATATTCTACTACAGTTGTGAAGAAAACGACGGGAAATACGAAGAGCCTTCATATAAAAAAAAAGACCTCTTTATCAATGTGGGCAAAGAAAAAAAAAAAAAAAAAAAAAGTCGGATTTTTTTTTTTCTCAAAAAATATAAACTAGAAACGTCAGATCCTTTCAGTCTGGTTTTCTCTTGTTTTTCAAAACTCTTTGATCGTATGTCATCAGCATACGGGCAAGTCAAAAAGGGATCGCTCAAGTTCAAAGGAGGCGATTCCTCTGTAAAGTAAATATCTGCCTTTGTCTTTTCACTATTGATGAATACTGCATTAACACGCATTTTATTTTACTTTAAGGAAAAAGAAGAAGAAGTCAAAATCAAGTAAAGAGAAATTAGAAAAAGCTCTGCGTGAGGGCTCTGAAGAGTTCAAAACGGTATATCAAGAAGTCGAAAAAACTGAAGCCGAGCGTAAATTTGAAGAAACACAACGACGAAGAGTAGGTTTATTTGTTCGATAGTCATTCATAACTGTTGTAGAATTTGCTTGGACTGATTCAATTTTATCGGCTAAATTAGCAAATGGAGAGAGTTTATAAGGCAGCTACTAAATCACATAAAGACAGGGTACAAGAATTCAACCAAAAGCTAGAAAACTTAAGCGAGCATCACGACATCCCTAAAGTCGGTCCAGGCTAACATTAGAAGTTCTCGTTATATACCACTGCTGTTATTTGTTAAAGCGATAAGAATAAAGGTTTTAATAGTCGTAAACGCTTTTCTGCTTATATTGAAGAGAAAGCTTCAGCAATTTAGATTGACGAAGGTTAGAAGCTGAAATTCACCATGGTAAATCTAATAAAAATGGGTTATTTGAAATGGGAAGACCGGTGAACGCTGTATTTTACTTTTTTCAATGACTTCAGAGATTTTTGTTCAGACAGAAAAGGGAGGAGCGAAAACTAAAATAATCATGAATAATGAACGCACAGTTTAAGGAAGAGTTAACAGCTGCTTTGATCATCCATTTGATTGCTATTCTTAGTTCCGTATAATGAAAACTTAGATCTCATCACTCTCAACTCTCTAACAGAGGACATGCATTTCATTATCATAGTTTATCCTTCATAAATAAGGTCAAATAGATATTGGGGACTATAGTTAACTCCCTCTTTCTGAGTATGCAGCAAAAAAACGCAGGCTCGAAGAACGGTGATTTTTCAGAAAACATATCTGAGTAAGATGGTGAATAGTTAGTTTTTGATAATCGTGTAAAAAGATAGCTGCAGGAAGTGGACCGCACAGCATAAAATCATAACGTCTGTACCATAGTTAATGAAGGCCAATATGCTTATAGCAGTGGGTGTTTCAGCAAAGTAAAAAACACAGCACATTTTAATAATGGTAGCGTTAGTCACAGTAATAGTCCTTGTTTATCTCGTTTTATCCATTTTATCGGCTCGCTGCAATAAGCAAGGGCTATAAGTGCACTTCCTTTACAGCAAGGTTATGAAGAAGTGATGGATTGTCCAAATCATTATAAATGTGGTTTGTTTTTGTATTGTCTGCTTTGCTACCCACAGTATATCTTATGTTGATAATGGTGGAGCATCAATGCTTAAAATATTACTGTTAATGACGAGACGTTCAGACAGAATCATCCAGTCAATGCAGGATAAGTAGCGAAAACGATTTTTCATTAAAATAAAGCATTATGAAAGCAGGTATGTAAAATGTACTTCTTTGGAACTGAAGTAACCAAGTATGGACGTCTTACTATTGCCTGCTCTACCCCCATGAGGAACAAACAACATCTTGTTCTGCTCGTTTCTTACTGTCTTCCAACTACTTCTTTTTTCCCTCTCGTCCTTGCAGCCTTTGTCCCGTAATCGCCCTCGCTCCCATTTTTCTTTTCTTCAGCTGTGAAACCAGTATGATAAGAGATATGTTTACTTTCGAGTAACAAAATGATAACACGATTTACATGCGTCATAAAACTAGCGTTTGTTACTATTTTGTTATTATGACCAGCCTCTCCACAGTCGTTACAAACTCCTCCGTTCGTAAGGAACATTCAGTTGCAGAACTCAGTAACGGAACATCATATTACAGAGATATACCTTCAGCAATTTCTCTTTTCTCTTTTCCGAATTTTTGCTTTGAGATGTCTCTTAGCTTCTCGAGAAGGCGTAATCACATAAACTTTTGGGAGAGGCAAACATTTTTATAGTTAAAATACTTTACAGAAAACGGAAAAAAAAGTGATAAACTTATAAATGAAGAGAGATGCGGAACAGTCAATGAGAATACAGAAATATGAATAATTTAGATAGAATACAGCTCGCTGCCCGGTTTTTATGGCATTTAAGAGAAATGTATGTAATTAATTCCAGACGATCATACGATGACTACCTGAAAGCAAAGACAGCTTGTTCTGAACAAGTTACGTAGTAGTACAACACAGCCTGTTCCTCTATCAATCGAATAGTACGTTATCGTTTAGAAGCGTATAGATGATTAAGAAGTTTCCTGACAATGTATGGTCTCAAAACCTTCAAAGAATTTACAATTGTCCCGATATAGACGGAATATTTTAATCCACAATCAATTTCACCAAATTCATAGCTATTTTTAAACTGTCCAATCATGTATTGCTGATCTGCTACGACTTGAAACTGCAACTTAACCGGAATTTTATTTTAACCACAGAAAAAAAAGCTTCAGTGAAAAACAACCCCGCGCTTTGATCAAGTACCTTTATCTTTACTTTGCGCAAATCGTTGTAACAATCCTGCAAAACCCTCCTCTCTTTTCTTTTTCATGTCAGATTTTTTTGGTTCTTTCAGAAAAAGGAAAGGTTATGGCGGACATCCGGGAGCAACCTCTCCTCGTTCTTCCATGGATAGTTCGTCGAGAAGGAGTCATGGAGCAAATGATGTTGAAGAACCAATGCCTAATTCGGACGAACAAATAGATGAGCTTTTCGATCAAATGCTCGTATGTGATGGAAAGATATATATGCCGAACAATATGCTTCATCTTTGGTGAAAGTATGATAACTGAACAGCCCTTATACTTTACTTCTTTCTTTGCTTAGAGTCGAAGGGGCTTAAATGAAGAGAAAAAGAAACCTTTGAAAGCAACGTTAGATTACAAAACAAAATGGGCCATGATTGTCCAGGATCGAAAAGCAGAACAAGTTGTTTCTGGTCGAAAACCAGGTATTATTGATTATAATCTTCCACAATATGACGAACAACAACAGCCTTTGATGACTGTATTAACAGAATTAGCCGGCGAAATGTGGACAGCAACGAGAGATTCGACAGCGAGAGCGGTAGAGCGTCATACAAACAAAAGCTCACATTTAGCACCTGTTGGTCGTCGTGTTTCAGAAGCCATTCAGCCTCATTCTATATCTACCAATGATATTTCCATTCCTTCTATATCAGTTGCCTACGAAGGATTATCTGCCAGTGATAGGAATACACCGGAATATTTCATTCGAAAGTTTATGGAACCTGATTTGCGAGCAGTAACGCCTACTTTGGCCGATAACTTGGCAGTTAGTCTGCGTACTCGGCCTTTGGATTGGGTTATTCGATTCACTGATTTGAAAGGGCTGAAAGTGATTTCAAAAGGGCTTTCTTATCTCAACAAAAAGCCTGATTCGGAACGAAAGGGACAGAACTTGGAATTAGAATATGGGCTTATCAAATGTATCAAGGTATTGCTGAACGCTAGATGGGGTGCCCGTGAAGCCATCTTAAATCCCGAATATATACACTCTTTTGTATTCTCTATCATTTGCCCTCAATGGCAATCCAGGAGAACGATTTGCGATATACTGCTCTATTTATGTCACTGCGATGTGCCCTTAGGAAATAATATTGTGATGGAAGGTTTCGAACTACTTAGACAACATAGAAAAGATCTCGGCATTTTTGATTCTTGGTTGAAGGATTTTGAGCATTCCTTAGATGGAAGCCATAGGACAGGAAGAGCTTACTCAACCGATAAATACCATAAACTAAATGTTTATGTTCCACCTGATAGCCATCTAGTGGAATATTGTATGTCTTATATCGGTTTGATTAATGCTATCTCTTATATTCCAACTGAAGTCACTGACAGAATATACATTCGAAGCCAACTCAAAACTTCCGGATTAGAACGAATATTCAGAAAATTGGAGTTATTAGACGATGCGAAACTCTATGATCAAATGGAGAAGTATCGAAAGAGAGCTGACAGTGATTTGGATGAAGCTTTTGGTGACGAGCTGTCAATGTACAGTGATATTTCGGAACCAAATGAATTGCTCGACCTAATCCTTGAAAGTATTGCCGATGCGCCAAACGCACACAGCTTTTTATTGCAGACGTTCAAAAGCATGCTTTTAATAAAGGGTAATCCTGATAGAAAGTAAGTTTGTTTCTGTTATCTGCGAGACAGATAATGTTTTCTGTATTTACATCGTAATAGTAATCACGATATCTTGTTTATAGGACTCAATATCATCAAGCTATCAGCAATGTTGTGGCGAATATAGTTATGGACCGTAGAGAAGGTGTCACAGCTGAAGAATTAGGTTCTGCTGCGTTTGGAATATCAGTCAATGCTATGGTGGGTCGTTTTAATGAGCTAGAACGCTTGCAGGAGCTTGCTCGATCTGCTGAAGAAGATCGTGAATTAGCCATAAAGTTGGGTGCAGAAAATAAAGATTTAAAAGAACAGATTGAAACATTGAAAAAGCCAACTAATCATGACCTGCAGGGCCCTCAACGAAATTACAAAATGGAAAATATTGCTTTGAGAGCTTTACAACAGCAATCTAATAAAACCATTACTATGTTACAGCAACGTTTAAAAGAGAAGACAGAGCAATTAGAGAATTTTATCAATGCCTCAGGTTATATTGATGATACATTGATGCCTGTCGCTCCGATCGCTCCGACGACTACAACAATATCATCAATATCTTCTTCATCCTCATCTTCTATTGTTGTGGGTGAAGATTGGAAGCTTGCTAGTACAAAGAAAACTTCATCTCATGCTACCCCCTTATTTTCATCAATCGCATCACAGCAGCACCTACCATCACAATACCCTCACGCGGAAGCTATTCACAATAATAATTTCATGACTACTACAAATATAGGCCCAGGAGGATTCATTATACCCGGTTCAGGACCAGCGATGTCGTTTTTACCTGGTTCTCAGCAACAGTACAATCCACAATATCAACTTGTTGATAAACGTTCGCAGCACAGCTATCCTCCCAATTATAACGCAGATACAGACAATGGTAGTAGCTCGACATTGTTTTCACATTTTAATTATATAAATGAGATAGAACTGATATTTTCGTCTTTCTTTTCATCGTAAAATGTAGAAAATGAAGTCAGCAGGAAAGCTTCATCAATATCATCTCATCCAACTTCCCTGATGGATAGAAACGAGGCTTCAAGTCGACCCACTCCTAGTAAGTAATTGTTTGAATATTCCCAATCAGGGGTACCTTGAGCATGGTCTTACTGTAGGAACTGACGTGTAATCCTTGATCTAGAAGCAGATGAAACGCCAAATGCCTCGACCATTGATCAAGCAGATGTATCAAATACCGCCGCTTTACCGCCACCGCCACCACCGCCGCCACCACCTCCGCTAGGTATATAATTAAGCAAATGTGAAAGACTTATTTCATCCGCATTATTGATTTGAAACTTATATTTATAGCTTCTGGGGGTACAATTACAGCACCTTCTCCTCCCCCTCCTCCGCCTCCTCCGCCTCCTCCACCCTCAGGTTCAAATGTCACAGGTGTTCCTCCTCCTCCTCCTCCTCCTCCACCACCTCCACCACCATCAGGTTCAAATGTCACAGGTGTTCCTCCTCCTCCTCCTCCTCCTCCTCCTCCACCACCATCAGGTTCAAATGTTATAGGTGTTCCTCCTCCTCCTCCTCCCCCTCCTCCACCATCAGGTTCAAGTGTCATAGGTGCTCCCCCTCCTCCTCCTCCTCCTCCACCCCCTCCTCCAACATCAGGTTCAAGTGTCTCAGGCATTCCTCCACCCCCTCCACCCCCTCCACCTGGTGGTGTCAAAGGACCCACAGCTCCTCCTGTACCTTTAGGGCCTGTTCGTAAAGAAATTCGTCACTATCCCCAAATTAAATTAAAGAACTTACAATGGCAAAAATTGGATGCACGTCTTGTTGACAATACTATATGGAAACTCGAAGATGTGAATGAGAATGATTTGGAAGATGCATTGGATAAATACGGTGTTTTTGCCAAAATTGAAGATCTTTTCCCTGCTAAAGAAAACAAGTTTTTTGAAAAGAAGATGAAGGTCAAGATCGAAGAAAAGAAGGATGCCATTAAATTTCTCAGTAAAGAAAAATCTAAAAATATCAGTAAGTGTGTTCATAATTGACACGATTGTTTTAGCTTCCAGCAAGCATGTATTTGTGAATGAACTCTTATGAAATCTAACTAATTGATATAATTATATAGATTTGGCTGTTTTGCCTAGGGTGAAAACTTACCCCAACTTTGCTTCCGTACGATCAGATATAATGCGTATGAATGATGAGCTTTGTACAGAGATATTTTTGAGCAATTTACTAGCGTTCATACCAAGTAAAGGTGATGATTTAAAGCTGATGGAAAAATATTTAAAAGAAACGCCAGAGGCTTGCGAAGAATTGGATATACCAGAACAATTTACCATTGAGGTAAACTTTTTTTTTTGATTTACTCGCTGTCATAAGCTGATTACAACGTACTCGTTTCAATCTTCTTCGTGGTTGTATAGATGTACAGAATGTATCGTTACGAGGCACGTATACAATACATGCTTTTTAGAGTTCAGTTCTGGGAGAAATTTGAACATTTGGAAAAGGTATAGTTGTTGTACGAAATTAGGAAACCGATAATTGAGTTGTTAACTCATATTCTATGCTGGCAGAATATGACGGTGATTTTAAACGTGTCAGATGCTTTGAAAAACTCGAAAAGCCTAAAGAATCTACTCGGTGTAAGTAGAATTATCTGCATCAGGTTAAATCATTACCCTTTAACATCTACTCTGTTTTGTTTTTTTATTAGGTGATCTTATTGCTTGGTAACTTCATGAACGCTTCCAGTTTACAAGGCGGGGCATTTGGTATGCGTATCTCTAGTATCAATAAGGTAATACTCCAACAGAAAAGCGCAAAATTGATTTCTTTATTCAGTATGCATTGAGACTAAATTAAATGGTCTTAATGTTAACACAGCTGGTTGATACGAAAGCATCAAACATAACTTCGATAACCCTACTTCACGTTGTCACTGGTGTCACTCGCCGACAATTCCCACATTTACTGGCCTTTTTGGATGATCTGAAGGATATAGAGCACGCCTCCCGCATTATGGCCAGCCTCAATGATATGGTTCAGCAATATACTGAGCTTAGAAAAGGTTTAAAAGAGCTCGACTTGGAGCTGGGAACTAAGTGGCAGCCGGAAGATATTGAATTGGACGAGGAACATGACCGTTTCCGTATTGTTATGACTGAATATCGAGATAAGGCTTCAACAAGATTTGAGGATTTGCAAACTCTATACATCAATATGGATGCTAGTTGGAAGGATGTAATGAGTTATTACGGTGAAAACCCTAAAGTGATGAGACCAGATGATTTCTTTGGTACATTTGCTCGATTCGTCGTATCCTGGAGAGTAAGATGAATCTAAGAGTCTTAGCCAGCTTGCTAACCTTTAGCATCCTAATCTACGTATTATTAAGTTCGACTTCTTTTTTTCTTTTCTTTTCTTTTTTAGGAGGCCAGCAAAGCAGAAGAAAAAATGGCACTAAAACAAGAACGCGAGGAAAAACGAAGACGTGAGGAAAATGAAAGACAGGAGCGTATGAAGTTGAAGAAAGAAAAGGCCGCAGCAGCATTGAATGAAAAGAGAGGTTCTGTCCAAGGAATCAGTACAGGTATAGCATACTAAGAAGATAAGTCATACTAGCAATTCCATCTGAACAAATTTTCTTGAATCATGTAGATTCTGATAAAAAGGGAGAAGATGATCGCTGTATGATGGATAACCTGATAGAGAAATTAAGGGCTGGAGAGATCGAAGTTCGCTCCAACAGGAGAAGCAGTAGAAAGCATAAAAATGAAGCAGTGGTAGCTGTAAACGAAGTAGAGGATCATGTAACAAGTATTTCAGCTGTTGATCTGCTAAAAAACTTAAAATCAGATGATTCACTAAGAGTATTGGATTCTTCAAATTCTTCGAAGTCTCTTGAGGAAGGCGAACTGTCAGTATCTGCTGCTAATGAGATTCTTGAAACGGCAAAAGAGAACTCTGAAGAATTCTCTCAGAGTCATTAACAAGGGCTGAAATTGAAAGTTAAGGGCCAATATACAGTAATATTGATATCTAATTGAAAATATTGTAGTTCTACATTGTATTATAGTTCTTGCCTATGGGTTTCTATTCTTGTAACAGTTTTATATAATTCATACGATAAACGATGCTCAATAAAGTATAAGTATGATTCATGGCAATATAATAAAAATAATTTTTCAATTTTTTAGAATTTCAATTTGAAGGATCGATCAACCATCGTAAATGAGATATGAGAAAACTTTTACTGCAAAATGTATGAGACTGCAAGGAAGGACGGCCTCAGTACCTTTTAACAGCTTCGAAGATCTCACAATAAAAGTTATAGATCCTCAATCTGCTTGTTCGTCTGTCTTGTCAAGAATAATGCCTTCATAGTCTTACTCGTCTACTATCCATCCAACATCCTACCAGAGCATTGCTACACCGTCCCCTTCCACGTCAAGTTTCTCACCTGCTCTATTGCGTTTGTCCCAGCCATCATCAAAACCATGCCGTAACATCAACTTATCTCCTCTTTGGTTGTCCTTTCAAACTGCAGGTTTGTACCTAAATTCTCGATGGCTACATCAACCTTATGTGCCAACACCTTATTCTAAACTTTTCAACTACATACCGTCGCACTTTACGCTTTGCCGCTTATCATCTTCTCCGTTTCATACTTCATCGAACGCTCAATTTTTTTCTTTGCATGCTACTTCATTTATGGCAAGCCTCATTGGGGTTTATTCTTAGAAATACCTTCATCCTTCCCCCACCGTATTTGAATCCGTTACTTAACTAGGATTGTGGATTCCGTTTATTTACAGAAAAGACAAAAGACCTTTTTCTAACTTTTTATTTGTCTTTTCAACGTTCTTTTCCCGCTAGTCTTTTCCTTCCTCAGTACGACACTTGAAGGACTACAAATAAACCGGAGTGTGCATTCCCATTAAACAAGAAAAAAAAAAACAAAAAAAAAACTACAGTATAATTCACACTTTGCTGTGGGCAAAGCTTTGAGAATGAAAATAGCTAGAAAAGTAAATGAGGTTTATTACTGCTAAAGATATGCCAAGCCGAGGTAAAATGTGTACAATATAAAGTGCATTAAGAAGTAGTTTCTTTGATATACCAAGACGGTTTCTATTAAAGGAATAAAATAATATGAGTAACTGTTGACAAGAGAGCTCTCTATAAATTTATATAGTTTACTTTGTCTGATCCTCGTTTTTCCTTCACAGCAATATTCTTGATATTCATTTCCAGTTGCCTTTTAGAAACATCTTTTAGTACAGAATTAGCTTTGGCCTCTTGGATCAAATTTGGTATCGACTCTGTTGGTTTCTCAATAATAACCTAAATGTATAATTTGCAAATTGTTATGATACCGGAAGTAATAAAATGTAGTTTACAGTATGTTAGCTTACACTAATTAAGGCATGTTTATGTACATCGGTAAATTCCACTTTGCTTGAAGGATTTGTTGTTGCTGAGGTGCTTTGTCCATTATCCATGTCGCCTGCTATTGCTGAAACAACAGCGGTAGCATTGCTAGTAGAAGGCTCTTTATAGAATGGGTCGTATCCCTCCCTTGGTATGTCAATAAATAACTGCGTCTCATAGACTTTGAAAGCTTCATATTCGACTGTATTATGATTCTCTTCCTCTCCTTCAAAAAAGGGGCCCAACACAATTTTTTGGATGGTAGGTCGAGTTGACTTTCTTTGAGAGATACCATGTCCTCCATTCTGATACTTCATTTTTCTATTTTCGATTTCTTCCTCATCTTCATCATTCACACCTTCGCTATCAGATAAATATCCTTCTGGTACAAGCCAACCGGTGTCTTCAGGGTCCATCATATCACTATCCTCAAAATCATCCTGCTCATCTGCACTATGAATATCCTCGCCTTCATCGTCTTCAGGCTCCCATTCCGCTTCACTGTCCGCATCGTAATCGAATAAAGCGGCATCCTTTGCTAATGGCTGCTTATGCGTGATTATATTACTCTTCTTGTTTGTCCATGTACCGTAATAGGCCGGTCGGACATCTTCATCAAATTGCAGTAATTTCATTTTCAGAATAAGACGTACATTAGGAATAGACATTATATCCGCTGAACCGGGTAATAAGAGAGTACGAATATCAATTTGTGTGTTGATGACGCCTCTTTTTTGCTTGGATTCAGATGATAGGTGCGATAAAAAGTCTTTCTTCAAGTCATTCTTAGTAGAATTGGAAAAGGATGATGAGAGAATTGTTTCTTTAAAATCCTCTTGTGTTGTTGTACAAACAGTAGCATTGGTATTGGGGAGGTCATTGTTCATCAAACAATAAGGGTTGGCCATCTTGACATTTTCCTTTATATAAAAAGGCGGGAATAAAGTAGGTTTACTAGACTCCAATAATCTTTTCTGTTGTTCTTGTTGTAGAGCTTCAGTTGAAGACATTGTTGTGCTGGTGTATATAGAAGCAGACGATGATGATGATAGCGTGGAAGTAGAAGTTGCAGTAGCAGCAGCAGACATTTGTTTCGCAAACAATGAAGTAAGACGTAATTGGGATTGCTCCTTTTTTCGCTTTTCTTCTTCTTTTTTTCGCTTTTCTTCTTCTCTACGTCGTTTCTCTTCTTCCCGCTGACGCTTTTCTTCATCTTTCTTTCTTTTTTCCTCCTCTTTCTTCAGGCGTTTTTCTTTTTCCTCTTCTGTTTCAACATGTATCGTTTGCGTCATTTCCTGCAACTGTTGTTGAGGGTGCTGTTGCTCCGTCATCTGTCGACTATGACGTTGCTTCTTTGTTGTTGCCAATGGACGGAATAAGAGATTCCTTTGTGACTCTTCTGGTAATGCAGAGATATATTGAATTATTGAATCCGTCATCATTTGCCTTAAATGTCTTCTGGCAGTAACAGCATGTTGCATGTCAGAGGGAAAGTAGTCGATATTATGCACTTCCCAACGAGATATGCATAGGTGCTATAACAGTATAATGCAAATGGTAAATTATTTGCGTGAGTTTGCGTGTGTATTTACGAATGTCTATTTTCCTCTCTATTTTGTTTTTTTGATTTTTACTTTGGGGGGCATTGTATGTTGTTGTTGTTGATGTTGATGTTGATGTTGCTGGTCTGCCAGTAGTTTTGCAAAGATATCTGGTATCAAACCATATATACATTTATAGGCTAGCTGATGTATCACTTTTTCTATAGCTGTATGAAATCTGCTTGCAACTGTCATTGAGAGTCTCATTAGTGATTGATATTTCTCGCATGATAAAACAGAGCGTAAAGCAACCTACATTGCTCCTTCCTCATGAAGGGCGATAATAGTTCATTGATTCTATCCGCTAGGACTGAGACAGATACTTCGTCGCTGTCCTGAACGAGCGCAGCAATTAAGTCAAAGTAGGTTGGAGGTATCTCTATTTCCTGACCTATATCCATTGTATTTTCAATTTGAGCTCTGTAATTTCTGAAGTACATCATTTCTAAATACAGAAATAATTGTTAGGTTTTATGCATGACGCTTAAAGCAGCGGTTGCAACTTGCAATGTTTACTTTCGGTAATAGCAGGGTGATTCTCTGCTCTTAGTCTCAGTTCGTGAAAACATATTATTCCATCTTTGATATATTGGCAAGATGTTGGTGGAGAAGCAGTCTGAGTAGGCGCCACGTTGTTATCGGATGGATTTACATGGTTGATCGATGAGGTGAGGGAGTTGTAATTAGTAGAATGAGGAGCGTCATTGACTTGAGTATCTGGAACTTGCACTGATCAGAATCAGATGGAATATGAGCACCAGGAAATCTTTATTCAGTTAGAAGTAACTCGCTCATTCACTTACACGTCCTCATTCGATCTGAAATAAAATTGATAGGTGCTTGCTCTTGGCTGGTCATTCCATTACTTTTACTATTATTATTGTCTGTTGTCATATACGTGGAAGTAATCTGTTGTGGCTACAGTTACGGTACCGAACTTTGAAAAACAAAATACCAAGGCAACAAAAAGAACCTGAGAAAAAGGCGCGTACAGATCGCGATTTTAGAAACAGACCCTCCGTCGTCTTTTCCGAGGATGCGCTTGTCACAAAGCTGTTTTACGTTCCTTAAAATGGCTCGAATAGTACATATTACTCCTTTTCCGCTCTTTCTGTCCGAATCGTCATCCATTGTTTCTTTTACGCAGAAGAAGAGAAAGGGACGTAAAATAGAGCAACAAGCACTCGTATACGATACATTTAAAATTTGCAAAGCATGATGTCTGCCACAGCACCAACAGTCAATGCAGAGCAAATCAGAAGATTTTACAACAATGTGAAAAGCAACAACAATGTAAGAACTGTCAGAGCCCTTTTTTTCAAAACTATATTTGTAACATTTTTTAATTTTCAAAATGTAAGAAACCAGCAATACATGCAAAATATGATTACTATCAGTCTAACAGTTTCGAGGAACAATTAAATGATTTCATATCATATACTGAAGTACAAAATAATTTACTCGACTTTCAAGACGAATACAACTCAACATATCCTAGTAAAATTGGAAAACTTAACCTGGAGAAGAATAGTAAAGCAGCATCTAATCTATTTTTGAATTTTCACATTTACAGAGTGGCATGATTGTACCTTGCAGGAGAAGAAAGAGATTATATCCAACTGCTTCGAACATCTTGACTTTATTCATGATGAAGAGAGAGTTAATGCCGCCAAATGTTTATCTTATATCAGTTTGGGCAATTATGAAGAATTTATCGAAAAGCGAAAACTACGAAATAACATGAAAAGTATAGAAGAAAGAGACAATGATATGAACAGCCATTTAGAGTTAATGAAAGAGAACAATCAACTTTTATACACAATGGATATCCTAACGGTGTTACAACAATCTTTGAAGCGCAATTGTCACGAACTAGAATTATCATCAACGTAAGTATGTATAGTAATGTATGTCTGAATGCATTTGCTCTCTTTTCTGATTCGATACTACGAAAAGTAGGCTATCACAATCAGAGGCAGTTTCCTCTTTTTGCAAGGAGATCGATATGAACCTGACAATTCTCTACATGGTGATTCAGTTCAATCATGAAAAAAAGGAACGAATAAAGGAAGCAAACTTACTAGAAACATTGTTTAACTTTATTATTCGATTGAAAGAATATTTTACAAGCGCATTTCCTCTGAGAAAGGTAAAAAAAAAAAGGATATAGCTAGCATTACACAACAGTATAAACATGATGAAACTGAACGTTTTAGTATTCTAAATGGCTGGATAATAGCTGATGTTGACTATTCAAAGATTGCTTAGCATTAGTTTTGGTGATTTGGATACGAATGAATATAAAGCCATCAAAACAAGTATAAGACGAGCCCATCATTTACCACCTTTGAAAACAATGACTAACACCACTGCTATGAAGGATGCTAAAAGCAATAAAGAGACTATGATCAAGTGCACGCCTGAAGAGCTTTACAATATATTTTACCGCCAATCTTTGGAAAGATACCCCACCTTTACTCCAACACCTCCGCCTTCTGTCATCTCCGATCCTTTGTTGATAACAAGCTCTAATACAGCACGCCTCATAAAAGCAATGGGTTTGTCGGAAGCTTCCAAAAATATTGATTTACCTTATCAAACATTATTTCCGTCAAAGAATGGCGGCGGGGGCGGAACGCAACAACAGCAACAGCAAATGAAGCTTAATAGCAATAATGGACATACGCTGGATATTAGGGACTCTTCCTTTTTAGCCCTGATGGAAGAGCCATATAGTTTGAAGGAGGCAAATACAGTATGGATGGATCATCTGTATATATCCGTAGGGACGTTACAATTATTGCACGAGAAGAACAAGGCAGTACATCGTTGGCAACGGCATTTACAAAATACAACGAGCGCAGAACTGAAACGAAAGCAACGCCAGGAACAGCATAAGACAGGTGTTGGTGATGTGGACGACATTGATAAAAATCATACTGATCCTGATGAGGATGGGAGTAGCTTTAATGAAGACAATGAAGAGGATGACACGTTCGATAGAAAATTATTAAGTGATCAGGAGAGAAAAGCGTTGAAGGATATCAATCAATTCTATGCCTTCATTGTACCAAATCTGCAAAAAATTGTTGTTGTATTCTTGAAATTGTTGCTATCAACTATATCGATTACTAGCAATGGAAAAGCACCAACAGGAGAAGACGATCATAATGGCGACAGCAATAAAGTATCAAATGCAATTACAGCGATGAAAAAAAACAACGCGGATTATACTAAGTCTTTGAAAAATGCTGCAGCAGTAGAAGCAATGGATCAAATTAGGAATAAGGAAATTCTTTCGAAAGCAGTTTCCACTATTATTTTAACACTGCTGAAATGGTTTAAACTATCTCATATTTTGAAGTTTGAGTATTTGTCGCAAATGCTGATCGATTGTGGCTGCATGTTGTTGATACTGAAATTGATTGGTCTACAAGAAATGCCACTGCTTGCTGTTAGAAGGTCAGATCACGAAGAATATAGTTTCTTTGGGTTTATCCATGGTATAAATGCTGGAGAAGATAATGTTACCGCAGGCAAAGGTGATAGTGGCAGTACTGATGGAATGTATACAAACAAAAGGAATATATGCTGGTCAATACATTTACTTCGGATATTGCAAATGTTGACTAAGAATAAGAATCAGCGTATCAGTTTATTGGTTCAATACAAGTCATCTGCTGTCTTGAAAAAGTTGCTGAAAGTGGGCCATCCTACGCTAGATCATTACGTTCTGAAAAACCTGAAATGTCAAGTACCACTTATGAGCAGGAAGTGGCGAACTGGCAATATGAAGACAATTTCTGCTATTTATGCCCATTGTCTCACATCATTGAATGATGATTGGCTATCAAGGCCTGACAACGATCACAATAAAGAGGAATATAGATTAGAAGAAATCAGTCTTCGTATGCTGATAAAGCTATATATAGGGGAACGCTATATTGACAGTTTATTACCAACATTGGATGAATTCACTGAATTAGAAAACTGCTCCTTTTTCAACAGTACGCATCATAATCGAAGAAATGCCAATGAAAGTGAACAACAGCAACAAGAAAAAGAAGCGAGTAATACAAACATGCAGATGAATAGACATTCATTATTACCGGAATATGTATTCAACCACATGTTTCCTTTCGACAACGACCCTTTCGTTGCATCTACCATGGGACACGGCGCTGACCTTGAGGTAGAGGGTGACTTTAAGCTTAACTATCGGCAGTGGCTCGAAAAGGAGGTCTATTCATTAGAACTTGGTGATAATGACAAAGAAGTCGATTACGAGGATGACGATACGAATGAGCAAAATGATGGAGAATGGGACGGGGAAAGTGACAACAAAGAGCAACGGACCAATGGATGGGACACACCTATACCTAATTCGGTCTTACCGCCACCTTTATCACCTGAACAGCTTACGAAAGAGATTAATCGAATCTATCAGGAGGAACTGGAACGTGAATTCATTGAAAAAGAAAAACGAAGAGAAATGGAAATAGAAAAGAAAGAAACAGAAATAGACGGTTGGGGAAACGCAATCGCTGTTGATACTGCTGCTACTGCGAATGGCTGGAATAAAAGTACTACCGAGTTTTCAATAGAAGATAGCTGGAGAGACGACATGAGTAGCACAACTGGGACTACGGCAACGAATGGTACTGTCTTGACGGATGAACCAAAACAATGGCTTAGTAGTTTTGACGACGATGAGGATGCTGATGACCCTGAAGTTGAATTTGATCCTTTGGAAGGTATCGATTGGCAAAACCTCTCTGAAGAAGAATTAAAAAAGAGACTGACTATTGTGGAGCAGAAAACTGTGCATCGATATATGAATGTTAAGATTGATGATGAAGAATACTTGAAGGTTATTAATCCATTAGATACTCAGTTAACTGAAGACGAGGATGGATGGTTTATAGAATAGGAAATGAACCTGTTCAATACGAAAATTGAATAAGGAGATATTCATACCTTATCCTTACCATTTGAAGCTGGATAGTATCATTTTCAATTATTGCGAACAAAAGACCAACTCTATCATAACCTTCGATTAGTCTATTTAATATTAGCTTTCAGTGCAGGATGGGGCCCCCTTTATTATAGATCAGAAACCCATGAAGTCTTTGATATCTATAACAGATCACATTAACCCAAGATCAGTAAAGTAGATGAGGCTTATGATTAAAGGTTGGCAATGTTTGCACATATAAACCTTATAGACAATCTGCTCATGTTTTGTGGCTTACTCATGAACCGAGTAATCTGGTAAAATCTTGCCTTGTGACAAAACAATAATGTTGAATTGGCTATGTTGTTATGAGCAAATGAATGCTCTTTATCACTCAATCATCACAATATTGGCATCAAATTTCTACTTACTGAGGGTTTCACACACACACTTTTGGGCCTCTATTATATTTCATAAACTATGAAATTTCTTTCCCATTTGGGCTGAATAAATTCTCTTTTGTACAGTTAAAAAAAAAAAAACTAGTCATCTTGAATGTATATAGGCTCTGCATCTTGGCCGGCTATTGAATCAACTGCTCGCCTATTCTGTTATATATATTTTATTTTTTTTTATTTTTTTTTTTTTTTTTCAACAAAGAGGACGGATAAAACATTACAACTTTGTTATATGGTCGTCTTCTCGTTCTAACAGCCAATTCTGGACTCTATTTTAAAAAAAATTAAAAAAAAAAGAACTGTTGCATGTTACACGTATTTTCCTTCAAAATGGAAGGTGATTCCAACTCAAAAAAGCAAGGTTTGTTATTTTCGGAACAGTAGAACAAAAACAATTCCTAATTCATGACCTTCAATGGATGCAAATGAGGTTTTAAGGATGTCACTCAACAATATCTTTGGCTTTTCAGAGTAACAAGTGGATGCTATACTCGTAAAATAGCCTTGCTTGCGTTCATTGTAAATTCGATTTCAGAACACACGAGCAGTAAAAGGATCGTTAATTTTCATGTGACATTTTTAAAAAACTCATTTACAATAATGCTATCGGGCTCCGATTGAAAAAGCTTAATTCTACGATTTAATGGCATGAAATTTGCTGCAAAATTTCATTTTCTCTTTTGTAGCACTTTTGTCTCTGATCTTTCTTCTTTTTTACGCCTCAACTTAAATCATTGGGAACATTCTTCAACCAGTAAGATGATAAAAGTGCCCATATTGGATCGATTGAGCTTTAGGGACTATCAAGGGTATTGTATTATAGTCATATATCCTTTGAACCAATCTTAGAGAAGCATTATATGAAAAGCTCAATTGTCTTTCTGATTTCCTGCCCATTATGACAGTCTCTTCATTACTATTTTATTCTTCATTGTGGAGGGTTTTATCAGAATCATCGTCATGTTTATGCCGAAATTCCTAATCAGCACATTCAAATTGATGGTCGACATGTAGGCTCCCAATCACAAACTGAGTTTTAGAATTTGACTTTTAATGACTGCATATCTATCCATTGCATCTTAGACTGTTCCCTTGGATATCAAGAATTGAAAATGCTCCTCATGTAAGCCCTCTGGAAAAAGCTCAGAGCTTTGAAAAGATGGTCGCGTACTGGTAGGGTAGCAATCTTACAGCCGCGTATTGAATTCATTTTTTTAAGTCGTATGATTTTTGTTTTCTTATTAAGGAAAAATTATAATTGCGAACAACACATTGTACGTACAAAAGATGATTATCTTTTATGCGTTCATCGCATTCCATCTGTAAAACGGCAAGTCAATGTAGACAAAATCATTAACAAAAGAAGAAACCACTATAAAAACCATACTTCAAGGCTGGAAAAAAATAATATTCAAGTAGTTGATAATCTTGATCAATTCATCCGAGAGTCATTACCCAATACCGATCAGGAATTAGCATTGACCACGCAAACGTATCATTCAGATTCTTCTACTATCTATTCAAATGAGCGCTTCACTGGTTCTGCTACGGATAGAAAGCGGCGTAGTGGAAAGCCGGTTGTGCTACTTTACCATGGCTTTTTAATGTCATCGGAAATTTGGGTGACAAATACAGAAGAGTTCAGTAATTTACCTTTCATTCTCGCTCAGAAAGGTTATGACGTTTGGCTTGGCAATGCAAGAGGCAACAAGTACTCTCAGTATCATGTGTATGAAAACCCACGAAATCAACCTTTTTGGAACTTTTCCCTCAATGAATTCGCTACACGAGATTTACCTGATACCGTGGATGTAAGCTATCCTTCCCGCCCCCCCCCATCTCCCTCCCTATAAAAAACAAAAGAAAAGAAAAAACAAATCAGAGAAATAGGAAAATGGAATGGGATGGTCATATCACTCGCTAACTGTTCTCTTTCTCAAAATGAACCCATATTTACCCACTGGTTTAGTACATTCTAGCAGAAACGGGTGCTGCTAGCTTAACCTATATTGGCTTTTCTCAAGGTACAGCACAGGCCTTTGCAGGGCTTTCTGTCAACTCAGACCTGAACCGAAAAGTCAATCTATTTATCGCTATGGCACCAGCTACCACACCAAAGGGCTTGAGCAACCCACTCATAGATGCTTTTGTTAAAGCGACACCTACCGTGATCTATCTCATCTTTGGTCGAAAAACGCCTTTGAAACTTGCCCTTTTTTGGCAACGTATTTTGTCACCGCCTCTCTTTGTCAAAGTGATTGATGCATCTGTAGGCTTCCTCTTTGGCTGGACAGGTCACAATATGACCATGGACCAGAAAACAGTCAGTTACCAACATTTGTATTCCGTCACCAGTGTAAAGTCCTTGGTGCATTGGTTCCAAATTATCAGATCAGGTCAGTTCCATATGTACGATGAAGTGCCAAGCCGTCTTCCATATCATACTGTCAACACCGTTGCCGACCACATACCTCCTCGCTTCCCTACCTTGCAGATTAAGACGCCTATTGCCATTTTTTATGGTGGTACGGATTCTCTCGTAGATTTCGATGTGTTGGCAGCTGATTTACCATCGCCTTTAGCCTATGTCAAATCAATTCAGAAATGGGAGCATTTGGATTTCTTATGGGGCGATGGAATTGAGTACTTGGTCTATCCTGATATATTGAAACTATTACAAATTTTCAATCCTCGTCTTCCTCCTCCGTCAGAAAATAGTAGTGCGGCTGTACCTTTAATGATAATGGACCAAGAGCAACTACGTATGCAACAACACGAAGATGATGTGAAGCAAGCAAGACAGCAGCAACAGCAACAACGCAATTTCAAGTCTTATCATGAAAGCGCTCCAAGGGATAAGAGGAACAGCGGTAGTCGGTACAGTAGTCTCCTGATGAATGATGATAGCAGTTTAGAATACGCACTGGAAGAAACGCTGATTAAGAATAATGGTAGTAATGTGAGTATTCTCGAAGAATACAAAACATACTTTGACTATAAGCAATGAAATTCAAACTGTCTTTATTCGTATTATAAATCACCTTTGCAGCCATTAGGGAGAGACACATCTATATATTAACGGACTTTATCGCATAACACTGTTATTTATTTGAAATAAAAGTATGGATTGATTTATTTTTTCGCTTACGTATACTAATATGTCTCCAAAGGAATAGTATAGTTATCGTCGCCGTTATTCTACATTTAAACAATAGAAGAAAGTATCGTATATGAAAGCTCTCAACAGCATTTTGACAGAGATAGAGTTGTAGCTTGTGTGTCCTGAGGGTTCTAAATATAAGTTAACGTAGCTCAAGTGATTGTTTGCATCCCAACTGGCAGTTGGTTTACGTGCTTGTCCTCAAGTCTAATACAAGAGAGAGATGGCTGAGGGCAATTCAGCCTTTGAGCATAAAAAGCAAACATTAATATACACCACAAGCAGGTGTTATTACCAGTGATCGACCAGGGAGGGCAAAAAGGATACAGCCAGCCTACCAGCGTTTAACAGTTTGTTGTATAAAAATAACGCGCAAATTCAATAAGTCAAGTATAGCCTCGAATGTATTATATAGCTGAAATGTGATTATAATTTTGACAGAATCTGTCAAATGAAGTAAAAGTTTCCTAAAGGGTTACCTTAAAGGAATTAGTAAATGGATGTGGATCGCTCACGACTACAACGGTAGAAATACTTCGTTTGTGGTACAAACACTTTAATAATAACTCTCCATTTTTTTATTGTTCGAAACCATTGCTCATGAAAAAAAGAAAAAAGATATGTTATAAAGTATGCTAACTATTCACTACAAAGTATGGCAATAAGAAAACCTCCGCAATCGCCAATGAGCGAATAACATTACAAACAAACTGACAGTTCTTGGCTTTCAACAATCACCACATTGCCATTTATGGCTCCAACAATTTCCAAAATTATTTACGTTCTTATCGCAAGACAAAGTGGTAGCACCTTCAGGTCGGCAAGAATAGCCACGGGTACCCAAGCCATTCAAAAACTGATCACGATGGTGTTGGCCTGTGAAGTGGCAAGCATTTTCAATACAGGCATAGTAGCAACGGCCGCCTCGGTCGCTAACAGCAGTACAGGCATCATCACAAGCAAGAACAGCAGAAATGATAGTGGTAGCAAGAAAAGCCAAGCCAACGGAGTATTTGACCATAATTGATAATCTGTAAATTATAGATTATTCCCTACTTAAAAAAAAAAAAAAAAAAAAAGGTGCTCTGTGAAGGAAAACAAAGCCTTTAAATAGATTTTGTCAAAATTAACCAGCAACGCCTTTCGCGCATCTTACAGTAACACTTACTAGAAAAGCGTGATGGGTATGTTATGCATGCGTAGTTAAATTTGGAATAATTTATAGATAAGAAACATACCCTGCAGGGTTTGTAAACACTATAAAGTACGCTGAAGATCATTCAAGGGCACTCATGGTTGGTGCATATCTGTTATAGAACCAAACATCAATAAAAAATTGCTCTATCAAGCTTGTCAACATCAAGAAAGCTTATCCGAAACTCTAAATATTGAAGCTATTAGTAAGTTTAATTGATTTACAGTTGATTGATGATTCTGTTGCATGCATACCTTATCTCTACATGTCGGTAAAGTATAGGTATTTGTATATTAGTAGCTTGTTGTTATTACTTCTTTGTAAAGCTAACATGCCAATCATACTAAATCTACTTCTTAATTAAAGGAGTAACTGAATAGTGCTCATTCATGGTCTGAAGCAGCAAAGGGAAGTTGATACATTTTGGTACAGTATTTGAGCCTTTAAACAAGGAAAATAAGTATTCTATTGTATTTGTATATCTTGTTTCCGGGTGTTTCACCACAAGAACGCTGGATTTTGTCTACGGCTAACTATAGTCAGTTTGAAGTACTCTATATATTTCATACAGTACAGTACATGCGAAAACGCCCATCAGTTGAACCATAGCACGCCTTATATGCTTTTCCCCCTTTGTAAATCAAACTGATAGTCCGATATAAATCCGTTTCTATATTTCGTTCTTCTCTGAAAGACCATTCCGCATTTTCAGGGACACTCACTATAAATATGGGTAGCTCCAACACGAAAACTGGCGTTCAACCAAGAAGTGGCTATCTCAAGGAGATTGCTTTGTTTCCTTAACTATGGATTCAGATTTTCGAGCACGATCCCTATACAATGAAGTAGCATCAGAGATGATATTATTTTTATTGGAGGTCTCTGATTACCCCTTGAATAGCAACCATCTGGGGAGTACTGTCGACTTTCTTCATTATTGACTACAAGTATTCTTGAGAGTATTATCAACAACCTTTGGTATAGTGTTAAAGGATTCTGGTTCAGATTGTTAAACTGAGCATATATAAGGATAAACTCGTAAAATTCCTGATTATATCCATTTAACAGGCTATAGGCTTTATTCGATCCAAACACAATAAGTTTATTATGGTTGGGTATACACTTTAAGCAAGACATATTCATGGAACAATGCTCAAGTCTTGCTAATTTTCACTATTTGTTTTTTTTGGTTCTTTTTTTTTTTTTTTGCCAATTTTGCATAATTTACCTTGCGCGGTAGTAAAGGCGGGGTTCCTTTATTCAAAGCAATTCAACGACAATGTATGTATGCGTATTATTGAAGTAGAAGGAAGATAAGGATACAGAGAGCATTTCATTTTAACAACGATCATCGGCATATCTTATTATTGAATAATTTATGAATACATAGACCATGATTTTTATTTTAAAGATTGTGCAAGCTTGAATATTTACAATATCACAGAAGGGAAGATAAGTAAGCGAAAAAAACCAAACAGATGAAGATAAGTATAAAAGTAATTTGCGTGTAAAAGCAACAGACATTCTTAATGTAGAAAAAAAGTTGAATATGTTCAGACAGATTCAGCTATTTCGTGTAAGAAATGATTATTGTCAGAGTCTTTGTAAATTTCAGGGAATTCGAAATCACTTATATCATTGATGTCAAAGTGAGCAGGAGGCTTCTGAACATTAACAAAATCATAAAGATCCCAGGAATTGAATTCTATAAGGAGAAAAAGATTATTAAGATATGCTAACACTGTCAGGTGCAAATATTGTACAATCCTTACTTTCATCTCCTTTCCCTAAAGAACTAATACTGACAGCATCATCTTCAATATCTTCAACTAAAACAACCTCTGCTTCTGGTTTCTTTTCCACATAAACGAGTTCGATAGGCGCAACATCAAAGTACACATCATCAAAGATGGACAGGTTGAAATCCTCAAGACCCATAGGTGGCTCTGGAAAAGCGACTAAATAATTTGCTCAAGTTAGCGTATACACTGCGGTGAAACGTCAAGTGAGGGAATTATGCAGGAAATACCTGGGAGCTTGGGTGGTGCGTATTCAATGGTAGATTCATCCAGCGGAGGAAGCTGTATTGCCTCAGGTTTTTCGTTAATATAGGAAGAGTGATGATCAATTTCCATGTTCGATTGAAGCTTGCCGCTGCTTCCGCCGTCCTGCTTTTGTTTGTAGTGAACAGGGCCGGTAGCTTCAGGTCGATTGTTGGTATCGGGATATTGAATATCATTGATATCGTACTGAAAGGTTAAATCATCAAATGTGAATGGTTGCTCTATTGTGTCAGTGAATTAGGTAACTTAGAGGATAGCGTAACACTCGTCGATTTTAAGCGGTCAGTGCAGTCTGTAAGCTTACCTTCTTCTTTGTGGCGATGAGTAGGCTCCACAGGTTGTTTACTCTCAGTACTAATGCTTTGTCTTTTAACACACTCATCAGATGAAATAGCTAGGTGTTGAAAAATTTCGTGTTATTCATCATGATTGTTAGCAAAGTTACAAAGTAAAATGCAATGTTTACGCAGCTGAGATGATTGTCTCTTGGCAGGGATGGTCTTTAAACTATCTTCATCAGATTGAACCTCTACATCAAAAAAGAAAATTCTTCAGTATAGGTAGCGTTTTGTAAGAACGGAGAGACTATTTTACTTTGTTTTTCATTATGAATGCTGGTTGCCGGCTTGGGTTTATCATTATGTATGTTAGATAAAGGCGATTCAGCCCTTATGTTGGGAGTTGACGACTTTAACAATTGATTTTTTGTAACGGTCTGAAGAGTAACTTTGTTAGACTCTTCATCGTTTTCATTTCGCTTCATGGACCTTTCAGCCCTAGATCTTGATCGCAGACTTAATCTGGACGACATTTTTACATTGATAACAAGAAAAGGGAGGACAAAAAAAAAAGAAAATGTAAAATCAAGATGATTTCAAAAAGGGCACTGTCACAGTATATACGCGCATGAATGGTGTACGCGGGGAAACTCCGCGCGGAGGAGGCCATACATCATCAACTAACTTCACTACCCATAATCAACCCAAACATTTTATTTAAATATGTTTTCTTTATGAATTGTAGCTCTATAGCAATGTCTATAACGTAGGTAGCGATCAGAAAGGTTTCGGTTTGCTTATAGAGCTGAACCATTTCCTTCATAAAAATATTATTTGTTTTAGTTTGTAATGAAATCAATAACTTTTTTAGTAAAGAAAATATCGTCCATATGCTCATTCGAACTGTTTTCTAATCTTTCAATACATTTGTTTGCGTAGTCTTCTTTTAAGACGCCCTTCTCTTTTCTGACAGTAAGCATGGTATACATTGTATCGTGGCTGAATTCGGGGTGACCTTGACTGGTAATACATTGTCCATTCTTCGATACAGTTATTTGATAAGGTGTATGATCCGTTGTGAAGCCCAGCGGTATAAAACCTTCAGGAAGAATAGACACATGATCTCTATGAAATTGGTAGAGGTTCAAATGATCCTTCTTCGTGTTGAAAAACTTTTGTCCTTCTTCATTTAACATGGTATGGATAAAGCCGGTCTAATACATATTTCAAACGCAGTTTAGAGGTCGTTTTTTGCCCTTACTGAATGAATGAGATATGTTTTCATTATTTGAAGAACTGAATTTACCTCCCAACCAGCTTCATTAGGACCTGTTTTACCGCCTGCAGCCCTTAAAATTATCTGATGACCGAAACAAATACCAACCAACTTGATTTTGTCTGCATATTCCTCACTTAAAAGAGTCTTGATAAAGTCTACTTCCTTCAAAATCCAAGGATCATTACCATGTGCATCTGAGGCAGAACCAGTTAAAATAAGGGCATCATATTTGCCATTTTTGATATCATCTAAACTAGGATACTCTTGCTTGTCCACAACATCGAAATGTTCCCAGGTCACCTTGATTTGCTTATCTTCAGCAGCTTTATCATAAAGATCCCTGAATTGTTGGCGATAATCACCAGCTTTTTCTACAACTTGAGGCAGGGGTGTGTCATTGATAAGTAGTCCTAAACGGAGTTGCGTCTTTGTCATTATATGGTTAGCTATTTTTTCGCAAAAAAGAAGGGGTACGATAAAGTCAAGGAAACCAAAAGAAAAAAATAAAAGGAGGAGAGACACTCTTTTACTGAAAATAAGATTACGCAAAACGGCACAAAGGAGGATTTTTTTTCTTTTTTTTTCTTTGCTATTGATGATGTCAAAAAAGCATTGATTTTCAAGCGCATTGGTCGTTCTGCTACCGTTTGCTGACCAGACATTAAGACGAGTAAAATTTCAAAGATCGCTGCGCTTTTATAAACTTAAAAAAAAAGAATTTTCTACTACACACGCATCTAAGTAAATTTAGTGAGATACTAGATCCAAACATTGTTCTAGAAATGAAGTAGATTTGATAGACTGTGTTTCTTCAACAAATGAATATCTTCAGATCACTAGAACGGTATGACCATTTAAAAACGGCATTGATTTATTATAAGTTGGCATCACCATAGCGGACATTCAACTGATGGGTCTGCGAGATCCAACGAGTCTGGCGCATCTCTTCAAATGGCTTCGGTATTGCTGAATTTACTTTTAATCCTAGAAATGGGGGAACAGAATTGTCCTGGAACAATGCAGTGTCATGGAGATCGTCCTTAGAAACCCGCCTTAAAGATAATTCTAATTTTTATGAATATTTAGCAGACACGCAATGTTGTGCATAGTTTCTTGAATAAAAGAACTGGCTTATTGACGCTTTTTGTGCTTAAAAGATATTTGGGTTTGTGGAGCTGCTTATTGATAGCAGTACATTCGCTCATACAAACTACGTTTAATCATCTGAAACAACAGTAAAGATCATTTTAATATAAACCAATTTATGTTTCAAATATGTCAAAGACATAAGACCGCTCAAATATAGTTATTTCCAATTAAGATGTGATGTGAATTACTGTATAGGTGATTACTGTAGTCGGGTACCAGATCAAAGCAAGTAGAGGTAGTATATTTCAAGTTCCAATGATTATACGTAGTATCTCTTAGCAGTGCCTTGCTTTATTCGAATGTTTTTTTAGGTTTCTTTTTTTTTCCCTTTTTTTCTTTGCATTACAGATAGTATATTTGTATGGTATGGAATAATATAAATGATTTCACGCTTCATTTCTCTAATATCGTCGATAATTAGAATTCTTTCTTCTTTTCATCATAACTCAACCCACCGGGACCGGTACTGACCAACAGTAAGAAGCCACCAACTGTACTTAGTGATTGAAAGAAATCATATCTCAAGAAGTCGCGCTTATAGAAGCTATGTTGAACAGACCAGAAGTTGTTGACAAAGACGTTCAAGATGGACAAAAAGAGGACCAAGAACATAGCAGACCATTTAGCTTTGAAACCCACAGCTACCATAATACAAGCAACGAGACCCAAAAGGGAGACAGTTAAGCGCATCACACTCCAATCACCATGGAAAGCAGAACCGATGAACAAAAAGATCAAGAGGATACGACCAGCCAGTTGCAAATACATTCTACGGTTTGTCTCTGACATTTGAGGAAGAGCTGCAAACATTTGCTTACGTTTTATCATAGTCTCTGAGAGAACCATCATTAAACCACCCATCACAGATAAATTACGTAAGAAGAAAGAGACATCGAAAATCAAACCATAACCGAATGCTTGAGCAATGATAACACCCATAAGACCATAAATAGCATAAGTTTGGCGTTTTTTCACAACAACGCAGAATGAAGCTGCCAACATGACCTGCAATACAAACATTAACCAATATTAGTGATAAATTGAACATCATGAAATGCACCCAAAATAAAGCACGTAAGACAGCAAAAATTTCAAAATTCTACTCCTCCCACCTTCTCTCCTAACTTATTGCCGCAATACTTGCCGTATCTTCAGACGCGTTTTCATAACCCCTTTCTCTAAAATCTTTCCCTCGCCTTTATCCTTCCCATACTTACAATGACATTTAATCCAAGGAACAGATGACTTAAACCCCAAGGGAAATGACGGGAATCTTCCATGAATGAGAGCTGATCTCTCCACTGAGTCATAATACGTAAAGAGTCTTCAATGAATGTAGCCACAATCAATAACCTTGAGATAGCTGGGATGTACGGTTTTAAAGGCTGGCCCACTTTGTCAAGTACATCTTCAATCTTGTTACTGTAGGATTCCATTTGCTCTTTAAGGCTAGACATTATATATTACACTTTCTTAACTTTATACACGTTGAGTGGATGATATGCGTATGAATCTGTATTGATGTATAGATTAAAAAAAAGAAGAAAAAAGAAAGTGTATCTTAAAAGAAAAAAAGGCTACGTGAAAGTGTTTGCGTTGTGTTGATTAAAAAAAAAAAAAAAAAAAAAAAAGCAAATTGGCTGTTCTCTGGTCTGTTTGTCCCCTTCTCAAGTTTTCTATAGCCGCAAAAGCAAAGATATTTCGCCATTCAAATTAGAACAGCCAATGAATCTTTAACACACAAAACACAACAAGAAACAAAGGAAAAAAATTTTCAAAGTTTCGTGCTAAAAAAAGCTGTCTGTGATTGGGGAAAGTCAACAACACTATTCATACTTTCATCAAACCCTGCCTCCTCAGTGTCGATGTTGTTTGTTAGATTTTAACAATACAAGGGCTCAAAAATTCAAGATGCATCCATAGTCCGTACGGAGTCTGTTGTGTGTTCTTCCGTTAAGCTCAAAAGTCGGGACTAACTGTCCGAATCAAATTGCACGCAAGCTAGTGCTTCACCTCCTTTCATCCAATTCATGCGGACACGACTAATCTGTGTAACAATTTAGAATGAAGAGGAATAACATATGCAATTCGTGAACTATGTTTGTCTGCTATTCCACGGCAACCTGGTTTCCACAATACAGAGTCGCAATTATAGCTGATGCATAACGATTAAGTGAATGATTTTATTAGGCCCGCAAAAATAAGTGTTATGCAGATTAAATACCGACAAAATGATTGGGCAATAGCAACTACTCTACGCTATTCATCCTTTATCTAAGCAATAATCAAAGTCTGACCAGCTGTCCAAGTTTGACCAGGAGCTAAGCTTACCCAATCAGCAACACTGCCAGCTTCGACACAAATCATGTTCTTGTATTCTTCATCATCAAAATCACCCATTCCTTTGGCCTTTTCAACCCAAGGGTTCCAAACAACTAATCATTGTGAAACAAATACGAAGTAAGGTATCAAGATTTTTTCAGCATTATTTTCAATCGTTGCGCCTACCTGTATCCTTCAAATTGGATTTTACAATTTGAATAGCAGAGCCATTACCGGCATTCAATTTAATCTTATCAGGAACATCCTTGTAAACGCTATCAACTTCACCGCCAATCGTAACCTTTTCATTCTTTTCTGTAAGTACAGCTGCATTCTGGACTTTATCTATGTATTCACAGGATGTCAATCCTTCAACACTGGCTTCGGTACAGTCCTATAAGACAGCGTCAGTATATCCATACCTACACTTTTTCTTCCTCGATAATACACATGCTTAAAACTTACAGGTACTCTAAAGTAAGTGTGGAGTAAAGTGTTGAATTCAAAACTTTCTTTATCTTCGTTCTTCAGCTCACAGAAAGTTTGGAGAGACTTGCTCGTCAATGTGACAACGTATATCAAATGGAATGAGTGGGGCCATGCGTTTCTAGCTTCTTCAGGAATTTGATTGTTGTTCAAGCCAAAACGAACAGTAACTTCGTCATTATTATCGGTGCTAATACCGAGGTACTCCCAATAGTTGTTACGAGCAAAACCGTGTTGAGGAAGAGCAATTTGCTCTTTGGTGCCGAAGATAGGGAAACAAAGAGGAATACCACCACGGATGGCTTTGCTTCCATCGCGCTTAGCAAGCTTACTATAAAACCATAGAGCAGATCATGGTTAAGCAACGCCTACTACTACTACAACAAGTACAAACCATTTGGTTGTCCTTTTAAGGGCTTGAATATTTACCTTACAAAAAGTCGCTCAATGCCGTCCACAACCCAACTGGTAACAGTGGCACCTGTGAAAAAGAGACAAGTGAAATATTACTATGTATGTACTCCTAACTAGACATTCTTCATTCAAAGCGCAATCAATACCGTAAAGCGCAACTTCGGCCTTTGATCCAGATGGGTGCTCAAGAAGAATGACTTTGTTAGATTCGCGTGCAGGCATTAGTGATTGTGAAGGGCAACAAAAAGTTAGAAAAAGTGAAATAAGAAGCTCTGGGATAACTCGGAAAACTGTGATACTTTTTCATTTAATGCGGGAAAATCAATCACAGCGGATTACCCTCCCGCTCCCGGAAGTAAAATTTTCTTAGCTGGAAATTGAAGTGTTTGAATTACAACAAACTATATTTTTATTGTAGCTATTCCGTTTTTAATCGTGCTTATCTCCTTTACTTTGTCCTTCTTCTAGCAAATCTTCTTCATCGCCGACTGGAGCCATATGTCGTTTCGTCAAGTTTTCTTCTTCAGTAACAGCAGTACCCGGTGCATGATTGCGTTGAACGACCAAATCTGTTTCACCATTCGGCAGTTTATCGACCGTCACTTTAGCGGTTTCACCTGAGCGAACACCACCGTCGATCAAAAGTCGTGCGAGAGGGTTCAAGAGTTTCTTTTGAATCAAGCGGTTAAGCGGTCTTGCGCCATACGCAGGTTCATATCCTCGTTCACCTAGCCAATCCTTGGCTTCAGGATCCACATCAATTTTAATACGTCTATCTGCTGTTCTGTCTTCTATTTCCTTAAGTCGAACATCTACAATGTCTCTTAAAGCTTCCTTGGAAAGTCGGTTGAATATTACCATTTCATCAATTCTGTTGACAAATTCAGGAGCAAAACTGCGGCGAACAGCGTCTAACACATTTTCTTTTGCACGAATGCTAACAACTCTTCCATCATTAGAGTCGTTAACCAGTGATTCAGCACCCAAGTTCGATGTCATAATAATGATGGTATTACGGAAATCGATTTTTCGTCCTTTTGAGTCTGTCAGCACACCATCATCTAAAACTTGCAACAGAATATTAGATACATCACGATGAGCCTTTTCCATTTCATCCAGCAATACCACCGCATAAGGCCGACGACGAACTGCTTCAGTAAGCTCGCCACCTTCTTCATGTCCAACATAACCAGGTGGAGAGCCGATCAAACGGCTCACACTGAACTTCTCCATGTATTCGGACATATCGACACGCACAATGGCACTTTCAGTGTCGAATAAAAATTGAGCAATTGATTTACACAGTTCCGTTTTACCAACACCTGTGGGACCCAAGAATAAGAAAGAGGCAATGGGCTTACTAGGATTTTGCAGACCAGCACGACTCAAACGAACAGCTTCCGAAACAGCTGTAATTGCTTCCTGCTGACCCACTACACGTTTGGATAATACATCTTCCATATGCAGTAATTTTTCTCTTTCACCCTTCATTAGATTACGTACAGGAATGCCGGTCATATGGGAAATGACACGGGCAATATCATTTGAGGTTACTCTTTCATGGATGAAGGACTCTTCAGCATTCTCTTCTTCTTGGGCTGTATCAGTAGGCAATTGCTTTTCAAGGTCGGGAATAACACCATATCGTAATTCACTGGCACGTTGATAGTTGCCCGACCGTTGAGCCATTTCCAGTTGGACGCGAGCCTTTTCCAAATCTTCCTTTATCTTTTTTATTTCGTCCAATTTAGTGCGTTCCTTTTGCCACACTTCATTTAGTCTTTCGCTTTCTTTTTGTTTGTCTTCTAATTCTCCCTGTAATTTGTTACGGCGCTCTACAGACATAACATCCGTTTCCTTTCGCAAACTTTCGAGTTCTATCTGCAGTGTCATGATTTGTCGATCTAAGTTCTCTAGCTGCTCTGGCTTGCTTTCTTGTTGAAGGCGTAGCTTGGAACACGCTTCATCAATCAAGTCGATGGCTTTATCTGGTAAAAATCGATCTGTGATATAGCGATGAGAGTGGAGTACAGCTGCGACAATGGCAGCATCTGAAATACGGACACCGTGATGAACTTCATAGCGCTCTTTCAGTCCACGTAATATGGAAATGGTATCTTGAACAGTAGGCTCTGCAATCATGACTTGTTGGAAACGACGTGCTAATGCTGGATCTTGCATGATGTATTTTCTATACTCATCAATGGTAGTGGCACCAATGCATCTTAATTGGCCACGAGCTAAAGCAGGCTAGACCCGTAAAATATCAACAATAAGATTTACGTGAGACATCAATTACATTCTAACACAAAGCCAAAAAAAAAAGGAGAAGAGAAGCATATCATATTATCTTGGAGCTGTACCTTCAATAAATTACTAGCATCCATGGCTCCTTCGGATTTACCTAATCCTAATAGTGTATGGATTTCGTCGACAAACAGAATAACGTTTCCTTCTGATTCTGACACTTCCTTCAAAACACCTTTCAAACGGTCTTCAAATTCACCACTACAAATGTACAGATTGTGTAGAGAATTAGTAAGTCATGTTTAACAGCACGTTAAAAACATTCTATGCAGTTTTATCATTTGTTACCGATATTTAGCACCGGCAACTAAAGCCTACATGATCAAAAAGTAGAAAATGCGGATTCAGTTAGTACCGCCGTAGGCTACTCCTCAATACATGAAAGTGAACCATTACTTACACCCAGGTCAAGAGCAATGACGCGTTTTCCCTGTATTGATTCCGGCACTTCATTGGCAACTATACGTTGAGCAAGCCCCTACAACGAAATCCTTATGTTCTAATTACGGTTATCTAGTTTGACAAAACGAAACACTTACTTCGGCTATAGCCGTCTTTCCGACTCTATAGAACAATTATGGGTTAATGCTCTAATAATATTGACTGCTACAATTCACTGCTAACGCCCTCGGTATAAATGAAATGGACGAGTAGCGTGTTCAGCGCTCATGCTGTATGTAAGATTTTGCTGAAACACTTTACTCCGACGGACGCAGCGAAGGTTTTTTTACTATCCAATAATTGCATCATTCCCGATATTTTACCCTGCTTCACCAATTAACACTGGATTATTTTTGGTACGCCGAGCCAAACTATTTGGCATGCATGTATGTGAAAAGGCGATTCTACGATAATTTGCATTCAATATTACAACACGACTTACACTATTCAAAGGGCTTAGTCTTTCGCTGATAATCTCCAGTCTTAGAAAATATTGCCACTTACCCTCAAGAGTACGTCTAATCTCTTCGTCTCTACCGATAACAGGATCTAAAGACTTGCATGAATACTCGACGAAAGCAACTATAACGACCGTAAGAGTTTGCTGTAACTTACCTAGCTTGCCTTTTACTGCCATAGCTGTAAGGTCAATTCCCTATTTTACATTCTCGTTAGCTTTTCTATCCAAGGTATACGATAAAACTTGTACATACAAATTGTTCAAGGGGTTTTTGTTGCTCTTGCTCTTGGTTAGGATTCAAGCGAAAACCTTGTTGTCCAGGTGTTCCACCTAAGCGTAAGAAGTTATCAAATTGAATAAATACAAGAAAACTGAATAAGCAAATACTATAGCATATTTGACGTTATACCATTGTAAAACCTCCTTGATAATTGGAAAAGCCCTAGTTTTGACATTAGCTCTTGTTTTGCCGAATACGCGGTAGTATAAAAAGTGAGAGCTCTGACATGAGAAACAGCACTGCTTTTGCTGCTTAACGTTGCTATAGAAGCTTGGCGGCAAGCTATTAATCTTCCAAAGGCGTTTCGTGGCGTTTTTTTCGTTACAGTTTGAGACAGTCGAAGCATGACGAGAGTTGTAAAGTTGGAAAAAAGCTTTTTGAGCTTTAAAGCAATGCCATCAAAATTTATGCCTGCTGTCTGATTTGTAAATTTCCTTATCCGACTCATCTGCACCCATTGGCTCGAGACGTGTGCTTGTCATTAAACAATCGCAACTCTTCGCAGACATACGCAGAACTTCCGAGCGAGTTTATATGAGCCATTGTTGTAAATATCGATAAATGAATAGTAACGACCCGATTCCTATGTATTCATGCTTTTTCATTTATAGTGAGTAAAGAAAAGATCCAAAGTGTTTTTGCACAATTAAGATCAGGTGACAGTAATGAAGTAAGTCTTGCCTGACGAAAGATCTGTTTTGAAACATAGAAATGCAGTCAGATCTAACTGTAACTATTGTAACGAATGCTAGGCTTCTTCTACTGTAAAGGAAGCCGACGAGAATATCATCAGTGAACTCGAACAAATATTTCTCACCCCTCAGCAACACTTCCCTGAAACTTGGTTAAACAAATGTCAACAGTAAGAATGAAGCTTGAAAGAAACCAATACGACCACTCGGCAGACTTATTGACTTTTTTTCTATAGACACTGGGAAGAAAACTTAGACTACACATTAAACGCATACACGCAGTTATCTAAACCTCGAACCAGTATTGAAGTGGTTCGTAAAGGTTTTGATGGTGATATTATAGGATTAAGAGAAGTAATTATTGATGATCCCAACTCAACTTCAGCAAACTCAACTAGTCTATCCAGAGCGTTTGGTTCAGCAAAAAACTTTGTTCGCGGTACAGCTTCTCAATTTCCATTTGCCCCAGGTGGATTGGAAAACGAAGGTGTTATTGTAGATAATCAGTCAGTGGATGATAGTGAAAATGTTGTACTTGATGCAGATTTCTCTCTTTCTGCATCTGAAGGTAGAAATATAGTAAAAGAGAAAGCAAGCTTTTTATTGCGGGATGATCATTTTTGAGCTTGATCTGACTATGTCACCTTTTAGATCTATATGTTGTACCCCCAGGAATGGATAGGGGATTAGTATTTGACGATTATGAGGAACGGAAGGAAGAAACAGCAGTAACGAACAATCCGGTTTTTAATATTGAAGAAATGATGACAGCGAGTGATAATACTGCTTACGATTTTTTGAGCGTTAAAATCGCAGAGGAAACACCCAATGCTTCAGGGACTGAAAATGTTGGAAGCGATAAAGGTAAAGGAGAAGAATTATACCAATTTTGCCCAAGTGTTCAATAGGAATTTGAATAACATATCTTAACCTTTCTTCATCCTTAGGCACAGCGGCTAAAGACGAGGAATTGGATAGCCTATTACCAACGGCTTTACCACCTCAAAAAGAGCTCACATCCAAAAAATTGACAAAAACAGCTAACGAAAATATCAAGCGGCGTGAATGGGCTCACGAAATTAACGTCAATGAGCCTTTCGATAATTTCCATGATTTGGTATCCGAGATGGCCATGCAGGTAACAATAATAATAAAAAGATGGAAGAAGGAGGAATTTATTGGTAAGCAGTGAAGGTAGAACTCAAAGATTTCATTCTTAGTTTCCCTTCGAGCTCGATATATTCCAAAAACGTGCTATTTATCATTTGGAAATGGGAGACTCTGTTTTTATTGCAGCACATACATCAGCCGGAAAAACTGTAGTTGCTGATTACGCCATTGCATTAGCTACCAAACATATGACAAAGGCTATTTACACCTCACCCATAAAAGCGCTCAGTAATCAAAAATTCCGTGATTTTAAACGTACTTTTGGAGAAGATGTCGGTATTTTAACAGGCGATGTTCAAATTAGACCTGAAGCGAGTTGCTTGGTAATGACGACAGAAATTCTGCGTAGCATGCTTTATAGAGGCGCTGATTTGATCCGTGATGTTGAATTTGTTATTTTTGATGAAGTTCATTATGTTAATGATTTGGAGGTAAAAATGAAAAGAAAAAGTTTGCGAATATTTATAGAGGTCTTTCTGAATTCTATCTCCTTCACTTGCTAGAGAGGTGTTGTTTGGGAAGAAGTCATCATTATGCTACCTGCACACGTCAATATTATCCTCTTGTCTGCAACTGTACCGAATACACACGAATTTGCTGGTTGGGTTGGGTAAATATAGTAAACAAACTATGCTGTGCCTTTTGGATGTGCTGAACTTAGTATCGCCCCGATTAGTCGTACCAAGAAGAAAGATATTTATGTTATCAGTACTCTGAAGAGACCCGTTCCTCTCGAACATTATATATACGCCAATAAGGATATATATAAAATTGTTGGAGCGAATGAGAATAAGCTGAGTATGATAAAGTAAGTGAGTAATGGATTTCTAAGGTGAGTCAAATTTAATAACCATTTCCATTTCTGATTTAGCTATAACAAAGCCAAAGATGCCATGTTGAAGCGTAAAGAACAGATCGATAAAGCTAAAGGATCTTCCCCGAACGTTCGTGGTGGTCGCGGAGGCAGAGGAGGTGTCGCTCGTGGTGGTCAGAAAAGTATTACTCGTAGCTACCAGCAATCATTTCAAAGTGTAAATATGTTTCTTTCTTCTCGGAAAATACTGCTTTATGCTAATAATTTAAAAATTTGCCATTTTGCACGAACGCATTAGGACCGCAATCTCTTTGTCCATTTGATTGGTATGCTGAAGACAAAGAACCTATTACCTGTTGTAATATTTACATTTTCTAAAAAACGTTGCGAAGAATTCGCTACTGGCCTATCCAAGACTGACCTCTGTTCAAGCTTGGAAAAGAGTGAAATCCATGTCTTTATCGAACGCAGCTTGACCCGTCTTCGTGGGTCTGACAAACAACTACCTCAAATTTTAAGAATGCGTGATCTTTTGAGCCGTGGTATCGCTGTGCACCACGGTGGTTTATTACCTATCATTAAAGAAATGGTGGAAATTTTGTTTGCTCGCGGTTTAGTCAAGGTTTTATTTGCTACCGAAACCTTTGCTATGGGTGTAAACATGCCTGCACGTTGCGTTGTCTTTTCAGCCATTCGTAAGCATGATGGTCGTAATTTCCGGGATTTGTTGCCTGGTGAATATACGCAAATGTCGGGTCGTGCTGGCCGTCGTGGTTTAGACAGCACAGGGGTTGTTATTATCGCCACAGGGACTGAGGAACCACCTGAAGTTTCTTGTTTGTCTACCATGATTCTTGGAAAGCCCACCAAATTGGAATCTCAGTTTAGACTCACCTACAATATGATTCTGAATCTGCTTCGTGTAGAAGCATTAAAAGTAGAAGAGATGATCAAGCGTAGTTTTTCTGAAAACAGTGCTCAGAAGCTTTTACCAGAAACGAAACGGTTAGTAGATGAAAACGAACAGAAACGCAGTGCTCTCCGTCAATTAGATTGCTCAATCTGTGAAGTCGATATTGATAAATTCTACGATGTATGTGCAGAGATATTGCATATTAATCGAGCTATGATGACTCATTATATAAGTGTGACACCAGTTGGTAATCGTATATTGTCTACCGGCCGTTTCATCGTGATCAACACGAATATCTACAGAAATGCGCCTGCAGTGATTTTGCGACCTTTGCCAGTTACTTCTTCCAATTCACAGCATAGATCTTTTTATTGCTTGGTATTGTTGCCAAAAGAGTTGGATATAAATAGCTCAGCTAACCTGGATGAGTCAACACCTTTACCATTAACTACCGTTTGTAGTCCTGGCAGTGGGGAAGGCAAAACAGAAATTGTTACCATTGGTGCTCCCGATATATTATTTGTTAGTCGCTTAACTATAAAAATTGATGCCGATCCCATTATAGCCGGTACTGCTGAATCAATTGAAATTATACGTATACAACAAGAATTGGAAAAGTTTGGATCAGAAGCCAAACATAGCGGGATAGTACCTGAATACGACTGGAACAAAATTAAGGATATCGAATTTCAGGAAATGCTGCGTTCCAAAACGAGGCTTTTAAAGCAACTTATAGGGGAATTCCAATGTACTAAATGTCCAGAGTTGGATGAACATGTAAGTTGATGACTCTTAAAGCAATTTGAGCATCTCACTTATTCGATTTCGCTTTTGTAGTATAGCCTAATTCATGCCCATAAAAAGCTATCCAGCCAAATTGAAATGCTGAAAATGACCATTTCCGATCAAAACCTTGAGCTTCTTCCCGATTATCATCAACGAGTAGAAGTGCTGCGCCAATTGAACTATATCGATAACCAAGGAACCGTACAACTGAAAGGGCGGGTTGCTTGTGAGATCAACTCAGCGGATGAACTTTTATTAACAGAATTGATATTAGATAACGTGTTTGTGGACTATGAACCGGCAGAGCTTGTTGCTATACTCTCTTGCTTCGTGTTTCAAGAACGCAATGCTAGTGAGCCTCGTCTCACCCCTAAATTGATGAAGGCCAAGGAAACAGTTCTGGCCTATGCAAAAAAGATCGCAGAGCTGCAAGTAGAATGTGGCCTTCCTATTTCTGTGGAAGACTATGTCAGTAGTTTCAAATTTGACTTGGTTGAAGTAGTATATGAATGGGCCAGAGGTTTGGTAAAGACATTTTCATATATAATAATGCTTGCCTCCTGCGAGATCTATATTGATAACCTTTTTCTTATTATGTATTTACCGCACTTCTCTTTAGTCATTTAAACATATCACGGATTTGACCGATGTGCTGGAAGGCTCCATTGTCCGTTGTATAAGTCGGTTGGATGAAACATGCCGTGAGGTAATGGGTGCAGCTCGTATGGTTGGCGACACTAGTCTTTATAAAAAGGTGGAACAGGCAGAGCAAGACATTAAGCGTGATATTGTCTTCGCTGCAAGTTTGGTAAGTGATGCTTTTTCTATGCGTTTTTGCCAGTTTCTAATTTCTAATTTTCTTTTTGGGTAGTATTTTTAATTCCTCGACTTCAATTGACAACTACCAAAGTACTATTTTGAAAGTAATCCGCTCTTTATTACTACAACAAAAAAAAAAACACCTTTGGTAATATGTTAATTTAAATGTGTAATTCTTATAACGATACCTGTTATGAAGTCAATAGTGATGCTCAACGTAGAATGAGAGAGACGAAAGAAAATTGATGAGGATTAAAAGGAAAGCTTCTTTTTTCCGTCTTGAACCCAATATCTTGATAGAACAATTCGAGACTATGTAGCTGGCTTATATATCACGCCTTCTCTTTGTTGAATATCATTGTGTTGATTGAGGATAAGATAAAGGCTGGTATGAGAAGAAACTTTTTCACGAAAGCTGATGCTACTATAATCAAAAAAAAATGTTGAAGTTAATAAGTTGTCTAGTCTTGAAGATTGCTGGAATTTCACTAGATATCTTGCATCCTTTTTTATAAGACGCTTAGGAGAGTGAAACTATGCTTGTGAACCTTTTCTTGCTACAAAGTTATCTGCGAATCCGCTAAATAACGACTTACGTCAAAAACACACAGAACTTATGCGCTGCAATTGTACGATCCGTTATATAGGAAGTTTCCGTCGAAAGACAGAAAAACTTTATCGCCAATCAATTGAATAAGTCCATATTTAAAGTAGACGGAGATCCAATAAAGTATTAATACATGGTCAAGCTTTAAAACAGACAGATGAAGAGTGTATTTATTCAGGGCAGCTTCTATAGCCATTTGTGGGCGTTTTAACGTAGAAGTTTTTACCATTTTCAAGATTGAAAAGCGATGAATATTCAAATTTCATCTAGAACGCAGATACCTTTTAGTAGCCTGGAACCTGACTAGGTCGGCTTAGATGAAATTGCTAAGGACAGCATAATTTTAAAAACGCTCACATCACACTACCACAGAATTTCGTACTGTATAATTAAAGATCACCGAGGAGTTTTGTAATTTTGGATTTACTGAGTCAAACAAATGGATGCAAACACGCAAAACGTATTCCAATGCTGCAAAAAATTGCTACGCTCCTGGGAGGTGCTGTATTCACAAATACCAATGAGTGTAACTATTCAAACTCTTTGCTTCTTTTAGCCACTTCAATATAAACCGCTTTTGTGAAAGCAGAAGGCTGCCCCTGGTGACATAAGCGAACTTACAGCATCGTTTTGCTGTAACTATATTTTACAACTATCTGGGAACAGTTGGCGAAGCCTGTATTTAGAACATTGTGAGGAGATGGCTGAGGTTACCTTCCTTTCTTCAAAATAGGCGTATAGTTGTAAGATTTTTCTCCATCCTTTCTCCTTTCCAACTCTATTTTGTTGCCTTTGGGCTTGTTAATCTGCGTCCCTAGGCATTGTTCGGGTTGTCTGCTGCGTTTCATTTTCTTGCCAAAAACCAGGTAGATTAAAAGATGTGCTTGGTTTTTCATCAAGCGCACGGGAATATTTTGTCGTTTTCACAAAACAACCTAACGCAAGTATAGGTTACTCTACAGAATTGTTGGCTAAAATACAGATTGGGGGTTTTTTTTTTGATTTAATTCACGTAAAATACGTTTAAAGAAATCTTTTATTACAATATTTAAAACCCAATGAACACCAAAAATTGCCCGGGGCAGATCCTAAAGTTTCTATAGTATAGACTATATATTGCTAAAAACCCCTTCGGGAACAAGGGTAAAAAGGATTTAATCAATTGTTGTTGTGTGTGAGGGCTGGGTCAACCATTGTAATAGGGCGTAGCCTAGTGAGGGGTCTGGTGGAGGTGGATTCAGTCCATGAAACAAATGATCGAGTTCATAAAGAATGTGGCAAATGGCCGGCCAACGGACGGTCCATGATTGGCGAGTGACGGCTGATCGAGGGGGACGAGTGGGAAGTTGATTCAAAAGATTAGACAATGGATCTAGAATTGATATTGGCATCATTAGACGTTGGTGCATCTGTAAGCATTGTATGGCATGTTGTTTTGTCATGATGGTGGTGGGATGATGGAAGCAGAAGTTGGAATGACCACCAGGTAGCCATCCAAGACGCCATCGGATGCAGCGGCTACGCTCTTCGCTAGTCATCGGAAGCCAGAGTATAGGGTCTAAGCTGATGGTTGTCCGACACGCAGAGAGTAACTTTGAGTTCTGGTGTGGTTGTTGCAGTTCATGTAGGGTTTCGGTTCGAAACTCACGAATGCATTTGTTAAGGACTTTATGATCAATAGACTGTTGTTGTTGAGCTCGGTTCCAAATAGGAGAGCGGCTTAGACGAAAATAGGTTGATTTGCTGGATGGATCTTGGATGTAGGGGTGCAGTAAGGTTAGTAGAGCATCATTTGGTAAGTAGTGAGAACGAAGTATGTATTTAGCTTGGAGAATCGCACAGCGTTCTTTCATGGATGGTAGATCAGCCATGTGGAGCATTACTTTTACAGATGAACGGGACGAACCACCAAAGATCCTTCGAATACAGGTATTTTGGGCCTTCTCTAGTCTGAGGATGTTGGCGGAGGTGAAAGGACATATAGCTGCACCATACTCTAGTTGAGGCCGGATCATTTGAGCATAAAATCGAAGAGCCAAGAGTTTCTCAAAACCATGGTTATTTAAGCCAATAGAGCTGAGGATATTCATCGTAGCCAATGCTTTCGTGGTATTGATACGGATTAGTTCGTTGGGATCCACATAGCCACCCGGGCGGAAAGGAACACCAAGGTAGGGAAATGAGTTAACTGACTTTAAGGGGGATTCATAAAGGCTATAGGTCATAGTTTTCATCCCCATCCGTCATTAGTAAAGCCCACAACATTATTTCTTTTGAGTCTGTCTTCCTCGCAGCACCTGCGAGAAGCGGCTGCTTTCGACTAATTACTTATCATAGAACTTGCCTTTCCTCTCCATGTTCCCACCCCTCAGCGATGTGTGACTAATTTATTATTTTTAAATAAAAAAAAAAAAAAAAACGTCAATTAACTACTGTCTGATGAATAAATGCTTCAATAGGTTTTTGTAAAGACTATCGTAACAGGATTCAATATAAACATATAAGGTCCAGACTGAAAGTTTAACAATGACTGATACACCAGTGCAGTTTAAAAACCGTGTATCCGCATCGATAAATTTGTTTTGGGTCAAAATTTTTATTTGAACAATAAATGCAGGGCGTTTAGTCAGCAACTTAGTAAAAAAAGACAGAAAAAAAAATAAGAGGGGAGGCGTTAATTGTCTCTTATTACTGATCCAATGGAAGGACCATTGAAAGAAATCAAACCAATATTTTCCTTTATGAGCTGCTTTTGAATCAGTTGGTTATCAAGGCAAGCATCCTAAAAGCAAATAAAAATAGGTGAATTCCACACAAAGCAATCTAACATTTCTAGAATACATACATAAAGTGTGGCTAAAAGCTCCATATATTGTACTAGACCGACTCTATCACTCCAAGCTGTTGGCAATTTCGCTGTCCTTAATTCAATACATTTCCAATGTGTTGAATCATCTAGGGAGATTTCTGATAGTGTTACTTGCGACTTAATGACATGAACGCCAAAAACCTTTAGCTTCATAAACGTCGACAAGGATGCATCATTGTAATGGGATGCTTCTTTTCTTAATGATGATATACCACATTCCAATATCTTTAGAGTGTCTTCAATTGAATGCGTGGTATTTTCTTTGAGCTGACCGCTAAATGAATGGGTTATAACCTGTTCATCTTAAATAATGGATTAAATGTATTACCTGGACGCCTCTACAATGATAAGCTCCATGTTATTTTGCGTCGTTAATGTACCAAGGGCATCAATATATTTGCTAGGGGCTGATCGAAGGTCGTAATCGTTTGCTTTTTGCTTCAGCACTCTCGAAGACGTAAATTCTGACTCGCACCTAAAGAAGCAATAGTTTAGTACTTTTTTACCTTTTTATTTATTTTTTTTATTTACCATTTGAACTCAATGAAATCAAGTGCTTTCCCCAGTGCTAATAATGATGGAATAATATTCTCAACGAAGTGCGTCCTTTCATGGTTTGAGATATTGATTGCGGTTGATCTGCAAACAAGGTGGAAAGATGTTAAAGAATACTTTACTATATTGAAGAAAGTCTCTTTGTGGTTGTCTTGTATCCCGCTAAACTTTGTCGCCCACATTTCTTCAAGAAATGAGTGGTAGCTGGTTTCACTATCTAACAATCCAACGATATCTTCGAATACACCAATTGATTTGAGTGAAGAGTTTTCTTTTGCTCATTTTTGTATTGATTGTACAGAGTCTTTGCCGTTGAGTTACTCTGGGAAAATGAAGTTCCAAAGTGGATGAACTGACTTAACGCCTCGGTTTGAAGTTTTCGCAACTTTGGTTTATGAGGACGTTCGACTGGTGCAGAGGGTGGGTTGATATTAAACATTGATGAGCCCTCAGCTACATCTGTTTCGGACTTTTAAGAAAATATAAAGAAAATCAGTAAATTTAAGTAATTGACTGTAAGATAACAGAATGCCAGTGTAGTATAGATACCTGATTCGTTATTTCAGTAAGAGCACGTCGTTTAGTGTTCTTAGAACAGTCGAGTTGACTCATAGTGATATTATTAACACCAGCAATATTAACTTGCTCGTTCTGAGATATGTTGTTGACATTGACTGTTGGATGCTCCTCAGTCTCAATCTCTTGAGGCTCTCTTTCAATGACTCCTAAACATCTTAATTGCAAAAGTTTCTAAGTGTAGAACAAAGGTTAGTTGTCTTTTTGATGAAGAATTGTGTTTAGCTCTTACTTACATCAACTTGTAGCACGGCCTTCAAAACGTATCTGTTCAAGCTTTGTTGAGTTTTTCCTATTGTTTTCAAATCACTTTTCATTTTCAATAGAAGTTGATTTGGGCTCATATCAATTGCGCTGTCGTCTTGGTCATATTGTATAATAGCTTCAATGATGTCCCATTCTTTTGCAGAGGTTCGGAAAAAGTAATTAATAGACATTTTGTTGTTATGGTAAAAAGCAAATGGTTGCTTTTTTCTTGACATTTTTACCAGGCTTAATAATAGCCACGCGTCCAGTATAGGGAGGTGACGCTCAGAATAGGCCTGCATGATATTACCCCAGGAGATTTGGTCCAAAAATAGTATATCCCAAGTTGTTGGATCGGTCAAGAAGAATGAATAAAACAAATTAGAAATAAGCACTGTCAAGTCTGCGAAAACTCAGTGAGGTTCTTGTTTATTACTCAATAATTAGATGAAGAACAGATAATGTGTATAGATGTAAGCTGGATCTGTATCTTTTACGCGATGGGTGTATAGACTTATTCACCATGAAGATTAATGGATTTTGTAACTTGAGTTAGTAATCAGGAGAACTAGCCAATGAACACCAGCGAGAGAAACACCAAAAGAGAAAAGCGGAACCGTGTAACTCAACTCTTAATTAGTCGAAATTAGTAACTGCTGTCAATATGAACATTACCTTACTATAGGGCAATGAGTGGTTGAGAATAAACTGGTTTCCTGAATGATATTCATAGCGTATATTATAGGAGCCAGTTGAGAGAGAGGTTATAATCAATATGTTATTGAATAATTACTATAATGATAAGGTAAGATTACAAGTGTACAATAAAGTGATTACCTAATCTGATATTCCTCCTCTGAACTATAATAAGCACAGTCCTGAATATTACGATACATGCGGTATAGTAAAATGAATACATCTTAATTTATAAGGCAACGCATGTAGACGACCACAGAAACTGGATAAAATATCTTAACTATCAGTGCAAATTATAGACTGAAGCACTAATAGATAATGCCCGTGTGGTAACCTGCTATTCAGTTACATAAATGAATAGTTGGAGTGTACATCTGTTTTGCGCTCAGCAATGATCTTCTTCGATGTAACACAAGTTCATTTAAAATCAAGAAGGTTATTTTTGAGAAAAACTTACAAGCTTCCAAATAGGCCCTTAAAGTGATCATCGATGAGGTTTGCGCCGGAGTACAGTCAAAAACGTACATCTACAAACATCTACTAAACCTTACCAATAGCTTGGAAACTATTAATAGAAAAAGCCACTACATTCGTTAATAACACCAAGCAACTTATACCGTATACAATACCAAAATATCGATTGGAACTAAGTGAAATAATGCAAATAATAATTATTGAGCCGTACAACAACATAACGTAAATGCTCAGAATTGTTCCCTTTTCCAAAATATTAAAAAGTAGTTGTATTCTACGCATTCGTGCCGCGTGAACACATATTAATTAAATAGTTCAAATCAAGAGCTGGACGGAGCTGGGATTAGCAACCGCTCATTGTACTTACACTCCTTCAACAACAAGCCATTCAAGAATTGACAATCGCTTTAAAAAAAATTATGATCTTTAGAAAGGTTGAACCTTTGGGCACTGTTTTAAAAAAGCTTGGAGATTTATCGTGGATAGAATTGACTGCATGTCGTAGAATGAGTATTAGAATATGGCCCATGTGTCAATGTCTCAGTAAAAAAGTCTGTCTCTCACCTTGTTTCATATGTGATATAACATTATATACAATTGATTGAGGAATATCGGTTTAGCACTTAAGATAGCTTAGTTTAGTCTAGCTCACATACTTTACTACTCGTGTCTTTGCTTGTTGAAGCATATATAAGGAACCAATTAACAAAATTGTTGAAAGAATCATCCTTTCGAATGAGTACGAACAGTCTTGAAAAGTAGTTCATTTTTTTAATTTATTGTCTCGTTCTATCACACTACAGCTGTTCAAACGTTGTTTCTTTACTCATCTATCATCAGATTTGCACTGATGAGAGCTACTTTATTGACCATAATGCAGTAATTTTTAGAAATGATATTGCAACTCTAAGACAAATTCGGGAATTAAGCCTTCTACTTGCTTGGTGCATCGATAGTTGCTTCTGGAAGCGATAAAATCGACAATACAGTAATAAAATTATTTTATAGCTGCTTCACACGTCGATAAGTTGCTTGTGGAAGGGATGAAGAACAATAATGCGCTGAAAATTGCTTCACACACTCAAAAAATGATGAAATCGTTAAAAGATCGATACAAACGTTATTTTATTTCATTGCAGAAAACGATACAGAATTGCTTAAATGCGTATTAATACATTACACTACTGTCTACTTAATAGTAACCTCTCAGCTCTTACGTACAATAAGAAACGGTCATTGTACTGCATCCAGATACTGCTATAACTGCGTTTAAATAAAATACACAACTCCATACTCTCCATCATAAGCTCCTTTATTGTTCTACATATCAGATTCCGAAAAGCATCATACTCTGCATTTGCCCCAGATTTAAATTGCGAAAAGTCTTGTACAATGAAAGTGTACAATGCTTACGCAAACGTTACCCTTCACATTTCCGTTCCATTAGTAGCTTGCAATAATGTTCTTGCATTCTCCCGCCATCAATAAAGAAGTATTATAGACCCAAGATGGCTTTATCAAGTTGGTTCTCGCTCAAGACAAGTAGAGTAGCCAACCGGGATGAGGAGAGCATAAGACGCTTCTAAAAAAACGGAAGGAATAGGGACTGCAATATCAGATACGACTTGAAAGAATTGGTGGAACGGCGAGGGCAAGCATTCACTGTAGTAATTGTATAGTTGTATTTATCCACGAAAAAGGCTACATAAAGTACAGTCAGAATAGCAGGTAAATCGAGTATGCCATTGTATATGCCTGTCACCGACTTTACTATTGTTTCCTGAGAGCGAGCTGTTGTATTATACTAGCTGTTCCAAGTTTCAACAAAAAATTATCCATATCAAAATTAGCAAGGAAGGATAAGCATAATCAATGTCAGCGTCTATGTTAGCACAATACTGAGTGTATACGGAATCGAGAACGCTCTTTGATCGGTAGCCTTGATGCTTCATAATTTTTATTATAATCGGGATATCACCTGTTATTCCAAGCTGATAATCTTGCATTCATACAACACTTCACCATTCCTCTTAATCACCCTGCTATCCTGCAGGCTATTGACTTCGCCAAAATTCTGTTTGATGTGACCCGTTAAAAACAGAAGGAAAAAGAGCGTGAATGTAAATGATCATTTGATGTAAGAAAAGTATATAAACCTAATGTTACACTGGTTATGTTATCTGTAGCTTAGTCGAATTCAAGAATGATGCAATGCATGATCCCGTCTGCGACTTTTTGGGTTTATTCTCCAAGCTGAGATTTACCACCATAGAATACAACAGATCATTTCGCTTAAGAACGTGATCATACAGAAGTTTTCTAGAAACTGGTCCACTGAAAACATCCGTGTATTGTTCGTCATTCATATCCAAAGTTTGCCTGTTCTTCAAATCATTTCTGGTATCTTCGTTCGAGAGAAGTTTACCCAACCGGCGGCAACAGATGTGGTTAATATCCAGAAAGAGCAATGTCAATTTATACGCTTCATTATTCAAATAAACACCGTTTCAACTTGTTGCTTGATGCGCTCAATATCTTTATATCGATGTTCAAAACAGTGATCGCATTTAATTGGGTAGGCAGATTAGGGAGGTTAAGCCATAAAGCCGCCCTTGCATACATGGATATCGACCGTCACATCATCAAGCTTTTGGGGACGTCTTCTAAGTGTGGCAGGTCCAGGAATACAATCACCGAGGTCTAGATAAAATTCAAAACAAAGCACTCATATAGTAAAGGTATTTAGTTGCATTCAATCGCTACAGAAAACCTACGCTTAAGCTCTCCAGGAGACGATGTGCCAGGAGTTCACGGTTGTGAGATCTCAAAACTTCCCTTTGAACTCCTTACTGACGATGTGCTCAACAATACATTTCCAGAATCGAAAGATGGTTGTAAGTCGATGTTCGCACAAAGATTAGAAAAGTCAACGGGAAACCATGTTTCAGCAACAACCAAATAGCGACAACTTGCTTGTAACATTTCGACCAGCAGTTACGACAAATAAGCGATGAGCATGAGAGAAACGTAGCTAAAGGACAAAGCAAAAAAGAAAGGAGTCAGGCATCTTTTGAATTAAAAAAAAATAGTACCACTGTTATATTTTACATTACCTATTCATACATAGCCAGCCAAATATGTTACAAACCAGTTCCGGCTAGATAGATCGTGAAAAATGTTGCATTGACAGGACCATGATTTGCGACGGGAGGTGATTGGGTTGTAGGCCGATGTTCGCACTTTTACAGTGGGAGATCGCAACACCAAACTTCGCGTACACAAAGCACTGAAACTAATACTTTGCGGGAGGTAATTGGGTTGTAGGCCGATGTTCGCACTTTTACAGTGGGAGATCGCAACACCAAACTTCGCACAAAGATTAGAAAAGTCAACGGGAAACCATGTTTCAGCAACAACCAAATAGCGACAATTTGCTTGTAACATTTCGACCAGCAGTTACGACAAATAAGCGATGAGCATGAGAGAAACGTAGCTAAAGGACAAAGCAAAAAAGAAAGGAGTCAGGCATCTTTTGAATTAAAAAAAAATAGTACCACTGTTATATTTTACATTACCTATTCATACATAGCCAGCCAAATATGTTACAAACCAGTTCCGGCTAGATAGATCGTGAAAAATGTTGCATTGACAGGACCATGATTTGCGACGGGAGGTGATTGGGTTGTAGGCCGATGTTCGCACTTTTACAGTGGGAGATCGCAACACCAAACTTCGCGTACACAAAGCACTGAAACTAATACTTTACGGGAGGTAATTGGGTTGTAGGCCGATGTTCGCACTTTTACAGTGGGAGATCGCAACACCAAACTTCGCACAAAGATTAGAAAAGTCAACGGGAAACCATGTTTCAACAACCAAATAGCGACAACTTGCTTGTAACATTTCGACCAGCAGTTACGACAAATAAGCGATGAGCATGAGAGAAACGTAGCTAAAGGACAAAGCAAAAAAGAAAGGAGTCAGGCATCTTTTGAATTAAAAAAATTAGTACACTATTGTGTTTTACATCACCAACATTTGTTGTGCGTCTTAGCTTTAAATTTTCAAATGTCGCGTTGACGTCATCTGAATATCTAATGTTTGCAATGTTTCAAGACCAATAGATCCTCAAAAGAATATTAGGAAGTTGAGAAAAAAGAGGGAATCCAGGAACAATTAGACTGGAAGAAGCTGATGGTTTGAAGCGAGGTAAGAATTTTGTGGAGTTGTTGTTGAAATGGAATGTTGTTGAAGACAAATTGCCAGCACAAAAGTCCATATTGTTGAATTGTGCAGGGGAGACGTATCAATCAAAGAGAAGCAATCTTGAGAGGGCGTCATATTGTAAAGTGAAGAGTAGGAAGTAGAGAGATGGCTAAAGATTGAAGGGTGTAAGAGAGTATAGCTAATTTCATATCAAACAGGAGAATCAAGCGCAAAAGAAAAAGAAATAAAAGATGTAGCCAGTATGAGCGAGACAGCAAAAGCATGAATTGGAAAGGCAGTTAGTTGGCAAATAGTGAAGCTTAGCACAATGAAGGTGGTAGTTGTGGAGAATTTTTACCAAATGTTCGAGATTACTATTGTTGACGAAACGAAGACCAAAAATGTGATACTAGCTCCCTGAGTCGCGCTTTTATTTCCAGAATAATTTTTTTGGTTTTTTTTGGGGATGGAAATTGTAATGTAACGAAGGTGAATCACCAGAATATACTAAGGGCTGGTACATATAACATTTCTGGTCTTCGTTTCGTGAACAATCCTGCCTAAACCAACATCTATTGACTCTATTTCCGACCGCCAATGTGAAACTGTTGAAGAAAAAATTGAGTTGCTGTTGGCTGTACCCTTTGATAGTCTTGATGTTAGCTTATAGATTTTCTTTTAAATGTAATGACTTGTAGCCTCCAATTTGTATGGGCTTTTACAGCTTGAATTGAGTTTCCCAATTTAACTGTTTTGGTACTTCGTGGCCTCATGGAATGAGTTTTTAAGTGTTTTATATCAATACCAGCTGATTGCATTGCTGTTTTTATTCAATTTGCACGGTTGTCTGACTGACTGATTTTTAGACAATGCCTGGTTGGTCTAAGTAAGTGAGGAGAAGTTTATGGTCTTCTGGTAAATTGTTTTTCCATTGCAGAAAGGTATATGACGTCTCAACGAGACATAGCTGTAAGCCTTTATATTTACCCAGTGTTATGAATTTAACACGAGCTTCTCTGGGTGTTCTACCATGGATAGTGACTCGTCTGATTCCCTCTTTATCAATGGAGATAGTAATATCTTTGAACTGCAGTTACCCAATGTCGGATTCTGGACACCACATATTTGTGATACATACTGTAGCAGTAAGATTGTCTTGAAAGATTCTGGATGACAAACTCCTTTGTGGGCGAGAAGACTGTTATGCCCCACGAAAAAGTTGTTAAATGTAAGGGATCTTAACACTGCTTTTTATTGTCGCTGTAAAGAAATCTTTGATAAGGGAATGTTTGGAAATCGCTGTCTTGTTCGCGGAGAGTCCTACAAAAACTGCTTAACGCATTGTATTCAAATGCTTATTGCTATAGTGTCTGTTTTCCATCAAAAAGATAGAATAATTTTGGGACTGTATGTACAATAATTCTGATCATTTGTTTGACAAGATGACATGTACAAGTGTTATTACAATTCTATGATCATAATAACGTGTTTAGTATTTGAAGATGTGTCTAATTCGTGTTTTATATACTATAGGAGGTATGGAAATGCCACAATCAATTTATAACAGTTATCAATTTAGAACAACTTAACCAAATATCTCAAAGCAAGCTTTCTATAATAGAAAGATTGTTGAGGCTCATGAACGTCTTAAGTGTTAGAGAGAGGAAGCAAAAGCTTTTAAGTAGTAGTTCTTCTGGTAAAAAGGATGGACGTGCAATTAAGACTAAAGATCTTCCAGTCTTTGACGTTAAGCCTTCAAATTATAAGGATTTCGACAATGCACTTGATCCCAACTTAACCAACGTCACCAATGATAATCGTTCATTGGAAACGTTCATTTTAAATTTTGAACGGTGTTTACAAAGACGATAATGTCAATGTCAACAAACACTGGCGTTACAACCTTGGATCCTGTCTCAAGAAGACTATGATCGGCCGTGATTTCTACACCAGTAGCATTCGAAACAAAAAATTGTCTTGGAAAGAGGTTAAGGAATTGCTTAAGAACCGAGTCGATATTGCTTCTATGTATAATACTTTTCAATGCAATACCATTGTTGTATAACCTGAAGTAAGGCTCCAACCAGTCTGTTGCCGAATATTTAGATAAATATCAGCATAATGTTGTTCCGCTAAGGTTTAAGTGGAAGATAATTTTTTTTTGTCTACTCACTTTATTAATTCTTTGCATCATGAGGATTTCAGGAAAAAAGGTTTTAGATACATTCAAGGGCCATTACAAGCCTTCTCTTCCTGATGGTTCAAACTTGTCAAGCAAGTACGCAGATATTTCTAACGAGGATTCCGTTCCTAGCAATTTCAATGAATTGCATAGCATTCTTTGTAAAGCTATGTCCTCGTTGGAAAAGAGTCACGCTGAAATTGTCAAAAAGGTTGGTCAGAAAGACTCTTCAAACAAAAAGAGAAGAACGGATGACATAGATTATTCGGCAAACCAAACGAGAAGCATTACAACGGCAACAGCAACAACAGTACCTTCAATTGCAAAAAATTGAAGGATACTAGAAATAAAACCGGTTCTCTGGATAGGGACGAAATCCAGTTCCAATCCAGTTCCTTAAAGACAATGGTATCTGTACCTTATGTCGCGTGGCCAAGTTTTCTGTCGAGCATGGAAAGACCTGTTCTGATAAAAGAAAATCATAGATGTTAAGAAGGTAAAACCGACTGTTGCTGCAGTTAAGATTATATCTGATACTGCTGATAATGATGTACATCCTTCTGATGCTAAATCCGAACTTTATCATCTTTGTAAATCCGAAAAACAAGATTTGTCTGCTGCTAATGACAGAATATAGTTGAAGACGACACATCTAAGGATGAATATAATAAAGCTTTATTAGAATATGACAATTACTTAATTAATGATCAACGATCTTATGATAAGCAACTTTATTCTATATCTCGCTCGCAAGATGACAAATTTGTCTTAATCTAGTAAGCGTAATGGTGCAGTTGGTGAAACTGACAATCCATTTGCAACTGATAATATTGGTTATGCCCCTGTTTCCTACATCACAATTAACGAGATTAATTTGCTATTGTCTAACGATACAGGCGCTGGAGTATCTGTCATAAGTAAAGATCTTGCATTCCATAAAGTCGAAGGTAAACTAATTTTGGCAAATGGTAAGCAACT